CCCCACCCCCACACCAACCCCAAACCCCACCACCAACAAACACACACAACACACCCCAACCAAACAACCACAAAACAACCCAACCCCCCCCCCACAAACCAACAACAACCCCCCCCCCCCACCCCCCCAACCCCCCAACCCCCCACCCCCACCCCAAACCCAACAACCAAAACACCAAACACCCACCACACCACACACCCCCACCCCACACACCCCCCCCCGACCCCCCCACCCCCCACCACCACCACAAACACACAACCCCAACTCCATCCATCCCCCCCAACCAAAAAAAACAACCCCACCACAACCCCCCCACCCAACCACCCCCCAACCCCCCACCCACCCAACCACACCATCCCTCCCCACACCACCACAACCACCACCCCCCCCCCCCCCCAATCATTAACAAACATACACAACCACACCCAACCCCACCCACCAAACACCAACCCACAAACACAACAAACTCCAAAACACAACCAACAACCCCACCCACCCAATCAACACCCCCCAAAACCCCAACAACAACACCAAACAACACACACCCCACAACCCACACAAAACCAACACCACACCACAACCCCCCACCACACACACACCACACAAACCCCCATCACACCCATACCACAATCAAACCCCAACACACCCCCCCCCCCCCCCCACACCAAACCAAAACAAACCCCCACCACCCACCACCCCCCCCACCCACAACCACAAAACCCCCCCCCAACAACATACCCCCCCCCCCCCAACTCCCCCAACAAACCCCCATCCAACCCCACCCAAACCACCCTAACCCACCAAAACCTATCCATTCACCCAACACAAACCACATCAAACATTCATTCTAATATATACCTACCCCACCCAACAACCCCCCCCAACCACCCCCACAACCATAATCACCCCCCCAAAAACACCACCACTCAACCACCACCCACACACTCTACAAAATAACCCACACCAACACCCCCCCCAACACCCACACAAAACCACAAACCCCCCTAACACCCCCCCACCCACACCAACACAAACCACCCATCCCCCCCCCAACCCCCACCTCCCCACTCACCCCCCCCACCCACAACCCCACACCCATTACCAACAAATACCCCCCCCCCACCCAAACCACAATACCTAACACAATCCTCCATCTTCAACCTTCCTCAACCTCCACACCCCAATCTCACTCATACCAACATCACAACACCACCTACTAAAAAAACCCCCCAATCCCTCAATCACAAAACCCCAACAAAATTCTTTCTTCTACCTTCTTCTAAACCCCCCCTACCTTATCCCCCACCACACCCCTACTCCAACCCCCCCCCAACCCCCTCATCCCCTTACTAACAATCCAATTAACCTAATCACCCTTATTTTTCAACCTCCCCCCTTATCCCACCTTACCCACCCCCCCTTTTTCTCTACACAATCACCACACAAAACCAACAACCCACATTCTAACTCTCCCTCCCATTAATCAATCTTAATCTTATCTACTCCTCCCCATCCCCCAACACCCTCATTCCCTTACCATTTCTAACAAATTATTCCATTAATCATTCATTCTATCAAACCATACCCCCCCCCCCTCATCCCAACTCCACTTCCCATTCTAAACACAACCCAACCAACACCCCCCCCCCCCCCACACAACCCACACCCTCCCCCCCCCACCCCCCACCCCCACCAAACCCCTCTAAATAAATAAACATCCCATAAAAAATACAACCCCCAACCCTACTACCCTACCCCCCTCAACATAACACCACAAACCCCCACCACCAACAAACCCTTACCCAAACCCCCCCACTACTATTATCATATTATATAACATAATAACTAAATATATCCATATCCTAAAATTAAATAAAATATAATAAAATAATCAAATCTATAAATCAAATAAATATAAACCCAACCCCCCCCCACACCCCCCCAACACCCCCCCCCCCCCAACCAACCACAAACACCCAACCACCCCCCCACACCCCCCCACCCAAAAAACCCCCCCCCCCCCCCACCACCAAACCAATACACCCCCCATAACACCCACCAACCCCACAAACCACACACCCCACCACACCACACCCCACCCCACTAACACCTCCCACACCCAACCACCCCAAACACCACCACCCAAACCACCCCCCCCCCCCTCTCAACCCCCCCCTAACCCTCACAAACCACCCAAAACCCCCTACCCTCCCACCACCCCCACCCAAACCCCCACCACACCCCACAACACCCCCAACCACAACCAAAACCAACACCCCCCAACCACCCCACCCAAAACCCCACCCCCCCCACACACCCCCACCCTCCCCCCCCCAACAAACCAAACTCAACAACACCACACAATCCCCCCTCACAACACCCACACACACCCCCACACACACACAACATCCCCACACACACCCCAAACATCACACCCCACTCACAACACACTCATCCACACTCACCACAACAAACACCTCAACACACACACTCACCACACAACACCTCACTCACACCACACTCACCCACACACTCTCCCCACACACACCCCTTCACTCTCACACCACTCACACCCACTCACACCCACACACAAACCACTCAACTACACACACCCACACTACACAACACACACCCACACACACACCACACCCACACCCCAAACACACACACACACACCACACACTCTCCACTATACCCCCACACACACCACCACACTACACACCACACATAAAATCCCCTCTCATCTTCCACACTCACACCTCTCACTCCACTCATCTCTCCCCCTTCTCTCTCCCACTACACTCCCCACATTCTCACAACCACACACCCACAACAAACCCAAACCCACCCCCCACCCAAACCCCACCCAACCCACAAAACCACCTCCACAACAAACAACAAACCTATCCCACCAACAACTCACACCACCACCAAAACCCATAACCACCCCAACCACAACACAAACCCCCACACCCACCCCCCCCCCCCCACCAACCCCCCCCCACCACCCCCACACCCCACAACCCACAAAAACACCCACCACACACCCCCCCCCCCCCCCCCCCCCCCACCCCCCCAAAACCAACCCACACCCCCCCCCCCAACCAACCACACCCCCCCCACACAAAACACCAAAACAAAACCACCCCAACCAAAAACACACCAACCACAACACCACAACCACAACCCACCACCCCAACAACAAAAACACCACCAAAACACCAACCACAACACACCAACCAAAAAACCCCAACCTACAACCCCACCACACAACAACAAAACCACCAACCACAAACCACAACAACATCACCACCAACACAACACCACCCCCAACCACACACCACCCAACCACAACACCACCCAACCACACCAAACCAACCACAAACACCAACCAAACCACCACCAACCACAACACCACCCAAACAACACAACACCAACCACTAACACTAACCCAAACACCATCCCTAAAAACAAACAACCCACACCCCACACCCCCCACACACACCAACACCCCCCCCCCCCCCCCCCCACCCCCCCACCACCACCCCCCCCCCCACACCCCACCACCCAACACCCCCCCCAACCCAAACCCCACCCCCCCCCCCACCCCACCCCCCCCACCAACCCCAAACACAACCCCACCCCCCCAACAAAAAACCCCCAATAATACAAACAACAACCCCATACTAAACCAAACCCCCCCTCACCCCAAAACCCCCCCCAAACAAAAAAAAAACAACCAAACCCACCCAAACCCCCCACACCCACCCCCCCCCTCAACCCCCCCCCCACCACCCCAACCCCCCACACCCCCCCACACACCCCCCCCCACACACACCAAACCACCCCCCAAAACTCACACATCCCCCACCCACCCCCCAACCCCCCACCAAACAAACCAAAAACAACCCACAAACCCACCCCCCCCAATACTTACTTTCCCCCCCCAAATCCCCACCAAACCACTAACTAATCAAAAAACATCCAACAACCACCAAAACAAACAAAAACCCTCTAACCACACCCCTATTATAAACACACCCCCCCACCCACCACCCCAAACCCCCCCCCCCCCCCCCCCCCCCCACAAAAAACAATACCCACCCCCCCACCCCCACCCCACAAACACCCACCCACAACACAACCCCACCACCCCCCCCCACCCCCCCACCCCCCCCCACCACATCCCCCACCCACCACCCCAAACACCCCACCCCCCCAACACCCCCCCCCCCACCCCCCCCACAACCCACCCCCCCCACCCACCAACCCCCAACAAACAAAAAACACCCCCACCCAACAAACCCACCCCCCACACCCCCCACCCCCCACCCCCCCCCCCCCCCCCCCCCAAAACAAAAAAAAACACACAAACCCCCCCACCCCCCCCAACCCCCACCCCCCCACCCAACCACCCACCCACAAAAAACAAACCCCACCCCAACACCCCACCCCACCAAACCCCCCCCAACCCCCCCCCCCCCAACCCCACCCACCCCCCCCCCCCACAAACCCCCCCACACACAACCCACCCCCCAACCAACCCCCCCCCCCCCCCCCCCCCCCCCCAACCCACTAAAACACCCCCCAAACCAACACCCCCCCACACACCCCCCACCACACCCCCCACACAACCCCACCCCCCCACCACCCCCCACCCACACACCCCCACCTCAACACACCCCACCACCACCCCCCCACACCACCACCCACACACCCAACCCACCCCCCCAACCACACACCCCCACCACCCAACCCCCAACAAACACCCAAACACAACCACCACCCCCCACAACCCCAACCCCCCACCCCCCACCCCCCCACCCAACACCCCCACACCTCCCACCCACCCAACAAAACCCCACCCCACCCACACCCACCCCCCATAACCCCCCCCCCCACCCCCCCCTTCACCTCCATCACCTATCAAACACCCACAACCTCCACCCCCCATACATATCCCATCCTCACCACCCACTCTTAATTACCATTAAATACCCTTAATCATCATCTATTACTCCCCAAAACCCCCCCCCCCCCCCCCCCCCCCCCACTAAAAACCAATCATCCCCCACAAAACAACAACCCCCCCCCCACCACCAACCACCCCCCCACCTAACAACCCAACTACCACATACCCCCCCCACCCCCCCCAACCCCCCCACACCCAACCCCCCCACCCCCCCCAACACCCACACAAACCACCACAACACAACCACCCCCACACCTCCACACCCCCCACACACCCCAAACCCAACACCCCACCCACCCCCCCACCCAACCACCACCCAACAAAAAAACCCAACACCCACAAACCCACCCCCCCCCCCCCCCCCCACCACACACCCAACACCACCCCCACAACCCCCACCCCCCACCCCCCACCACCACCCCACACACACCCCCCCCCACCCCCACCCCCCCCCAAACACACCACCCCCACCCCAACCAACACCCCACCCACCCCCCCCCACAAACCCCCCCCCCCCCCCCCCAACACAAAACACCACACCACACAAACCACCCCCAACACCAACCCCCCACACCACAAACAACCAACCAACCCCCCACACCACCCCCCAACCCCAACAACAACCACCACCCACCCCCCCCACCCCCCCCCCACCAACCCCCACCAACCCACCAAAAACCTCCCCCACAACAACCAACACCAAAACACCCCCCCCCCCCCCCCAACCCCACCCCACCAACCCACACCCCCACCCCACCCCACCCCCCCCCCACCACACCCCCACCACCCCCACACCACACCCCAAACCCAAAACCACACACAACCCCCACCAAACACCACCCACCAAACAAACCAAAAACACAAACCACAACAACAACCCCCCCCCCCCCCCCACCCACCACCCCCACACCCACACACCCCCAACAAAACCCCCAAACCCCCCCAACCCCCCCCCCCACCCCCCACCCAAACCACAAACAAACCCCCCCAACCACAACCACCAACCCCCACCCCCACAACCACCCACACAAAACCCCCCAACACCCACCCCCCCAACCCCCCCCACCCCACCCACCACCAACCCCCAACACCCACCCACCCACCCCACCCACAAACAACACACACACAACCCTCCAAAAACCCCCAACCCCCCCACCCCCCCCCCACCCCCCACCCCCCCCCCCCCCCCCCCCCCACCCACACCCCACCACCACCCCACCCCCCCCCCCCAACCCCCCACCCAACCCACACACCCCACAAACCCAACCCCAAAAAACACCAAACCCAACCCCCAACCCCCCCACCCCCCCCAAACCACACCAACACCCAAAAACACCACCACACACCAAACCCAAAACCACCCCAACCAACCAACCAAACCCCCCCCCCCACCACCCCAAAAACAAACCCACCCACACCCCCAACACCCCACAACACCAAAACCCAACCCACACACACCCCAACACCCCCAACCCCCCACACCCCACACCACCCCCACCCAAACCACCCCCACCCCACAACCCCCCAACCCCCAACCCCCCCCCCACCACCCACCACCCCCCCCCCACCCCACCCAACCCCCCAACCCACCACCCCCAACACCCCCCACCCCCCAAACACCCCCCCAACCCCCCCCCACCAACCCACCACAACCCCCCCCCAAACCACACCAACACCCAACCCCCCCCCAAACCCCCCCAAACCCCAACACCCCCCCCAAAACACACCCCCACCCCCCACACCCCCCCACCCTCACCCCACCACAACCCCCCCCCCCACAACCACCCCACCAACCCCCACCCAAACCCACCCCACCACCCACCCCAACAACCAACAACACAAACCCACCCCCCCCCCCAACCACACAACCCACCCCCAAAACACATCAACAAAATAACCAACCCCAAAAACCCCCCCCAAAATACAACCCCACCACCACAACCAACAACCCCACAAACACCCCAACCCCCCCCACACCCCCCCCCCCCCAACCAAACCCCCACCACCCCACACACACACCTCCCAACCACCATAACCCTCCCCCACCCACCACCCCCCCCAAACACCCAAACCCAAAACAACCCAAAACACCCCACACCCCCCACCCCCCCACCCCACACACACCCCACCACCCCCCCCCCCCCCCCCCACCCCCACCCCCCCCACCACCAAACCCCACACCCCCCCCCCACACAACCACCAAACCCCCACCCCCCCCCCACCAAAACCCACCCACCAAAACCCCCCCACCCCCCCCACAAAAACCCACCACAAAACCCACCCATCCAACCCACCACAACCCCACCCACCAACCCACCACCAAACCACCACCAAACCCACCACAAACCCACCACCAACCCCACACAACCCACCAACAAACCCCACACAAACCCCACCCCCACCAAACCACCACAAACCCCACCACAAACCCCCAACACCAAACCCCACACCAAACCCACCACCAATCACCCACACACAACACCACCAACCCACACACCCACACCCCCCACCCCCCCCCAAACACCCACCCCCACCCACCACACCCCCCCCAACCACCCCAACACACACCCACCCCCACAACCCCCCCCCCCCCACCAACCCAACCCCCCACCCACCCAACAGGGACCATAGACTGTCCATGGACCATAGACTGTGGGGACCATAGACTGTAGGGACCATAGACTGTGGGGACCATAGACTGTAGGGACCATAGACTGTTGAGACCATAGACTGTGGGGACCATAGACTGTAGGGACCATAGACTGTTGAGACGTGGGATAGTACGTACTTGACCTTAAAGGTCCCATATAGTCCTCTGCTTTAACCATCATTACTGCTGTTTGGCCCAAAGTAGTTTTTGTACTGATTTCCTCAGGCTCTGGTCAAAACGCCTCCTTTCACTTTGTGACACTGAAGCCCGTCTCCAGGAGGTGATTGACAGCGGGAGAAATCAAAACAGCGAATCAGAAAACAGCCTGTATAGTCTCCCACTGTGTTGCCTTCACATCGACAGCTTCTTGTGACTTGGAGAAAAGAATGCAGTGAATGTGTCTCGACTTTATTCACGGAATCTGCTTCTGAAATCTGCAACAGATCTGTTTTTCTGTGAGCGACACTTCAACAAAAATTGTTCCAGAAGTACCATGAAACTCGACTCACTAGAAAGCACCAGCCTCTTACTGCTCGTCAAGAGGTGAGTCCACAGGAGGGCGACACCTGTGTGATGTGGGCACCTCGCTCTTTTAAAACTTGTTAAAAAAGAAGTAATCTTTTAGTGCTGAATTTGTGCTGCAGAAATTGAAATTTGTGCCACTATGGTATTTTAGATATTTCACATGAGCCTTGCGCCCCAAGATTAGTTCCAAATCAACTTTTTTGTGCTACTTTGGAGAAACGGGGCACAAGACTCATAAACTTTATAGCAATTTTTCAGCGGAAGCTTCGGGCAAAGTGGGGTTAAGTTTCTTGCCCAAGGACACAACGACAGCAGACATCAGTGGAGAAGGTCTCGTGGTGGAATCGAACCCACAAAGGCCGATGCTCAGTACAGACTGCTAACATCAAGGCAGTTTAGAGGACTTTAGAATGACGTTATGTTAATGTCTCCTGTCTGATTGGTCTGTATCAGTGACTGTAGGTCACCTGACTTTCTCCTTGTGTTCGCTCATGGTAACTCTCTGGGACACGCCCCCTTCCTTGACCCTTTACTCCCACATTCCCACATCTCCTGATTGTGCACAAATAACACCTGAAATAAAGAGGCGAGAAGTTCATTCATATGTTTAATATTAGTTTAAGATGAAAGGCTATGAGTACGTTACATTCTTTATAATATTCCACTATAGGAGCGGGGGCGGGGCTTAGGGCGAGGGGCGGGACTCGGGGACAGGAGAGAATGGAGAAAGTGCAGAGGGTAAAACTGTGCACTTCTGACGCAGACGCAGAAACAGCAGCAGCAGCGGAACATTGAACCAGCAGCAGAACCAGCGCCAGAACCAGCGCCAGAACCAGGCCTCTACCTCATCAGCCCCCTCTGCTGGCTACAGGGGTGAACTCTCCCACACACCGTTTACTTACATTAAAACAGGCTGAAATCTACAAAAACACAATTAAGTCCTGTTTTTATTGTCAACCTAGGCAATTAGTTAGGTTAGCAAGTTTTAGCCACGTTAGCAAGAGTTAGCCACGTTAGCGAGTCAGTCCAAGTTTGCAGGAGTTTTCTAAAGTTAGTCTAAATTAGCAAGAGTTAGCCCCTTTTAGCCGACGTTAGCCCGAGTTAGCATAATCAGCAACATAAAATTCAGTTGAGTAACACTATGACAGTCCAGATTCGGGTGCAGGGACGTCCTAAAATCTGCAGACAAGTGTGAGGAAGAGGGACCGAACCAGGAGAGCAGGTTAACAAGATTATGCTAATGATGTATATCATTAGCATTAGGTCAAAGGCAGTCGTTTGATTGGTTCGTTATAAATTGCTGGTTCCGCTGCAGAAGTTTCACTCTTACGGATTACGGAGGCGGGCTCGGTCACAAAGGGAGGCTCGGTCACAGAGGGAGGGAGGGAGGTCACGGAGGGAGGGAGGAAGGGAGGTCACAGAGGGAGGGAGGGAGGTCAAAGAAACGTGACAGGTCAAATACTCAAGCACATTCAGAGTCGCACAATGATGACATCACACTGGGGTACAACCATGGGTGTATTGTATTACTGTATGTGGATAGGGTTTTGCAGCCTAAATCCATATGTCCTTCTCAGGTCTCTCTCTCCGGTCTCCCTCCGGTCTCTCTCTCTGATCTGTCTCTGGTCTCTCTCTTTGGCCTCTGTCTGGTCTCTTTCTGGTCTCTCTCCGGCCTCTCTCGCTCTGGTCTCTCTCTCTGGTCTCTCTCTGGTCTCCCTCTGGTCTCTCTCTCTGGTCTCTCTCTGGTCTCCCTCTGGTCTCTCTCGCTCTGGTCTCTCCCTCAGCTCTCTCCTCTGCTGCTGTGGCCCGTCCTGCTCCAGAGGCTACTCCATCTCGCAGTGACCTAAAGTGCTGTTGCATTTTAATACTATTGTTAGTAACTTTTAGAATTCTATATTTACATTTCCTTTGGATGTGTTTCTGCTGCTGACACCTACACTTTTCCAAGAGGAACATTAAAGTCATAAACTGTCGATCTGTGTCTCCCTGCTGTGATGTCATCATGCATCTCTCTCTTTATACAGTATAATATTTAAATGTATATTTTACTCTGAAACCGTCACTTTCCCTTTAAGCGTCTGGATAAAGTGACTCATGCTTTCGTGCAGCAGCCATCGTCATGACGATGCAAAACTAAATAAATTTGCATAATTCTAATAAACACAATCTTTTGATCGGTGCGTCCACAATCTGTAACCGTGACAACGGGGCATTCTGTAACCGTGATAACGGGAGGCATCTAGAGTAACGCAAGGTTCAGATGTTTTTCTCATGAGGCCGAGAGGGCGTTTCACAACACACACGCACACGCACACATACACATACAGACACACACACACACACACATACATACATACACATACAGACACACACACACACACATACATACATACACATACAGACACACACATACACACACACACACACACACACAGCTGTAATTCAACTCCCAGCAACACTTGTAGAGGGCCTTTTTATCAACACATGATCTCGACCCCTGAGAAAAAAACATTTCAAACTTATGGGTATGGGTCTGGATCTGGGTCTGGATCTGGTCCCTGTGACGGAGCCCGGCTCTCAGTCTAGGCGCGGCGGTGACATCATCAACACGCGTCATGTTCCTTATAATAATAATAATAATGACAATAACAGAACAGTTTTGTGCTTTTGGAAACTGCAGAAGCCAAACCAAGATGGAGGATGCGTTAGAAAAGTCTAATCCGGTTTGAGTCCAGGTCCACACGCTCCAGTCTGCAGAATACTTCTATCGCCGCGTTTTCAGCAAGATAAATGTGTTAGAAGTTAAATCCAGTGCTAAAACTTTTCTCATTACACTTTCTATTAATGATGATTACACACAGACAAGAGCCCTGTTTCCACTGGCCTTACCCTACCCTACCGTACCCTACCCTACCCTACTCTCCTCTACCCTACCCTACCCTAACCTACTTTACTCTACTTTACTCTACTCTACTCTACTTTACTCTACTCAGCTCTAGCCTATTCTACTCTACTCTCTCCTGATTGAGAGTGTTTCCACTGGTCCTTCTTTAGTCCCTCTTGGCGTTGGTTGGTAAAGAGACTCTGTCAGTCTCTTTACTGACAGAGATTGGCCAGAATGCTGCTGGAAGCCATGGTTACCAAGGAAGTTCCCTGGATACTGGCTTGTTGTAAGTTGGTTGGATAACAGATACCAGGTTGAGTAGAGCCGAGTAGAGCAGGGCCAAGTTGTGCTAGTGAAAACGGCTTTACTGAGCTTGTTAGCCAGGATTTCTGCAGCGTTTTAAATACTTCCCTTTAGTCTCTGTCTTTTCTGTCTAAATCAGACCAAGTCCAAACTCAGAGGTGCCTTACATACTTATAATAAATGTATCTAAACACAAAAGAAACACAAACTGGACCAAAGTGAGTTAATCTAAAGCACAGAGCGGTTTGAAGCGGTGTGGACCCAGAAGCAGCGTTGACCTGTGTTCGTTTGACAATATGGTGTTTAAGGACCAGTGCGGGACTAGCCCAGACAAGCCTGTTCTGGACTAGCCTAGCTCAGATTGGTCTGGCCTGGTACTAGCCTGGTCAAGCCTGGACTAACCTTGATTTGGAATGTACTGGTCTGGACTAGCTTGGCCTGGGTTGGTCTGGCCTGGACTAACCTGGTCTGCGTTTGTTTTGACCAGCCTGAACTTTCCTGGACTGGTCTGATTTGGTCTGGCATGGTACTAGAAATATTGATACCATTTCTACTGTCGGGACCATAATTCCATGTTCCACGATGAGCAAGATGCATATTTTGATCATGCGGAGAGAAAACAGTTCTAAGACTTTTCTCTAAGACGGTTGATGGTAAAGTTAAGGTTTTTTCTGTTTTTACGACATCCACAAAGCGTCTACTGTCTCTACCGTCCAAACACCGAGAAGCACGATCAGTTAAAGTCAAAAACAAAACGGACGAAGACGTGAAGCAGAAACCATCGTCATCATAAATACTATGGGTCATATGATAGACTCTTTTTCATCAGCTTCTTCCACACATCCGGTCGTTAAGCCGCCTGTCCCATCCCAGTCCGGTCCAGTCTGGTTCCATCTGATCCGGTCTGGTACGGTCTGGTCTGGTCAGGGGTCTGGTCTTAGTTCGGTGGCTTATTGAGATAGTGATTTCTTGCTGGAAATACGAGAAGGCGTCGCCAAGACACCAGCGAGCAGATTAAGTTTTCCTGCCAAACAAGAGGACCCCCCTGCCCTTTAGCAGTAGAAGTAGTAGTAGTAGTAGTTGTAATAGTAGTAGTAGTAGTAGTAGCAGCATTAGTGGTAGTAGTAGCAGTAGTAGTGGCAGCAGTAGCAGTAGTTGCAGTAGTAGAAGTAGTAGCAGTAGTAGTGGTAGTAGTAGTAGTAGTAGCAGTAGCATTAGTAGTAGTAGTAGCAGTAATAGCAGTAGTAGTAGCAGTAGTAGTAGTAGCAGTAGTAGTAGCAGTAGCAGTAGCAGTAGTAGTAGTAGCAGTAGTAGTAGTAGTAGTAGCAGTAGCAATAGTAGTAGCAGTAGTAGTAGCAGTAGCAGCAGTAGCAGTAGCAGTAGCAGTAGCAGTGGTGGTTGATTGTTTGGTCACGGTGGGACAGAGGAGGTCATTGTTTACAGATTTAGAACTCCTTGAAGGCGGCAAAACTCTCACTGCAGCGTTTTTGACTTATTTTAGTTGTTCGCGCTGTTTCTAGAACTTGATCGTTCACGTTTGGAAGCTCTCTTCTTCTTCTTGGTTTTTCTGAATGTCTCTCTCATGTAAAGAAGCTGTAATCATCCGGTGACTTGAGTGTTCTTGTTCTCAGCTTTGCCAATTTAGGAGTTGATCTCACGCATCAGGACACTCGCTTGTATTTCGTTGGCGTGTTGTAACGTCTGTTCTGTCGTCAGGAGGTTGTGATGTGACGTGTACATTTCTCCAGTTTGAGATCATAAAGTCTGTCTTATCTTATGCTCTGGTCTCTCTTTGGTCTCTCTCTCCATGGTGTCTCCAGGGAGTCTCTCTTGATTATTGCCATTTCTTGCCTGGTCTGTTGTTGGGAAGCTCTCGTCATGTTGGTTTCTTGTTCTTCTTGAAAGCTTTTTGTTGTGTTCCTGTTGGGTTCTGGTTGGTGTCCTGTTGGGTTCTGGTTGGTGTCCTGTTGGGTTCTGGTTGGTGTCCTGTTGGGTTCTGGTTGGTGTCCTGTTGGGTTCTGGTTGGTGTCCTGTTGGGTTCTGGTTGGTGTCCTGTTGGGTTATTGTTGGTGTCCTGTTGGGTTCTGGTTGGTGTCCTGTTGGGTTCTGGTTGGTGTCCTGTTGGGTTCTGGTTGGTGTCCTGTTGGGTTCTGGTTGGTGTCTTGTTGGGTTCTGGTTGGTGTCTTGTTGGGTTCTGGTTGGTGTCCTGTTGGGTTATTGATGGTGTCCTGTTGGGTTATTGATGGTGTCCTGTTGGGTTATTGATGGTGTTCTGTTGGGTTCTGGTTGGTGTCCTGTTGGGTTATTGATGGTGTCCTGTTGGGTTCTGGTTGGTGTCCTGTTGGGTTCTGGTTGGTGTCCTGTTGGGTTCTGGTTGGTGTCTTGTTGGGTTCTGGTTGGTGTCTTGTTGGGTTCTGGTTGGTGTTCTGTTGGGTTCTGGTTGGTGTCTTGTTGGGTTATTGATGGTGTCCTGTTGGGTTCTGGTTGGTGTCCTGTTGGGTTCTGGTTGGTGTCTTGTTGGGTTCTGGTTCGGGTCTAGTTGGGTTCTGGTTGGTGTCCTGTTGGGTTTTTGGTTGGGTTTCTGTTGGGTTCTGGTTGGTGTCCTCTTGGGTTATTGATGGTGTCATGTTGGGTTCTGGTTGGTGTCCTGTTCGGTTCTGGTTGGTGTCTTGTGGGGTTCTGGTTGGTGTCCTGTTGGGTGCTGGTTGGGTTTCTGTTGGGTTATTGTTGGTGTCCTGTTGGGTTCTTGTTGGGTTGATGTTGGGTTATTGTTGGTGTCCTATTGGTTTTTTGTTGGGTTCTGGTTGGGTTTCTGTTGGGTTTTGGTTGGTGTCTTGTTGTGTTATTGTTGGTGTCCTGTTGAGTTTCTCTTAGGTCCTTGTTGGGTTCTGGGTGGGTTTCCATTGGATTCAGGTGGTGTGCTGTTGTGTTGTGGTTGTGTTGCTGTTGTGTTGCTGTAGTGTTGCCGTTTCCTGTTGGGTCAGTTCTTGTCAGCTCCTGCCGTTGGAGTCTCTAGAACTCGATCTTGCACGCCGGAAAGCTCTCATCCTGCATGACCACGGTGGAGCTGGAGGCCAGAACCATGACGTTGAGGTCAGTCTGGACCTGGTGGCTCTGCTGGTACCAGTCACGAGTCACGTCTGTGTCGTGGGTGGGGATCAGCGTCACCTGCAGGAGACAGGAAAGACTATGTGATAGCAGAACGTTCCAAAGAGAAATAGTTTCAGCAATAACATGTTTCCTGGTAACTATAGTAAGTGTTAAAAGTGAGAGTCTAGTCTTGTTTTGACCCAATTTCTTTATAATTCCTGGAACAATCCACATGAAACAAAAATGTTGACTAAGTCCCACATTATCAGCACATTATGTTCTGTTTCGTGATCCCAGAAAGTCCAAAGAGAGACTCAGAAAGAAAAAGACATTACATTAAACTATAATTAATCCATGTTATCCACGCCTGAGCTGGCTTTGGCCTCCCTCACCCCCCCCTCCCTACAGATGGCCTTGACCTCCCTCACCTGTAGATTAGCCCCCCAGCTGGCCTTGGCTTCCCTCACCTGTAGATTAGCCCCCCAGCTGGCCTTGGCCTCCAGCAGAGCGTCCAGGACCCCCCGGCTGGGCTCGCCGCTTGTTGGGTCGTTGCCACTGACGACGTAGTATGAGGCCCGGACGCGTCGGAAGAACTCAGCGTCAACGTTCTTTGCCGAGCAGTGGTTTGGGACGTACGCCAGGTCCACGTAGACGGGGAAGCCTGACGAGGGGGGGGACGGGCCCGAGCCGGGGCGCTGGGAGCCTGGGGGGGAAGCACAGCTGTTAAAGAGAGTCCATGGGGGAGACTGAGAAGGGGAGGGGCCAGAGGAGAGAGGGGAGGGGCTGGAGGAGAGAGGGGAGACAAAGGAGGGGAGGGGCTAGAGGAGAGTGGGGAGGGGCTGGAGGAGAGAGGGGAGGGGCTGAAGGAAAGGAGGGGAGTAGACTGATTAGGGGAGGGGCCTGAGATCGAGGAGGGGAGGGGCCGGAAAAAAGAGGTCGCTAGAAAAGTAAGTTTTTAAGGTCTTTCAAAAGTATTCTTTACTGCAGTGCAGGAAGAAGAACAGAAAAACTCTGGTCGAGGTGTTTGAATTGTTGTGTGTTGTATTTAACTTTTATTGTAACCTGCTGCTGCTGAACTGTGATCAATAAAGTTTTATGAATTTGAATCTGAATCTGAAGAGAGAAACAGTTGGGTGAGTATGGACTCCTCTGTAGTGTCGCTGGTTCACCTCAAGTCTCTCTGGTCTTTTTCTGGTCTCTCTCTGGTCTCCAGTCTAAATTCGGTCCAGGTCCAGGTCTCTGGTCTGTTCTATAAATACTGTCCTCTGAGACGCGTCCTGGTTCTTCTCTGCTGTGTCACTTCAGTCTGAGCTGGAGCGGGACAGAACTGTGCATCTTTAATTAATCAGACCTGGTTCAGACCAGGTCCTGCTCAGTCCTGCTTCAGTCCAGCTTCAGTTAGGGTGGGGTTAACCTAATGGTTAAGTCCTGCTTCAGTCCTGGTCAGTTCTGGTCCAGTCCTGGTCCTGGTCCAGTCCTGGTCCTGGTCCAGTCCTGGTCCTGGTCCAGACCTGGTCCTGGTCCAGACCTGGTCCTGGTCCAGACCTGGTCCTGGTCCAGACCTGGTCCTGGTCCAGACCTGGTCCTGGTCCAGTCCTGGTCCTGGTCCAGGTCCAGTCCTAGTCCTGTCTTGGTTCACTCACTGGTCTTGTTCTTGTTGATGGTGGACGAGGCCCTGGACATCTCGTCATCTCGGTCTGAGGTCCTCGAGGCCCGTGAGCTCTTCTCCACGTCTTTTTTCTTGGTGCTGGTTCCACTTCGAGGCATCGGGGACTTCTTACGGCGAGCGGGAGACGAGGACTTCCCCGAGGTCTTCATCAACTTCTTCTTCTGAAAAACAAACGGTGACGTATTGTTTAGACTCGTGTCAACTTGTAACATGTGGAAGACAGGAACGGGTGAGAGACCAGAGAGACCAGAGAGAGACCAGAGAGAGACCAGAGAGACAAGAGAGAGACCAGAGAGAGACCAGAGAGACAAGAGAAAGACCAGAGAGAGACCAGAGAGAGACCAGAGAGACCAGAGAGAGACCAATGATGGTAACTATAGTAACCATGGTAACTGTCAGATACTTAGTTCAAAGCCTCCTGTGTACCTTGAGCGGCTTGGCATCCTCTGCTGTGGGGGGGTCTCCAAGGGGGGGGCAGACCTCGGGGTCGACCATGCACACGTCGGGATGGGGGGGGCGGGGGCTCATGTCTCTGGACACAGGGGGCGGGTCGTAGGCCTTCTCCACACTCATGTAGTCCTCCTCCTCCTCGTTAGAATCCGAGTGTCCTGATTCGTCAGAGGTCGGGGGTGTGTCCTCGTTGGCCAATAGGCAGCCACGCTCCTGAGCAGACACACAACCATTATGTTACACAAAGGTACACACTGTGACGTGTGTATCTTCAAGTACAGTGTAACCCAGTCCCATCCATGCCTTGGCACCTCCTCCCTCTCCTCTCTGTCTCCTTTTCTAATCAGTGATGTCTTAATATCTGTCTCTTCTCCTCCTCCTCCTCTTCATTCTCCTCTCACCTGTGATGTCTTGATCCTCTCTCCTTCCTCCTCCTGCTACTTTCTTAACAATAATGTGTTGATGCTCTCTCTCCTCCTCTCACCTGTGATGTCTTGATGCTGCTCTGTCCCTCCTCCTCTTCCTCCTCCTCTTCCTCCTCCTCTTCCTCCTCCTCCTCTCTCACCTGTGATATCTTGATGCTGCTCTGTCCCCCCTCCTCCTCTTCCTCCTCCTCTTCCTCCTCCTCTCTCACCTGTGATGTCTTGATGCTGCTTTGTCCCCCCTCCTCCTCTTCCTCCTCCTCCTCTTCCTCCTCGCTCACGATGGCGCGTGGGTTGATGAAGGAGGGTGAGAGGTCGTGTTTACTCGAGTATCCGGGCGACACACGACTGGATGCTGCTCCCAGACAGCACTCCTCATCGTCATCGCTGTCATGACGACCGCAGGACTCCGCCCCCTTCAGCGTCAAACTCAGCTTCGGTTCTCTGCCAACAGGAAATGAGTTTATTACTAAAGAGCCGCCGCTCTTCTTTCTAAACTACCAAGCCCAACAAGGAGAGCGCTGATCTCAGATGCAGACAAGAGGCCCATGGTTACTCTGAGGAGCTGCACACATCCACAGCTCACCTTCATATTTTGTGGCCTAATTTTTTCTCAGATTTCTTTGTCTGCAATATGTGCTTTTTATGTACTGCATTTATTCTTCATTATCCTCATGTAACCGCTGGTATAACATGTCTCTGGTGTCTCTCTAGTTTAGACCTGGCCAAACTGCGGCCCAGAGGCCACATCCGGCCCGAGTCACGTTTCTATGCGGCCTCTGGATTCTTCATTCAAATCTTGCTTATTTACATGAAAAAGGCTTGTAACTTAATATGTGCTGCCACAGCCTGACCCTCCACAATAGGGCATTATACCCACCCCTGGTCTGGTGTCTTTCTCTGACGTCTCTTTGCTCTCGCTTTGCTCTCCCTCTGATCCTTCTCTGGTCTCTCTGTGATCCCTCTCTAGTCTCTTTCTCTAATCTCTTTCCCTCCCTTTGATCTGTCTTTATCTTTCTGTATCTGTATCTTCTTGGTCTTTCTCTGGTTTCTCGCTGGTCTGTATATGGTCTGTATCTGGACTCTCTCTCCAGTCTCTCTCTCTGGTCTCTCTGGCCTCTCTCTGGTCTCTCTCTGTTTACTCTCTGGTCTCTCTCTGGTGTAAATGTGGAGCAGATCTTGGGGTGTGAATACTTTTGAAGACCCTGTACGTACGTGGCGGAGGTGGGTGGTGGGTGGTCTCTGAACGTGGCTGGAGGAGACACTCTCTGCTGCACTGAAGTGTACACGGCGCCCCCCTCTGTCTGGGATAGGGACAGTGGCCTTGCTGGATGCTCAGGTTCTGTCTCCACCTCCTCTTCAAACTCCTGCCGGTAATGAGGAGGCGAGTCTGCGGGGAGCATCCTCCCTGTGTTCAGACCTGCAACACACAGAGCTTCATCCTTCTGTGCTCTAAGGCCTTTATTCACTTAAAGCTGGGGTACCTGACTTTCAGACCACACCAATAAAACCCATGTCTCTAGTTCCTGTCTCTAAAACATTTTGCTTGGACTGTAAAGAGAGGACCATCCGCTCTCAGCCAATCAGCTTTTAGCCCAAAGAGTCAAAGTGTGACTCACATATTTTCAAATGAAGACACAAGACTCTTTCTGTTCGAACTACATGTGTTATTGATGATGCCAAAGTTATGTACCCCAGCTTTATACTCGTGTTCTCACCTGTCTTGACCTTCATGTCCCAGTCAAAGCTGGTCTTCGGCTCGTCGGTCTTGGCCTGAGTCTCTGGTTTCCCGGAGCTGAGCAGAACTTTCTCCACTGCGTCTTTGGGGCTGGTCTTGTGCACAACCTCCCTCATGTAGGCCTCATCATCCTCATCTTCCTCACTCGTGTCCGTCTCCTCAAAGTAGTGCTTGCCTTCGGTCTCGGGCCGTGGTGAAGACGTGATGCCGAACAGTGCCGCACTTGCCGCCTCCTTTTCCGTGGAGATCTGCGAGAACCCTTTCATCTCTGCGTATGAGACCTCACCTTTGTCCTTCGCCGACCCGAACGCCTGCTCGGCCAGGTCTTTCTGTTTTTGCAACTCCTCTGGGGAGAACTTGGGGAATCCACCGTACTTCTCTTGCGACACGTCTGCGGTGTAGAGACTGTATTCCCCCAATTTCGGATTGGAAATTGCTCCGAATCCAGACGTGTCCATGGACGGCATCCCAAACCTGTCTTTGGATGACTCGGAAGCATAGAGCCCGAACTCCTCGGCTTTCTCCGGTTTGTAGAAGCACTCGGACTTCACCTGCATCTCTTTTGTCTGCGCAGATGATTTGGTCTCTTCCAGAACTTCTAAGTAATCATCCTTCACGCGTTCTGAAGTGGGGGATTCGGACGCCGGGGTCTCCAGCTCTTCCGCAAATTGTCGGCTGGTGGTCATGGACAGGGAGCCCGAGGTGGATGAGGAGTAGCTGTACGCAGAGGAGGAAGAGTATGCAGCAGTGGATGGATATGGGAAGCTGGAGTCAAGTGTGGTCTTGCTCAGAGTCTCAGGTGTCTTCTGCTTGTTGGACTCTAAAGCGTCGACTTTATCCTGACTTTTCTTGTCGAAATCAAAAGGCAAAGATGAAGCCGTGAATCCGGAAGAAACAGGGGATTTTTGGCCTGTCTCTGCTTTAGATTCAGAGGTCTTTTTGTCTTGGAAAAATTCATAATCTTTTGTTTCAAATGTATTCTTTGGAATACTTCCCAAATCAGTGATTTTGCCGGAGTCTTTGATCCCAAACTCATCTTTGTCCTTACCGTTTTTATGTGATTCCAATGGTTTCGCCGCCTCAAAAGACTTCATATTGGTATCATCAAAGTCTTTAGAGCTTCTCTCGTCTTTGTCAACTGTCAGATCCTTGCTTGAATACTCGTACGTAGAAGAAACGCTATAACTGGAGAACTCAGTTTTGTCTGGTTTGTTTTGGTCAAAGTTGTCGGAAATTCCCAAACTGGATGCGGGTAGTTTATCTGCAGCTTCAAAACAAGAAACATGACTTGTTTTTGCTGTAAATGTAGTTTCTGTAGTGTCTTTTCCAGCGCTGGACACATCCTTAAATACATCTGTGCACTGGTCAGACCCTGCGGACACTGTTGTTTTAGTCACAAAGTCACTTTTAGATGTCTCTTGTTCTTTGGGGGGAGTCTTTGTCCCCGGTGACGCTCCCCTCGAATCAACAGCTCCCACTTTATCGGTTTGGCCTTTGCCGTTCATCATATTGTCATCTTTTTCTTTGCTCTGGTCTGTTTTTTCAGGCGAGCTGACCTTTCCTTGGCTGCTGTATCCATATCCCGCAAATGACAGTATGAACTCGGGTCGGCTCGGGTCCACCTCTGTTGGGGATTGACTTTTGGATGAGCTTTGGGAAGGACTTTGGGAAAGACTTTGGGAAGGACTTTGTGAAGGACTTTTAGAAGGACTTTTGGAAGTACTGTTGGGAGGACTTTTTGAAGGACTTTTGGAAGGACTTTTGGAAGGACTTTTGGCCTCACTTTTCACTTCTTTCTCCGACACCTCCTTTGCCCCTTTCTCCACATCTTCATCCTCCGTCTCGTCTTCTGTCTCCTCCTCTTCTTCCTCCGACTCCGTTTCCACGTCGTAATCCTCCTCGTCCTTCGCTGTCAGCTTGCGCAGATCCACCTCCAAACTCTGCTGGAACTGCTGCGTTTGGTCGGAGCTCAGGGAGGTCGCAGAGAGCTCGGGTCGGTCAGCCATGGACGGGAAGCTCCTCACTCGCAGCTCCTCGTGGTCTTTGTTGTCGTCGCACTTCTCCTCCCGCCTGAACGACTCAGAGTCCACCGAGCCGTAGCTGAAGGTTTTCCCGTGAACATACGGCGTGTCTTGGCGCATGTACATCTCAGTCTTTTTTTCTTTTTCGGGGAAGTCGCCTGCACCAAAACGCACGCTCTTATCTTCGTCCCTTTTCTCCTCACTCTCCACAACATCATCCCGTTTCTCGTCTTCGTCGTCTGAATATTCATGCGTCTTTTCCTTCTTTGTGCTGAAGTCCTCGTCCAGGAAGCGGCCCTCTTTGGCCTCCATGAGCTTGGCTTTCACTGTCAGCTGCAGCTCCTTTGTGCTGTAGGATTCTTCCTCCTCTTCATCCTCTTCTTCCTCCGACTGTGAATCGACAGAAGCCCCGAATGTCCCAAAGTATGATGTGTCTTTGGAGATGGTCACAGCCTTTTCTCCACCTTTCTCCACATCTGTTTTGCCGTTAGGAGTCGCAAGTTTGACCATGCTGTTGTCGTCGCTGTCTCGTCTCGTGTCTAAACCGGGACACTCCGGAGACTTGGGAGGAACACCGACTTCTTGTTGAGGTTTTGCTGAAATATCGACCTCTTTTTGTAACTGAGATTCGATGCCAGGTGTTTTTGGTTGCTTTTCCAATTCAGGAGAATCCGGTTTCTTCAATTCGTCTTTCGATTTGAAATCCTCAAATTTCACGGAGGGACTTTGCACGGTCTCATATTTTGGTGGTGGGTCTGGCTTCGCTGGATCCACTTTCTCATCTTTTGGTCTTAAGTCGTCTTCTTTGGTCCCAAGACTTTGTTCAACATGTTTGAGAGAAGATGGTTTGGAAATGTCCTCTTTTTCCTGTTGGGGTTTGGAATCATCCAATTTCATAAAACTCTCGTATTTTGGAGGTGAATCTACTTTTTCTGTTGCTTCTTGTTCCGATTTTGGTTTAATATCGTCAAATTTGACTTCAAACGTGGGCGGAGAGGAGGGTTTCGAGACCTCTTTTTCAAACTTTGGTCTAAAATCGTCAAATTTCAGCTCGTACGTCAGAGGTGAAGGAGGTTTGGCTTTGGCCTCTTTGTCTTGATCTGGTTTGACATCATCCAGTTTTGTGAAACTTTGCTCAATGTTTTTCGAACTGTCTACTTTTCCTTCTGTTGGTGAAAAACTTTTCTCTGCTTCCAACTTGGGAGGAGACTCTGGTTTTGTTGCTTCTGGTTCATCTCTGGAATATTCCTCGAGCTTTGGAGGAGGACCAGGCTGGACCTCATCTTGTTTCGTGGTCTTGAAGCTGTCGTCTTTGTCTAAGCATGATGCTATCGTCTCTGGTTTAGATTGAGTTGTGTCTAGTTTTGTTGGAGAGACGTCTACTTTCTCCGACTGTTTGGACACAGTCGTTCCAAGATCTTTGTCTAATTTTGCGGCTAAACTTTCTTCTTTTGGTTTAGCTGCAAAAACATCTAGTTTTGTTGGTGAAACTTCTACTTCCTGCGACTCTTTAGAAGTAGTTGTGTGGAAATCTTTGTCTAATGTCACAGCTAAACTTTCTTCTTTTGGTTTAGCTGCAAAAACGTCTAGTTGTGGAGGCGAACTTTCTACTTTGTCTGATGGTTTGGATGTAATCACTTCAGAACCTCCTTGTTTGGTAATAACTGGTCCAACATCTTCGTCTAATTTTGATGCAATACCTTCTTCTTTCAGTTTAGCTGCGTCCACTTTTGTAGACAACTCTACTTTCTCTGCTGGTGGGGATGGAGCTGTTTCAGATTGGACTGGTTTGGAAGGCGGACTGGTCTTTGCTGTAACATCTTTCTCCAATTTGAATGAGAAATCATCTTGTTTTTCTTGTTTTGAGGCAGTGAAATCCTTCTTCTCCATTTGCTCCTCCATGGTCCGGGTCAGCGCTGGTTTGGTCTCCTGCTCCTGCCTGCTCTTCAGCTCATATCCCTCCTGAAGTTTCCCCAGAGGAATATCCACATTGGGAGTCTCATCCTCTTCCTCTTCATCCTCATCCTCCTCCCTGCCCCTGGTGTCCATCTCTGGGACTGCAGGTTCATCCGACGAAGGTGACTTGAAGCATTTATCATCTTCCAGAGATGACGTGGGTGAAATCGTTCCAGCGGAGTGAAGGTAGTCCTTAGCAAGTGCGGATTTGGCTAGCTGGTTGTTGGCCTCCGTCTGCTTGTATGACTGGTCCTCAGTAGCAAAAGACGATAGCTTATCGCACTCTGTGATGGAAGTGGCTGATGACACATGCTCCTCTTCGGCAAGCGGCGCTGAGATGACCACGGGGAAGGGTGCCAGCTCCTGCTCCTGCTGAGAAAACTGGAAGGAGGCTTTGCTTTTCGCGTCTCTGGGTTGCTGCACGCCCTGTACACTGGCGAAGCTCCCCGGGATGTCAGGCACACATACGTCTCCCACGTCATAGCTCAAGAATCGGTCTTCCGTGGTCTCCTCACGGATTTCCTCCTCGTCCGAGATTGTCTGCTCCGTCTCTGAGAAAGCTGGGATGGTCTCGTCTTGGATGTACGAGAACTGGTCGGACTTTGTTTCGTCGGATTTGCCTTTTACAATCTCGGCTTCTTCCGTGTTTTCCACTTCAGCTTTTTCAATCACGTCTTCGTCTTCGGAACTTTCGCTCTTCTTCAAGCTTTGCTTGGTTTCCTGGACTTGCTCCTGTTTTTCCTCTGACTTTGGTCTCTCTTGCTCATGCACCTCCTCCTGCTTCAACTTCTCAAACTCCTGCGTGAGGTCTTCTGGCGTGGAGACACTGGAGCGCTCCATGGTCGCCTCCTGGGCTTTCTGCACTGGCTCAGCTGGTTTCTTCTTCTTCTTAATCACCTTCTTCTCCACTCCGTCATCTTTGGTGGCTTTGCTTTTCTCTGCCTTGGGTTTGGCCTGAGCTTTGGCCTTGTGTAGCGTCTTCCGCACCTCGGGAGTCAGTGGCTTCAGGTCGGGTTTGGTGATTTTCCGCAGTTCTGGCTTCTTCTTCGTCTCGTCTTTCTTTACTTTGTCTTTCTTCTCTGGTTTATCCTTCTTGTTCTTGTCCTCATCCTTCTTCTTCGGCTTCTCGTCGTCTTTTTTCTTGCCGATCTCTTTGGTGATTTTGCTCTTCTCCACTTCTGTGTTCTTCTTCTGTTTGCTCGCTTTAGAACTGACCTTTTCTTTCTTCTCCTTATTTTCCTTGGGGATCTCTGGCTTTGCTTTCTCCACGACTTTGTTCTCCTTCTCCGGCTTCACCTCCTTCTCTTCATCGTGGCTCGTTGACTCTTTCTTGGCCTTAGGTTTGGGCGAGGACTTCAGGCTCTCCTTGCTGTCCGTTCGTGAGCGCATCTTGGTCTGCTTAAGGATCGGTGGAGGAGCACCGGTCGCAATATCTTTTTCTGTTGCAACCGGAAACCGCAGGAAGTCAAGATGTTTGAGCTTCTCCAGACCTTCGAAGATCTTGTTCTGCGGAGCATTTCCAGGGAACAGCACACGCACAATCTTCTCCGTGGGTTTGTGCGGAATCCAAACGATGAGCGCAGTTACCGAAGTCAAATACGGAACAGAGATCTCCGCCTCTTTCCCGTTGGACAAAGTAATTCCGGTCTTGGCTTTGCTATTGCCAGCCCATTTCTGCATGAGAAACTGCATCTCCTTGCTCTCCTTCACTGGGTTCAACACGTACATGTCCAGTTTGCCCACTCCCAGTTTATGGAACAGCGTGATGGGCTCGATGGTGTTGCTGACCACACGGTGGAGAGGTTCTGGGGTGATTCCCAGTTTGTTAAGGTACTGCAGTGTGAGAGACGCCTCTTCGATGCTGCGTTTGGCCTTCAGCGTGGACTCTGGAGTGCGAAGCTTCTCCGGGACGTTGAAGAACACAATGCCAAGTTCGGGAGAGATCAGGTTCTTGGCCCAGTCCCCGTTGCTCCCCCTGTTCTTCTCCTCCTCCTCCTTCTCCGCGATCTTGCGCTGGAAAAGCCCATTGATCCCGGGTAAGTTGTCGGCGCCGATGTGTGTGAGCAGCACCGAGTCGATCCGGTCCAGGTGCCGCACCAGTTTCCAGAAGCAGGACTTGCGCTCAGAGCCACCGTCCACTAGAACATTGAATCCGTTAACGGCAAAGAGGGCGGAGTCTCCTCGGCCACCGGGGAAGATGTAGCAGCAAGGTTTGGAGAGTTTGAGGAATCCGCCCGAGTTGGGGGGCTCCAGCAGGTCGAAGGGTGAGGGCACGTCCACCGTCTCCGACACGTACTCCGTGAACTCGCTCACGCCGTCCATGGTGTCGCAGGGGGGAGGGGCCGAGGGGTGCGAGTCCAGGAGCAGGTGCAGGTCCAGGGGGGAGGCGAGGGGGAGGCAGGTCCACTCCGGGTCGGAGGGGGCGGAGACAGTAAGGGAGGAACGGCACGGCAACTCACAGAGAGACTCGAGAACCTGGAAGAGAGAGACGAGAGTGACAAGAGGGAATACAACAGGACAGAAGCTGAAGATAAGGCATTTTGGCTCTGATGAACCGGGTCGTACCTCGGGTGATGAAAGGAGGTCACGAACACGTCGGGCTCCAATGGCTCCTGTCTGCAGACGTATCTGTCGCTCTGAGCCCTGTCCACTCAGTACCAGCAGCTTCCACCGGGAGGCGTCTGTGAGTAGCCCACGCACCTGTGGGAGAGAGACTGTGGTCAGGGAGCAGCGTCTGCCACCCGAGCAGTAATCCCCATGGACTGGATGGAGTAAGCCCCAATCAAACTATGGAGAGCTCTTGGTTAATCTACTCAGGCTGTTGTCTCCCCTCCCCCAAGTCTCTGTGGGCGGAGTCTCATGCATCTGTGGGCGGAGTCTCACCTCTTTGTGGGCGGAGTCTCATGTCTTTGTGGGCAGAGTCTCACCTCTTTGTGGGCGGATTCTTGCGTAGGGTTCACTAGGACGACAGTTTCCAGGACATCACTGCGGTACGACAGCGTCCTTTGACCTGAAACCGAGAGAGAGACCTGCGTTTAAGAGAGAGACCAGAGATCAGTGAGAGAGGGACCAGAGAGACCAGAGAGACCAGAAACTAGTGAGAGAGAAGGACCCGAGAGACCAGAGAGACCAGAGACCAGTGAGAGAGAGAGGGACCCGAGAGACCAGAGAGACCAGAGAGACCAGAGACCAGTGAGAGAGAAGGACCCGAGAGACCAGAGAGACCAGAGACCAGTGAGAGAGATAGGTACTAGAGACCAGTGAGACCAGAGACCAGAGAGACCGGAGGGACCAGAGAGACCAAAGAGACCAGAGAGAGACAAAAAAGAAACCAGAGAGAGACGAGAAAGAGACCAGAAAGAGACCAGAGAGAGACGTTGATACATTTCAAAAATATATTTCTCTAGGACAACTTTACAAAAGAAAGAGTAGCACGTATAACAGCCCAAACTCTGACAGTGAGCGCTTCACTCACACAAACCCAGCTCCACGGCTCGTTACGCTGTCATTCTGCAGAGTTTTGTCCCTGAGTGTGACGTGTGACAGACTTCTTCCCCAGAGCCACAGGAAACAGCTGTGTTTGGAGGAGATTCTTCAACTAAATTTGAGGAAGAAGTATCAGAGTTTATGGTATGTGTGTGTGTGTGTGTGTGTGTGTGTGTGTGGTGTGTCTGTGTGTCTTTGTGTGTGTCTGTGTGTGTGTGCGGAGCTGCCATTGGCTGTTGCCATGGAGACGATCAGCTGTTCCACTGACCCAGTCTGAGACGACGCAATGCAGCATTTCACTGCACCACCACACCTCCAACACACACACAGATGTTACACACACACACACACACCTCCAACACACACACAGATGTTACACACACACACACACACCTCCAACACACACACAGATGTTACACAGACACACACATACACCTCCAACACACACACCTCAAACACACACACACACACACACACCTCCAACACACACACAGATGTTACACACACACACACACATACCCTCCAACACACACACCTCAAACACACACACACAACACGTACACACACAGATGTTACACGCACACACACAAAGATACTACACATACACAGGCACACACACACACACCCAATACAAACACACACACACAGACGTTACAAACACGCACACACACACACACTTTTTACACGTGCACAAAGTTATAGATATTATCACACACAATGCACAATCAGAACTGAGAAGACTTTTTTGTGGTAACAGGTGTGTGTTTGTGCCTCTGTTAGTGTGTGTGTGTGTGTGTCTGTCTGTGCGTGTTTGTTTTAGTGCCTCTGTGTATGTGTGTGTGTTTGTGCCTCTGTGTGTGTGTGTGGGTGTGTGTGTGTGTGTCTGTGTAACATCTGTATGCGTGTCTGTGTGTGTGTATTTGTGCCTCTGTCTGTATGTGTGTGTGTGTCTGTCTGTGTGTAACATGTGTGTGTGTGTGTGTGTGTGTGTGTGTGTCTGTGTGTGTGTATTCAGACAGAGGGGATTACTCTGTTGCATCACTGGGTTCAGACTGAGGCTGCAACAATTGCAGCACCAGATGTTGGGCAGGCAGTAAATATCCACTGATTGCTGACTTGATCAGTGGTCTGAGCGGAGCCTGCAGGGCCTCTGTGGGGTCTATGTTTTATCAACAGAGAGACAATAGAGAGAGACCAGAGAGAGAGAGAGACCAGAGAGAGACCAGAGAGAGAGAGAGACCAGAGAGAGACCAGCGAGAGAGACCAGAGAGAGGCCAGAGACCAGCGAGAGAGACCAGAGAAAGAGACCAGAGAGAGACTTGAGAGAGACCAGAGAGAGAGACCAGAGAGAGAGACCAGAGAGAGAGACCTGAGAGAGAGACCTGAGAGAGAGACCTGAGAGAGAGACCAGAGAGAGAGACCAGAGAGAGACCAGAGAGAGACCAGAGAGAGACCAGAGAGAGACCAGAGAGAGACACCAGAGAGACACCAGAGAGACACCAGAGAGAGACAAGAGAGAGACCAGAGAGAGAGACCAGAGAGAGACCAGAGAGAGACCAGAGAGAGACCAGAGAGAGACCAGAGAGAGACCAGATAGAGACCAGATTGACTCCTACATCCTCCAGGTCTAGACCAGATCCATATTTCAGACAAAGTGCTGACACAGAGTGAGACTCATGTTTCTGCTGCGACGGAGACTTCCCATAATCCTCTGCTGCTGTGGCGCCGCCTGCATCACGTCCACAGTCTGTGATAACCGCGGTGTAGCCCATAGACTATAAAGCCCAATAGAGAAGAGCTCATGGGGGAAGTTTTGCCGTAGCTCTCTCTGGCTCCTATTGACTCCCATGGTGTTTATGATGTGATCCTGTCTTTGTAAATCCAGATGTGAGTCCAATGAAAATCGACCAATCAGAGGCCTTCACTCCCAGGTTCAGTGTCTTGCCCAAGGACACAATGACAGTAGACATGAGTGAGAGTCAGTGGATAAGGTCCTGCTGGGGGTTTGAACCCACGACATTCACGCTCTACTCGCTCCCAGAGAGAGACCAGAGAGAGAGACCAGAAAGAGACCAGAGAGAGACCAGAGAGAGAGACCAGAGAGAGATCAGAGAGAGACCAGATAGAGATCAGAGAGAGACCAGATAGAGATCAGAGAGAGACCAGATAGAGATCAGAGAGAGACCAGAGAGAGACCAGAGAGAGAGACCAGAGAGAGACCAGAGAGAGACCAGATAGAGATCAGAGAGAGACCAGAGAGAGACCAGAGAGAGAGACCAGAGAGAGACCAGAAAGAGACCAGAAAGAGATCAGAGAGAGACCAGAGAGAGAGACCAGAGAGAGATCAGAGAGAGACCAGATAGAGATCAGAGAGAGACCAGAGAGAGACCAGAGAGAGACCAGATAGAGATCAGAGAGAGACCAGAGAGAGACCAGAGAGAGAGACCAGAGAGAGACCAGAGAGAGATCAGAGAGAGACCAGAGAGAGACCAGAGAGAGACTAGCGAGACATCAGTGAGAGTCGGTGGAGAAGGTCTCGTTGGGGAATTGAACCCACAACCTTTATGCTCTACTCGCTCAGTCCATTCCTAATACACGGACTATGGTCTGGACCAGTGTAAAACCGGTGTGTTTTAGTTTACATTGAGTTATATTTTTCTGGGTAACGTGAATGTAGTCTGCAGGACCACAGCGCCCCCTGTGGCCATGGGTGGGACAGCTTTGATATGTTTGTTTAAAACACGGAAGTGTGAAAAAGGTCTATACTACTCTATCCAGATATTATTATAGATCCATGGTTTGCTCTAATCCTCATGGTCTCTTTTTCTGCAGTGATTAAAGCAAGGCCTGTAAAATAAAGCTGAGTTTGAGTCCCTCTTGTTTTTGACCTGAGCTTTAAAGTTACAGCTTTAAAATGAGCTCAGAGCTTAACTTCAACTACATTTCAAACAAATCTAATTATCCTTTATTAGTGATGTCGCACAAGACCCCAGGAACACTATGCTAACGCGATGCTAACACTATGCTAACGCGATGCTAACACTATGCTAACGCGATGCTAACACTATGCTAACGCGATGCTAACACTATGCTAACGCGATGCTAACACTATGCTAACGCGATGCTAACACTATGCTAACGCGATGCTAACACTATGCTAACGCGATGCTAACACTATGCCTATGTGATGCTAAAATTATGCTAACGCGATGCTAACGCGATGCTAACATTATGCTAAAGCAATGCTAACACAATGCTAAAGCAATGCTAAAACTATGCTAACGCGATGCTAACACTAAGCTAAAGCGATGCTAACACAATGCGAAAACAATTCTAATGCGATGCTCACACTATGCTAACACTATGCTAACACTACGCTAACACTATGCTAATGCTGATCTCAGACCAGTGCTGGAACGAGGCCCAGAACCAAATCAGGACCCAGGTACCAGAAGCAGTCCCTCAGGCTGGGACCAGGACCGGTCCCTCAGACTGGGACCAGAGCAGAACCACGGACAATTAGAGATCGGGACCCAGAAATGAGAGCCAGAGGTCAGGTCCAAGACCCAAAACCAGAATGGGACATTGACCGGGGCCTGACCAGGGCCAGACCAGGACTAGAATAGGGACCAGTCACTCCGACAGGACCAGAGCAGGATCAGGGCACAGAACAGAGCCTTTGTTTGATTGTTTCCAACTCTGAACAAATTACACTCAACTATAACTGTACTGTAGTCCTGGTCCTGGTCCTGGTTCAGTCCCGGTTCTGGTTCAGTCCCGGTTCAGTCTTGGTTCAGGCCAAAATCAGACCTGATTAGTAAGTAGTTTTTCTATTGAATATTTAAAATTAACACAACATTTTGTGCTTAAAGAAAGTTTCTCACAAAAGAAAGTTGTAATTCTGGTCCGGATCTAGTTTCGCAAAACGCTCGCAGAGACAGCAACAGACCAGAGAGAGACCAGAGACCAGAGAGGGACCAGAGAGGGACCAGAGAGGGACCAGAGAGAGACCAGAGAGGGACCAGAGAGAGGCCAGATAGAGACCAGAGAGAGAGACCATGAGACCAGAGAGGGACCAGAGAGAGACCAGAGAGGGACCAGAGAGAGACCAGAGAGGGACCAGAGAGGGACCAGAGAGGGACCAGAGAGAGACCAGAGAGGGTCCAGAGAGGGACCAGAGAGGGACCAGAGAGAGACCAGAGAGGGACCAGAGAGGGACCAGAGAGGGACCAGAGAGAGACCAGAGAGGGACCAGAGAGAGGCCAGATAGAGACCAGAGAGAGAGACCATGAGACCAGAGAGGGACCAGAGAGAGACCAGAGAGGGACCAGAGAGAGACCAGAGAGGGACCAGAGAGGGACCAGAGAGGGACCAGAGAGAGACCAGAGAGGGTCCAGAGAGGGACCAGAGAGGGACCAGAGAGAGACCAGAGAGGGACCAGAGAGGGACCAGAGAGGGACCAGAGAGAGACCAGTGAGGGACCAGAGAGGGACCAGAGAGGGACCAGAGAGAGACCAGTGAGGGACCAGAGAGGGACCAGAGAGGGACCAGATTGAGGCCAGAGAGAGACCAGATATTTTAGACACAAACTATGTGTTAGAAACTGTTAAACACGTGATGACAACACAGAGATGAACCGAGTGAACTGTGACGTCACAGAGGCAGATTCAGCACAGAGCGTTCTGTGAGGAGGCTCCACGGTCCGCACAGGCCTCTCCTGCAGGAGGCGCACGGGCTCCTCTCTCCTTCAAACCTGCGGCGTGGGCGCGGCTGTGCGCGTGCAGGCCGCGGACACACGACAGAGGACAGATGCAGAGGAGACACATGCGGAGGAGCACAGAGGACAGAGGAGGAGAAAGGAGGAGCAGGGAGGACAGAGAGGAGGCGGAGAGAGAAGGAGGGAGTAAGAGGCAAATACAGACGTGGAGGAGGAGACACTCACCAGGCAGAAAAACGCCGCTCCTGCCGCTGCTGCGTCAAAGCTCCAGCCTCAGCACCAGAGGGGAGGCGCGTGCACGGAGGGAGGCGCGCGCATGAGAGCACCGCGAGAGGAGAGAGGCTGGAGCGTGACGTCACCGCCGGTATTATGAGAGACGTGCACGCTCATTACTGTGCACGCATGCACCCTCCGTACCACGCGCCCCTGCTGACCCGGGACAAAGGACACTCCCTGTCCCGGGTCAGAGCGAGTTAGAGCCAGTGGCACGAGTGGAACCATGTGTGAAAGTGAGTCCCAACATGTGGACCTGCGCCAACTTCCAAAACTTAAAGGAGAAGTATTCAGCAGTAGTGTCTGCGGAATACGATTGAACTCTCTCTGGTCTCTCTCTTTGGTCTCCCTCTGGTCTCCCTCTGGTCTCTCTCTGGTCTCTCTCTTTGGTCTCCCTCTGGTCTTTCTCTGGTCTCTCTCTGGTCTCTCTCTCTGGTCTCTCTTTGGTCTCCCTCTGGTCTTTCTCTGGTCTCTCTCTGGTCTCTCTCTGGTCTCTCTCTGGTCTCTCTCTTTGGTCTCCCTCTGGTCTTTCTCTGGTCTCTCTCTGGTCTCTCTCTCTGGTCTCTCTTTGGTCTCCCTCTGGTCTTTCTCTGGTCTCTCTCTGGTCTCTCTCTGGTCTCTCTCTGGTCTCGCTCTGGTCTCGCTCTGGTCTCGCTCTCTGGTCTCTCTCTTTGGTCTCCCTCTGGTCTTTCTCTGGTCTCTCTCTGGTCTCGCTCTCTGGTCTATCTCTTTGGTCTCCCTCTGGTCTCTCTTTCTCTGGTCTCTCTCTTTGGTCTCTCCCACCTCTTTAAATTAATAATAATAATAATGCATCAGTTTTATACAGCGCTCTGGACGCTCAAAGTCTCTTCACATCATCATTCTTTCTCTCCAAACACAGCAGTGATAAACTACTGTAGCCACAGCTGCCCTGGGGCACACTGACAGAAGCGAGGCAACCAGTCTGTGCCATCGGCCCCTCCCACCACCACCAACCATTCACACACACACCAGACTCATTCTAGGCAATGGGGGTGAAGTGTCTTGCCCAAGGACACAACCACAGTTTGGCACACACACAGTTCTTTCTAAGAGGAATGGGGCAGAATTCCTGACTGCATGAAGAAGAAGTATTTACCTTTGACCTCGGAGGAGAACTGAGCCGAGTGTCGAGTCTGGAACAACTTCAGCTCTGAGTCCAAGTCCAAGTCCAGACCAGAGACCCAAGACCGGAGCCCTGAGGAGAGACAAGAGACCAGGGTCAGACCAGAGAGACTAGAGCGAGAGTGACCAATGTTAGACAGGAGAGAGACCAAAGAGACCAGAGAGAGACCAGTGAGAGAGCAGAGAGAGACCAGAGAGAGACCAGTGAGAGACCAGAGAGAGACCAGAGGGAGAACAGAGAGAGACCAGAGAGAGACCAGAGAGAGACCAGAGAGAGACCAGAGAGAGAGACCAGAGAGAGACCAGAGAGAGACCAGTGAGAGACCAGAGAGAGACCAGAGGGAGAACAGAGAGAGACCAGAGAGAGACCAGAGAGAGACCAGAGAGAGACCAGTGAGAGACCAGAGAGAGACCAGAGAGAGACCAGTGAGAGACCAGAGAGAGACCAGAGAGAGACCAGTGAGAGACCAGAGAGAGACCAGAGGGAGAACAGAGAGAGAGACCAGAGATAGACCAGAGATAGACCAGAGAGAGATACCAGAAATGGACCAGAGAGAGAGACTAGAGAGAGAGAACAGAGAGAGAGACCAGAGAGAGACCGGAAGGAGAACAGAGAGACCAGAGAGAGAACAGAGAGAGACCAGAGAAAGACCAGAGATAGACCAGAGAGAGAGACCAGAGAGAGAGACCAGAGAGAGAGACCAGAAAGAGTGACCAGAGAATGACCTGAGAGAGACCAGAGAGAGAGAGACCAGAGAGAGAACAGAGAGAGAACAGAGAGAGAACAGAGAGAGACCAGAGAGAGACTGGAGGAAGAACAGAGAGAGACCAGGGGGAGAAGAATTGAAATTTGGATTGGATGGATGGATTTTTTTTTTTTACAACATGCATCACACACATTCTTGGGTTTGTATCATTAAAGCCGGGGTATGTAACTTCCAGACCACAACAATAAAACATGTGTTATTTATGAGACTAAAGTTACGTATCCCAACTTTAATATAGTGTAAATACAGACTGACCACTGAGACCTGGTTCAGTTCTGGTTCAGTTCTGGTTCAGTCCTGGTTCGGTCTTAGCTGTCGTCTTGTTTTTCTGCTGCATTTTCCTTCTATTCAAAAACGCAGCAGAAATATGACCCTCACATCAGCAGAGTCTGACTCCAGACCTAGTCCAGACCTAGTCCAGACCAGGTTCAGACCTGTTCAGACCTGGCTCAGACCAATCACATAATCTTCAGACTGCTGCATAACTTGACATTAGCTCTATAGCCACTATGCTAGTCCTGGTCAAGACCTGGTATGATGTGGGTCTTGGTCTGATCTCAGCCCCTGGTCTCAGTCCTGGTCCAGACCTGCTTCAGACGGAGTTTAATCCTGGTTCAGTCCTGACTCACTGCTGCATGACTTACAATTGGGATTAAATTACATTTAGTCCAGGGTCTCAGTCCTGGTCCCAGTCCTGGTCCCAGTCCTGGTCTCAGTCCTAGTCGCAGTCCTGGTCTCAGTCCTGTTCCACACCTGTTATAATCCGGGTCTTGGTCCGATCTAAGTCTAGATCTTGCTGTAGCGGTCCGATGATGATGAGGAGTCGGTGCTGATGCTGCGCTGGAGGAGCCGTCGCCATGGTGACTGTGGCTGAGCATGACACAGCAGAGATGGAGAAGGGGGAGGGGCCTATCTGCATAAACCCCCTCCCTTTCTGTGAGAAAGCTACTCTTTCAAACTCAACACAAGGACCTTCAACCTCATCAATAACACATGTTTAAAGCTCAAGTCTGTAACTTTAGTCTAAATAACACATGTTTAAAGCTCAGGTCTGTAACTTTAGTCTAAATAACACATGTTTAAAGCTGAGGTCTGTAACTTTAGTCTAAATAACATGTTTAAAGCTGAGGTCTGTAACTTTAGTCTAAATAACACATGTTTAAAGCTGAGGTCTGTAACTTTAGTCTAAATAACACATGTTTAAAGCTGAGGTCTGTAACTTTAGTCTAAATAACACATGTTTAAAGCTGAGGTCTGTAACTGTAGTCTAAATAACACATGTTTTAAGCTCAGGTCTGTAACTTTAGTCTCATAAATAACAACACCCAGAACTTTTGTGAAAATACTTTTATTTCTCATTTCTGACTTTTCTAAGACATTTTGCTCACAAAAATATTAGCAACAATATTAGCTGCAAATTAAGACATGGATTAGATTAAAAAGCAGAAGCCAAAGAGAGTTTGTTTCATTTTCCACATTAGAGATAACGCGGCAGGCACTTTGGTACCTCTCACTTTAGGTTGGGTTAAGATCTGTTTTAGCAGTGTTTAAAGGGCCTGTATGTGGGTTAGTTTATAACAGCAGTTGTCTCACAAAATGCTAAACCACTAGCTCATTTCTAACCTGCTAGCACAATGAAGCCCAATGGGGAGGTGCTCAGGGTTCATTCACGAGGAAACTCCAGCTTGCCTTAGCAACACGTCTGCCCTTGTAACTGCGCAAAGCTAATGCTGATGAACAAATGCCCAATAAGGAAATTGTCTCCAGCTAGCTTACGTTCAAATCGGCCCATAAAGCTAACACTATGGTGATGTCACACTCTGTCAGTCCATTCCTGATATACGCTCGCAGAGGTCAGTCTGATGGAGAGTGGGCGTGGTCAGTCTGATTGATCCCCCAGACTGACCTTCGGTAACAGCTGAAACACATGTTCTTGTCCGATAAATCCGGAGTGAGTCAAACCGCACTGTTTAAGTTTCTCCAAAAAGGAAAGACAACAAGAATAATATCCTCATTTATAGAAACATCAAACCTGACTTTATAAAAACAACTTCAGGTTTTAAACCCTGTGGCTTTTGATGTTCAGGCTGTTTTTCTGCTACATGTCGCGCTGTCTGCACTTATGGGGTCCATACAAACACATTGTCTACACTTATGGGGTCCATACAAACTGACTAACACACACACACACGTTGTCTGCACTTATGGGGTCCATACAAACACATTGTCTACACTTATGGGGTCCATACAAACTGACTAACACACACACGTTGTCTGCACTTATAGGGTCCATACAAACACATTGTCTACACTTATGGGGTCCATACAAACTCAAGAACACACACACACACACACGCTGTCTGCACTTATGGGGTCCACACTAAGACATACACGTTGTTGGCACTTGGTCCACACAAAAACGTTGCACTTAAGGGTCCACATCAACACATACACTCACAAGTGCTGTCTGCACTTATGGGCTTCCCTAAAACTCACTAACACACACATTCACGTACTGTCTACACTTATGGGGTCCAAACAAACACACTAGCACACACACACTCATGCGTTGTCTGCACTTATAGGGTCCATGCAAACTCACTAACACACAAACATGTAGCAGCGACAGCGAGCATTGAGGTTTGACTACCAGAGTCATTTAACTGTTGTGAAGACCTCATATTGAGAGTTGAGAGTAACAGATTCCAAAAGCTTGTAGCAAAAATACCTCTAAGCTTTGATCTGCTCCTAGAAATGATTTGATATAAATACTTCAGTTTCAAGACAACAGATAAAGCTCAGATTGCAAGTTTCAGGTCCAGTGCGGAGAACCGTGTCAGCTGTATGAAGACTGTGTGACGTTCTAGGTCTCAGTGGTCTCAGTGTTCTCTGTGAAGTCTGGCTCCCTGGTCTCTGTAGTCTCCCTGGTCTCCGCAGTCTCCCTGGTCTCCGCAGTCTCCCTGGTCTCCGCAGTCTCCCTGGTCTCCGCAGTCTCCCTGGTCTCCGCAGTCTCCCTGGTCTCCGCAGTCACCCTGGTCTCCGCAGTCACCCTGGTCTCCGCAGTCACCCTGGTCTCCGCAGTCTCCCTGGTCTCCGCAGTCTCCCTGGTCTCCGCAGTCTCCCTGGTCTCCGCAGTCTCCGTAGTCTCCGTATTCTCTGGCTCTGGGCTCCACATGCAGTCACTTGTGTGGAAGAACTCGTCTGCTTCAGGGGACTGAGGCGTCTGTGAGCTGGATCCTGCTTCACTGCTGCTCTCCCGCAGCTCCAGGAGCACAGGCAGAGACCCGGGGAGAGAGAACGGCTCCAGACGGGCCAGGGGCAGATCTGAAGCCTCCACCTGGGACTGGGACCGCTCTGAAGCCTCCATCTGAGACTGGGACAGGTCTGAGAGAGATGCACAGAGACTGTCGGACAGCAGGAGCCCCTCCGTCGGCTGAAAGACAAAGAAAAGGTCACTCTCGCTGGTCTCACTCTCGCTGGTCTCACTCTCGCTGGTCTCTGCCTTGCTGGTCTCTGCCTTGCTGGTCTCTGCCTTGCTGGTCTCTGCCTTGCTGGTCTCTCACCTCGCTCGGCTTCTCGTGGTCGTCTTGTGGTGAGTTGTTTGGAGCCAGAGGAAGGTCTGACGCGGCTGTAGTGCATTGTGGGTCGTTAGCTTGCGGCGTGGGGTTAGCGTCCTCGCTGCTCTGAGGCGTTAGTTTGTCGCTAAAGCTAAACCTGGGGGAGGAGTCAGCGGTGGGGGAGGAGGGGCCAGCGCTGGACACGGTGCTGGAGGGTCCACTGCTGTCTGTGAAGGGAAAATACACACGTCAGAATACACTCGGGGTGGTCTGGTCCAGGTCTGTACTGGTCTGGTCTGGTCCAGGTCTAGCACTCACACCAGGGAGGCCGGTCTCTGGGTCTTAGGGCAGAGGGTAGGACTCTCTGAGGGAGATAGGACTCCACAGACAGCTGCTGAGCGGAGAACATGGCCGACAGAGCTGCAGACAAACAGAATATTATATCTCATCGTGTGTGTGCGCGTGTGCGTTCGTGTGCAGTTGTGTACCTCTGCTCGCACGGCTGTGTGTGTCTCCTGCGTTCTCACAAACCAAACTCAGGAACTCAGTGACTTTCTTGAGCGACAGGGAGTTGTGTAACGTCTCCAGAGGATAGATGGAGGGCACCATCGAGCAGCCCTCGAACCCTAAACAAACACACACATAAACAAATACACACACACACACACAAATTATCACCAAAAGTATCACCAAAATGAAGCAGACAATACAAACTGTTACATGAGACACAAGTCATGCTGAAAACAAACCCAAACCATGAGGGAAACATAAACATAACAGAAATCATGTTCAGATTCACACACAGCATGATGCTGCCCCTCCCTCACACTGAGGCTCATGACAGTGTTAGTGTCTCCTCTGTCCACAGCATGATGCTGCCCCTCCCTCACACTGAGGCTCATGACAGTGTTAGTGTCTCCTCTGTCCACAGCATGATGATGCCCCTCCCTCACACTGAGGCTCATGACAGTGTTAGTGTCTCCTCTGTCCACAGCAGGATGCTGCCCCTCCCTCACACTGAGGCTCATGACAGTGTTAGTGTCTCCTCTGTCCACAGCATGATGCTGCCCCTCCCTCACACTGAGGCTCATGACAGTGTTAGTGTCTCCTCTGTCCACAGCATGATGATGCCCCTCCCTCACACTGAGGCTCATGACAGTGTTAGTGTCTCCTCTGTCCACAGCAGGATGCTGCCCCTCCCTCACACTGAGGCTCATGACAGTGTTAGCGTCTCCTCTGTCCACAGCATGATGCTGCCCCTCCCTCACACTGAGGCTCATGACAGTGTTAGTGTCCCCTCTGTCCACAGCACGATGCTGCCCACCCCTCTCATATGACTTCTGAAAGCAGGATTTACTTATATCTTTCTTTAAGTAAATGTCTGAAAGGTTCTGAAGAACTCTAACATAGAGCTGAGAACTCAGCCGCAGTAGCATTTATCACACACATGTGACCGGCCTCTGGGGCAGCCGCGGCGCCAGTGATAGGCCCGGGTAGGCCGGTGCCTACCAGTTTTTTTCTTGGCCTACTCAAATTTGTTCTTCGCCTCTCAAGTCATTAACCTTTTTATTAAAAGTCATAATTTAAATATTGTTATTTTTATACACACATCATTGCCTAAATGTTGCGTTCTAATGTTTTAAGAAAATGTAACCCCCTGAGCGTTCACGTTGCTTCAAATAGTCCTGTTTATTGGCTGAATAATTTTGTCCAATAATCTGCATGATCATATCACACAGCGCAAAGCTCGTTCCCGAGAACAAGCAGCCATTCCTCGTCTTTAAGATTGACAACGCTCTCAAAACATTCACAACAAAGCAGCCTTTTTAGTCATTTTAGTTTTAAGAAAGTTCAGCGTGAACTTCGTGAGGTAGAGGAGCCAGAGGCCCGGGCCCGTAGGTCCCAGAGGAGGAGAGCGCAGTCAGGCCAGGTTCACCTCGCACTGATGAGGTAAACCCCAGGCCTGTGTGTGTGAGACACAGGGCCTCATGTATGAAACTTGCTGTGTTTTCATTGAGCATCATGTTTCAAAAGTTGAATTTGCGCATCGGAAAAAGTCTAATGGAAAAATGCAAACTTCGAATAAATCACAGCTCATGATCAGGACCCTCTATTAAATCTGACTTGTGTGTGTATTATTTTGATCTGTATGTTTTTAAAATGTGAAGCGGTTTGTGATCCTGAACAGTGAAAGGCTCTATATAAATACACTTTACGCAACAGGGATGTGTGACCCAGCTATTGCTGTGACAGGCTCTGCGCTGCGTAATTACACACGGCTATTTGTATTCCTCACATCTGGTAAAGCAATGTGTTATTTCATTAGATTTGTGTTAGCCTCACACAGACACACACCCCAATAACGCACTGATGGTATTGCTCACTCCAAATGTCTCACTGCCCTGTCCAGAGTGCGCAGCGAGTGCCGTGAGATATCGCGCCACATAACTCCTCAAATGTGCAGAAGTTTTGGCTTCAGTTTCTTTGTGAAATCTGGACCGCAAACACTCTCTGAAGTGTACAGCGCTTCAATGCGCACTTCTACCCCGAGCCAGGCTGCGTCCAAGACACTGCAGACGCTTCATTCATGAGAGCCACCGCTGCATGATATATATGAATTATTCATTCATTCATTCAATCAATCTATATTTATTCACTTCTACAATTCAAGAGAGATTTTTCTAATGTATCAAAACTATTTTTGCAAATTTGTGCAAAACGCAGCTGAATATATAGCGTATATTTATTTTTACATAAACATAACAAACAAACGTGCCTTTTGAGGCTTCCAACAGTCTTTTTGGACTTCCGTGCCGACCTGTCGTGAACATTGCTGCATAATTCTAGGCGTGACTTTCATAAATACGTTCGTATTCAGCTGATTTATCAACACCCGCAGCTGCGTATACGCTCAGATCTGGGCTGATCTCACACGTTCATAAATCCGACGTTGGATTTTGCGTAAATGGAATATACACCCCAAATGTACACATTTTTCTACGCAAGTTTCATAAATGAGCTTGTGTGTATGTGTGTGCTTGGGTGCGTGTGTGTGCGTGCGTTTGAACCATATTCTTTGAAACCCCGTGCGAATTTGGCCTACTTACTAATCTGCAGGCCTACCCAAAATTGCAAACCTGGCGCCGCTACTGCTCTGGGGAACGACACGACTCGGGTCAAGTGTAACTTCATCTAAATGTCATCAACCACCAAACCACCACAGCAGACAACATGCTCCAAACCAGGCCAGACGGAGCCAGATCACACTGGAACCAGACCACATGCTCCGGATCAAGCCAGACTGAGCCAAACCATACTACGATTAGGCAGCAGGCCTCAGACCGGGCCTCAGACCGGGCCTCAGACCGGGCCTCAGACCGGGCCTCAGACCGGGCCTCAGACCGGGCCTCAGACCGGGCCGCAGGACTATCACTCAATCATCAAACCGACCAATGACAAAGCAGCGAGCCACACAAGTGCCATGAAATTAGGTCCCGGGATCTGGACCAGGTTTAGATAGTAGCCAATCAGAGGGGGGCACACTAGGGGTTAGGCAGAGACAGGCACTGTGATAGGCCCGTTTCACAATGACGTCACAGATCACAGCAGCGGTGGGGGTTTCCACAGAGATCAGAAGTCATATCAGTAACCATGACTACAAGCGGATAGCAGCGTGTGGATCAACACTGAGAAACTTTACAAAACTGTTTTGTCACGATGCTAACAGCTAACAGCTAGCGCACAGGGACGACCAACAATAAAAAGTGCTCCCTCACTACTGAGCACAGCTGCTGCCCTGTGACGTCAGGCTGAACGGTTCTATCAGCTATAGCAGTGCGAGGTAAGGGGGGGGCAGTGTCAGGCAGAGGGGGCAGGGTCAGACACAGGGGGAGGAGCTTAGATGGCCTCCCTCTCTCTCTCTGACCGTAGCGCAGGGCCTTGACGGGGTCTCGTCCTTGGATCAGACAGTTCCTGAAGATGCGCAGGTGGTAGGAGCACAGGTGGAGGTGATGGGCCAATGCCGCGTCCATGTGTGGGGCGAGGCCTACACACGAGGGGGAGGGTCTTAACGGACTGGGGGAGGGGCTAACGCCAGGAGCGCTCCAGAATCGTTTCAAGAAGCAAGAGAGCTCCTTTAGCGGTTCTGAGAGAAGAAGGGATCAGCGTGAAGAGACAAATTGTAGGTGTTTAAGTGAGTGAGTAAAGGTGGTGTGTGGTTGGTGCAGGTGAGAGGGGGAGGTGGTGTGTGGTTGGTGCAGGTGAGAGGGTGAGGTGGAGTGTGGTTGGTGCAGGTGAGAGGGGGAGGTGGTGTGTGGTTGGTGCAGGTGAGAGGGGGAGGTGGAGTGTGGTTGGTGCAGGTGAGAGGGGGAGGTGGAGTGTGGTTGGTGCAGGTGAGAGGGTGAGGTGGAGTGTGGTTGGTGCAGGTGAGAGGGGGAGGTGGAGTGTGGTTGGTGCAGGTGAGAGGGGGAGGTGGTGTGTGGTTGGTGCAGGTGAGAGGGGGAGGTGGAGTGTGGTTGGTGCAGGTGAGAGGGGGAGGTGGTGTGGTTGGTGCAGGTGAGAGGGGGAGGTGGAGTGTGGTTGGTGCAGGTGAGAGGGGGAGGTGGAGTGTGGTTGGTGCAGGTGAGAGGGGGAGGTGGAGTGTGGTTGGTGCAGGTGAGAGGGGGAGGTGGAGTGTGGTTGGTGCAGGTGAGAGGGTGAGGTGGAGTGTGGTTGGTGCAGGTGAGAGGGGGAGGTGGAGTGTGGTTGGTGCAGGTGAGAGGGGGAGGTGGAGTGTGGTTGGTGCAGGTGAGAGGGGGAGGTGGTGTGTGGTTGGTGCAGGTGAGAGGGGGAGGTGGAGTGTGGTTGGTGCAGGTGAGAGGGGGAGGTGGTGTGGTTGGTGCAGGTGAGAGGGGGAGGTGGAGTGTGGTTGGTGCAGGTGAGAGGGGGAGGTGGAGTGTGGTTGGTGCAGGTGAGAGGGGGAGGTGGAGTGTGGTTGGTGCAGGTGAGAGGGGGAGGTGGTGTGGTTGGTGCAGGTGAGAGGGGGAGGTGGAGTGTGGTTGGTGCAGGTGAGAGGGGGAGGTGGAGTGTGGTTGGTGCAGGTGAGAGGGGGAGGTGGAGTGTGGTTGGTGCAGGTGAGAGGGTGAGGTGGTGTGTGGTTGGTGCAGGTGAGAGGGTGAGGTGGAGTGTGGTTGGTGCAGGTGAGAGGGGGAGGTGGTGTGTGGTTGGTGCAGGTGAGAGGGGGAGGTGGAGTGTGGTTGGTGCAGGTGAGAGGGGGAGGTGGAGTGTGGTTGGTGCAGGTGAGAGGGTGAGGTGGTGTGGTTGGTGCAGGTGAGAGGGGGAGGTGGTGTGTGGTTGGTGCAGGTGAGAGGGTGAGGTGGTGTGGTTGGTGCAGGTGAGAGGGGGAGGTGGTGTGTGGTTGGTGCAGGTGAGAGGGGGAGGTGGTGTGGTTGGTGCAGGTGAGAGGGGGAGGTGGAGTGTGGTTGGTGCAGGTGAGAGGGGGAGGTGGTGTGGTTGGTGCAGGTGAGAGGGGGAGGTGGTGTGGTTGGTGCAGGTGAGAGGGGGAGGTGGAGTGTGGTTGGTGCAGGTGAGAGGGGGAGGTGGAGTGTGGTTGGTGCAGGTGAGAGGGTGAGGTGGAGTGTGGTTGGTGCAGGTGAGAGGGGGAGGTGGAGTGTGGTTGGTGCAGGTGAGAGGGGGAGGTGGTGTGGTTGGTGCAGGTGAGAGGGGGAGGTGGAGTGTGGTTGGTGCAGGTGAGAGGGGGAGGTGGTGTGTGGTTGGTGCAGGTGAGGGGGAGGTGAGTGTGGTTGTGTGCAGGTGAGGGTGAGGTGGAGTGTGGTTGGTGCAGGTGAGAGGGGGAGTGGAGTGTGGTTGGTGCAGGTGAGAGGGGGAGGTGGAGTGTGGTTGGTGCAGGTGAGAGGGGGAGGTGGAGTGTGTTGGTGCAGGTGAGGTGAGGTGGTGTGGTTGGTGCAGGTGAGAGGGGGAGGTGGTGTGTGGTTGGTGCAGGTGAGAGGGTGAGGTGGTGGTTGGTGCAGGTGAGAGGGGGAGGTGGTGTGTGGTTGGTGCAGGTGAGAGGGGGAGGTGGTGTGGTTGGTGCAGGTGAGAGGGTGAGGTGGTGTGGTTGGTGCAGGTGAGAGGGGGAGGTGGAGTGTGGTTGGTGCAGGTGAGAGGGGGAGGTGGTGTGGTTGGTGCAGGTGAGAGGGGGAGGTGGAGTGTGGTTGGTGCAGGTGAGAGGGGGAGGGGAGTGTGGTTGGTGCAGGTGAGAGGGGGAGGTGGAGTGTGGTTGGTGCAGGTGAGAGGGGGAGGTGGTGTGTGGTTGGTGCAGGTGAGAGGGGGAGGTGGAGTGTGGTTGGTGCAGGTGAGAGGGTGAGGTGGAGTGTGGTTGGTGCAGGTGAGAGGGGGAGGTGGAGTGTGGTTGGTGCAGGTGAGAGGGGGAGGTGGTGTGTGGTTGGTGCAGGTGAGAGGGTGAGGTGGAGTGTGGTTGGTGCAGGTGAGAGGGGGAGGTGGAGTGTGGTTGGTGCAGGTGAGAGGGGGAGGTGGTGTGTGGTTGGTGCAGGTGAGAGGGTGAGGTGGAGTGTGGTTGGTGCAGGTGAGAGGGGGAGGTGGAGTGTGGTTGGTGCAGGTGAGAGGGGGAGGTGGAGTGTGGTTGGTGCAGGTGAGAGGGGGAGGTGGTGTGTGGTTGGTGCAGGTGAGAGGGTGAGGTGGAGTGTGGTTGGTGCAGGTGAGAGGGTGAGGTGGTGTGTGGTTGGTCCAATTGTTGGTCTGTGATTAGTTAGAAGCTCAGGGTTACACGTCCGCATTCTGATTGGACGAGAAGCACAAACACAGCACGCCATTGGCCCGAGGAGACGTTATACCTGCAGCAGAACACCCGGGGGGCGGGGCTACAACCGACGAATCGTCTTTAGTGCCTGCACCAGAGGACCAATTAGAACACAGAAGTCACAGCGGACCAATCACAGCAGCAACCAAAACCACACAGCCAATCAGAGACGCGACCAATCCTAACAATCCCAGTTTTTGTTTTTGAGCTAGCCTGGTCTTACCACACCATGGTACTCATTTCATTTTGTACTAAGGTCTGGATGTGCTCCATTGACTCCGTTAACAGGTGGGAGGGGCTAACTGCTTTTGCAGATTGAAACCACTGGATCTGAGTTTACCGTGACGTATGTAATGAGCCCGAGTGAGTGAGGCATTTAGCGTTTAGCCTAGCTTTAGCATGTAGCCTAGCTTTAGCCATCTCCTTTGCCACCAACGGGGCCCGTGGGGAGTAGAGCCACAACATCTTTGCTTCAATGACATTTACTAAACATTCTTCTTGCTCCGGCTTCAGTTTCTTGATATTTGGATTGAACCAGAACAGATTATTTTACTATTGCATTCTCCGACAAACTACGACCAGAAAATTCAGCACAAAGTCTTGACGTCACAGACACCGACCTACAACACCCGCCTCCCCCGCTCTCTGATCCACATCTGCGGTTTATTGCGGGGGTTAAAGGTTCTAAAAACGACACACGATAAGTTAAATCTCTGAAGAAGCTGCTGTATGTTTTAAGGCTGTGAAACCCTCACACACTTTTTACACTTTTCTAACCACCTGAACTCACTGCTGACTGCTGAAGGGAGAGACCAGAGATATAAAACCTGTTGGTTGTAGGTTTGAGCTGCTGCAGCTGTCAAAAGCTGTGCATACACTGTAAATAAACCAGTGCAGAGGACACCGCTCTGAGGGCGGGAGCAGGAAGACCAGAGAGAGACCAGAGAGAGACTAGACAGGGACTAGAGAGAGACTAGAGAGAGACCAGAGAGAAAGGCCAGAGAGAGACCAGAGAGAGACCAGGGAGAAAGACCAGGGAGAAAGAGAGGAGAGACCAGAGAGAGACACCAGAGAGAACAGAGAGTAATCATAGAGAGACCAGAGAGAGAGAGAGACCACCGTACAATAGAACCATGCTCTCATTGTTTTCTCATTCCGGTGTCTAGAAGTGGTGACAGCCTGTTCCAGTGTCGTGGGGAAGAGAGTTAGAAAAACGGTTATAATGTTTATGGACCTGACTCACTGTAATGAGACAGAGTTCACTGTGACCCAAACTCATCAGGGAAACTTGTCTGTAGTTTGGAATGGTTGCCCCTGGCGCCTCAGTCCTGGGTCTAGAGTCTCAGTCCTGGGTCTGAAGTCTCAGTCCTGGGTCTGAAGTCTCAGTCCTGGGTCTACAGCCTCAGTCCTGGGTCTACAGCCTCAGTCCTGGGTCTACAGCCTCAGTCCTGGGTCTACAGCCTCAGTCCTGGTCTAGGTTTTCATCACAGTGTAACAAGTTTAGACCAGAGCCTTTAGACAGAAGGGGCGGGGGAACGTCCCTGATATCAGCATGGATGGAGCTAAACACAGCTGCAGGTTTGCGACGATGAGGAGCACTGCTGAACATGGAGGAAAACGGGGATTTCTATAGAATTTCACATTCATGACCAGTGACAAAATCAAAGTGAATCAGCAGCAACCAATCAGAGCACAGCACGGAGACACCCTCACAGACAGCAGCCAATCAGACGGGCTCGTGTAGACACACTCTGTTCTGAGGAAGGAAGCAGGAGACAGAGGAGGAAAGGAAATGAGGAGGATGGAAAACCCCGGTGTGACCAAATCCAAAAACATGTGAAGGACGACGACGATGGATCCAGGTCCACTGAGCTCATGCAGGAGAAAACTGAGGCACGTACCATTGGTCGGAAACTTTGCAAACGACACGGAAAATCGCTTTACTGCCGGCATTGACAACAACTCTGCAAGAGACACAGGCGGGAGGTTACCGGGCTGCGGGGGAGGGCTGTAGAGCTGTGTCCCACCTACACTTTAGTCCTGGTCCCGAGTCTCTGTCCTGAAGTCCTCTCACATTAGTCCTGGTCTCAGGTCTCTGTCCTGAAGTCCTCTCACATTAGTCCTGGTCTCAGGTCTCTGTCCTGAACTCCTCTCACATTAGTCCTGGTCTCAGGTCTCTGTCCTGAAGTCCTCTCACATTAGTCCTGGTCTCGGGTCTCTGTCCTGAAGTCCTCTCACATTAGTCCTGGTCTCAGGTCTCTGTCCTGAAGTCCTCTCACATTAGTCCTGGTCTCGGGTCTCTGTCCTGAAGTCCTCTCACATTAGTCCTGGTCCCGGGTCTCTGTCCTGAAGTCCTCTCACATTAGTCCTGGTCTCGGGTCTCTGTCCTGAAGTCCTCTCACATTAGTCCTGGTCTCAGGTCTCTGTCCTGAACTCCTCTCACATTAGTCCTGGTCTCAGGTCTCTGTCCTGAAGTCCTCTCACATTAGTCCTGGTCTCAGGTCTCTGTCCTGAAGTCCTCTCACATTAGTCCTGGTCTCAGGTCTCTGTCCTGAACTCCTCTCACATTAGTCCTGGTCTCAGGTCTCTGTCCTGAAGTCCTCTCACATTAGTCCTGGTCTCGGGTCTCTGTCCTGAAGTCCTCTCACATTAGTCCTGGTCCCGGGTCTCTGTCCTGAAGTCCTCTCACATTAGTCCTGGTCTCGGGTCTCTGTCCTGAAGTCCTCTCACATTAGTCCTGGTCTCAGGTCTCTGTCCTGAACTCCTCTCACATTAGTCCTGGTCTCAGGTCTCTGTCCTGAAGTCCTCTCACATTAGTCCTGGTCTCAGGTCTCTGTCCTGAAGTCCTCTCACATTAGTCCTGGTCTCGGGTCTCTGTCCTGAAGTCCTCTCACATTAGTCCTGGTCCCGGGTCTCTGTCCTGAAGTCCTCTCACATTAGTCCTGGTCTCAGGTCTCTGCACCTGTGGCTCAGAGAGCAGACTTTAAAGCGGCTCAGTCTCTCTTTGGCCTCGCACCAAAGAACATCTGTGACATGTTAGTGCTATAGAAACCAACTCTGAGGAGCACAGGGACTGGCCTCCTGCTGGGACTCTGAGGAGCACAGGGACTGGCCTCCTGCTGGGACTCTGAGGAGCACAGGGACTGGCCTCCTGCTGGGACTCTGAGGAGCACAGGGACTGGCCTCCTGCTGGGGCTCTGAGGAGCACAGGGACTGGCCTCCTGCTGGGACTCTGAGGAGCACAGGGACTGTGCTGGTCCCAGAGTCAGGACAAAACATGGGGAGGCAACTTTTCAGATTTATGCAGCTACATTCTGGAACAGTCTTACTGAAAATGTGAGACAGACTTCTTCTCTGACATTGTGCAAATCCAGGATGAAAACAGCTGTTTATCTGAGCACACGATTGTTTCTTTTTAATGTATTGATTTAATGTGTCATTTTCTTTTCATGATTATTTTTACACTTGTTTCCTTGTCTATGAACTGTGCTATACAATTAAACTTTCCTTGCAACTACAAACTTGAGAGACACAGGGGATCCCGGGGTTCAGCCGAGTGGGAGGTCAATGCCCTCTTCACATCACCTGATTGCAACCCTACAAAATGGCTCCGTCACCATGGAAACCAGCTTTATCATGACTTTGAGCTTCCTGTTTCCAAACAACATTATGAGGACTTCCCTCCCAGAGTCAGACAGCACAAAGAGTCAAAGACCAGGTGCTCAGCGAGGACCTCCAGAGGGGCCTCCTGAGGGTCCTTCTGAGGGTCCTTCTGAGGGTCCTTCTGAGGGTCCTTCTGAGGGTCCTCCAGAGGGTCCTTCTGAGGGTCCTCCAGAGGGTCCTTCTGAGGGTCCTTCTGAGGGTCCTTCTGAGGGTCCTTCTGAGGGTCCTTCTGAGGGTCCTCCAGTTAATCTGTTTGTGAGGTAGATTTGGTCAATGGCACGTTATACATAATTCTAAAGCTTCTAGAAGGGTAAGGGAAGCTGCCGCATGACATAATCTACAGCTGTCCTTACCTTGGACAGCTGCCCTTACCTTGGGTCCGGTTTGGGCTCAATCCAAACAGAGCCGAGCATAGCGGCAGAAGCTAGCAGCAGTTACCATGGAGACCAGCTCTACAGCCCTTATATAGCTCTACCACCGGCTTCATCCTGTGTAGTCAGTGTGGGATTTTTTTTTACGCAAGATCATTATCTTTTTTAAGAATGAAAAGAATTCCAAACAAGACAAAAAGCTAGGAGACTGGTGAAGACACTAGGGGGCGCCATACAACTCATGCAGATGGACAATAACAACACGTGGATGAAGATGGAAGGGCTGCAAGAGCAAGAGAACCACTGCACATGACCAGGACTAGGGCTGAGGAGGATTAAGACTAGGATTAGGACTAGGATCAAGACTAGGATTAGGACTAGGGTCTGAGGTTAGGACTAGGATTAAGACTAGGATTAGAACTAGGGTCTGAGGTTAGAACTAGGATTAAGACTAGGATTAGGACTAGGGTCTGAGGTTAGGACTAGGATTAGGACTAGGGTTGAGGTTAGGACTAGGATCAGGACTAGGGTCTGAGATTAGGACTAGGATCTGGACTGAAGGAGGAGGCCTGATTCAGGCGACTGAAACGAAACGTGCAGTGGTCTCCAAGGGCTCGGATGTCGTCGTGGAAACAGAACCTCATCACACAAACAAAATAAACTCTGAGGAAATAAGTTTTCCAATGAGCCCAAACACACTCTGAGTAAAGGAGACGTGTCATGTGACCAAAAGAGTAGTTTGCCGTTTCCCAACCCGGGGTACGTGAACCCCTAGGGGCATGTGCCGGTATTACAGGTGGTTAGTAATGATAGTAAGAGGGTCTAAGCATTTACAGCCACTTATCTAGGTTTAATTTGGTTCAAAAGGTTCGGTCCTCAGGGTTCAGACTCGGTCCTCAGGGTTCAATAGACTCGGTCCTCAGGGTTCAGACTCGGTCCTCAGGGTTCAGACTCGGTCCTCAGGGTTCAGACTCGGTCCTCAGGGTTCAGACTCGGTCCTCAGGGTTCAGACTCGGTCCTCAGGGTTCAGACTCGGTCCTCAGGGTTCAGACTCGGTCCTCAGGGTTCAGACTCGGTCCTCAGGGTTCAGACTCGGTCCTCAGGGTTCAGACTCGGTCCTCAGGGTTCAGACTCGGTCCTCAGGGTTCAGACTCGGTCCTCAGGGTTCAGACTCGGTCCTCAGGGTTCAGACTCGGTCCTCAGGGTTCAGACTCGGTCCTCAGGGTTCAGACTCAGTCCTCAGGGTTCAGGAGACTCGGTCCTCAGGGTTCAGGAGTCCTCAGGGTTCAGGAGACTCGGTCCTCAGGGTTCAGGAGACTCGGTCCTCAGGGTTCACTCGGTCCTCAGGTTAGACATGGGTTATTGATTATTATGATTATGATTATAATTATTATTATCGTCTTCAGTATTACAGGCACATGATTTAACCGTCTCCTTTAAACAGCCTCTGCAGTGCACGCATGTTGCCACAGGGGGCGCCCGCTGGTTACATACCGTCCTTGTAGGAGAGCGAGGCGGAAGAATATTTTTTGCGGTGCGCGCGGGCGTAGTCCTGCAGGTTGGGGGCGCTAGAGGAGCCTCCGAGGACTGTGGTGCTGAAGAGTCCTGCGCACTGAGAGCCTAAAGGGGGCGCTGTGTTAGTGCTGCAAGTCATGACGTCACACGCCTCACTTCCGGATCAGGCTGAGGCCAAAGCTAATCCTAAAGCTAATGCTAACTGTCCTTGATAACTCAAGTTTTTGATGTTAGCTTAGCGCTTACCTAATAAGTCCACTTCCTGTTTGTAAATTATGCTTTTGTATTTGATCCAAACAGAACAGAAAAGCAGCGTGAACCCGGAAGTGAGAGATGACGTCACACTTAAAAAGCTGCTCCCCCAGAGAACAAGCCCCTCCCACACAGAATTGCCCCTCTCACAGATAACAGGCCCCTCCCACAAAGAACATGCCCCTCCCATAGAGAACAAGCCCCTCCCACAGAGGAAAGAGGCAGAACATGCAGAGAGTGTTGCAGTTTTGGATACACAAAATCAGAACTAATCTGACCTGGTGTCAAGCTTTGATCTGGTTTTAATCCAGTCAAGTTAAATACTAAGACTGAAGAAAGAAAGACCAGTGAGAGACCAGAGAGAGACCAGACACCGAGAAAGAGACAAGAGAGAGACCAGAGAGAGACCAGAGACCGAGAGAGAGACAAGAGAGAGACCAGAGAGAGACCAGAGAGAGACCAGAGAGAGACCAGAGAAAGACCAGAGAAAGACCAGAGAGAGACCAGAGAGAGACCAGAGAGAGAGACCAGAGAGAGACCAGAGAGACAGAAGAGAGAGAGACCAGAGAGAGACCAGAGAGAGAGACCAGAGAGAGAGACCAGTGAGAGACCAGAGAGAGACCAGACACCGAGAAAGAGACAAGAGAGAGACCAGAGAGAGACCAGAGACCGAGAGAGAGACCAGAGAGAGACCAGAGAGAGAGACCAGAGAGAGACCAGAGAGAGACCAGAGAAAGACCAGAGAAAGACCAGAGAGAGACAGGAGAGAGACCAGAGAGAGACCAGAGAGAGACCAGAGAGAGAGACCAGAGAGAGACCAGAGAGAGAGACCAGAGAGAGAGACCAGAGAGAGACCAGAGAGAGAGACCAGAGAGAGAGACCAGAGAGAGACCAGAGAGAGACTAGAGAGAGACTAGAGAGAGGACCAGAGAGAAATTCCACAGGGAGAGAAACCAGGGAGAAAGAGCAGTGAGAGAGACTAGAAGGAGACTGGAAAGACCAGAGAGGCCAGTGAGAGACCAGGGAGAGACCAGGGAGAGACCAGAGTGAGACTAGAGAGAGAGACCAGAGAGAAATTCCACACAAAAATATCTGCAAACCAGCAAGGCCATGAGAGACCACTGTACATAGACCAAGTGAGCCAATCAGAGCAGAGTTGCGTCCTTCCTCTGTGTGATGTCATAGGTGTGATGTCATAAGTGTGATGTCATAAGATTGACGTCATAAGTGTGTGGATATATTATGGGATGTCACTCACCCAGGCCGCTCTGCTTCATCTCTGGAGACTGTCGCGAACACAGGGAGAAGAGGCGATAACTGCCTCCTTTGGATGAGGAGATCTCAGACAGAACCTGTAGATCACAGATTTCATTTAGTCATGTCCAGTTAAAGAGAGAGACCAGAGAGAGACCAGGGAGAGACCAGAGAGAGACCAGGGAGGGACCAGAGAGAGACCAGGGAGGGACCAGAGAGAGACCAGAGGGAGACTAGAAAGACCAGAGAGAGACCAGAGAAAGAAGCCAGAGAGAGACCAGAAAGATACCAGAGAGAGAGACCAGAGAAAGACCAGAGAGAGGGACCAGAGAGAGAGACCAAACAGAGACCGGAGGGAGACTAGAAAGACCAGAGAGAGACCAGAGAGAGACCAGGGAGGGACCAGAGAGAGACCAGGGAGGGACCAGAGAGAGACCAGAGGGAGACTAGAAAGACCAGAGAGAGACCAGAGAGAGAAGCCAGAGAGAGACCAGAAAGATACCAGAGAGAGAGACCAGAGAAAGACCAGAGAGAGGGACCAGAGAGAGAGACCAGAGAGAGACCAAACAGAGACCGGAGGGAGACTAGAAAGACCAGAGAGAGACCAGAGAAAGAGGCCAGAGAAAGAGGCCAGAGAGACCAGAGAGATACTAGAGAGAGACCAGAGAGACCAGAAAGAGAACAGAGACCAGAGAGAGACATATGTTCTATCATGTTCTCACCTCCATAGATCCGGTCTTGTGGTTGCGGATGAGTGGGGATCGTCTCTGGATGCTGATTGGCTCAGAGAGGGGGGCATGTCGGTCGGTCTCGCTGCGTTCCCCTTCTTCTCCATCGGGAGGCGTTCTGCTCTTGCTGTCTCCCTCGTCTCCAACAGAGGGCGCTCTGCTCAGGTCTTCCAGGCTGTCTGTGTGTTTGGGGCCGTTGTTCAGAAGAGGTGAGGGATGTCTTCTCCTGGGAACATGAAGAGAGAGAACATGGTTACACCAGAAAGAGACCAGAGAGAGACCAGAGAGAGACCAGAGAGAGACCAGAGAGAGACCAGAGAGAGACCAGAGAGAGACCAGAGAGAGACCAGAGAGAGACCAGGGTTAGACCTGAGAGAGACCAGAGATAGATACCAGAGAGAGACTAAAGAGCGAGACCAGATCGAGAGACAAGAGAGAGAACTAACCCTAACCAGAGAGAGACCAAATAGAAACCGGAGAGAGAGACTAAAGTGCTGGACCAGTGAGAGACTGGAGAGAGACTAAAGAGCGAGACCAGTGAGAGACTGGAGAGAGACTAAGGGTGTATTCAGACCTGCACATTTGCTCCACTTTAAACGGACCAGGATTCGTTTGGAACTCTGATCCGAATCTTTTATGCAGGTCTGAATACACACAAACGAATCCTGGTCCGGACCAAAGAACCGAACCGAGACCCACTTTTTGAGGTGGTCTCGGTCCGCTTCCAAACGAATTCTGGTCCAACTCGAATCAGGTCTGAATACATCCGGTGTCAATCCGACACAACTCCAAGATACGTGCGCATTTTTTGGGCTTAACAAGCCGCAGACAGAAACTGAGGAATTAGCCACGCAACGGCTAACTATGATGCTAACTATGCTGCTAACTATGCTGCTAACGCTACACAACAACACTGAGCCGTGTGCAGACCTGGAGCAGTGAGGAGACGCTGTGCAACAGGCTTATGGAGTTACAACTGCTCACAGTATACAGTGATGTTAATGGCAGCATCTTCAAACCATTTGCATTATTAAAAGCCTGACACTGTTTGACTCACGTCTCAAAGAGCAATATTCCGCATCATGTAGTGAATTGTGTTATTTGGTTCCTACCTGATCCTCAGCGTCTGTTTGTCCCGTGGTTATTATAGATCCATGGTTTATCCACAATGCTGCTGTCAGTAAGTTGTGGAACAGGGTTATTATAATAGATCCATGTGTGGGACAGGGCACTGAGCGCACAGACAGTCTCCTTCGGCTTTCTCCTCACGCATTCTCTGCCGCTGTTCCAATATTTAAAACAACGTGTTTGGCCTGTGTCATATGAGCTGCTGTTGAAGGTGGTTTTGGTCTAAAAAGAGCAAACAGAGGCAGAGCAGACATGCTGCACATACGAGCCCTCAATGTTTTCCTCCGGTTCCGCGTCTATCCTCCGTGAGCTCTCGCTGTCCAATAGGAGCGCAGATCGTCACATGCGTCGATATGTTTATATAAAAAAGTTCACTTGCAAAAAGGACAGTCTGAATACGAACCGGAGCAAAAGAAAAAAGTTTGGTCCGCTTTTGATTCGGATCAAGCAAGCGGAGCAAAGGACTTTTCAGGTCTGAATACACCCTAAGTGATGGAGAGGAGAGTTGGACTCTTCAGTGAGACAAAGCTCTTCATCGCCTACAGCTTCCTCAATCTGAGTGAGGAGGAGGAGCCCCAGAGTTCAGCCCCTCTCCACAAACCGTGCCGTACCGTCCCAGGCTGAAGCTGCCTCCTCCAGGCTGTGCCGCCTCCACCTGCTGGGCCACCTCCGCAGACGCAGGCCTGAAGCCGAAGCCCAGAGGCGGGTTGTCCTCCTCCACCCCCTTCACCCCAGGACTGAAATGGAGCTCCACATGGAACCGCTCCTCTGAGGACAGCTCCTGGAACACCAGAGAGAAAGACCATGAGAGAGACTAGAGAAAGACCATGAGAGAGACTAGAGAGAGACCATGAGAGAGACCAGAGAGAGACCAGAGAGAGACCAGAGAGAGAGAGACCAGAGAGAGACCAGAGAGAGACCAGAGAGAGAGAGACCAGAGAGAGAGAGACCAGAGAGAGAGACCAGAAAGAGAGACCAGAGAGAAAGACCATGAGAGAGACCAGAGAGAGACCATGAGAGAGACCAGAGAGAGACCAGAGAGAGACCAGAGAGAGAGAGACCAGAGAGAGACCAGAGAGAGACCAGAGAGAGAGAGACCAGAGAGAGAGAGACCAGAGAGAGAGACCAGAAAGAGAGACCAGGAGAGAGACCAGAGAGAGAGACCAGAGAGAGAGAGACCAGGAGAGAGACCAGAGAGACAGACCAGGAGAGAGACCAGAGAGAGAGACCAGAGAGAGAGACCATGAGAGAGACCAGAGAGAGAGACCATGAGAGAGACCAGAGAGGACGTGACCATGAGAGAGAGACCCAGGGCCCCTCTTGTACCTTGTTGTTGTCCTCGTACAGCATGATGACGATCTGAGTCATGTAGTTGAGTTCAGATACAGCGCTGAGATAGTCCATGGCTCTCCTCCACTGCTGATCCTTCTGCTCCTGAGGGAACCATACCATGTGGGGATTACAACTGGTACTATGAATCCTCCCACTGTCTGAGGGAGACCAGCGAGAGACCAGAGAGAGACCAGAAAGAGAGAGACCAGAGAGAGAGACCAGAGAGAGAAATACCAGGGAGGGACTAGAGAAAGAACCGATAGAGACCAGAGAAAGACCAGAGAGAGAGACCAGACAGAGTCCAGAGACAAACTGGAGACAAACCAGAGAGAGATCAGAGAGAGACCAGGAAGACCAGCGAGAAAGACCAGGGAGGGACTAGACAACGAGACGAGAAAGCGGCCAGTGACAGAGACCAGAGAAGGAACAGAGAAGGACCAGAGAGAGACCAGAGAGAGACCAGAGAGAGACCAGAGAGAGACCAGAGAGAGAGACCAGAGAGAGACCAGAGAGAGACCAGAGAGAGACCAGAGAGAGACCAGAGAGAGACCAGAGAGAGACCAGAGAGAGACCAGATTGAGATCAGTCTCTGTGTTTACTCACGTCGAGCAGTCCTCCGAATCTAAACAGCGACAGTAAAGAGTGGACGTGACTCTCAGACGTGAAGTAAAGACGAGTCCTGACGTGTCGCCCCGGAGACATGACACCGCGGGAATATCTGCAGAGAACACAACAAGTAAACAACAACAAGTAAACAACAAGTAAACAACAGCAGCACACAGGCACCAGGCTGAAGTAGTCTCTGGACGCATGTGTTTCCCAAAGTGACAAAGACAGACTGAAAATTTGACTCTGGTCTGGTCCAGGCTGCTCTGGGCTACTCTGGGCTGCTCTGGGCTGCTCTGGGCTACTCTGGGCTACTCTGGGCTACTCTGGGCTACTCTGGGCTACTCTGGGCTACTCTGGGCTACTCTGGGCTACTCTGGGCTACTCTGGGCTACTCTGGGCTACTCTGGGCTACTCTGGGCTGCTCTGGGCTGCGCTGGGCTGCTCTGGGCTGCTCTGGGCTGCTCTGGCCAATCCCTGTCAGTAGGAACACTTTAGTACCAGTTCAGCCTGGATCGAACCAGGACCAAGAGGGACTGAAGAAGAACCTGGTCCTGGTATAACAGGACCAAAGGAAATGCTCAGATGGGAGTAGAGCAGAGACCAGAGCAAGAGAGAGAGAGACCAGAGAGAGAGAGAGAGAAACAAGGGAGAGAGAGACCGGAGAGAGAACAGAGAGAGAGAGACCAGAGAGAGAGAGAAAGAGACCAGACCGAGAGACCAGAGACAGAGAGAGACCAGAGAGAGAGATAGAGAGAGAGAGAAAGAGACCAGACTGAAGGACCAGAGACAGACCGGAGAGAGACCAGAGAAAGAGAGAGACCAGAGAGAGCGAGAGAGACTCAGTATGTGTGTAGTGTTCTCACAGAGGGTGTAGTTTGTTCACAGACTCGTCCTCGTGCGTTCGCTGCAGGTCCATCAGAATCTTGCGCACGAGCGGGAGGCAGTAGGCGTACGCAATGTCCAGTTTCTCAGACTTATTTATGCCGTACTCCTGAAACACAGACACAGACTTTTGGGTTGATCCCAGAGCCCACATGTTTATTATACATTAGCCTCGTGTGTTGCCATGGTGATCTTGGTCGTATGGCGGGTCCAAAACAAACACGTCTAACACCACAAACTGAGCAAACTTCTGAAAACCACGCAGAGTATAAAACCTTTGGTGACTGGTAAAAAGATCTCCGGCGTATTTAACTGTTTTTCTTATTGTTGAGAGGAGAAGTAGAACGTTCTAAATTTCAGTTGTATTAGTTTTGTGAATTTACAGAGAACATGACGCACTCGAATCGGTTTTGAAAAAAGTGGTGTTGGTGCATCCCTAGTGCCAATGTAAGCACACGGGGCTGATGAACCAGGATTAAAAGAGCTATAAGGTTTGAATGTTTAGCCCCGCCCCCAACTCGCTCACAGGCTTCTCATTTCCCCCACGCTCTCCTCCCACGGAGCCATCTAGTTTTATTTGCGATCAGAAACGTATGCTAACATTAGTATTAGCGCAACTACTTGTAAGTAAATATATAACTTAAAGATAACCGCTAGTTTCACGTCTAAATGTAGTCTGAGCGTAGATAGAGCGTAGATAGTCCGAGCGCAGATAGTCCGAGCGTAGATGGTCCGAGCGCAGATAGTCCGAGCGTAGATGGTCCGAGCGCAGATAGTCCGAGCGCAGATAGTCCGAGCGCAGATAGTCCGAGCGTAGATGGTCCGAGCGCAGATAGTCCGAGCGTAGATGGTCCGAGCGCAGATAGTCCGAGCGCAGATAGTCCGAGCGTAGATGGTCCGAGCGTAGATAGTCCGAGCGTAGATAGTCCGAGCGTAGATAGTCCGAGCGCAGATAGTCCGAGCGCAGATAGTCCGAGGCGGTCCCGCAGGTCTCTCCCATAGACCAGTCTCTCCAGAGGATACGATGTAAGCTAGCTCTGTTCAGGGCTTGGTTTCTTCTTTGATCATGTTTTGGCTTTAGTTCCTCTTCTCTTCCTCACTGTTGTGTGGTTTGGGCTGTTTTGCTGTGTCTGCAGTTACAGCCAGAGGAGTTATAGCCACTTATGCTAACATGCTACTGTGTTTAGCAGCGCTGTAGAGGCTAGAGGAGGCAGCCTCGTTCTGTGATTGGAGGAGAGCGGGCGTCACGCTAAGTCTCTACTCAGCACTTTTTACTGAGTTCATCCACAGCTGAATCAATGAGCTCAAGTTTTACATTCAATGACGGATTTTAATACAAACATGTATGTAGTAAGAAACATTTTTATGAACTCATTAGAAAATAAATTGGGTATAGCATCTTTAAAGACCAGAGACCAAAGAGGGATCAAGGAGCAGGGACCAGAAACCAGGAACCTTAAACTCAGACCAGGTGAGGCAGATTCTACACAGAGTACTGACCTGGGGGATGACTATGTCGGCCAAGGCCCTGCTGAGTCTGAACAGCTCCAGCGTGTCCTCCAGACCCAGGCTGCAGTTGTGGATCACGTCGTACTTCACACAGTCGTAAATGTCGGGGATTTTACTGATGTCGAATCTGCCGTTCTTCATCCGGAAGTCTCGCTCCAGTTTGGACCAACGCTGCAACATGAGCTCCAGGGACTCAGAGTGGTACAGCTGCAGATCTGAGACCACAGACCGGGTTAGACCACAGACTAGAGACCACGTTAGACCACAGGACGGGTTAGACCACAGACCGGGTTAGACCACAGACTAGAGACCATGTTAGACCACAGACCAGAGACCAGAGACCAGAGACCGGGTTAGACCACAGACCAGAGACCAGAAACTAGAGACCGGGTTAGACCGGAGACAAGAGGACAGGGTCAGTGAGCACAGACAGAGGTCAGAAAAAGGGACCAGAGACCAGAGTCCAGAGATTGGGTTAGACCACAGACCACAAACCGGGTTAGACCAGAGACCAGAGACCAGAGACTAGAGACTGGGTTAGACCAGAGACAAGAGGACAGGGTCAGTGAGCACAGACAGAGATCAGAAAAAGGGACCAGAGACCAGAGTCCAGGGAACAGAGTTAGACCAGGGAACAGAGTTAGACCAGAGACCAGAGACCAGAGGCCAGAAACAAGGGACTAGCTGGAACCATAGACCAGGGAACAGGGACCAGAGACAGGGTTAGACCAGAGAGCAGGTCTGAAGCTGCAGATGTGTGGTCTGCAGGTATCACTGGCTTTACTGTTTGATACCTGCTGATGTGGGGTCCTCCATTCGGGTCCGGATCTGGGCAGTGAGACTCTGGATCAGGGCGTAGACCCGGTCACAGGTCTGGACCGGGTTTTCCACCAGCTTCATGGAGTTTACCAGAGAAGGGCTGTTCATGGGAGCCAGCTGCGGAGAAAGGGTTCAGGGGAGTTAGAACCCTGGGTCTGGGACTGGGTCTGGGGTTGGTACAGACCCTCTAGTAGTCCTCCTTCTTCAGTCTTTTGTGTGGTCTGTGTGTGTGTGTGAGGTTTTGGGTCCGGTCTGGGTCTGGTCTGGTCTGGTCTGGGCTTGGTACAGACCCTCTGGTAGTCCTCCTCAGTGAAGATCCGGTCTCTCTGGAGGATCTCGTGGAGCCGGTTCTTCACCCGGTGCTGACAGCCGCTCAGAGAGTCACAGTCGTTGTCCAGGAGCCCGTTCATATTCGCACTTTTCACCATCTGGACCAGGATCGGGGTCAGCTCTCCCTCCAGCGCCAGCAGACCCTGAGCAGAGAAACTAGGTCTAAATCCGGTCTGAATCCGGTCTGAGTCTGGTCTGAACTCGGTCTCACCTTGGCGAAGGCGGCGGCCGTCATCTGCACACGTCCTTCATCCGAGGCGTAGATCTTCAGGTCGTGTCTGTACGTGCTGTGGAGCCGCAGGAGGCCACACCCCGGGAACCCGGCATAGTCCCCTGCAAGAGAAACAGTCTGGACCTGGTCTGGACCCGGTCTGTTTTGCTCTGTTCTCTCTGGTCCGGAGATCTATCTGTCTCTGTCTGGTCTCGGCCTCTCTCTCTGATCCCTCTCTCTCTGGTCTCTCTCTCTCTGGTCTCTCTCTCTCTCTGGTCTCTCTCTCTCTGGTCTCTCTCTCTCTCTGGTCTCTCTCTGTCTCTGGTCTCTCTCTGTCTCTGGTCTCTCCCTCTCTGGTCTCTCTCTCTGGTCTCTCTCTCTCTCTGGTCTCTCTCTGTCTCTGGTCTCTCTCTCTCTCTGGTCTCTCTCTCTCTGGTCTCTCTCTCTCTGGTCTCTCTCTCTCTCTGGTCTCTCTCTCTCTCTGGTCTCTCTCTCTCTCTGGTCTCTCTCTCTCTCTGGTCTCTCTCTCTCTCTCTCTGGTCTCTCTCTCTCTGGTCTCTCTGTCTCTGGTCTCTCTGTCTCTGGTCTCTCTGTCTCTGGTCCCTCTCTCTCTCTGGTCTCTCTCTCTCTCTGGTCTCTCTGTCTCTGGTCTCTCTCTCTCTGGTCTCTCTCTCTCTGGTCTCTCTCTCTCTGGTCTCTCTCTCTCTGGTCTCTCTCTCTCTGGTCTCTCTCTCTCTCTGGTCTCTCTCTCTCTGGTCTCTCTCTGTCTCTGGTCTCTCTCCCTCTCTGGTCTCTCTCTCTGGTCTCTCTCTCTGGTCTCTCTCTGGTCTCTCTCTGGTCTCTCTCTGGTCTCTCTCTGGTCTCTCTCTGGTCTCTCTCTGGTCTCTCTCTGGTCTCTCTCTGGTCTCTCTCTGGTCTCTCTCTGGTCTCTCTCTCTGGTCTCTCTCTGGTCTCTCTCTCTGGTCTCTCTCTGGTCTCTCTCTCTGGTCTCTCTCTGGTCTCTCTCTCTCTCTGGTCTCTCTCTGTCTCTGGTCTCTCTCCCTCTCTGGTCTCTCTCCCTCTCTGGTCTCTCTCTCTGGTCTCTCTCTGGTCTCTCTCTGTCTCTGGTCTCTCTCCCTCTCTGGTCTCTCTCCCTCTCTGGTCTCTCTCTGGTCTCTCTCTGGTCTCTCTCTGGTCTCTCTCTCTGGTCTCTCTCTCTGGTCTCTCTCTCTGGTCTCTCTCTGGTCTCTCTCTGGTCTCTCTCTGGTCTCTCTGTACCTTGTCCTCCTGGATACATGCATCTGAAAGCCCTCCCCAGCTCCTCCGCCTGCACTCGTCCCGCGGGGGTGAGTTCTCCTCCCCACTTCAGGACCAGGAGCAGAGAGGGACCTTCTCTGCGCGAGTCTGTGACAAGACGGAGAAAAAACATCAGAACTTTCAGAAAACTGTTGTATCTGTAAAGAAACCCTTTTATCAAGTTCTTGGCTCAAAAACCTCTTTCATTACTACTTTTCACTGGAACTTTGTCTCAGGCCTCGAGTCTCGGCCTCGGGTCTCGGAGACACGGGGAGAACATGCAAACTCCAGTTAGAAAGGCTGTTCTGACCGGGATTCGAATCAAGGACCTTCCAGAGTGCTAACCACTCAGCCACGGTAACGTAGCCTAGCTTAAAGTGTAATGTGACATCACTCACCCTCCTCCTCGCTGGACGTCTTGGGCTGACCGTGAGGCAGATACGTCAGCTGCACTTTCCTGTTGATGCCAGAGAAGTGCCCGTACCTGAAGAGCCACAGAACAGAGGGCTTCAAGAGGACCATAAGTCACTGGTTATCTAGTCTCGCACTCTCTCTCTGGTCTCTCCCTCTCTCTGGTCTCTCTCTCTATGGTCTCTGGTCTCTCTCCCTTTCTACCTCTTCCCTCTCTCTCTCTCTCCACCCCCCTCCTCCCTCCTCAACCCCCCTCCCCCCTCCCTCCTCCCCCCTCCTTCTCACATTTCCAAGACGGTCTTGAGTTGTTCCAGTTTGGACTTCTTCTCCTCGATCTCACAGTCGACCAGCGCCCCCAGGTCTGAGAGCAGCTGCCTGGAGATGTCCAGCACCTCCTGCAGGACGAGAGGTGTCACTGCATCACAGCAAAACTGGGGTACAGAGCGTTAAAGCTGGGGTATGTACTGTTAAAGCTGGGATACATTAAAGCTGGGGGACGTGATATTAAAGCTGGGGTATATTATTATTTTCTTCGGTTTTATTTATATTTTTAATCAAAAAGTGAACATAAAAATGGAGGAGTCAGTGCAGAAGGGGAGGAGTCAGTGCAGAAGGGGAGGAGTCAGAGAAGAGTGGGAGCAGTCAGTGCAGAAGGGGAGGACACAGTGCAAAGGGGGAGGAGACAGTGCAGAGGGGGAGGAGTCAGTGCAGAGGGGGAGGAGTCAGTGTGGTAGCATGAGGTCTCTCTGATCTTCCAGTCTGAATTTGCGCTTAAGCTTCATGTTTACAACCATAAACACAAAGACTTTATTTTCATTATTTTTAGAAGTTACAGATTGAATGTCAAAATGGATGGAGAGCGATTGTGAAAAGAAGCTTTAAGTTTATGAGACCAAAGTTACAGACCTCAGCTTTAAAACACGGCTCTGGGGAATAGAAAAACTCACTTGCAGCTGTTTGGGTTTCTTCAGCTTCAGTTTTCCCGTTTTATATCCACCGTATTTATCAAAGAGATCAAAAAACCTGCACAACACAAAACATGTTAATACATCCTGTTAGCATGCTAGTGGTTTCAGACCAGAGGGAGACCAGAGAGGGATCAGAAAGAGACCAGAGAGAGACCAGAGAGAGACCAGAGAGAGACCAGAGAGATAGACCAGAGAGAGACCAGAGAGATAGACCAGAGAGAGACCAGAGAGATAGACCAGAGAGAGACCAGAGAGAGACCAGAGAGATAGAGCAGAGAGAGACCAGAGAGAGACCAGAGAGAGACCAGAGAGAGACCAGAGAGAGAGACCAGAGAGAGACCAGAGAGAGACCAGAGAGAGACCAGAAAGAGAGCCTGTAGCGGAGTTTCTCACATGGGGTGGCGCACTTCCATCTTCATCTTCTGTTTGGGCGTCCTGTCTCCGTGCCGGATCACCGCAATCACACACCGCAGCTCCATCCTGAACATGAGCGATTCAAACGGCTTCACAATGATCTGAATCCAAAGTGAAAGTAAAGTGAAAGTGGACTTACATGGTCCCGGAGGTGGTGGGTACGATGGGGATGTCCTCCGCCTCTGTGGGGACGGACCATGGGATGTGGAACTGTGGAGCCAGCTCCCGCATCACCAGGTTTCTGTGGAGAACAAAATATTCATTACCTGAGAGAGAGACCAGAGAGAGAGAGCAGAGTGAGACCAGAGAGAGAGAGCAGAAAGAGAGAGCAGAGAGAGACCAGAGAGAGAGACCAGAGAGAGAGACTAGAGAGAGACCAGAGAGAGAGAGAGAGAGAGAAGAAAGAGAGAGCAGAAAGAGAGAGCAGAGAGAGACCAGAGAGAGAGAGCAGAGTGAGACCAGAGAGACTAGAGAGAGAGAGAAGAAAGAAAGAGCAGAAAGAGAGAGCAGAGAGAGACCAGAGAGAGAGAGCAGAAAGAGAGAGCAGAGAGAGACCAGAGAGAGAGACCAGAGAGAGACCAGAGAGAGAGAGCAGAAAGAGAGAGCAGAGAGAGAGACCAGAGAGAGAGACCAGAGAGAGACCAGAGAGAGAGAGCAGAAAGAGAGAGCAGAGAGAGACCAGAGAGAGAGAGCAGAAAGAGAGAGCAGAGAGAGACCAGAGAGAGAGACCAGAGAGAGACCAGAGAGAGAGAGCAGAAAGAGAGAACAGAGAGAGACCAGAGAGAGACCAGAGAGACTAGAGAGAGACCAGAGAGAGAGAGAGAGAGAAGAAAGAGAGAGCAGAAAGAGAGAGCAGAGAGAGACCAGAGAGAAACCAGAGAGAGAGACCAGAGAGAGACCAGAAAGAAAAACCAGAGAGAGACCAGAAAGAACAACCAGAGAGAGACCAGAGAGCGAGACAGGAGAAAGACCAGAGAGAGACCAGAGAGCGAGACCAGAGAGCGAGACCAGAGAGAGAGAGACCATAAAGAACCCCCAGAGAGCGAGACAGGTGAAAAACCAGAGAGAGACCAGAGAGAGACCAGGGAGAGACTATTTTACCCCAGTATTTTGGCGCAGTCGTCGTAGTACTTCATGGAGTTCTTGACAAAGCTGAACCCGTTGACGTCGCACACGTACGAGTGACCACTGGCGCGCAGCAGGTCGAAGCCACACACCGTTTGCTGAAACACACAACAGAGTAATGAGAATGTAGTTCCTCCCTCCTGCCACCGGGCGGGGCTGTTGCCGGGTCAGGGTCCGTACCTTGAAGGCCAGGCAGACCTTCCGTGCCACCAGCTTCTCCATGGCCGACAGCATGACCGGGTACCGCACCTCTTTGCCCTCGCTGTCCCGCTCCACTTTCCCGTCCAGAGCGGGAGACTTCCGGGCCTCAGCGTGGGCGTAGTCCGGGCCCACGGTGTACACCTGGGTATACACACATGGTAAGGTCTGGCGCTGGTCTGGTCTAGCGCTACCTGGTCTGTCACTCTCTGTTCTGGCTCTCTGGTCTCTCTTTATCTAGTTTCTCACCGGGCCCTCTCTCTCTGGTCTGGTCTCTCTCTGGTCTGGTGTCTCTCTGGTCTGGTGTCTCTCTGGTCTGGTGTCTCTCTCTCTGGTGTCTCTCTCTCTGGTCTCTCTCTCTCTGGTCTCTCTCTGGTCTCTCTCTGGTCTCTCTCTGGTCTCTCTCTGGTCTCTCTCTGGTCTCTCTCTGGTCTCTCTCTGGTCTCTCTCTGGTCTCTCTCTGGTCTCTTACCTTCACGTCAGTTCCGTCCGTCGGCATGAACTCTTCATAGATGTAAGATCCAGTTTTCCTCACACTGCTCTCAGGAGAGTACACACTGGAGCGACTGCCGATCTGAGACACACACACACACACACATAGACACACAGACACAGACACACACACAGACACAAACACAGACACACAAAGACACACACACACACACACACACACAGACCTTTCAGTTGCTGCCTCTCTAACATTAATATATCTCTGTGACCGTACCTTCCGGAACAGGCGCTGGCTGCCGCCCCCTGCTGACGTGGGGTAGTAAATGTAGACGTTATGGTCCTCGGCACAAACTGGTTTCTCCACAAATGGTTTCTGGAAGATCTCCCCGTTCACCTCCACATGGTCCTCGCCCTCCACAAGGTTACACTCTGAAAGTACATACTCCGGTCATAATCAGAAGTCTCGGTCTCCGGGCTCTCGGTCTCTGGGCTCTCGGTCTCTGGGCTCTCGGTCTCTGGGCTCTCGGTCTCTGGGCTCTCGGCCTCTGGGCTCTCGGCCTCTGGGCTCTCGGCCTCTGGGCTCTCGGCCTCTGGGCTCTCGGCCTCTGGGCTCTCGGCCTCTGGGCTCTCGGCCTCTGGGCTCTCGGCCTCTGGGCTCTCGGCCTCTGGGCTCTCGGCCTCTGGGCTCTCGGCCTCTGGGCTCTCGGCCTCTGGGCTCTCGGCCTCTGGGCTCTCGGCCTCTGGGCTCTCGGCCTCTGGGCTCTCGGCCTCTGGGCTCTCGGCCTCTGGGCTCTCGGCCTCTGGGCTCTCGGCCTCTGGGCTCTCGGCCTCTGGGCTCTCGGCCTCTGGGCTCTCGGCCTCTGGGCTCTCGGCCTCTGGGCTCTCGGCCTCTGGGCTCTCGGCCTCTGGGCTCTCGGCCTCTGGGCTCTAGGCCTCTGGGCTCTAGGCCTCTGGGCTCTAGGCCTCTGGGCTCTCGGTCTCTGGGCTCTCGGTCTCTGGGCTCTCGGTCTCTGGCTCCCTGGTCTCTGGCTCCCTGGTCTCTGGCTCCCTGGTCTCTGGCTCCCTGGTCTCTGGCTCCCTGGTCTTGCTCTCTGGTACCTTCAGGGTGGTCCGGGTCTCGGTTGAGGACGGCGTATCGTGGGAGGTCAATGCCCTCCTCCTGAAGGATCCTGTACACCTCCCTCCTGTGGACAACTCAGGTACTGACACCAGCAGCAGTAGTAGTAGCAGTAATAGTAATAAAAGTAGTAGTAGTTGTAGTTGTAGCAGTAGTAGCAGTAGCAGTAGTAGCAGTAGCAGCAGTAGTAGTAGCAGCAGTAGCAGTAGTAGTAGTAGTAGCAGTAGCAGTAGCAGTAGCAGTAGTAGTAGTAATAGTAGTAGCAGTAGTAGTACCTGTCCTGTATGTAGTACTGCATGTTGAGATCGTTGAGTAGTAGAGGGTTCCTGAGTTTGGCGTACTGCACGGCTTTGTCCAACGGGAAACCTGCACACACAGTACCAGCAGTAGTACTAGCAGCAGCAGTACTAGCAGCAGCAGTACTAGCAGCAGCAGTACTAGCAGCAGCAGTACTGGTACCTTTGGAGTGGAAGGAGACCAGGCAGTCGCACAGAGGCCACAGCTCCACGGGCTCGTTGAGGATGACGTCCTCGGGGAACATGACGACTGTGATGTAGTGGAACCGACAGAGTCTCTCCAGGATCTGGGTCATGGGTTTGGACCTGGACTTCTTCATCATGCAGCAGATCCCCACCAAGATCTGACGCTCCGGAGGCTGCAGGAGGACAGCAGTCACTCAAAACTGGTCTGGCTCTCTGGTCCTCTGGCTCTCTGGTCCCCTGGCTCTCTGGTCCTCTGGCTCTCTGGTCCCCTGGCTCTCTGGTCCTCTGGCTCTCTGGTCCTCTGGCTCTCTGGTCCTCTGGCTCTCTGGTCCTCTGGCTCTCTGGTCCTCTGGCTCTCTGGTCCTCTGGCTCTCTGGTCCTCTGGCTCTCTGGTCCTCTGGCCCTCTGGTCCTCTGGCTCTCTGGTCCTCTGGTCCTCTGGCCCTCTGGTCCTCTGGTCCTCTGGTCCTCTGGCCTCTGGTCCTCTGGCCCTCTGGTCCTCTGGTCCTCTGGTCCTCTGGCCCTCTGGTCCTCTGGCTCTCTGGTCCTCTGGTCCTCTGGCTCTCTGGTCCTCTGGCTCTCTGGTCTATTGGCTCTCTGGCTCTCTGGTCTCTGGCTCTCTGATCTCTGACTCTCTGGTCTCTCTCTCTGGTCTCTCTCTCTGGTCTCTCTCTCTGGTCTCTCTCTCTGGTCTCTCTCTCTGGTCTCTCTCTCTGGTCTCTCTCTCTGGTCTCTCTCTCTGGTCTCTCTCTCTGGTCTCTCTCTCTGGTCTCTCTCTCTGGTCTCTCTCTCTGGTCTCGCTCTGGTCTGACTCACAGAGTCCGGCTCCTCGTCCTCCCCGTAGACCTCCATGTCTGAGCTCAGGTCCACAGTGTCTCCTTCATCGTCCGGCCCCAAGAAGAACGTGGGCATCGGCCTGGAATGGGCGGGGCTTCCGGGCTGTGACATCACCACCGCATCACTGGAGGGCGCGGCGAAGGGGGCGGGGCTAGTCTGAGCTAACGCAGAAACCCGCAGACTGTGCAGACATGAGGGCCCCGCAGAAGGTTCTGGTTTAGATCCAGTTTAGACCAGAGGTCGGTACAGGGTCCTTCAGCTGTGGAAGACAACACACAACGTTTTAGGGTTTAGCACAAAGAGACACAAACAGACACACACACACACACCCACACACACACTCATACACGCACACAGAGACACACACAGACAATCAGAGACACACACACACACTCACATACAGAGACACACATGCACAGACACACACACACACACACACAGAGAGACACACACACACACACACACACAGAGACACACACACACGCACAGACAGACAGAGACACACACACACAGAGGTCAAAGTTCAGAACTTCAACTTTGACACGCAAACAAGAGGCCAGTCACAAACACTACCTTTTAGAGTTTAGGAGCAGCATCTCACTCCCGAGCTTCTCCTCTGGGACAAGGAGCAGTGTCTCTCTCTCGAGCTTCTCCTCTGGGACAAGGAGCAGTGTCTCTTTCTCGAGCTCCTCCTCTGGGAAAAAGCTGTGAGGAACAATAAAACGTTTTCTCAGGATTAAATGCGGTCCATAACTGTGATAAACCACGACAGTAGCCACAGCTGCCCTGGGACAGACTGACTGAGGTGTGAAAATTCATAATTCTATATCCACTTTACATACTGCCCATTTAAAGCTGGGGTACGTAACTTAGACATAAATAACACATGTACAGTAGTTTCCCTGGTGAGGCACAGATGATTGTGTCGGACTCAAAGGATTTCTCCACAACATTAATCTGTGACTTCTGCAGAAGAAGAAGAAGAGAGGGGGAGGGGCCGGCAGCAGAATACTTCAAGCTGATTGGGCGAATGACGCTTTGGCCCGCCTACCACGGTTTGATTAAAGCCAATCACGGTAACGGTTTTGATGCCTCGTCATGTCTTTGAACGACTTCTGCAGTTTTTATAACTCAAATTTGTGAAGTAAAGGCCTCGCCAAAACACGACATATTTCAAAAAATAAAAGGATAAAACTGACTTATAGCCTCAACTACGTCCTGCCCATTGTTCTGTTCATGGTTCTGTTCATGGTCTGCTCACGGTCCTGCTCACAGTCCTGCTCACAGTCCTGTCCATGGTCCTGTCCATGGTCCTGCTCATGGTCCTGTTCGCGGTCCTGCTCACGATCCTGTCCATGGTCCTGCTCATGGTTCTGCTCACAGTCCTGTCCATGGTCCTGCTCACAGTCCTGCTCACAGTCCTGTCCATGGTTCTGCTCACGGCCCTGCTCATGGTCCTGTCCATGGTCCTGCTCATGGTCCTGCTCATGGTCCTGCTCACGGTCCTGCTCACGGTCCTGCTCACGGTCCTGTCCATGGTCCTGCTCACGGTCCTGCTCACGGTCCTGTCCATGGTTCTGCTCACGGTCCTGCTCACGGTCCAGTCCATGGTCCCGCTCACGGTCCTGCTCATGGTCCTGTCCATGGTCCTGTCCATGGTCCTGCTCCTGGTCCTGCTCACGGTCCTGTCCATGGTCCTGCTCACGGTCCTGTCCATGGTCCTGCTCATGGTCCTGCTCACGGTCCTGTCCATGGTCCTGTCCATGGTCCTGCTCACGGTCCTGCTCATGGTCCTGTCCATGGTCCTGCTCATGGTCCTGCTCACGGTCCTGCTCACGGTCCTGCTCACGGTCCTGTCCATGGTCCTGTCCATGGTCCTGTCCATGGTCCTGTCCATGGTCCTGCTCACGGTCCTGCTCATGGTCCTGTCCATGGTCCTGTCCATGGTCCTGCTCATGGTCCTGCTCACGGTCCTGCTCACGGTCCTGCTCACGGTCCTGTCCATGGTCCTGTCCATGGTCCTGTCCATGGTCCTGTCCATGGTCCTGTCCATGGTCCTGCTCACGGTCCTGCTCACGGTCCTGCTCATGGTCCTGTCCATGGTCCTGTCCATGGTCCTGCTCATGGTCCTGCTCACGGTCCTGCTCACGGTCCTGCTCACGGTCCTGTCCATGGTCCTGTCCATGGTCCTGTCCATGGTCCTGTCCATGGTCCTGCTCACGGTCCTGCTCACGGTCCTGCTCATGGTCCTGTCCATGGTCCTGCTCATGGTCCTGCTCACGGTCCTGCTCACGGTCCTGCTCACGGTCCTGTCCATGGTCCTGTCCATGGTCCTGCTCATGGTCCTGCTCACGGTCCTGCTCACGGTCCTGCTCACGGTCCTGTCCATGGTCCTGTCCATGGTCCTGCTCACGGTCCTGCTCACGGTCCTGCTCACGGTCCTGTCCATGGTCCTGTCCATGGTCCTGTCCATGGTCCTGTCCATGGTCCTGCTCACGGTCCTGCTCACGGTCCTGCTCATGGTCCTGTCCATGGTCCTGTCCATGGTCCTGCTCACGGTCCTGCTCACGGTCCTGCTCACGGTCCTGTCCATGGTCCTGTCCATGGTCCTGTCCATGGTCCTGTCCATGGTCCTGCTCACGGTCCTGCTCACGGTCCTGCTCATGGTCCTGTCCATGGTCCTGCTCATGGTCCTGCTCACGGTCCTGCTCACGGTCCTGCTCACGGTCCTGTCCATGGTCCTGTCCATGGTCCTGCTCATGGTCCTGCTCATGGTCCTGCTCACGGTCCTGCTCACGGTCCTGCTCACGGTCCTGTCCATGGTCCTGTCCATGGTCCTGCTCACGGTCCTGCTCACGGTCCTGCTCACGGTCCTGTCCATGGTCCTGTCCATGGTCCTGTCCATGGTCCTGTCCATGGTCCTGCTCACGGTCCTGCTCACGGTCCTGCTCATGGTCCTGTCCATGGTCCTGTCCATGGTCCTGCTCACGGTCCTGCTCACGGTCCTGCTCACGGTCCTGTCCATGGTCCTGCTCATGGTCCTGCTCACGGTCCTGCTCACGGTCCTGTCCATGGTCCTGCTCACGGTCCTGCTCATGGTCTGTTATCCGTCCCACAGTGGGGAAATTCCAGTGTTTATTTATTTATTTGTTTATTTGAGCAGACAAGTACTGCTCAAAAGGAGTGGGCCGAAGCAAAAGCTTATTGGTGCCCACCCCCAAAACACTACATAAAAATATACACACTTTACATAGAACAGCAACTATGCAAATGTAAAAATAAACAAGAAAGAACAGACGATAACAGCAACATTAACGGCAAATAATGGCAACTGTTTAAAGCAACATCACTCTTCAAGGTCAATAAAGATCATAATGACTATAATAAGCAACAAAACGAAGTTGATAAAATAGAAATAAAAAAACAAAACAAAACAAAAACAAACACCAATTTATTTTATCCCGATTGCGCCCCTAGTGACATATAATTTCCTCCTCTTTATATTTATCGAAAATCTTTTGTTTGTTTTTAAATTTGAACACATTAATGTTTGGACTATGTTTCATCTCCCGCTCCAAATTATTCCACAGTTGAACCCCATTAACTGTGGGGCTGAAACTTTTCAGTGTTGAGCTGTGTTTCTGTATCATCAAGTTCAATTCTTCTCGTAGTTCGTAACAACTAGTTCGCTCTTGAAACCTTTTCTGTATTTGTTTTGGTAAATGTTTATATCTTGCTTTATATATCAACTGTACAGTCTGGAACTCAATAAGATCATAAAACTTCATAATCTTTGAATTTATAAATAACGCGTTTGTATGATCTCGAACACCCATTTTATGAATAATTCGAATGGCTCTTTTTTGCAGCATCACTAACGGTTTGACTGTATTTTTGTAAGTGTTTCCCCAGATCACAGAGCAGTAATTCAGATATGGCAGAATCAGAGAACAGTATAAAGTACGTAGAGCTTTGAAATGTAAAAACTGCTTTGCTTTTGCTATTACGGAGATACTTTTTGATATTTTAGTGGATATGTATTTAATGTGTTGTTTCCAAGTTAGCCTGTTGTCTATTATAACTCCAAGAAATTTGATTTCTTGCACCTGTTCTAAGACAATACCCTCTATCCGAATCATCTCCTGAGTGTTGGAATTACCTTTGCCAAATATCATGATTTTACTTTTACTTAGATTTAGAGATAACTTGTTTTGTTTGAACCAATAACTTACTTTTTTGAGTTCCAGATTAACAGTTTGAAATAGCTTATGTAAATTATCACCGGTTGCAACAATATTCGTGTCATCGGCAAACAAGATAAATTTCAGTATTTTAGATGTTTTAAAAATGTCATTTATGTACAGATTAAACAGTTTTGGACCAAGAATGGAACCCTGAGGTAAACCACACACAATTTCTAAACAGCTTGATTGAAAATCACCCAGTTTCACATATTGCTTCCTGTTTTTTAGATAACTGTTGACCCACTGTAATGCCACCCCCCTGATCCCATAGCGTTCTAGCTTCTTAATTAATAGTTCATGGTTTATGGTGTCAAATGCTTTACTGAGGTCAAAAAATAGTCCAATTGCTTTTTTCTTATTGTCTATAGCGTTAGTAATTTCTTCAGTTATGTCAAACAGTGCATGTGAAGTTGAGTGATTTTTTTCTAAAGCCAAACTGATTGTCACAGAGTGTATTGTTTTTTTCGATGAAGCTGTCAAGTCTGGAATTGAAAATGTTTTCTAAGATTTTGGAGAGTTGTGGTAGAAGTGAAACAGGCCTATAGTTTGTAAATATATGTTTGTCTCCAGATTTAAGCAGGGGAATTACTTTGGCTACTTTCATGTGTTGGGGAAATTGTCCAGTTTGTAGTGATAAATTACATATGTGTTTAAATGGCTTTGAAATACCTGCAAAAACACTCTTTAAGGTCCTCATGTCCAAATCGCAGTAGTCAGTCGATGTTTTGTCTTTAAACCCTCTCACTATATTTGTTAACTCATTTTCTTCTACAGGTTTCAGAAACAGTGAACTTGGGTTGGTTTCTATTTGATAGCAGGAGTCTTTCTCAACATTTGTGATGTTAGCAGCCAGGTTTGGACCAACATCAACAAAGAATTTATTAAACGTTTCAACTACTTCATTCATATTAACTATGGTTTTATCCTTGTCTTTAAAATATTGTGGATGATTTATCATTCTGGGCTTATTTCTAATTATTTTATTTAATATATTCCATAACCCTTTAATATTGTTTTTATTCATTTCTAGCAAGTTATTATAATAATTCTTTTTGCAGTTTCTAATAATATCAGTGAGTTTTTTTTTATATATCTTATATTTCTCTTCAACTTCTTTTGTTCGTTTTTTAACAAAGTTTTTGTAAAGATAATTCTTTTTTTTACATGCGTTTAATAATCCTTTCGTCATCCATGGGTTTTCTATGAACTTTCTTTTTTTACTGTATTTTTTTACTGGACAATTTTTATCATATGCTTCTTGAAACACTTTCACAAACTCCTCATACGCCTTGTTACAATCACTCTCTAAGTAAATATTGCTCCAATCATTCATCAGTAGGTCATTTTTAAATGCTTCAACTGTTTTATCTGTTTTTACTCTTTTACACAGAAACATGTTTTCATCATTATTTTTTTGGTTGTCATTATCATACAGTACAAAGACAGGAAGGTGGTCACTAATATCATTTATCAAAAGTCCGCTGATAGTTTTACATTCTATATCGTTTGAAAAAATATTATCTATTACTGTTGCACTGTGGGTTGTGATTCTGCTTGGTTTAGTGATCAATGGAAACAGTCCTAAACTAAATAGAGTGTTTATAAAGTCGTCCGTTTTTTTATGTTTGTTTTGGTTTAATAAATCAATATTGAAATCCCCCCCACAAACATAGACTTTTGACTGGAGCTGGTGAAGTGCTCCTCCATCCAGTTAGAAAAAAAATCTAAGTCTGAGCCAGGTGCTCTGTATATACAACTAACAAGAATACTTTTATTATTTTCTCTTTTGATTTCAACCGTAAGACACGTGTTGCATCACGTGTTTTCGAACAGTAGGAAAGAGGAGCACACGGCACAAGATAAAAACAAAAACTCATTAAAATAAACATTATCTCAAACTGATGAATTTGTGACACTTTCAAATTTAAATATTTCCAAATCATCTCAGAAAGCTCTAAATTTAGAGCTAAAAATTAGACCTTTTTTAAACATGTTTTTGGAAAAGTGCCGTAGTTTGTCAAACAGAAAGAGTTTGAAGTAAAGTCATGACTATCTGAAAGACACGGACCCGAGCTTTAATGATCTCACATAAAACTATAAAGTCATTATCAGACACTGAGCGGCTTCTGTTTATGGTTTTACTGCAGAATAATGAACCAGGTAAGACCCAAGTCTGAACCAGGTTAGAACCAGGACTGAACCAGGTTAGAACCAGGACTGAACGGGACTGGACCAGGTTAGAACCGGGACTGCGCCGGGACTGCGCCGGGACTGCGCCAGGACTGCGCCAGGACTGCGCCAGGACTGCGCCAGGACTGCGCCAGGACTGCGCCAGGACTGCGCCAGGACTGCGCCAGGACTGCGCCAGGACTGCGCCAGGACTGCGCCAGGACTGCGCCAGGACTGCGCCAGGACTGCGCCAGGACTGCGCCAGGACTGCGCCAGGACTGCGCCAGGACTGCGCCAGGACTGCGCCAGGACTGCGCCAGGACTGCGCCAGGACTGCGCCAGGACTGCGCCAGGACTGCGCCAGGACTGCGCCAGGACTGCGCCAGGACTGCGCCAGGACTGCGCCAGGACTGCGCCAGGACTGCGCCAGGACTGCGCCAGGACTGCGCCAGGACTGCGCCAGGACTGCGCCAGGACTGCGCCAGGACTGCGCCAGGACTGCGCCAGGACTGCGCCAGGACTGCGCCAGGACTGCGCCAGGACTGCGCCAGGACTGCGCCAGGACTGCGCCAGGACTGCGCCAGGACTGCGCCAGGACTGCGCCAGGACTGCGCCAGGACTGCGCCAGGACTGCGCCAGGACTGCGCCAGGACTGCGCCAGGACTGCGCCAGGACTGCGCCAGGACTGCGCCAGGACTGCGCCAGGACTGCGCCAGGACTGCGCCAGGACTGCGCCAGGACTGCGCCAGGACTGAACCAGGACTGAACCAGTCTCAGTCTGAGTCCGGGGTGTAATTAAATACCTGAGTGTTTTGATACAAACTAAAATCAGCGATGATAAACGTGACGTCATCGCAGAGGGGTCGCGCACATTTGACATTAGCCGCAAAAATCCATCAATATTTGTATAAAAACAGAGTTAAATATAAAGTGCTGGGTATTGGGACCGAGCACGGACCCAGCCACTGTGAGGGGACGTGCTTGATCGCAGTGTCAGCTCTGAAAAGTGGAGTTTAATCGCGATGTTAGCAAGTGTTAGCCCCTGTGTTAGCTTATGCGCTAGCTCCCACTGATGCCAGCAGTGGTCTATCGGGGCTAGTGACGGGGTCTGCGGGGTCTGCGGGGCCTGGGGGGGGCTGGGGGTATGTGGCTGTCCGTGGATATAGTGGGAGAGGTGCAGATAATGATTTCGTGAGTTAAAGTGTTTTCTCCGTGTTTTTTACTCACAGTTCTGCGCAGAGGAGCCGCTGTCTTCTGCCAAATCTCTGACAGCTCTGTGTGAGTGACAGCCCCGTTGGCCAATCAGAGCGGAGGACACAGGAGCAAGGACGGGATGGAGACGAGACGCAGGCCAATGAGAAGAGCGTAAACAAAAAACGAAGCTACGTGAAAAAACAATACAGGAAGTAAATATGTAAATAAATATCACCACAAATTAAATTAAAGCTGCGGTACGTAACTCGTGTAGGTTGTTGGAAAGAAAGAGTAAAAGTAAAATGTTGTGAACAAATCAGACCACAACATGCTGTCATCTTATGAGGTTCTCTGGTCTCTCTCTCTGGTTTCTCTCTCTGGTCTCTCTCTCTGGTTTCTCTCTCTGGTCTCTCTCTCTGGTTTCTCTCTGGTCTCTCTCTCTGGTCTCTCTCTTTCTTGTCCCTCTCTCTGGTCTCTCCAAAGTGGCAAACTGTGGTTGTGTCCTTTGGCAAGACACTTCCCCCACATTAGAATGAGTCTTGTGTGTGTGAATGGTTGGTGGTGATCGGAGGGGCCGATGGCACAGACTGATTGCCTCGCTTCTGTCAGTGTGCCCCAGGGCAGCTGCGGCTACAGTAGTTTATCACCACCGTGAATGGAGTGAAATAATATTGACATGAGAAAAGTCTTTGAAAAGCACTGTATAAATGATTCAGTCCTGGTTCTGCTCTCCTATCTTAGCTCTCTCTTATAAAGTTACTCAGACATTTGCCTGAACTGAGAGAGTGCTTACATGTTTAATACAACCAGTCAATGAGTCCTGGTCCGGTTTCAGACCTTGTACAGTCTCTCTGGTTCACTCTGCCCTATAAAATCCAAGTAACCTGTCCGTAGCAATTTATGAGACCAAAGTTACAAACACCAGCTTTAAATGCGTGAGCTGAAATAATTCACATTCGCCACAAGAGGGCGTCACACAACGTCACTTTCACATCTGAGCCTCATAATAACAGTCGTGTCAATCACTTCACTGAGTCTCGTCTCTCCCCCCCATGTCTCCCCCTAGCACATGTTTCTAGTTTAATATTTGCATCACGTTTTTGCAGAGAAAATGAGCATAAAGTGTTTTTGAAGCTGTTTCTGCTTCAAGTGTTTGAAAAGGACAGAGAAATGTCACAAAGATAAGTGTGAAGAGAGAGAGACACACACACACACAGACAGAGACAGAGAAGGCCTGGTCTCTCTGACTCGGGTCTCTCTGGCATGTATAGAGAGGAGACCAGAGAGAGAGAGAGAGCAAAGAGAGAGAGAGACAGACCATAAAGAGACCCAAACCAGAGGAAGCAGTAAACAGAGGACAGACGACACGTGACGATAAAAATCTTTAATCTCAAACACATTTTAGATAAAACACTTTTTAAAAACAAGATACAATAAAAACAGATTTAAAAACAGGTACAACATGAAGCAGGAAGGCCACAGGACGCCGGATCCTGAGTCCTGGTCCACACGGGTCTGGTCGGGTCTGGTCGGGTCTGGTCGGGTCTGGTTTCTGCCCCTCTGGTCTCAGGTACGGATCAGAGTGAGGAACTCGTCTCTGGTTTTGGGGTCCTCCCTGAAGACCCCGAGCATGGTGCTGGTCACGGTCTTAGAATTCATCTTCTGAACGCCGCGCATCACCATACACATGTGTCTGTCACAGGGAGAACATGCAAATCGTCACAAAGGGGAGAGAGAGAGAGAGAGACCAAAGAGAGAGAGAGAGAGACCAAAGAGAGAGCGAGGGCGAGAGAAACCAACATGCAAATAGTCACAAGGAGAACAAGCAAATCGTCTGGCACAGGGAGAACATGCAAACAGTCACAGACAAAAACACCAGAGAGAGTGAGAGACCAAAGAGAGAGAGAGAGCGAGAGAGCAAGAGAGCCCAGAGAGAGACCCTGGACCTCCTCCCTCTGTAACACCACTTCCTGGTCCCTGAGGTCACATGACTCACGTGGCCTCGATGACCACGCCCACTCCTGACGGCTGCAGCGCCTCCGTGATGGCGACGGCGATCTGCTTCGTCAGACGCTCCTGCACTGAACCCACAGGAGCGAGAGTGAGAACACACTCTCCTTCTCCTCCTCTCTCCTACCTCCGCTCCTCACTTCTCCCTTTCGTCTTTTTGTCTCTCCTCACTTCTACCTCCCCTCTCCTACCTCCTCTCTCCTTCTCTCCCTCCTCTCCTACCTCCCCTCTCCTTCTCTCCCTCCTCTCCTACCTCCCCTCTCCTTCTCTCCCTCCTCTCCTACCTCCCCTCTCCTTCTATCCCTCCTCTCCTACCTCCCCTCTCCTTCTATCCCTCCTCTCCTACCTCCCCTCTCCTTCTATCCCTCCTCTCCTACCTCCCCTCTCCTTCTATCCCTCCTCTCCTACCTCCCCTCTCCTTCTATCCCTCCTCTCCTACCTCCTCTCTCCTTCTCCCCCTCCTCCTCTACCCCCTCTCTCCTACCTCCTCTCTCCTACCTCCCCTCTCCTTCTCTCCCTCCTCCTCTACCCCCTCTCTCCTACCTCCTCTCTCCTACCTCCCCTCTCCTTCTCTCCCTCCTCCACCTCCTCTCTCCTCTCTCCTCTACCCCCTCTCTCCTACCTCCTCTCTCCTACCTCCCCTCTCCTTCTCTCCCTCCTCCACCTCCTCTCTCCTCTCTCCTCTGCCCCTTCTCTCCTCTCTCCTCTCTCCTCCTCCTGAACACTCAGGTCAAACAGAGCGTGGGTTTAAACACAGACGTCTCACCTTGTAATCGGCGACTGTAGATCTCCACAATCCTAAAAAGAAAATAATAGTTCAGTCCTGGCCTAGTCCTGGCCTAGTCCTGGCCTAGTCCTGGCCTAGTCCTGGCCTAGTCCTGGCCTAGTCCTGGCCTAGTCCTGGCCTGGACCTGGCCTATGTTAATTAAATTGACTGGATTAACTTCAAAGGATCAGAAAAAAGAAAAGAGGCTTAAACTCCTTCATCAAACGGTCTCGGGTCTCGGGTCTCTGTACCTGGCCAGCTTGCTCAGACCAAGGACTCTCTTGTCAGGCAGGTATCCAATATGAACCTGGGAACAAAAAAACATTTATGTTTCACTAGAAAGAGAGAGACCAGAAAGAGAGACCAGAGAGAGAGACCAGAGAGAGAGACCAGAGAGAGATACCAAAGAGAGAGAGAGAGAAACCAGAGAGAGAGCGAGAAAGAAAGAGACCAGAGAGAGAGAGAGAGAGAGAGACCAGAGAGAGAGAAACCAGAGCGAGAAACCAGAGCAAGAGAGAGAGAGAGAGAGAGAGAGAGAGAGAAACCAGAGCGAGAAACCAGAGCAGAGAGAGGAGAGAGAGAGAGAGAGAGAGAGAGAAACCAGAGCAAGAGAGAGAGAGACCAGAGAGAGAAACCAGAGCAAGAGAGAGGAGAGAGAGAGAGAGAGAGAGAGAGAAACCAGAGCAAGAGAGAGAGAGACCAGAGAGAGAGAGAGAGAGAGAGAGAGACCAGAGAGAGAAACCAGAGCAAGAGAGAGAGAGAGAGAGAGAGAGAGAGACCAGAGCGAGCCCAAATAGCTGACCTTCCCAAAGATGGGCACTAGGTGGTGCTCACACATGGAGAACATGTCGATGTCTTTGACGATCACCATCTCGTCGTGGTCCTCGTCAAAGATGGCGTCGTTCAGAACGTCTGAAGGAACAAGGAACATTTAGAACGAACCAGGTGTGAGGAGGGGGGGGAGGCAGGTGAGGGGGGAGGGGCATCCTGCTGTGGGGCTGCCTTTCCTCAGCAGGGACAGGAACAAGGCAGAGGATGGAAGTTTGGAATGTCAAGATTTATCAGACCTTTAGACACACCGTCTCCTCTCTCCTCTTTCTTTACCCTCTCTCCCCCCTCTCTCCTCCTCTTTCTTTACCCTCTCTCCCCCCTCTCTCCTCCTCTTTCTTTACCCTCTCTCCTCCTCTCTTCTCCTCCTAAATATCCGGCTTAATTTTTACTTTTGAACATCCTCCTCTGAGTGTGCAGTCCTGTCGTCTCTTACTCCATTAAACCCTCTCTAAATCTCATTGCGTCACGGCTGATCTAATCCGTCGTCAACGGTAACCAGGAAATGAACGATTCAAACTGATAAAGCTTTATTGAAAAACACAATAAAGGACAAAACCAATAAACCAGAGACCAGAGACCAGGGGGCAACCAGAAAACAGGTCTAAACCAGAGACCAGAGACCAGGGCAAGACCAGAGACCAGGCTTAAACCAGAGACGAGAGACCAGGTCAAGACCAGAGACCAGGTCAAGACCAGAGACCAGGTCTAAAACCAGAGACTAGAGACCAGAAACCAGCGAAAAAGTCTAAACCAGAAACCAGATCTGGTCCAGACCTGTGTCATTAAGCCTCATTAAGCCTCTGTTCTGACTGAAACCCGGTGCAGACACAGGAACACTCCCACACAGATCCAGGGTTAGTCCTACTTCAATCAGTCTGCCCCAGGGCAGCTGTGGCAAAGGGGGCCTCTCTACTCTGGGAGAGAATCATGTGTAGATCTAAAGTCGGACTCTCCTCCTCCACCTCTCCCTTGCTCCCTTTTTCTCCTGTTTGGCTGGGCCTCTCTGAGTGGGGTTTGCATGTTCTCCCTGTGTCTGCTTGTCCTCCAGGTGCTCCGGTTGCAGGGCATGACCATGTGCCGGGTACACCAAGTATATGACCCACCTCATTAGCAAAGCTGGGGTACGTAACTTTAAGACCACAACATTGGAACTCTTTGCTTCTATCTCTAGTTTTCACGTGTTTCCATCCGTCTCATCTTTAGATCTGATTTGTCAGACTGAAAAGTGAAAGAGGACCACCCTCTCTCAGCCAATCAGCTCGGTTCCCCATGCTTCTCTCTGATTACATCATGACACGCTCTGTAAAACACAGATGTGGAGAAAAACTGCACCGTCATGACTCAGAGGGAGGAAACGAACCGACCAATAGCAGAGCAGGTCCTCAGGCAGGAGGAAACTCAGCAGCCAATCACGGCACAGCTGCAGCCACATGTGTTTCAGTTCAAGCTCTGGTTAGAAGTGGACAGAGGTCTAATAAGAGTATATAAGATATAGACTGTTTACAGCTGGACTATGCTAACCTACAAGCTCCATGCTAACCTGCTAGCTCAATGCTAACCTGCTAGCTAGTCTGCAGTACCGCTGGAATCCCCCGAGCACATGGTCCTTCAGCTCCAAGCTACAAATACCCATGGATCGATACTAATATCTGGAAAAGGTTTAGAACCTACAGCTTTCATAAAGGAGGATTCTGTGGATGAGTCTTTCTTTCCTTCTCCTTCCTCCTCTTTATTTTCTTGTTAAATCCTTCTGTTTTCTATGAATTTACGCTTCATTGCAACAAACTCACACTCTAACTCTGCTCAGATCAGCAGCTCTGATTGGTCAGAGCGCTGCCCTCTGCAGTGTGAGTTCCGCTAATCTTTCGGGGCCCATGTAGGTCCCATGACCCTCAGAGCACAAGCCACTGATTTGAAAGGACGCCATCTTGGATCACCGGGGCTTGAATCAGACTCAAAAACAGTGGAAAAAATCTGCTGTTTTTAAGTTTTGCAATTTTTAATCCAGCACGCTAGCCCAGACAACAGGGATGTGCGGCCTTATTTGAAACTTTCTTGAATCAGACTCACTCATGGGGGAAACTCCAGTTTACCCTAGCAACCGCCTTAGCAACAAGTCTGGTCCTGTATGAAGCAATTGCCATCAGAACAAATGCCCATATAAGGACACAGGCTCCGGCTCTTGTTCAAATCTGCTTCTTCCGCATTTAGGCTAACACTGTGGTGATGTCACACGTTACGTCAGACAAACAAATATTTACCTTCAGCCGAGTCCAGAGCCAGACCCTGGACCCGGGTCCCACTTCAGCTCCAGGATCTGACCATTATTTGTTCAAAGTCAGAGGTGATTTTAGATTTCATTGATCATGGCTCAAAACAAGAGTCACTACCTGCCTCATGCCCCGGGTCTACACAGCCCCAGGCCCCGGGTCTACACAGCCTCAGGCCCCGGGTCTACACAGCCTCAGGCCCCGGGTCTACACAGCCTCAGGCCCCGGGTCTACACAGCCTCAGGCCCCGGGTCTACACAGCCTCAGGCCCCGGGTCTACACAGCCTCAGGCCCCGTCACAGTGACCTAAGCACATGTGAAGTCGTTACAGACCAGACCGGTTCACGAAGGACTGGAACCAGAACAACCAGATATAAATGAATCAACCACATTACATATAAAACTGTAACTTTAGTCTCATGAATGACACGTGTTTAAAGCTTTGGTATGTAACTTTAAAGATGCTATACCCGATTTATTTTCTAATGATTAAAAAAAAAAAAATGCTTATTACTACACACAAGTTTTTTTATAATCTGTAATTGAATGTAAAACTTGAGCTCATTGATTCAGCTGTGGATGAACTCAGTAAAAAGTGCTGAGTAGAGACTTAGCGTGACGCCCGCTCTCCTCCAATCACAGAACAAGGCTGCGTCCTCTAGCCTCTACAGCGCTGCTAAACACAGTAGCATGTTAGCATAAGTGGCTGTAACTGCAGACACAGCAAAACAGCCCAAACCACACAACAGTGAGGAAGAGAAGAGGAACTAAAGCCACAACATGATCAAAGAAGAAACCAAGCCCTGAACAGAGCTAGCTTACATCGTATCCTCTGGAGCAGGGGTGCTCAATACGTCGATCGCGATCTACCAGTCGATCGCAAAGGTAGTATTGGTAGATCGCATTAAATAAATAAATACACATTCTAAACAAATATATACAAAAAACTCCGGGCAAAGTGGAGATTTTTGAAAACTCCGTTAATGCATTTGTGTGTAGACAGAGATAACCGGAGTTTTGCGCCACAGTACCCCCCTAAATCCCTCTGATCACTGAAGCATGGATCATACTACCTTAAAAACTGTTCGCTGTGAGATGCTCGCAGCAGCAAACATCCTCGCTCCACATCAGAGAGCAGCAAAGTGATCGCGGGGACTCACGCTCGAAAACAACCAAACCAGGACTAAACCAGGACTAAACCAGGACTAAACCAGGGCTAAATCAGGGCTGAGGACGGGGTCAGTGCTTGTAAACATACATCTTTATTCTGAGTGTCTTCTATGACTGTAAAAGTGCCGTTACCGGTGTCTGCATCAAAGCTCCGCCCACTTCTGTGTTTTTCCCCAACGCAGGACAGGACGTAAGAGACGCACATGTTTGGAATGTTACGAATGTGATTGATAACGCAGATGTGTGGATGCAAATTATTTTATAAACTGAGGAGGGGAAATATTTGGATTTAAAAAAAACAGGCATGGCACATGGACATGGCACCACAGTCAAATGACATCTGTGTTTTACTCAGTAATGTTTTACTGACACTTAGGTGACTGCACATGCGCAAACAACCGCGCTCAGTGCAGGAAAGCTAAACCACGACAAACTTGTCAGCGAGTTAACACCAATTTTCCGGACTATGCATCCCTGGCCGATTCAATTCAGTGCAAGTCATCAGAGTAAACTCGGGTAATGACAAAAAATGTACATAGGTAATTGTGTTTTGTTGTGCTATATTGGCTCATGCGGTTTTGCATGTACATAAACATACATTGTAGGTATAAAGAATATTTTTTGAAATAAATATATGATTTGCATTTTTGTAGTAGGTAGATCATTTTGACTTGATCCTTTTATAAGTAGCTCGCATGCTGAAAAAGTGTGAGCACCCCTGCTCTGGAGAGACTGGTCTATGGGAGAGACCTGCGGGACCGCCTCGGACTATATGTGCTCGGACTATCTACGCTCGGACCATCTACGCTCGGACCATCTACGCTCGGACCATCTACGCTCGGACCATCTACGCTCGGACTATCTACGCTCGGACTATCTACGCTCTGACTATCTACGCTCTGACTATCTACGCTCGGACTATCTGCGCTGGGACTATCTACGCTCGGACCATCTACGCTCGGACCATCTACGCTCGGACCATCTACGCTCGGACCATCTACGCTCGGACCATCTACGCTCGGACCATCTACGCTCGGACCATCTACGCTCGGACCATCTACGCTCGGACCATCTACGCTCGGACCATCTACGCTCGGACCATCTACGCTCGGACCATCTACGCTCGGACCATCTACGCTCGGACTATCTACGCTCGGACTATCTACGCTCAGACTATCTACGCTCGGACCACATTCGTACGTGAAACTAGCGGTAATCTTTCAGTTATATATCGTGTTAGCAGTGCGTTGCTTTTGTACCATTTCATCAGTGATTGTTGTACAGCTTAAGTTGTGCTAATGCTAATGTTAGCATATGTATCAGATCGCTAATAAACTAGATGGCTCTTTGGGATGAGAGCGTAGGGGACATGAGAAGCCTGTGAGCGAGTTGGGGGCGGGGCTAAACATTCAAACCTTACAGAAACAGGTATAGCTCCTTTAATAATATTTTTTTATCTATTGCGTCTCATACCCCAGCTTTATTCTGTCTCCCCCTCTCTCCATCCTCTCCCTCTCACTTCTCCCCTCTTGTCTCTTGTCTCCTCTCCCCCGTCTCTCTCTCGTCTCTCTCCTCCCCTCTCTCTCGCTCGCTCGTCTCCCTCTCTCCTCCCCTCTCTCTCTTGTCTCCCTCTCTCCTCCCCTCTCTCTCTTGTCTCCCTCTCCCCTCTCTCTCGTCTCCCTCGCTCTCTCTCCCTCCTTTAAAGTTACGTCCCCCAGCTTTAGGCCTGACTCACCCATGATGTTCTCCTGGTAGCCCTTGGTGAAGAACTGCATGGCGGTGGCGGCCCTCCAGGGGGTCTTGAGGAGGCCCTGTCGGAGCGGGTCCTCCCCCAGCCCCCTCAAGATGGTGCTGTAGGCCTCCGCCAGAGAGGGGAGGCTCTGCTGGTTCTCCTCCACACTCCTGGTCCTCTCCTGACTCCAGCTCTGCATCAGGGGAGACTGAGGAGGAGAGGGGGGAGAGGAGAGAGAAAGAGGGGAGAGATGGAGGGGAAGGAGAAAGAGGAGGGAGGAGAGAAGAAGGCAAGAAGAGGGGAGAGAGAGATGGGAGGGAGAGAGGAGGGGAGAAGAGTGGAGAGAGACGGGAGGGAGAGACACAGGAGAGAGAGAAATAGATGGGAGGGAGAGAGATGGGAGAGAAAGAGACGGGAGGGAGAGACACAGGAGAGAGAGACGGGAGAGAGACGGCAGAGAGAGAAAGAGATAGACAGGAGAGAGAGAGAGATGGGAGAGAGAGACGGGAGGGAGAGAGACCGGAGGGAGAGAGAGATGGGAGAGAAAGACGGGAGAGCAGAGCAGGGAATGAGGATATTAAAGGAGACATACAGTGTGTTCTAAACTGGACATATTGTGAAACCTCCTTTTGTCTGCAGTAACCATTAGCCTCTTGTCTGCATCTGTGCTATCGTTAGGTGAGACTTCTAAAAGCTAAAGAGTAATTACAGGAAGTGACGTTCACAGAATTTACCTCAGAGTTCTTGGCCAGTCCGTTCACCGCCCCCACCTCCGCCGAGTCCTGGGTCTTCCTCTGGTCCATTCTGACACCTGTAGTCCAGGTACAGACTTTGATTTAGTCTTGGTTCAGCAGTGGTTTTAGTCCTGGTTCAGCAGTGGTCCTATAGTCCTGGTCCAATAGTCATCATTTTAGTCCAAGTTCAGGTCCAGCTTTAGTCCAGCTTTAGACCTGGCTCAGACCTGCAGTTTTAGGGTGTATTTATTCTTACGGTTTCCTTCAGCCTCTGCTCGTGTGCCTGACCCGGGTTTGGAGCCTCTTCAGCGGCTGCACGTTTCTCCGTCTCCCGCGGGTCCCTCTGACACTTGTTGCTTCTCTGGGTCCGCGCTCCTGATCTGCAGCTGTGTTTAGCGGCGCACACGCGATACAGGCGCAGTCTCTGAGTCAGACCCGGCTTTAGTCCTGCTTTTTAGTCCTGTTTTTAGTCCAAGTTCAGACCTGGCTTCAGTCCTGTATTAAGTTCAAGTTCAGAGCCGGCTTTAGACCTGGTTTTAGTCCAAGTTCAGACCTGGCTTCAGTCCTTGTTCAGCGGTGGTTTTAGTCCGAGTTTTTGTTCTCCAGTCAATAGCCTCTCGTCTCTGGTCACGGGTCCACAGCCCAGCCTTTGGTCTCGGGTCTGGTCTCGGGTCTGGTCTCGGGTCTGGTCTCGGGTCTGGTCTCGGGTCTGGACTCCTCTCTACAGTGTTGCGTCTGTCGCGCAGCCTCAGCATCCTCAAGCTTTATACACGTGGATTACAAACGGAGAGCTCCCATTGGCTCAGAGGTCAGAGGGGGCGGGGCCAGGAGGACGGCAGGCAAAACATGAATGAAAATCTGAATTATAACATTATATTAATATCAATCTAAATCACTAACCTAGCATGAGACCAGGGGCGTGTTTAGGACTTGCTGAGACCAGGGGCGGGTTTAGGACTTGCTGAGACCAGGGGCGGGTTTAGGACTTGCTGAGACCAGGGGCGGGTTTAGGACTTGCTGAGACCAGGTGCGTGTTTAGGACTTGCTGAGACCAGGGGCGGGTTTAGGACTTGCTGAGACCAGGGGCGGGTTTAGGACTTGCTGAGACCAGGGGCGGGTTTAGGACTTGCTGAGACCAGGAGTTGGAGATGTCAATCCTTAGATCAGGGGTCTCCAACTTTTTTCAATCCGAGAGCTACTTTTAGGCAACACAAGAGGTAGAGAGCTACTCCTTGTTGTAATAATAAATAGAGTACTAATTACGACAAAACAACACATAAATATATCATATTGTAAAACTCTGTATTTATGTTTATAATAGAGAAGTCAAATTGTATTTATTCATCATTTGTTAAATTTTAAATCCTTTGAGGAGCTACCTGAAAGGGACTGGCGAGCTACTGGTAGCTCTGTGGCGCAGTTGCTCAGACTAGCTCTGACTTTGATTCACTTCCATGTAAAAGTAATTCCTCTCATGACACAGTAGCTGAGTGGTTAGCACTCTCTCTTCTCAGTAAGAATAATCTGGGTTTGAATCCCGGTCGGGGCAGGGTCTTTCTGAGTGTGTATCTTGGCCACTAAAAACATGCAATAGTTTTATGTTTTTAACCCCTTTTTAGCGTAGGTTTTTATTCCCTCTTATTTGGTATTTTATAATAAATCATTTTTAAAAACAGGTACAAAGAACCTGTTCCAGACAGTGATGGACCAGAGTGCTGCTGGTTTTGCTCATAAATCATTATACGCTTCTCAGTATCTGGTTCTGTATTCTAGCAACCTACTCTCCACAAACCAGCATTCAGGGAAATTCCTTGGCAACCATGGCTCCCAGTTTACACTACGAGTCCTTTCCCACATCTCCCCTACATGGTACCGGACTAGTGTCAGGTTGACTGGACCAGAGCGGGCCCCATGGTCTCCACCTCAGGACCCAAACTGAAAGCTTTAGAATCAGTTAAAGATGCAGTCAATATCACCAATTTTTCCAGATGCAATTTTCAAAAATACTGTGGAAAAGATAAACTTTATTGATCTCACAATGAAGGAATTCGGTTTGATGAACAGTCATACACATCAAGGCTTGCAGCGCGCCGTTACTTCCGCTGTTATATGCAAAGTGGGTTAAGTGTCTTGCCCAAGGACACAACAACAGCAGACAGCAGTGGGAGTCGGTGGACAAGGCCTTGTGGTTGACTCGAACCCACAACCTTCAGGCTCAAAGGCCGATGCTCTGAAACCGCCCCTAAAACCCCAAAAGAAGTCCAGTTATCATGCGTTTTCAAATACGGGACATGACAGACGATGTAGCCTCAAAACATGCATCACAAATATCTTGGAGCAGACCCATTTGTTTTGATTTTCTAAAACACCTAAAATGGCTGAATTGAAAACCCCCAAAGTGACAATTCCCCGTTTGCCACTCGCCTGTTGTGAAAAAGAAGAAAACATCAGAGAAAAAGGAGTTGTGTGTAGGACTCAGGACGCAGCCAGGGCTCGGTAAGGCTACGGCAGTCCAGGCTTGATAATTGCTAGCATGTGTCCAGTATAGCGGCTAATCTCTCACAGACTTCATGAGGCTTCGTCACAGACTGCGTTATTACCGAGTCGGCTTCATCTGCTGGGGTTGGGTTTGGTGGAAGACAGGGGGAGTTTTACGATGTACTACTCAGATGCTAATGCTAAAGGCTAACCTGAATCCTTCACTGCACCTTTAAAAGACAGGCCGTTTTTGTAGCTTGACGGGAACTCGTTAAACTCAAAAGTAAAAAAAAAAAAAAAACGCAGATGATAAACAAATATTTATTGAACAAAAACACGGAGACAGAACATGTGTCTTTAACATGATCTGAAGAATATTTCAGTTGTTATATTCTTCATGGAGTCACAAATACAAACATGTTTAAAGCACGCCCTCTCTGCGCAAATTAATGTTAAAAATACCCTGGAAATGTTTATGTCCGGAGTGAAAACTGGGTTTGATTCTCTGATCTGTGCTTTTTTAAGTCCTAAATTTACTAAAATAACACACTCCCCCTACTGGTGGAAGTGCGGAAGGACACGCTGCTTTCATACATCCCACATTGTGCAGTCTCTGGTTTGAAAATAGGGCTCTGAAAATAGGGCTCTGATGAACCGGGTCACACGGCGTGGAAGGCAAAGGCCGACAGCTTGTCTCCCGCGCTCTTCGGCTTCTTGGCGCTGGCCTCCTCGTCTCCTACCTCCTCGTCTCCTACCTCCTCGTCTCGTTTCCTCTTCCTCAGCTCGTCTGCCATGGCCGTTTTCGCTCTCTCTGTCCACGTCTGCAAAACAAACAGCGGTGAGAAAGTCCAAGGTCCCGACTGAGACCAGAGCGGACTGAGACCAGAGCGGACTGAGACCAGAGCGGACTGAGACCAGAGCGGACTGAGACCAGAGCGGACTGAGACCAGAGCGGACTGAGACCAGAGGGGACTGAGACCAGAGGGGACTGAGACCAGAGCGGACTGAGACCAGAGGGGACTGAGACCAGAGGGGACTGAGACCAGAGGGGACTGAGACCAGAGGGGACTGAGACCAGAGGGGACTGAGACCAGAGGGGACTGAGACCAGAGGGGACTGAGACCAGAGGGGACTGAGACCAGAGGGGACTGAGACCAGAGCGGACTGAGACCAGAGCGGACTGAGACCAGAGCGGACTGAGACCAGAGCGGACTGAGACCAGAGCGGACTGAGACCAGAGGGGACTGAGACCAGAGCGGACTGAGACCAGAGCGGACTGAGACCAGAGGGGACTGAGACCAGAGGGGACTGAGACCAGAGGGGACTGAGACCAGAGGGGACTGAGACCAGAGGGGACTGAGACCAGAGGGGACTGAGACCAGAGGGGACTGAGACCAGAGGGGACTGAGACCAGAGGGGACTGAGACCAGAGGGGACTGAGACCAGAGCGGACTGAGACCAGAGCGGACTGAGACCAGAGCGGACTGAGACCAGAGCGGACTGAGACCAGAGGGGACTGAGACCAGAGCGGACTGAGACCAGAGCGGACTGAGACCAGAGGGGACTGAGACCAGAGGGGACTGAGACCAGAGCGGACTGAGACCAGAGCGGACTGAGACCAGAGCGGACTGAGACCAGAGCGGACTGAGACCAGAGCGGACTGAGACCAGAGCGGACTGAGACCAGAGGGGACTGAGACCAGAGCGGACTGAGACCAGAGCGGACTGAGACCAGAGCGGACTGAGACCAGAGCGGACTCAGCCTTCGCTGTGGCGCCCCCTGTGGACCAATCTGAGCTACTTTCACACAGCAGACTCTCTGTCTCTCTGGTTTTAAGACTTTTACTTCAACACACTCCGGTCTACCCTGTGGCAAAAACCCGACACAGGTCTAAACAACACGACCACCTTTTCCACTGGTACTTTTGAATGCACTGGAAACAGCAGCGAGTCCTAAGTGTCTCTGAAACAATTGTTCTGTGTTTTTATTGTTATTTTCTTGATTTTTTCTGCCCGAGATGTTGCTGCAGTTCAGTGTTCATGGTTTTACACTGGTCCAGACCAGAGCAGAGAGGATTCATGGTTTTACGCTGGTCCAGACCAGAGCAGAGAGGATTCATGGTTTTACGCTGGTCCAGACCAGAGCAGAGAGGATTCATGGTTTTACACTGGTCCAGACCGGAGCAGAGAGGATTCATGGTTTTACGCTGGTCCAGACCAGAGCAGAGAGGATTCATGGTTTTACGCTGGTCCAGACCAGAACAGAGAGGATTCATGGTTTTACGCTGGTCCAGACCAGAGCAGAGAGGATTCATGGTTTTACGCTGGTCCAGACCAGAGCAGAGAGGATTCATGGTTTTACGCTGGTCCAGACCAGAGCAGAGAGGATTCATGGTTTTACGCTGGTCCAGACCAGAACAGAGAGGATTCATGGTTTTACGCTGGTCCAGACCAGAGCAGAGAGGATTCATGGTTTTACGCTGGTCCAGACCAGAGCAGAGAGGATTCATGGTTTTACGCTGGTCCAGACCAGAGCAGAGAGGATTCATGGTTTTACGCTGGTCCAGACCAGAACAGAAAGGATTCATGGTTTTACGCTGGTCCAGACCAGAGCAGAGAGGATTCATGGTTTTACGCTGGTCCAGACCAGAGCAGAGAGGATTCATGGTTTTACGCTGGTCCAGACCAGAGCAGAGAGGATTCATGGTTTTACGCTGGTCCAGACCAGAACAGAGAGGATTCATGGTTTTACGCTGGTCCAGACCAGAGCAGAGAGGATTCATGGTTTTACGCTGGTCCAGACCAGAGCAGAGAGGATTCATGGTTTTACGCTGGTCCAGACCAGAACAGAGAGGATTCATGGTTTTACGCTGGTCGAGGCCAGAGCAGAGAGGATTCATGGTTTTACGCTGGTCCAGACCAGAGCAGAGAGGATTCATGGTTTTACGCTGGTCCAGACCAGAACAGAGAGGATTCATGGTTTTACGCTGGTCCAGACCAGAACAGAGAGGATTCATGGTTTTACGCTGGTCCAGACCAGAGCAGAGAGGATTCATGGTTTTACGCTGGTCCAGACCAGAGCAGAGAGGATTCATGGTTTTACGCTGGTCCAGACCAGAGCAGAGAGGATTCATGGTTTTACGCTGGTCCAGACCAGAGCAGAGAGGATTCATGGTTTTACGCTGGTCCAGACCAGAACAGAGAGGATTCATGGTTTTACGCTGGTCCAGACCAGAACAGAGAGGATTCATGGTTTTACGCTGGTCCAGACCAGAGCAGAGAGGATTCATGGTTTTACGCTGGTCCAGACCAGAGCAGAGAGGATTCATGGTTTTACGCTGGTCCAGACCAGAGCAGAGAGGATTCATGGTTTTACGCTGGTCCAGACCAGAACAGAAAGGATTCATGGTTTTACGCTGGTCCAGACCAGAGCAGAGAGGATTCATGGTTTTACGCTGGTCCAGACCAGAACAGAGAGGATTCATGGTTTTACGCTGGTCCAGACCAGAACAGAGAGGATTCATGGTTTTACGCTGGTCCAGACCAGAGCAGAGAGGATTCATGGTTTTACGCTGGTCCAGACCAGAGCAGAGAGGATTCATGGTTTTACGCTGGTCCAGACCAGAGCAGAGAGGATTCATGGTTTTACGCTGGTCCAGACCAGAACAGAAAGGATTCATGGTTTTACGCTGGTCCAGACCAGAACAGAGAGGATTCATGGTTTTACGCTGGTCCAGACCAGAGCAGAGAGGATTCATGGTTTTACGCTGGTCCAGACCAGAACAGAGAGGATTCATGGTTTTACGCTGGTCCAGACCAGAGCAGAGAGGATTCATGGTTTTACGCTGGTCCAGACCAGAACAGAAAGGATTCATGGTTTTACGCTGGTCCAGACCAGAGCAGAGAGGATTCATGGTTTTACGCTGGTCCAGACCAGAACAGAGAGGATTCATGGTTTTACGCTGGTCCAGACCAGAACAGAGAGGATTCATGGTTTTACGCTGGTCCAGACCAGAGCAGAGAGGATTCATGGTTTTACACTGGTCCAGACCAGAGCAGAGAGGATTCATGGTTTTACACTGGTCCAGACCAGAGCAGAGAGGATTCATGGTTTTACACTGGTCCAGACCAGAGCAGAGAGGATTCATGGTTTTACGCTGGTCCAGACCAGAACAGAGAGGATTCATGGTTTTACGCTGGTCCAGACCAGAGCAGAGAGGATTCATGGTTTTACACTGGTCCAGAGCAGAGAAAATGGTCTGAACCAAGCAGCTCCGTCTCTGCTGCTGTGACCTGAATGACGGCTGTATTTTAATACTTATACTTATCTATTTATTTTGTTTTGATGGATGTGTTTTTGCTGCTACTGGACAGGGATCAATAATGTATCTATTTATGAATTTATCCAAAAAAACAGGAAGTGACAGACTGGAGCAGCTCTGGGGAAGAGGAGGGGTCTATGGATGTGAGTCATGGACACTTTTGTTTGTCCATCAGCTCTACACACACACACACACACACACACACACACACACACACACACACACACACACACACACACACACACACACACACACACACCTTTGTTGCCACAGGTGTCTCCTATATATACCACAGTGTTTGGGAGACGCGTTGGTGAAAGGCTTCATGAAAACAACAGAAATAGAGTTTTTGCTGTGGCCACTGGACCTGGAGGATTTCAAGAGGAGAGACTCAGGATCATCTTGGATCAAAGGGAAAGGACCTGGTCTGGTTTCCGTAGTAACTGTTATTGTCTGGTTCCTATTGAGTGCTTGAATGAATGCAGTGTCAGGACTCATCAATAACACACACACAGAGAGAGACACACACACACACCTCTCTCTTTCTCTCTCTCTCACTCTGGCCTCTCTCTCACTCTCTTTCTCTCTCTCACTCTGGCCTCTCTCTCTCTCACTCTGGCCTCTCTCTCACTCTGGCCTCTCTCTCACTCTGGCCTCTCTCTCACTCTGGCCTCTCTCTCACTCTGGCCTCTCTCTCACTCTGGCCTCTCTCTCACTCTGGCCTCTCTCTCACTCTGGCCTCTCTCTCTCTCTGGCCTCTCTCTCACTCTGGCCTCTCTCTCTCTCTGGCCTCTCTCCCAGCCTCTCTCTCTCTCTCCCAGCCTCTCTCCCTCTCTCTCTCACTCACCAGTCTCTCCTCCGCAGACAGCGCCCTGAATCGGACCATGGCCTCTTTGATCAGCTCGCTCTGGTCCAGGTCCGGACTGTCGGCCAGAATGGACTTGCTGTGATCTTCCAACCAAAGCTGGAACCCGGTCTGAGGTCTGAAGGTCCAAACAGAGTCCACAGTTACACGGACGAACGCTTCAGACTCCCCTGCAGCCGAGCTAGTGGTCAGATTACCTCCTGTTCTCAGTCTCCTCTGGGTTTGGGGTCTGGTCGCTGGACTTCTCTCTGGACTTCGGCTCTGGTCTCGGGTCTGGTCTCGGGTCTGGTCTCTCTTCACTTTGTTCTCCCCTCTTGGGCTTAAGCTGCAGCAGAGTGGACTGGGTCTGTGGATCAAGACGAGATCCCAAATAAGATACAAGGCGTACATTTCAAAAGCACGAGTGAAACCGGATCCTTCTCCTTTTGTCCAATTTAAGGATATAGAACAGGCCAGATTCTACTGAGACACAGCCAGAAGCATCTATGAGCGCAAGGGAAAGCTCAGACAATATCACAGCGGTCAGACCAGACTGAAGGGCCCATACTTCACCTTGCTCTTGGCTCTCGGGGCCAGGGGCTTCAGCACAGGACTCTGCTTGGACTTAGACGAGGAGGAGGAGAGTGGAGTGGACTTCCTGTTTGGGATGGTGTCCAGGATGTTAGCGCCGCGAGGCTGAGCAGGAGAGGCCCCCGAGGAGACCTGCAGAGGAGAGGGAGAGAGAGAGATGAGAGAGAGAGGGTTTAGCCAGGTCTGAGGGGTCACACATGGATCTGCAGCAGAAGAAGAAGTACAGCTGCATTTTATCATTACTATTGTGAGCTTTTTAGAATTATCTATTTTTTTTTTTGCTGGTTTGGATGGATGTGTTTTTGCTGATACTGGACACCTGCATTTCTCCTACAGGGATCAGATTCAGCACAGAGTGTTACCTTGAAGGGGTTGGAGCGGGCAACTCTGGACACGGTCACTGCAACAGAAAAAAGACTCATACATAAGTGTATAAGAGAGAGACCAGAGTTAGACCAGAGAGAGAGAGACCCGAGAGAGACCATAGAGAGACCAGAGAGAGACCAGAGAGAGACCAGAGAGAGACCAGAGAGAGAGACCCGAGAGAGACCAGAGAGAGACCAGAGAGAGACCAGAGAGAGACCAGAGAGAGAGACCCGAGAGAGACCAGAGTTAGACCAGAGAGAGACCAGGGAGAGAGACCAGGGAGAGAGACCAGAGAGAGAGACCAGAGAGAGAGACCAGAGAGAGAGACCAGAGAGAGACCAAAGAGAGACCGGACAGAGACCGGACAGAGACCGGACAGAGACCGGACAGAGACCGGACAGAGACCAGAGAGAGACCGGAGAGAGACCAGAGAGAGACCAGAGAGAGACCAGAGAGAGACCAGAGAGAGACCAGAGAGAGACCAGAGAGAGAACAGAGAGAGACCAGAGAGAGACCAGAGAGAGACCAGAGAGAGGATTCAGGACTGAGACCTTCAGAGTTCAGACCTGGTTTGAGAACTGACTCCTCTGAAGCAGCAGCGGCGTCTTTGGAAAAAGGATTCACACCTGAACAAACAAACACATCAGGAGTGTGTAGTGGAGTCTCATAAATAACTTATGTTTAATCTAGGGATGTACCGAATCCAGGTTTTTGGGGTTTGGCCGAATACCGAATCCACTGGTTAAGATTCTGCCGAATCCGAACCCGAATACTGAATCCTATTCCATCCTCAGTCCATTTATGTTTCATATGCAAATGTTTAAACAGCGGCGGTGTTGTGTACCGTTTAGGGTCCTTACCACCACGAGACAAATGGGCATTGCAAATTGGACATGTAGCTCGACCAGAATCTTTTATTATAACATTTATAATAATCCCGCTTATCATTAAACACAAATACATTCAGTTCACAGCAGTGTAAAACTTCAGAGATAAAGTACATATATTACTGTGCATGTCATGTAGAAAAAAGAGCTAAAGCACCACACATGCATAAATAGCTTCCACTGGTTCAGGTCAAAACATTACATATATGGACATTTGAGAAATGTGCCAAACTCGTCAGAGACAAGTTGGAGAGAAGCTAATGCTAAGAGGCTAGTTGCCTAAACATGGACTCACCAACTCTGCTTCATACGCAGCTCAAATGACAAGTACCTGGCACTGGGAATCGGCTCCATAAAGTTGGTGAATAGGAAGTTAGTTTATGATCCATCAGAACCGCATTACAGGTGAAAACAAGAATCATAACATCCCCTCGCACCGGCATATGACTAGAGCCGATTGGTCCGCTGGGATCACATGACCAGGAAGAGACCTCAGCGCACCCGAAGAGGAACAGAGACCAAGAGGATATAAACCTCCGCTAAAGTGCATGTTTATTTACACTTCCAAACGAATCTGCCACAGCGCGCATAGTGTAAGTGCAAGGTTTGGGTTCGGTGGGGAAAAATTATAAGGTTCGGCCAGAGCAGAAGCTGGCCCAGGGAAACGCCCGCGACGTGTGGAGAGGCCTAAAGAACATCTCCGGCTTTGGACAGAGTGCCAGAGGAACAGCAGATGGAGACCAGCACCGGGCGGACGAATTTAACCAGCACTTCAACCGGTTTGATTCTCCCCCCTCTCCATCTGCCCCCCCTCCCGCCCCCACCTCTTCACACGTCCCCAGCCCAGTGGACACCGCCCAGTGGACACTGCCTCCGGCTGCCCCGGGCCCTCCTGCCCCCGCATCCCCAGCCCCCACCTCGGACAGTACACCCCAGTCCCCCCCCCTCTCCATCACACCGGACCAGGTGAGGAGTCAGCTCCAGCGCCTGAAGCTGAGGAAATCAGCAGGACCGGACGGGATCAGTCCCAGGCTGCTGAGGACCTGTGCAGACCAGCTCTCTGGGGTCCTCAGCTACATGTACAACCTGAGCCTCAGCCTGGAGAAGGTCCCTGTCCTGTGGAAGACCTCCTGTGTGATCCCGGTTCCAAAAACAGCACACGCCAAGGAACCGGCTCACTACAGACCAGTCGCACTGACCTCCCACCTGATGAAGACCATGGAGCGGCTCATCCTCACCCATCTCCGCTCCGTGGTCAGCCCCACCCTGGACCCGCTGCAGTTCGCCTACAGACCCAACATCGGAGTAGAGGACGCCGTCATCTACTTCCTGCAGCGGACGCTCTCCCACCTGGAGCCCGCCGGGAGCGCTGTGAGGGTCATGTTTTTCGACTTCTCCAGTGCTTTCAATACCATCAGGCCGGCACTGCTGCGGAAGATGGAGGACGCGGGAGTGGACAGTAGCCTCACTGCATGGACCATCGATTACCTCTCAGAGCGACCACAGTACGTGCGGCTGCGCAGCTGTGAGTCTGAGGTGGTCGTCTGCAGCACTGGGGCCCCTCAGGGCACTGTCCTCTCACCGTTTCTCTTCACCATCTACACCTCAGACTTCACACACGACACACACAGCTGTCACCTGCAGAAGTTCTCCGACGACTCCGCCATCGTGGGCTGTGTGTCTGAGGGGAACGAACTGGAATATCGGTCGGTTATCAAGGACTTTGTCGACTGGTGTGAGTGCAACCAGTTGTGCTTGAACACCAGTAAGACCAAGGAGATGGTCATCGACTTCAGGAGAAAACCACTTTCCCACACGCTGCTGAACATCCAGGGGGAGGACATTGAGCTGGTGGACAGCTTCAAGTACCTGGGTGTTCACATTAACAATAAACTGGACTGGTCCCATAATACAAACGCCCTGCACAAGAAGGGCCAAAGTCGCCTCTTCCTTCTGAGGAGGCTGAGGTCCTTCTGAGTGAGCAGGCCTCTGCTCAGGACTTTTTATGACTCTGTGGTAGCTTCTGCCATTTACTACGCTGCCGTGTGCTGGGCCCCGGGCAGCACAGAGCGGGACAGAAACAGACTGAACAAGCTGGTCAGGAGGGCCAGCTCCACTCTGGGCTGCTCCCTGGACTCTGTGGAGGAGGTGAGGGACAGGAGGCCCCTGGACTCTGTGGAGGAGGTGAGGGACAGGAGGGTGCTAGCCAAAGCCACCTCCATCATGAACAATACCTCCCACTGCACAGGACTGTAGAGGAGCTGAGGAGCTCCTTCAGTGGAAGACTGAGGCACCCTCAGTGTAGGAAGGAGCGCTACCGCAGGGCCTTTATCCCCACCGCTGTCAGACTGTACAATAAGTCACTTTAAATGATCACTGTGTGAAAACCTGCACTACTATTGACACTGTTTCCAATTGACACTTGTCCCTTTTGTTGTACATAATTATTGTCACTTTATTGTACATATATATCCTGCATGTAACATGTTTGCACATTTCCTCCTTTTGCACAATCTGAGTGTCTCTATCCATGCCAAATGTGACATGTACATTTCTCCTCTGTGAGATAAATAAAGCAATCTTATCTTATCTTATCTTAAACCGAACCCCGTCAAAAAAGCCAATATTCGGCCGAATCCGAACCCGAATCCTGGATTCGGTAAATCCCTAGTTTAATCCTTATTCTATCCTCGGCACAATCTTTAAAAAACGCCCAATCATTTTTCTGAACGGGACCAGCCCTGGATCAGTTTTAGAGCCTAGTTTATGGAACTTTTATACTTTTGACACATGTAGTGAAAAGAAAACATGATTGAACAAAGAGCCCTACGCTTCTTTGGCCGAGGCTCCTCCTCTTCCTCCTCTCCTCCTCCTCCTTCTCCTTCTTCAGTCTGACGAGCGCAGAGTCTAGGAGTTTCTTTGAACCTGGAAACAGCAAAGACAAACACTGACCATGGAGTCTCTCTGGTCCGTTCAGTCCTCCTCCCCCCATCCTCTCTCCCCTCCCCACCTCCTTTCCTGTCCTCTCTCCCCTCCTCTCTACTCCTTCCCCCTGTTCTCTCCCCTCTCCCATCCTACCTTCTCCCCCCCCCCCCCCCCCCTGTCCTCTACTCCCATCCTCCCCCATCCTTCCCTGTCCTCTCTCTCCCCTCCCGTCCCCTGCCCTCCTACCTTCTCCTCAGCCCTGTCCTCTCTTCTCTTTCCCTCTCTCGTCTTCCCCTCCCTTCCCCTCCCCTCTCCCCCGTCCCCTCTTCTCTCTCCCGTCCCCTCTTCTCTCCCCCTCTTCTCTCTGAAGGCTGTACAACACTCCCATTTTCACTGAACTTTAGGATCCAAACAACTAATTGATTATCAAAGTAATGAGTAATTACAGCCCCTCCCCCACACGGCGCTGGTCGTCAGGGAGACACCGTGACGACACCAGTGTATAAATAAATGTGATTATTGAGCCACAGAAACAGCGGTTTGTGCTTCAGTCGCCGCAGCAGAGTCCTGAGGCCACTGTCGGCTCGAGTTAGAGCTGAGAGCGCTGGCATTTAGCAGAAGATCCAACACAACACACAGGACAAAGCTACACATGTTCCATCTGCTTTCAGTCGTGTCCAGTTCAAACCAGCGGCTCCCGGCTCCGAAAGGTCCATGAGCACGTGCGCTGACATGCTGCAATACCACTCCAGGCCTGTGGGGGTGTACCCAGAAAGAGAATTACCCAATGCTTTTGTGTGTCGTCTTCTTTCCTCTAGAAAAACTGCTTTATAGGATGGTCCAAAAGTGGCTCTTGGTCCAAAAGTGGCTCTTGGTCCAAAAATGGCTCTTGGTCCAAAAGTGGCTCTTGGTCCAAAACTGGCTCTTGGTCCAAAACTGGCTCTTGGTCCAAAACTGGCTCTTGGTCCAAAAGTTGTTCTTGGTCCTCTTTGTTCCAGATGCTGTCTGAGGGGAGTATATGTTTTTGGACCAGTCTAGTTTGGCCGCTGTGGACTTTTGAATGCAGTCGTTGAATGAATGAGGCTAGTGCAGCTAACACAAGCGCAAATGTGTTTTTTCATATTTTACCCGCTGCCATTTTGAAAAAGCCACAAACAGAAAAAGTTAGTTTGAACGGTGGAGATCGACGTCACTACATCTTAAATATTTACAGTCTATGGTAAAAAAAACTTCTAACAGTTTCCGGTCGTGTTGTGTCTCGTTAACACATCTGTCCGTGTACCTTCTTGGCTCCTCCTGCTCCTCCTCCTCCTCCTGCTCCTCCTCCTCCTGGGCTTTCTCCAGGGCGATGGTGCTCAGCCTCTGGGCCAGCCCCATCCTCCCGCTGCGAGAGGCGTATTTGATGGCCAGAGTCACGGCGTTCTGGGACATCATGTGGGCCAGCTCCACACAGCGGAACTCACGCTGCAACTTACACGACAACTGGGGAAAGAAAACATGTTACACAATCATACACACACAAGAAATCATTACACAATCACATACACACAAGAATACAATACACAATCATACACACACAAGAAAACACTACACAATCATAAACACATAAGAAAACATTACACAATCATACACACACAAGAAAACATTACACAATCATACACACACAAGAAAACACTACACAATCATACACACATAAGAAAACAATACACAATCATACACACACAAGAAAACAGTACACAATCATACACACACAAGAAAACATTACACAATCATACACACACAAGAAAACATTACACAATCATACACACACAAGAAAACACTACACAATCATACACACACAAGAAAACACTACACAATCATACACACACAAGAAAACATTACACAATCATACACACACAAGAAAACAATACACAATCATACACACATAAGAAAACATTACACAATCATACACACACAAGAAAACATTAGTAAGTAAGTAAGTAAGTAGTAAGTAAAGTTTATTTATAAAGCGCTTTTCACAGATAAAAATCACAAAGTGCTGTACAGGACAGTGGGCAAATACAAAACAATATAAAATACACTTACACACATTACACATTTTATGTACTTAAAAGTGACATCAGTGAGAACCCAATCAACTAAAAGCTTTCTTAAATAAATAAGTCTTCAAGCCTTTTTTGAAAGAGTCCGCAGAGTCGACCAGACGTAGGGACAGGGGCAGGGCGTTCCACAGTCTGGGGGCAACAGACTGAAAAGACCGGTCCCCTCGAGTCTTATAATGGGTTTTGGGGACCACAAGCAGGTTCTGGCCAGAGGACCGGAGAGAACGGCCAGAGGAGTACAGGCTCAAAAGGTTCAGGATGTACTGGGGGGCCTGACCATTTAAGGCTCTGAAGGTCAGCACTAAGATCTTAAAATCAATCCTGAATTTGACTGGGAGCCAATGAAGAACAGACAGAACAGGAGTGATATGGGACCTACGAGGGGCACCTGTTAAAAGTCTAGCAGCAGAATTTTGAACAATTTGAAGTTGATTGAGTGCAGACTTATTCAAGCAGGTAAAAACAGAGTTGCAATAGTCAAGTCTTGTTGAAATAAAAGCGTGAATGATCATTTCCAGATCATTCTTTGACAACATATTGCGGATTTTTGCAATGTTCCTAAGGTGATAAAAGCAGTTACGGACGAGCTGTTTGGAGTGTGTCTCCATAGACATGGCCTGGTCAAACACAACCCCTAGGTTTCTGAGGCTGGATTTGACGGAGGAGCCAAGAGAGCCAAGGTGCTGTTTGATCAGCGGGATCTTATGGTCTGGAGCAAAGATGAGCGTTTCAGTTTTGTTGGAATTTAACTGTAAGTAGTTAGTGGCCAGCCAGTCTTTAATGGAGGACACACACTCCAAAAATGATGACAAGCGCTGGAACTCAGAGTCATTAAAAGAACAGTACAACTGGACGTCATCGGCATAGAAATGGTAGGATACATCCTCGAAGTGATTAATAATTTTACCAAGTGGCAAAATGTACAATAAAAACAAAATCGGACCCAAAACTGATCCCTGTGCCACTCCGCAGGACAGATTAGTCACATCTGACTGTACATTGTTTAAAGCAACGTTAAAAGTTCTGCCATGGACATATGAGGAGAACCACTGGAGGACAGACCCAGAAAGCCCTATCTCATTTTGAAGCCGGTCAATAAGTATATTATGATCCACAGTGTCAAAGGCAGAGGACAAATCCAGAAGTACAAGAACTGTGTAGCGTTGGGAATCGGCTGCCATCATTACATCACTAGAAACTTTGATAAGAGCTGTTTCAGTGGAGTGTAATTTACGAAAACCAGACTGAAGTGGATCAAACAAATTGTGCTGTTCCATAAAGGAGGTCAGCTGGCATGCCACTACTTTTTCCAGAATTTTGGAAATAAAAGGAAGTTTGGAGATGGGCCTGTAGTTTTTAGGTTCTGAAGGGTCCAGATTGGGCTTTTTAAGGATTGGGTTTACCACAGCATGCTTGAAGTAGCTGGGGACTGAGGCAGATGAAAGAGAGAGGTTAATTATTTTAACCACACAGGAGCCAACAGTACTGAACATTTTCAAAAATAGTGACGTTGGGACAATGTCAGCCGGGCTCGAGGAAGGCTTCATGTTATTCACTAAAGTGTTCACATCCTGTAAGCTGACAGGAGAGAAGGACGACCAAGATGACACCGGGGACAACTTAGTGGAACAAACACTGGTTAGGGGAAGATTCACGTTTGCCCTAATGTCTTGAACTTTGTTTACGAAGAATGACAAAAATTTATTACAGTCCTCATGTGAGTACACAGGCACAAGAGGAGCTGAAGGTGCAGAAAGATTTTCAATGGTGTCAAACAGGATTTTTGGATTTTTCTTATTGCCTGACACAAGGTTTGAAAAATAAGATGAGCGAGCCTGCTTTATCATTTCATTCAGTTCCAGCATCAGGTCTTTTAAATGAAGTCTATGTACTTCTAATTTGGTGGCTTTCCAAAGACGCTCTGTCTTCCGACATTTTCTCCTAAAACTACAAATGTCATCATTCATCCATGGATGGGCTTTTTTATGTGATCCTGAAATATCTTTAACAGGTGCTACCAAATCCAAAATAGACACACAGTGGCTGTTGAAACTTTGCACAAACGAATCAACATCATCACAAACAACAAAGGAGCGAGGGTCAAATCGGACAGAGAAATCACTAAATGTTGTCTCACTAATGATGCGTTTTTGTGTAACAACATTGGAGACAGTTGGCATCATGACGCGTGACAGAGTGAAGGAAATGCAACAGTGGTCACTAATATGAAATGCATCAACACTCATATTTTCAATGTTTAGGCCACATGAGAAGACCAAATCTAGCGTGTGACCTTTTATGTGCGTGGGGCCAGAAACGTGCTGTACAAAATTGAAAGAGTCCATGGGCGTTAACAGTTCAGCTGCAATCACACAAGAGGGATCGTCGATATGGAGATTAAAATCCCCAAGGACTAAAACGCGATCTAGTTTGATAATGGATGTTAAAAACTCAGAGAATTCATCAAGGAATGTGCGCGCAGTACCAGGAGGTCGGTAAACTAAGACACAGTAAAAGGGGAGAGTTTGTCCAACCTTGCACATCTGTAGCTCGAAGGAGTCGTATGAAGCTCCATCCATCAAACTGCAGCAGAAAGAGTCACGAAAAACCAGCGCCAGTCCGCCTCCACGGCGCGCGAGGCGAGGACTCCCAAACACGGAGCAGTCCGGGGGGCATAGTTCTCTCAGATGAAGGTGCTCGTTCTCCCGTTGCCAAGTCTCCGTTATGAACATAAAATCCAAGTTCTCTTTAGTGAAGTGGTCGTTCAGTGTAAACGCCTTGTTTGCAATAGAGCGCGCGTTGAGAAGAGCAATCCTGGTGGCGCGCATCCGTGACGCGGGCTGGCCTGGGACGGGCTGGATGGCATGATCCGTCTGGCAGGTAACCGGGCACAAGACGCGCTGGCGGGGGGCATGATGGTAAACAGCTCGGGTGGGAAAGAGCCGGTCGGAGGTGCTCCACACGAGCGATGACACACAAGCCGCGTCCCGAACTGGCGCGCAGACCGGAACCGGCCTCAGGCACCGCTCACTCCTGGGGGATTTGGGTCCGTTCAGCCCGGGTGAAGATCCAAGCGATGACCACCTTCTCCTCCGGACTTGGACCCCAGCCCTGGATCCACGCTTCCTTCTCCTTCCGCGGCGCCGGGTAAGCAACGGGTATTCCGGTGGTGACGCATGGCGCTCCAGTTTTGGAGGGAAAAACTCAGAGAATCTGTGCCGGGTAATGCAAAAGTCCTGCATATGAGCCTTAATGCGGAACAATGTGTGCCGATCATACTGTATGATGGCGGAAACATAGCTGGTAGTTGATAGGGTTGACACAAGGAACATCACAAGAAAGATTGCAAATGTACAAGAGAGCAGACAGGTAAGCGACGCGCAGCCAGACACAGGCGCCATCTTTACTGTCCAGAGAGTCCCAGCAGGAGTCTCTGTGATTACACAATCACACACACACAAGAAATCATTACACAATCATACACACACAAGAGAACAATACACAATCATACACACATAAGAAAACATTACACAATCATACACACACAAGAAAACATTACACAATCATACACACACAAGAAAACACTACACAATCATACACACACAAGAAATCATTACACAATCACACACACACAAGAAATCATTACACAATCACACACACACACACAAGAAAACACTACACAATCATACACACACAAGAAATCATTACACAATCACACACACACACAAGAAATCATTACACAATCACACACACACACAAGAAAACACTACACAATCATACACACACAAGAAAACATTACACAATCATACACACACATTAATCAAGTGAGTGTGTTTCTCTCTGTATTGTGTGTGTGTTTCTCTCTGTATTGTGTGTGTGTTTCTCTCTGTATTGTGTGTGTGTTTCTCTCTGTATTGTGTGTGTGTGTCTCTCTGTATTGTGTGTGTGTTTCTTTCTGTATTGTGTGTGTGTGTCTCTCTGTATTGGGCGTGTTACATGGTTTTCAATGGGAGCAAAACTGAACTGTCCCACCTCTGCTCATTTACCCCATGTCTGCTCTCACTGAAGTCTGCTGTCGTTGTGTCCCTGGGCAAGACACTTAACCCCACTTTGCCCGAAGCCCTACTGAAACACCAAGGACGTATCTTTGTCGAAGCAGCAGCCATCTTGGGGCGACAGTGGCTCAGTGGGTAGAGCACTGGCTTTGAAACTTCTCCACCAACTCCACTGATGGCTGCCGTCGTTGGGCAAGACACTTTACCCACTTTGCCCAAAAGGAGCGCGGAAGTAATGTTTGTGGCATGCCTTGATGTGTTTGTGTGTTCATCAAACTGAAATTTCCCCACAGTGGGACAAAATGAACCATGTTATTATTATTATCATTATTCTTCTTCCTCCCGCGGACCCACAGCCTGCAGGAGGATCAGTGAGGGGTCGGTGCGGTGATGGCAGCCGATTGCCACCTCCCCTACCCAGAAATGGACTAATAAAGGCTATGAAAATGACATGACAGGAGGGTTTCTCACTTTGTTCTCACTGGGTTCCTCTCTGATGCTGGACCGTCTAAAGAAAAAGTTGATCCGGGACATTTTTTCTACATTTATGAACTTTTCTAGACAGTGGTCTTCCAGCTACTCATGTGTTTGTTATTAATGCATTCCCTGTGTTTTTCTGATCTGCTGTTGGAGAATTGACACCTTTGAGGACTGCTGTCACGGTCTTTTGGACTCACAGCAAACATCTTCATCAGCAGCTCCTGTTGTTCCTTCAGGCCTCTGCTCTCAGCCTCTTCATCGATCTCGAATCCGCTGCTTGAGAGGAACCCGAAATGATTCTGTAGAAGAGAACTCCTCCAGAACTGCTCCTGAAACCAGACCAGAGGAAGACCTGCTTTAGTCCTGCTTTAGACCTGCTTTAGACCTGCTTTAGTCCTGCTTTAGACCTGCTTTAGACCTGCTTTAGACCTGCTTTAGACCTGCTTTAGTCCTGCTTTAGACCTGCTTTAGACCTGCTTTAGTCCTGCTTTAGTCCTGCTTTAGTCCTGCTTTAGTCCTGCTTTAGACCTGCTTTAGACCTGCTTTAGACCTGCTTTAGACCTGCTTTAGTCCTGCTTTAGACCTGCTTTAGACCTGCTTTAGACCTGCTTTAGACCTGCTTTAGTCCTGCTTTAGTCCTGCTTTAGTCCTGCTTTAGACGTGCTCCTCCCCCCTCCTCACCTCCATCTGTCCCTTCTCGGTGCTGGTCTGACACAGGGGGATCTTAAAGGGCAGGACGGCAACTGCAGGGCGTGGAAGAGTGGGAGGAAACCTGGAGCCTTTACAAGGAATACACCTGACACACAGACACACACACACACACGCAGACACACACAGAGACAGAGACACACACACAGACACACACGCAGACAGAGAGAGACACACACACAGAGACAGACACACAAACGTAAGTAAAGTCAGTAATCTTTATAAAGAACCTTTCACAGAGTCCTTTCAGCGGTTGTGGGCTTTTGTCTCCAGATGGAGCAGGTCGTCTCCAGGAGGAGCCAGAGCTATTGTACATGTTTTCAGTGGTAGGGGAAACTGGAGCACCCGGAGGAAACCTTTGCTCACACTGACCTCACTTGTGGAGGGTTCTCGTGCACCGCGATGACCCAGTAGTGGTCAGACTTGCTCTTGGAGGTGTCTCTGGTGTTGCACACAGGAGTCCAGCTGTTTCCCAAACTGCGGTTCAGCATCCGGACTACACCCAGAGAGTCCACCGAGCACAGGGACCCTGAGGGCAAACACGGAGCACAGGGACATGAGGGCAAACACAGAACACAGGGATATAAGGGCAAACACAGAGCACAGGGACATGAGGACAAACACAGAGCACAGGGATATAAGGGCAAACACAGAGCACAGGGACATGAGGACAAACACAGAGCACAGGGATATAAGGGCAAACACAGAGCACAGGGACATGAGGACAAACACAGAGCACAGGGATATAAGGGCAAACACAGAGCACAGGGACATGAGGACAAACACAGAGCACAGGGATATAAGGGCAAACACAGAGCACAGGGACATGAGGACAAACACAGAGCACAGGGATATAAGGGCAAACACAGAGCACAGGGACATGAGGACAAACACGGAGCACAGGGACCTGTGCTCGGTAAACTTTTTTAAAGGGTAACTGTTGTGTACCCTCGGCACTGAAGCCCATCCAGCTCAGGTGGGAGTTTGGACTCAGGGGCAGCGGCTGGTCCAGGATCAGTCTGTGTCTGGGACCCAAAGACCTGAGCTGGACTCCCAAGGCCTGGTCCCCATCGAAGCCTCGACCTGGAACCACAACACGTGTTACACAACATGACAACAATAACAACCGCACAACATCACACTCGACAGGTTACAGTGTTTAATCTGCCATTAGAGGTCTGTAAAAGGTAATGTTTTATAAAATAATATATAAGATCATGCAAAAGAGCCAAAACCAGTTAAAACACATGTGACCTGGGGACACATTACAGTGTCACGGTGTGGACCGTCCCTTTAACGCTTTGCGTTGCCTTGTGTAGGAAAGGCGCTCTATAAATAAACGATTGATTGATTGATTTAATATATTTAGCCAACAAAAAATAATTAAATTAAATTAGACATAAATAAATACAAGTAAAGACAGGATAAAGTAAATAAATCTGTGAGGGTGGATTATCTCCAAAGGAGAAGTGCTCACTGACCTCTGTGGTAGACCACACACAGCTGGTCTCCGTGTGCGCACACGCAGACCACGCTCCCGCTCAAGCTGAACACCTCCCTCTGGAGCCCCCCGATGGAGAACAGGCGTAACAGCAGCGCAGACGTTGCCACGGCAACAAAGCCCCGCCCCAAACAAAGAGCTTGCACGTCCTCCTCTGAAGGGAGGTCCACCACCCACTCCTTACAGGTGTCCCAGGAGGAGAAGTGCAGACACAGGAGTTTACTGAAGAGAGAGGAGACAGGGGAGGTGAGAAATGAGGAGGGGAGAGAAGAAGAGAGACATGAGGAGGTGAAGAGGAGAGGAGAGGGAGAGGAGGTGAGACAAGAGGAGGGGAGAGAGAGGAGGGGAGACATGAGGAGGTCCACCACCCACTCCTCACAGAGACCAGCTAGTTTAAATCAGGGTACCTGGCAAGCTGATCCGAGCCGGGGCAGGCCAGCAGCACGGCCTCCTGGGAGATGTCGGCCATTTTGTGTCCCAGAGCGTTGGACAGGTGCATGCTGTGGTGGACCGCAGAGTCGTGGAACTCTATATCCACCGAGTTTTCAGGTTCATCGTTATAACAGCGGACGATCCCCACGGAGTTCCACATCTGAGAGAGAACCATGTTAGAGCGACCGCCGCTAGTGCTGCTACCGCTACTGCTAGTGCTGCTACTGCTACTGCTAGTGCTGCTACTGCTAGTGCTAGTGCTGCTACTGCTACTACTACCATGAATCTGTGGGTGAGGTGAGCCGGTGTGGACCCTGGTTGGAAAGCTCTCTGAGGGGGGGTGGGCAGAGGTCCGTCGTACACAGGCTGCAGTGACACAGGAGCAACAGGGGGAGGCGCTATAGAGCTGCCACCATCATCATCATCCTCATCATCATTGTGTGGAAACTTCCCTCCAGCCCCGAGCTTCAGAGACCCAGTGTCTGTGGACATACAAGAGTTACAGAAGTGTTCAAACGTGTGTTTGTGTCTTACTCTCTCAGTCTCCGGTCTTGCTCTCTCAGTCTCCGGTCTCGCTCTCTCAGTCTCCGGTCTCGGTCTCGCTCTCTCAGTCTCCGGTCTCGCTCTCTCAGTCTCCGGTCTCGCTCTCTCAGTCTCCGGTCTCGCTCTCTCAGTCTCCGGTCTCGCTCTCTCAGTCTCCGGTCTCGCTCTCTCAGTCTCAGTCTCCGGTCTCGCTCTCTCAGTCTCTGGTCTCGCTCTCTCAGTCTCTGGTCTCGCTCTCTCAGTCTCTGGTCTCGCTCTCTCTGGTCTCGCTCTCTCCGGTCTCGCTCTCTCCGGTCTCGCTCTCTCTGGTGTGTGTGTCTATGCGCGTGTCTATGCGTGCGTGCATGTGTGTATCTGTGTGTTTGTATTCGAGTCCCGCACCCAGACTGTCTTCGTCAAGGAACGCTGCTCTGTTCCGAACGCGGCCGGTGGAGGTGATGACATCATCGTCCTCAGGGGGGCGGGGCCTCTGTGGGGACACGCCCTCGTCCATCTGTCCATCATCATCTCCATCGAACAGATCGTCGAAGTCTGCAGCCGCGGAGTTCTGTGGAGCCTGGAGAGAAAAGAGGAGCTGTGAGGGTTATGGAGACTTCTGGGTCAGAACAGGAGTTTTAAACCTGTTGGTCTGGTCCCTCTCTCACTGGTCCCTCTCTCTCTGGTCCCTCTCTCTCTGGTCCCTCTCTCTCTGGTCCCTCTCTCTCTGGTCCCTCTCTCTCTGGTCCCTCTCTCTCTGGTCCCTCTCTCTCTGGTCCCTCTCTCTCTGGTCCCTCTCTCTCTGGTCCCTCTCTCTGGCCTTCCTCCATCTCGCTCTCTGGTTTCTCTCTCTCTCTCTCTCTCTCTCTCTCTCTCTGGTCTTACCCTCTCTCTCTCTGGTCTTACCCTCTCTCTCTCTCTCTGGTCTTACCCTCTCTCTCTCTCTCTGGTCTTACCCTCTCTCTCTCTCTGGTCTTACCCTCTCTCTCTCTCTGGTCTTACCCTCTCTCTCTCTCTGGTCTTACCCTCTCTCTCTCTCTGGTCTTACCCTCTCTCTCTCTCTCTGGTCTTACTCTCTCTCTCTCTCTCTGGTCTTACTCTCTCTCTCTCTCTCTGGTCTTACCCTCTCTCTCTCTCTCTCTGGTCTTACCTTGTGTGCAGAGGTCCTCTCACACACTCTCTCCAGCAGCCCAACACAGCCCTCGGTGTCGGTGTAGACCAGCTGAGACCCACACGGACTCCAGGCCACAGAGCAGACGGTGAAGCCCTTCTCGTGCTTCTGCCTGAAACACAACACACTTCATCACTTGGTCCAAATAAAGCGGATTCAGAACTCTGTCTTGGTCCGAGTCTGTCCTCCACCACAGCTGAGGTCTTGGTCTTGGTCTGGGTCTGTCCTCCAACACAGCTGAGGTCTTGGTCTGGGTCTGTCCTCCACCACAGCTGAGGTCTTGGTCTGGGTCTGTCCTCCACCACAGCTGAGGTCTTGGTCTTTTGTTATTGCTGAGCTAGAGAAGCATGTTCAGTCTTGTGATGGCTTGGTCTGGTCCTAGTCTAGGGTCTAAACATGAGTCCAAGTCTGGGCCTGGGTCTTGAACATATATATTTATCGTATACCTTTCCAGACACAGTTTGGAGCTGACGTCCCAGATAACGATGACTCCACCCACTGAGGCCGCCGCCAAATGCTTCCCACACGGAGACCAGGAAACTACATTTACCAGCTGAGGATAGAACCAAAACATACCACGTTCAAGAGAGAGAGAGAGAAGAGAGCAGGGAGAGAAAGGAGAGAGAGGAGATGGAGGGGAGAGAGAAGAGAGAAGTGAGAAGAGAGAGAGGAGAGGGAGAGGAGATGGAGAGAGGAGATGGAGAGAGGAGATGGAGAGAGGAGATGGAGGGGAGAGAGAAGAGAGAAGTGAGAGGAGAGAGAGGAGAGAGAGGAGAGGGAGAGAGGAGATGGAGAGAGGAGATGGAGGGGAGAGAGAAGAGAGGAGAGAGAGAGAGAGAGAGAGAGAGAGGAGATGGAGAGAGGAGATGGAGAGAGGAGAGAGGAGATGGAGAGAGGAGATGGAGAGAGGAGATGGAGAGAGGAGATGGAGAGAGGAGATGGAGAGAGGAGATGGAGGGGAGAGAGAAGAGAGGAGAGAGAGAGAGAGAGCGAGAGAGGGAGAGAGGAGATGGAGAGAGGAGATGAAGGGGAGAGAGAAGAGAAGAGGAGAGAGGAGAGAGGAGAGAGGAGAGAGAAGAGAGAGAAGAGCAGAGGGAAGAGAGGAGAGAGAGAAATTTTGAATGATGTTTTTAATTTTCTTGTGATCTTATTGTGTTTTTAAAGCCCTTTCGGATTTTAATAGTATTAAATGTTAATGTAGATTTTAAAGTTAATAATTTGTGCCAGATGTTGTTGTGAGGCGCCGTGTGTTTCCTTGTGTAGGATTGAAACACATCAGAGTCCAAATAAACAAATGTGCTACAAGCCGAGGGCAGGACTGGTCCAAAGTTAATTAAAACATATTAAAATTATGCATAAAACCAATTGAACCAAGACCTAACACAGTGGACCATATTTCATTTGTCCAAAGCCTCAGACAAAAACAAAACTTCCTTCAAAGATAAAACACGCCCTGAACATTAAATTAATAAACCAATATTTTCTTATGTCTCTGTGCGGCCGGTTCTAAAACTAGAAAAATTTCATCCCGGGGGCCAAGCTCACTCATTCGCGAGCCGGATCTGGTCCCCGGGCCTGGACTTTGACACCCACGGACACTATAATAATAATAATAATAATAATAATAAATCAAACTTGTATAGCACTTTTTGGACACTCAAAGACGCTTCACATGGGGAATAAAAAACGACAATAAAAAAAGGGGTTTACGGAAAAGCTTGTTTGAAAAGATGGGTTTTTAGACTGATTTAAAGTTTGGTTGTGAGCCAGAGTTTCTAATGGGCAGTGGGAGTGAGTTCCAGAGGGTTGGGGCGGCAATGGCAAAGGATCTGTCCCCCAAGGTTCGGCGGTGAGTGCGGGTGACGGGAGTGAGGAGGTTGGAGTCGGCTGAGCGAAAGCGGCGGGTGGGTTGGTGCTGTTATAGGAGCTCAGTGAGGTAGGGGGCGGGGCCAGGTTATGGAGGGATTTGTAGGTGAGGAGAAGGAGCTTGTAATGGATGCGGTATTGAACGAGGAGCCAGTGGAGCTGCTGGAGGACAGGGGTGATGTGTTCTCTGGACCGGGTGTGGGTGAGGAGGCGGGCTGCAGAGTTCTGGATGTACTGCAGCTTTTGGGGATGAGAGGTGGGGAGTCCGTAGGAGACTATTACAGTAGTCGAGTCTGGAGGTGATGAATGCGTGGATGAAGATTTAGGCTGTTGACTGGGTAAGGGAGGGGCGGAGGGCGGGCAATGTTTCTGAGGTGGAAGAAAGAGGTTTTGGTGGTGTTTGATGTGTGTTTGGTATGAGAGGGCGGAGTCCATTATGATGCCGAGGTTGCGTACAGAGGGTGAGGGGGTGACAGTGTGACCGTCAATGAGGAGGGTGAAGTTCTGGACAGAGGGCAGGAGATATTTGGGGCTGATGATGAGGAGTTCTGTTTTGTTACTGTTGAGTTTGAGAAGGTTATTGTCCATCCAGGTTTTAATGTCAGAGATGCAATTAGTGATTGTGGAGCGAATGATGGATTTGGTGGAGCATAACAGTGGAAATGGAGTCCATGACGGCGGATGATCTGGCCGAGGGGAAGCATGTAGATGGTAAAGAGGAGAACCGGTCTAGAGCAAAGTGTGCCTAATTTAAAATTGTCCGTGACCAGAGGCTTTAGAGACACCGACACTGACCACAGGGGGCGCTGTGGAGCTGTGTAACACTGACCTGAGAGAGGAGGTCGTCCGACAGCGTGGTCACATGACTCCAGGTGTCTCGCTCGTACAGGTGGACTTTGTCTTCAACAGGAACTGCCAACAACTGGAGACAACAGCGGCGTTAACGCGGCGAAAGAAACAACTGTTACCATGACAACGGACACATGGGAAAGAGCAGAGCGGTACCTTCCCGGAGAGCGGTTGAAACGCCAGGCGACACAGGCTCTTGGCATTTGAAACGTCGTTGGATTTGGGCAGCAGAGTCCAGCGGGTCACCTGACTCTGAGGACCAATCACAAACAAGAACACTTTATATTCTCAACGGTACAGAAATATACACTTTAAAACATTTTACTGTACAATAACAACAAGGAGACTGACTTTTTAATGATTCAACATTTAAAACAGTACAGTCTTTAATCATTTACATTTCACCCACAAGTTTTTGTCGACCAACTACCAAAATAATGTTAAGAACAAAGTAGCTGCACAGACCTGGTCCTCGATGTTCCACACGACCACAGAACCATCGCAGCTCGACGAGGCCTGGACACAATCACCCATGTTAGAGATCAGAGCAGAGAGACAGAAGGGGCGGGGGGACAGTTCTGATACGAGTCTGGCCCTCTCTCTCTCTGGCCTCTCTCTCTCTCTCTGGCCTCTCTCTCTCTCTCTCTGGCCTCTCTCTCTCTCTCTGGCCTCTCTCTCTCTCTGGCCTCTCTCTCTCTCTGGTCTCTCTCTCTCTCTGGCCTCTCTCTCTCTCTCTGGCCTCTCTCTCTCTCTCTCTCTGGCCTCTCTCTCTCTCTCTGGCCTCTCTCTCTCTCTCTCTCTGGCCTCTCTCTCTCTCTGGCCTCTCTCTCTGGCCCTCTCTCTCTGGCCTCTCTCTCTGGCCTCTCTCTCTCTGGCCTCTCTCTCTCTCTGGCCTCTCTCTCTCTCTGGCCTCTCTCTCTCTCTGGCCTCTCTCTCTCTCTGGCCTCTCTCTCTCTCTGGCCTCTCTCTCTCTCTGGCCTCTCTCTCTCTCTCTGGCCTCTCTCTCTCTCTGGCCTCTCTCTCTCTGGCCTCTCTCTCTCTCTCTGGCCTCTCTCTCTCTCTCTGGCCTCTCTCTCTGGCCTCTCTGGCCTCTCTCTCTGGCCTCTCTCTCTGGCCTCTCTCTCTGGCCTCTCTCTCTGGCCTCTCTCTGGCCTCTCTCTCTGGCCTCTCTCTCTGGCCTCTCTCTCTGGCCTCTCTCTCTGGCCTCTCTCTCTGGCCTCTCTCTCTGGCCTCTCTCTCTGGCCTCTCTCTCTGGCCTCTCTCTCTGGCCTCTCTCTCTGGCCTCTCTCTCTCTGGCCTCTCTCTCTGGTCTCTCTCTCTGGTCTCTCTCTCTGGTCTCTCTCTCTGGTCTCTCTCTCTGGCCTCTCTCTCTGGCCTCTCTCTCTCTCTGGCCTCTCTCTCTCTCTGGCCTCTCTCTCTCTCTCTGGCCTCTCTCTCTCTCTGGCCTCTCTCTCTCTCTCTGGCCTCTCTCTCTCTCTCTGGCCTCTCTCTCTGGCCTCTCTCTCTGGCCTCTCTCTCTCTCTCTGGCCTCTCTCTCTCTCTCTGGCCTCTCTCTCTCTCTCTCTGGCCTCTCTCTCTCTCTCTCTGGCCTCTCTCTCTCTCTGGCCTCTCTCTCTCTCTGGCCTCTCTCTCTCTCTGGCCTCTCTCTCTCTCTGGCCTCTCTCTCTCTCTGGCCTCTCTCTCTCTCTGGCCTCTCTCTCTCTCTGGCCTCTCTCTCTCTCTGGCCTCTCTCTCTCTCTGGCCTCTCTCTCTCTCTCTGGCCTCTCTCTCTCTCTGGCCTCTCTCTCTCTGGCCTCTCTCTCTCTGGCCTCTCTCTCTCTCTCTCTGGCCTCTCTCTCTCTCTCTGGCCTCTCTCTCTCTCTCTGGCCTCTCTCTCTCTCTCTGGGCTCTCTCTCTCTCTCTCTGGCCTCTCTCTCTCTCTCTGGCCTCTCTCTCTGGCCTCTCTCTCTGGCCTCTCTCTCTGGCCTCTCTCTGGCCTCTCTCTGGCCTCTCTCTCTCTCTCTGGCCTCTCTCTCTCTCTCTGGCCTCTCTCTCTCTCTCTCTGGCCTCTCTCTCTCTCTCTCTGGCCTCTCTCTCTCTCTCTCTGGCTCTCTCTCTCTCTCTCTCTGGCTCTCTCTCTCTCTCTGGCCTCTCTCTCTCTCTGGTCTCTCTCTCTCTCTGGTCTCTCTCTCTCTCTGGCCTCTCTCTCTCTCTGGCCTCTCTCTCTCTCTGGCCTCTCTCTCTCTCTGGCCTCTCTCTCTCTCTGGCCTCTCTCTCTCTCTCTGGCCTCTCTCTCTCTCTCTGGCCTCTCTCTCTCTCTCTGGCCTCTCTCTCTCTCTGGCCTCTCTCTCTGGCCTCTCTCTCTGGCCTCTCTCTCTGGCCTCTCTCTCTGGCCTCTCTCTCTGGCCTCTCTCTCTGGCCTCTCTCTCTGGCCTCTCTCTCTGGCCTCTCTCTCTGGCCTCTCTCTCTGGCCTCTCTCTCTGGCCTCTCTCTCTGGCCTCTCTCTCTGGCCTCTCTCTCTGGCCTCTCTCTCTGGCCTCTCTCTCTGGCCTCTCTCTCTGGCCTCTCTCTCTGGCCTCTCTCTCTGGCCTCTCTCTCTGGCCTCTCTCTCTGGCCTCTCTCTCTGGCCTCTCTCTCTGGCTCTCTCTCTGGCCTCTCTCTCTGGTCTCTCTCTCTGGTCTCTCTCTCTGGTCTCTCTCTCTGGTCTCTCTCTCTGGTCTCTCTCTCTGGTCTCTCTCTCTGGCCCCTCTCTCTGGCCCTTCTCTCTGGCCTCTCTCTCTGGCCTCTCTTTCTGGCCTCTCTCTCTCTCTCTGGCCTCTCTCTCTGGCGGGGGTCACAAAGGGAGAACGCACCAGCAGCTGGTCTTTGGGGTCGAAGGACACACTCAGAACCGGAGCCTCGTGTCCTCGGAGCGTCTTCTGGTCACTACTGTCTCCAACACGGACCACCTTCACCAGAAAGTCACTACACACCAGGGAAGACACTGGTCACACGGGGGACATCGCAGAAGGACAGGGTAACAAGCCGTGGAGCAGTGTCTGGGTGGATGTGGTCTGGCCCCTTTAGCCGGCCTGGCCCTTGATGTAACTGGGCCAGATGTGAGTTCCTAAGGCAATCTTTTTTCAATATTTCCAAAATCTCCCAGCTTAACTTCCCATAGAAATTTACTGGAACGTTCCTCCCCTTTGCAACCATGTTTGTACCTGGCGCCTGCTGCCACTCTGCTCCCGCTGCTGTTGAAAGTCACACAGGTGGCGTTGGTTGTGAAGCGTGTCAGGATCCCGTCCGGTTCTCCGTCTGGAAACGTGTGGATCTGCACCGTGTTGTTGGAGCTCGCCGTCACCAGCTTCCCACCCTGAGGAGGAGGAGAAGAAGAGAGAAGAGAGGAGGAGAGGAGAGAGAGGATGAGCAGAGTACAGCTGGATTAGAGAGCAGAGAACGTGGTACTCACCTTCAGGCTGAGGGAGTAAAGAGGGCGAGAGAGCAGAGAGCGTGGTACTCACCTTCAGGCTGAGGGAGTACAGAGGGCGAGAGAGCAGAAAGCGTGGTACTCACCTTCAGGCTGAGGGAGTACAGAGGGCGAGAGAGCAGAAAGCGTGGTACTCACCTTCAGGCTGAGAGAGTACAGAGGGCGAGAGAGCAGAGAGCGTGGTACTCACCTTCAGGCTGAGAGAGTAGGCCTTCTCTCCCACGGTGATAAAGCGAGGATCATCGTCGTCCAGACCCTCCCAGATCCTCACGTCTCCATCGTTACCACACGTCACAATGAACCTCGACACATTAGACAGAGAGTAAACAGAGAGTACCCAGAGAGTAACCAGAGAGTAACCAGAGAGTAACCAGAGAGTAACCAGAGAGTAACCAGAGAGTACCCAGAGAGTAACCAGAGGGTAACCAGAGGGTATACTGAGAGTAAACAGAGAGTATATAGAGAGTATACTGAGACAAGCGCACAGAGTCAGAGAGAGAGGTTCAGTTCAGACTCACTTCCCGGTGTCGTCGAAGCAGACCTCTGTGTGACCCTCAGAGTGACCGTAACGCATCGGCTTCTTCTCACACGGCATCTTCACTCTGACAGGAACACAGGTACCAGAGACACAGGTACCAGAGACACAGGTACCAGAGACACAGGTACCAGAGACACAGGTACCAGGGACACAGGTACCAGGGACACAGGTACACATTTTAAGTAACAAATTTATTATCACGTATCAATATAAAAGCTCGCCGCTGACTATGGTATCTCGCTCGCTCTCTGATCTCTCCCTCTCTGGTCTCTCCCTCTCTGGTCTCTCCCTCTCTGGTCTCTCGCTCTCTGGTCTCTCGCTCTCTGGTCTCTCCCTCTCTCTCTAGCTGCTCTCTCCCTCTCTCGCTGGTCTCTCTGCTCTCTCCCTCTCACTGGTCTCTCTCTCGCTCTCTGATCTCTCCCTCTCTGGTCTCTCTCTCTGGTCTCTCCCTCTCTGGTCTCTCCCTCTCTGGTCTCTCGCTCTCTGGTCTCTCGCTCTCTGGTCTCTCCCTCTCTCTCTAGCTGCTCTCTCCCTCTCTCGCTGGTCTCTCTGCTCTCTCCCTCTCACTGGTCTCTCCCTCTCTCTCTCTCTCGCTGGTCTCTTTCTGCTCTCTCCCTCTCTCTCTCACTGGTCTCTCACTGGTCTCTCTCTGGTCTCTCTCTGGTCTCTCACTGGTCTCTCACTGGTCTCTCACTGGTCTCTCACTGGTCTCTCACTGGTCTCGCTGGTCTATCTCTCTCTGCTCTCTCTCTCTCTGGCTGAAATACCAGTCTTTGTAAAATACGGTAAATTGGCGCATAGCTGCACTTTTCCCGCAGTGTGTGCACCAGAGTCCTTATGTGTCCTTCTCTTTTTCAGCACAATGAGGTCTCTTTGAACCAGTTTTCGTGTGTTTAATGGTGTTTTGGTTGTGTTTTTGTGTCACTCACCTCTTTTTGTGTCACTCCTCTTGCGCCGCACAAACTCCCGCGCTGCGATGACACCCGGAAGTGACGAGGAAAAACATATATTTTAGTTTTAATAAATAACACATATAACTAGTTTTTTAGCACACAGGTGAGATCTTCAAGAAGCAAAACTCAATACAAACATAATTTCTGGAGACTTAACCATGGAATGTATATATTTACTGTCTATGGACGTGTCCCTCAAAACATAATAAATAAATAATAATAATAATTAGGCTTTTTACTAAAACAAAAATCAAAACTTTAAATTGAATGTTAGTGTGTTTTGTAGAAAAAAAAAAGAAAAGAAAGCAAGAACTACCGCTAACGTCACGGTAAACCGGAAGTTTGGGTCAATGCTAAAGCTAATGCTAACAACAGTGCAACTTAACCAGGTGGCAAGACTGGACCAGAACTGAACCAGATCTGAACCAAAGCTGATCCAGAGCAAAACCAGGTCTCCACCAGGTCTCAACCAGGACTCAACCTGGACTGAACCTGGACTCAACCTGGATTAAGCCAGGACTGGACCAGAGCTGAACCAGGACTGGACCAGGACTGCACTAGGATTGAGGCAGGTCTAATGGATCAAAGGACAGAGGAGGAGCCGGAGCCCATCACTCTGAAGTCCGTGAAGGATTTCAAGTAAGGTTCAAGTCTCAAACTAGTTCAGTTCAGGTTGTGTCTATCTCTGTCTACATCTGGTGGATAATAGCATCCCGCTGTAGTGGTTGAACCAAGCTTTTAGAATAATCAATGACTCTTCTGGCCCTTGGAAAAGCCATGTTCCAGCTTCTTTCCTCTGGCAGAAGACATGGTTCGCTGAGAGGCAGGACATCTCGTTTTTCAGCTTCTGTCCACAAAATGTTATCAGTTTAAAAAGAGCACTTTTGTACTGAAACTGTTTTTATTGATGGATTTCACAGCAACAATTGTAAGTAAGTAAGTAGTGTTTATTTATATACCGTCTTTCTCAGACAAGGGTCACAAAGCGGTTTACAATTGTTATTATTTTTTTGGGCATTTGTCTCTCACTCCACACAGAGATGGGAGCGGGGTCGCCGAACAGGAGGCGCATGCCAGACCTATTGTACATATTTTTAGTGGTAGGGGAAACCGGAGCACCCGGAGGAAACCTACGCAGACACGGGGAGAACATGCAAACTCCACTCAGAAAGGCCCTGTTCCGACCGGGATTCGAACCCAGGACCTTTTTGCTGAGAGGCGAGAGTGCTATCCACTCAGCCACCATGCCACAATTGTTTCTCTTTCTATTTATTTCTGTACTTTTAACCTTGGTAATTTCAGTACGTCTTTGCAGATGTATTCCAATGTGGTTTTTACTATCTCTGCTCTCGTTTCTCCCTCTGGTCTCCCTCTGGTCTGGTCTGGTCTGGTCTGCTCTCTCTCTGCTCTCGTTTCTCCCTCTGGTCTCCCTCTGGTCTGGTCTGGTCTGCTCTCTCTCTGCTCTCGTTTCTCCCTCTGGTCTGGTCTGGTCTGGTCTCTCTCTGGTCTCTCTCTGGTCTCTCTCTGGTCTCTCTCTGGTCTCTCTCTGGTCTCTCTCTGGTCTCTCTCTGGTCTCTCTCTGGTCTCTCTCTGGTCTCTCTCTGGTCTCTCTCTGGTCTCTGTAAACCATTCTCACCGGTCCTGGTCTGTACCCACAGATGGTTTTCGGTGCCTCAGAGCGACCGTTTTGGGGCCTGCAGGAGTGTGCGGGAGTTTGAGAAGTTGAACCGAATCGGAGAAGGAACCTACGGCATCGTGTACCGCGCCCGCGACACCGTCACCGGGGAAACGGTGGCTCTCAAGAAGGTGCGGATGGACAAGGAGAAGGACGGACTCCCCATCAGCTCTCTGCGGGAGATCACGGTGAGCTTCAACCCTACTGCCAACTCCTCCTCCTCAGGTCCTCCTCACTGCTCTCTCCTCCTCAGATCCTACTCTCTGCTTTCTGCTCCTCTTGCTAGGCACCTACTCTCTGCTCTGTTCTCCTCAGATCCTACTCTCTGCTCTATCCTCCTCAGATCCTACTCTCTGCTTTCTGCTCCTCCTCTTGCTAGGCACCTACTCTCTACTCTCTGCTCTCTGCTCCTCCTCAGGTCCTTCTCACTAATCTAATCTCTCCTCACTGCTCTCTACTCCCTTTCTCCTGAGGTCCTCCTCTCTGCTCTACCTCCTCCTCAATGCTCTTTCCTCCTCCTCAGGTCCTCCTCTCTACGCTCTCCTCCTTAGGTCCTCCTCTCTGCTTTCTCCTCCTCAGGTCCTCCTCAGGTCATCCCCTCTACTCTCCTCCTCCTCACGCCTTCTTCCTCCTCCTCAGGTCCTCTTCTCTGCTCTCTCCTCCTCAGGTTCTCCTCTCTGCTCTCTCCTCCTCCTCACTCCTTCTTCCTCCTCCTCAGGTCCTCTTCTCTGCTCTCTCCTCCTCAGGTTCTCCTCTCTCCTCCTCCTCACTCCTTCTTCCTCCTCCTCAGGTCCTCTTCTCTGCTCTCTCCTCCTCAGGTTCTCCTCTCTGCTCTCTCCTCCTCAGGTTCTCCTCTCTGCTCTCTCCTCCTCAGGTCATCCCCTCTACTCTCTCTTCTTCCTTACGTCCTCCTCTGCTCTCTCCTCCTTAGGTCTTCCTCTCTGCTCTCTCCTCTTCCTAAATTCTTCTTCCCTCTTCTCAGGTCCTCCTCCGCCTCCGGCACCCAAACGTGGTGGAGCTGAAGGAGGTGGTGGTGGGCTCGCACCTCCTCAGCCTGTTCCTGGTCATGAGTTACTGTGAGCAGGACCTGGCCTCGCTCCTGGACCATATGCAGAGTCCTTTCACTGAGGCCCAGGTCAAGTGCATCGTGCTGCAGGTCCTCAGGGGCCTCGAGTACCTCCACCACAACTTCATCCTCCACCGGGACCTCAAGGTGTCCAACCTGCTGATGACGGACGAGGGACAGGTGAGGACCAGAGAGACAGCAGAGAGAGAGACAGCAGAGAGAGAGACAGCAGAGAGAGAGACCAGAGAGAGGGAGACCAGAGAGAGGGAGACCAGAGAGAGGGAGACCAGAGAGAGGGAGACCAGAGAGAGGGAGACCAGAGAGAGGGAGACCAGAGAGAGGGAGACCAGAGAGAGGGAGACCAGAGAGAGGGAGACCAGAGAGAGGGAGACCAGAGAGAGGGAGGCCAGAGAGAGGGAGGCCCAGTGGTTCTGACTTCAGTCTGGTCTAATCTCTTCCTCCTTCAGGTGAAGATCGCAGACTTTGGCCTGGCGCGCTCCGCTGGGCTCCCGGTCAGGCCCATGACGCCCCGTGTGGTGACTCTGTGGTACCGCGCCCCGGAGCTGCTGCTGGGCTCGGTGACCCAGGGCCCGGCCGTGGACATGTGGGCCATGGGCTGCATCTTGGCCGAGCTTCTGCTGCACAAGCCCCTTCTCCCCGGGGCCTCGGAGATCCAGCAGCTGGACCTGATCGTGCAGCTCCTCGGGTCTCCTAACGACGCCATCTGGCCCGGCTTCTCCCGCCTCCCTCTGGTCGGCAGCTATAGCCTTCGGAAGCAGCCGTACAACAACCTGAAGAGCCGCTTCAGCTGGTTGTCCGAGGCGGGCCACAGGCTTCTCAACACGCTGTTCATGTACCAGCCGCAGAGACGGGCGTCGGCCGCGGACTGTCTCCAGAGCTCCTACTTCAAGGAGAAACCTCTGCCCTGCGAACCCGAGCTCATGCCCACTTTTCCACACCACCGCAACCAGAGAGGGAGGGCCGAGGTCAGCAGGAGGAGCCAGGGGACGAGCTCCAAGGCCCAGGAGAAGGTCACGGGGCCACAGGAGCGCAGAGGAGGGCCCCGGAGCGAGAAGGAGGAGAGGAGGCGCAGTGTGGGGGACAGAGGACCAGGGGCCAAGAGGAAGAAAGTGTAGAGTGAAAAACCAGGGAGCGAGAGACCAGAGAGCGAGAGAGCAGGGAGCGAGAGAGCAGGGAGCGAGAGAGCAGGGAGCGAGAGAGCAGGGAGCGAGAGAGCAGGGAGCGAGAGAGCAGGGAGCGAGAGAGCAGGGAGCGAGAGAGCAGGGAGCGAGAGAGCAGGGAGCGAGAGAGACCAGGGCTCCTCATGAAGCTGGGAACCTCTTCGGTCCTGGATCTACAGCCTCAGTGATTGGGAGCAGATTCATCCAGGTTTCTCACTTTTTCCCACTGGATTATTGATGATCCTGGACTGACGGTTGTGGAACAATGACTGATGTGTGTTTGTCATTTTGTATTTCCTTTGTTACAACTGTTTCATTTGTTGTCGTGGAATTGTTTGTTTGGGGGAATTTTCAAAAGTCACATGTGAAGTTTTGAGAAAAAAAAAACTAAAAAAATCAGTCATGTTCCTTTGCTGCCCTCCCGAGATTTCATGTTGATTGAGTGTCTCTCTCTGGGATTGGACAAGAGAGACAGACCAGAGAGACCAGGGAGCAAGAGAGAGACCAGGGAGCAAGAGAGAGACCAGGGAGCAAGAGAGACCAGGGAGCAAGAGAGAGACCAGGGAGCAAGAGAGAGACCAGGGAGCGAGAGAGAGACCAGGGAGCGAGAGAGAGACCAGGGAGCGAGAGAGAGACCAGGGAGCGAGAGAGAGACCAGGGAGCAAGAGAGAGACCAGGGAGCAAGAGAGAGACCAGGGAGCAAGAGAGAGACCAGGGAGCAAGAGAGAGACCAGGGAGCAAGAGAGAGACCAGGGAGCAAGAGAGTGACCAGGGAGAGAGAGACCAGGGAGCGACAGAGAGCGTGAGAAACTGAAACCAGAGAGAGAGACAGATTGAACGAGAGAGACCAGAGAGTGAACTTTAGGACCCACTGATCGAACAGACAGATCCTTTTCTGTTTAGTACAAGTCCACTTTACTGATGCATAATTATCCATACCAAATACATTTAACCAATAGATACAATTCTTACAATAGAAATGTCAAATACTGCAACACAAAAACAACAATAATAATACAAGAGGCACTTTGAAAAACATGACACTACGAGGTGATACAGATACTGAGGCGTCCGTATGGTTTCCAGCCATAAACATGTCAACACCAAAAGCACAAATAAATAAAGATATAAAGGATTGCTGTAAAAAAAAAAAAAAAAAAAAAAGTTGAGTCAAAAAGTACAAAATATAACGTGTGAGCGGTACCTCCGTCTGTCCACCAGGAGGCGCCACTGTCCCACAGAGATCTACATGAAGGAGCGAGGGACGGGAAATATGCTCAAGAAATATGTATAAAAAAAGGATTCTGTCCCAAAAACGCCTATTTCATGTCATTATTAAAGCTGGGGTACTTAATTCAGTCTCCAACACGTGTCTAGTGACGTAGATTTCAATTAATGTGGTTTGACCAGTTTTCTGTTGTCATTATACAGAATGTTTCTCACTTTCTTCTGGATGAAATTCAAACTCTTCTTCATGATGTAGTGTATGTAACGGCAGCCATTTTGTATACGGAAAATTAGCCTCACGTCAAAGAGGATAAAAGCAATTATTCTCTTGGCTCACGTTAAGTGGCCATCTTGGATTTGTAACATCAGCTCTGGGTGCTGCCATCTTGTGTCTGAGGCCAGCCCCTGACTTTGGACACTTCCTGTTTCCTCTAACGCCACGCCGCCATTCGCTCGTGCCTTTTTGACGCTCTGCTCTGATTGGACGATGCCGCTTTCTCTGCACATGCTTCAGATGTGTTAGTATTAAAATCTAAACTCCTTTGAAACATTAAAAAGTCCTACAGAGCAGAGCGCCCAAATATGGCACTGCCCCTCCTCCACTTCCTGCTCTCTCTGACATCACTTCCTCCTCTCTCTGTTCTTTGACTTTCACGTTTTCGAGTCTGAAACGATATAAAGAACATTTATATGACATCGTCATATGTTTTCTGCTGCAGTTCCACCGACGTGCTGCGGGGGCAGCACAGGCCTCAGATGGTGGAGGTGCGGTCAGCGCCATCTGCAGGAGACAAAGAGAAGATACATGAGACTGAGGCCGTAGCTGCCCTGGGGCAGACTGAGGCAAGTGTGCAGCCTGTGTAGGTCTTCTGTCAGTGAAAGGAAGTAGTACAAGTAGTAGCACTAGAAGAAGTAAGAGCAGTAGCAGTAGTAGTAGTAGCAGTAGCAGTAGCAGTAGCAGTAGTAGTAGTAGCAGTAGCAGTAGTAGCAGTAGTAGTAGTAGCAGTAGTAGCAGTACTAGTAGTAGTAGCAGTAGTACTAAAGTACTCATACCTCCCAGTGCATGCTCAGTCATACTCAAACACAGACTCTCCAGACGGTTGTTGATTTCCGGTTCCAGCGTCTGCAGATCTGTAACGTAGTACTCTTTAGAACTGAAAGTACTTTTTGGTATGTACTTTTTGGTATGTACTTTGTAGTATGTACTTTGTAGTATGTACTTTGTAGTATGTACAGTATACTTCCTCACCTGTGTGCAGCAGAGAGTGTGGCACTGGTAAAGACCGAGTCCTCTGCACAGAGCTGTGAGAGCGAGAGCCTCCGGGGTTAGCAAACCACAAACCCTGAGAACACACACCCTGTTAAACACACAGGTACACACACAGGGACACACAGGTACACACAGGTACACACACAGGTACACACACAGGGACACACACAGGGACACACACAGGGACACACACAGAGACACACAGGGACACACAGGGACACACAGAGACACACAGAGACACACAGGTACCTGATTGGCTGCTCACCTGTCTCCCAGTGGGAGTTCCGCTCCGGCTCCCGAGCCCCATCACGGCCCCTGAGCTCGGCAACAGTCCCAGTCGGGCCCCAGGAAGACTGCGAGAAGGCATCTGATACTGTCTGAGGGCCCGTCTCACTGAGGCCCCAGGACACAGGGAGCCCGAGGGGAGGGAGGAGGACTGACCCAGGCCCCGGGAGCTGTGGAGGAGAGGAGGAGGAGGAGTGAGGAGAGAGGAGGACTGACCCAGGCCCCGGGAGCTGTGGAGGAGAGAGGAGGAGAGAGGAGGGAGGAGGAGTGAGGAGAGAGGAGGAGAGAGGAGGAGTGAGGAGAGAGGAGAGAGGAGGACTGACCCAGGCCCCGGGAGCTGAGGAGGAGAAGAGTTAGAGGGGTGGAGCCACACAGGGGACGGGGCTGCAGTACTCCTTACCTCCTGCGGTAGGCGCTCAGGTCCAACAGAGTTTTTCGAGGCAATGAGCGAAACAGTTTCTGCACCTGCTGCTTCCACGAGAGGAGGCGCTTCTTCTGAGGCTCTGAGAACGCCTGAGGAGGAGAGAGGAGGAGAGAGGAGGAGAGAGGGGGAGAGCGGAGGAGAGCGGAGAGAGAGGGGAGAGGAGGAGAGGGGAAGAGGAGAGAGGGGGAAAAGGAGGAGAGAGAGGAGATGAGAGGAGAGAAGTAAGAGAAACTTGTCAAATGTGTGGAGGATAAAACAGATACTTTATATTAGAGTACTTTAACAGTAGGAGTACAGAAAATACTCGAGTACTTACCTGGTGCAGCAGACACTTGTCGAGCAGCTGCAGATACAGACTCAGGTTCTCTTCATCAGAACGAGACACCAGCAGCTGAGTGCACACTGTAACACACACACACAGGTGAGCAGTGGCTCTACCCCGAGCTCCTCCCCAGCAGCTGAGTGCACACTGTAACACAGCAGTGGTCGCCTCGGTTACGGCTCCAGCTGCAGACTCCGCCTCTGCCATCCTGGCCCCGCCCCTTCCGCTCTAGTCTCTCTCTGCCCTCGGTGTCTCTCCCTGGTCTCTTTCTCTCTCTCTTCTGTAACTCTGGTCTCTCTCTGGCTCTACCCCGAGCTCCTCCCCAGCAGCTGAGTGCACACTAACACACAGAGGTGAGCAGTGGCTCTACCCCAAGCTCCTCCCCAGCAGCTGAGGTCTCTCACCTTTGCCCATGACGCGGGTGAACTGAGCGGGCAGGTCGCCCTCGCTTACGGCTCCAGCTGCAGACTCCGCCTCTGCCATGCTGGCTCCGCCCCCTCCTCTCTGGGGGGGGCAGGTGAACGGCCTCATGGGAGTGAGGATCATCTGGTGCAGCTCCTGGAGAGGCCCCCGAAGCCCCGCCCCCTCGAGCACCTCCTGCAGGAGCAGAGAACACAGTGTCACCTCCTAAAGAGTCAGACTCACAGTAGGAGTAAAGGTCTCTCTCTGGTCTCTCTCTGGTCTCTCTCTGGTCTCTCTCTGGTCTCTCTCTGGTCTCTCTCTGGTCTCTCTCTGGTCTCTCTCTGGTCTCTCTCTGGTCTCTCTCTGGTCTCTCTCTGGTCTCTCTCTGGTCTCTATCTGGTCTCTATCTGGTCTCTATCTGGTCTCTATCTGGTCTCTATCTGGTCTCTATCTGGTCTCTATCTGGTCTCTATCTCTCTCTCTCTGGTCTCTCTCCCTCTCTCTGGTCTCTCTCCCTCTCTCTGGTCTCTCTCCCTCTCTCTGGTCTCTCTCTCTCTCTCTCTGGTCTCTCTCTGGTCTCTCTCTATCTGGTCTCTCTCTCTCTCTGGTCTCTCTCTCTGGTCTCTCTCTCTCTCTGGTCTCTCTCTCTCTCTGGTCTCTCTCTCTCTGGTCTCTCTCTCCCTCTCTGGTCTCTCTCACCTTCTCCAGGGCTCTCAGGGCGCTCTGCCGCTCTCTCAATTTCTGGATGCTGATAATGATTTTGTGTCGTGCTCCTTTGGTCACTTTCTGAAAAGGCACAAGAGCATGTATTAGGAGTGTGACATCACCACAGTATGACATCACCACAGTGTGACATCACCACAGTGTGACATCACCACAGTGTGACATCACCACAGTGTGACATCACTTAAATATTAGCCTTAATGCGAAGAAGAAGCCATAAGGAATTTTGGTATTTTAACAGGAGCAGACTTGTTGCTAAGACGGTTGCTAAGGCAAGCTGTAGCTTCCCTGTGAATGAAGGCGTTTGATTGGTCAATCCTTATATGGCTTATTCTGCATTTACAAAGACAACATCACATCTAAACACCAGGATCAAACAAACCATGTGTTTTTAAATCCAACAATGAGTTAGACACATCAGTACTCTTTACCTGCAAGTCAATGAAGCACTTCATTATGCTAGTGGGTTAGCACTGAGCTAGTGGGTTAGCACTGAGCTAGTGGGTTAGCATTGAGCTAGTGGGTTAGCACTGAGCTAGTGGGTTAGCATCAGTGGGGGCAGGTCCCGGCTCAAAAGTGGCCAAAATGACGTGCGCTGACATGCTGCAATACCACCCCGGGCCGATGGGGGTGGACCCGGAATAAGAATTAGCCAATGCTAACATATAGCATTAGCAGACCTCTTGAAAACGTCAAGGATGGTCCAAAAGTTGGCTCTTGGCCCAAAGCTCTGTTCCACATGTGTGTCAATGCCGAGGCCGGTCTAGTTTAGTCGCTGTGAATTTTTGAAGTCTCTAGTTTAAATGAAAGTGAATTTTGAATTACTCCATGAAAGCCCAATTTTTGGCCCATTAGTTAGAACGGCGGAGATAGGTGTGACTATGTCCGTTAGTATATGGTATATGGTTAGCACTGAGCTAGTGGGTTAGCACTGAGCTAGCAGGTTAGCATCATCCATCAGTTCCCAGTCTAACGTCATTGTGTTTTAGAACCACAGAGCAGTGTTGATCTGAGAAACAAGGGTTGGAGGAGACCACACTTTAGGAAGTGTGGCTGCCGGATTCGTCCCGGAAAACTGATTTGTCCGGAAGTTCAGTTTATGCATGTCAAAAAGTGTAAATAAACATGTAAACAGTTTGTGTTGTTATGAACACAAATCAATAATATAATCTGTATATATGTATCGAGGTTTATTACAAGAAATGGCGGAAAAAAACTCAGAAAAAAAAACGTTTAGTAGCCGCCCAGCTAGTGCCCAGATGCGTTCAAAATCACACGGAAATGAGGCAAACACATAGAAAGTTTAATTCATGAGTAGAGTCACTGTCCTTTACTTGTTTAACTAATTACTTGACTCTGTATGTATGAATGTACGGGATAAATTATTACAATTGTTTTTTGCAACAATGGGACTTACAAATGGGTGGTTTTATGGCGCCCTCTCAAGGTCACACACTAAATGTCAAGGAAACGCTAAAAGTATCAAATAAATAAACATTATCCAGCTCTAAAATTGACAAAATAGGAATTAAATTAAAGCTAATAAAGCTAAAACAAAATTGACCTCTAATATAAATTAATTTAACCAGTTCCGGATTTCCGTGTGTCTTTGAACGCATCTGGGCACTAGCAGTTTTTCTGCCATTTCTTGTAATAAACCTCGATACATATGAACACAAATCAATAATATAATCTGTATATAACAACACAAACTGTTTACATGTTTAATTACACTTTTTGACAATCCCGCAGCCACAGGAAGCACTGGTACATGCCTCCCTCTCCTGTCCTCTCCCCTTGGATCCTCCCCCCTCTTGCCCTCCCTCCCTTCTCTTCCTTCTCCTCCTCCTCCTCCTCCTCCTCCCCTGTCATGTCCTCCCCCTCCTCCTCAGTCTCCTTGCACCTGGAGGAAGTGTTTCCTGTCGTGTTAAATTTAACTCTGTCTCCTGCAGAGAACTCTCCTTCACAGATCTCAACAAGTAGTATCTGCAGTATTAGTATTTGCAGTAGTAGTAGTGGCAGTAGTAGTAGGATATGCAGTAGTAGTAGTGGCCAGCCTGTACCTGTGCCACAGTGGTTGCTATGGTTACGCACTTCAGATGTCAGATTTGACCATCGCATAAATCCACAACTTTTCTTGGTGTAAAAAAAAATCATTGTTTATTTATGAATCTTTCAAAATAACAAAACTCCATAAAGTCCATTGGCCTCAGAGGGTCCATTCATGCTACACAGGCGCCACCTACAGGCCAATCATTGCACTGTGTGGTTCTTACAAGTAGATTTGCAGTGGTGGTAGTAGTAGTAGTAGTAGTAGTACTTGCAGTAGTAGTAGTACTTGTACCTGGGCCTCCAGCTGCTCCTCGCTCAGATTCATCATCTCTTCGTACGTCAGAGTCGAAAACAGAGCTGAGTATTTATGCAAACGAAGACTTTTCAACCACTGAGGAACATCTGAGGAACAAGAAGAACATCTGAGGAACATCTGAAGAGACCAGAGAGAGAGACCAGAGAGAGAGACCAGAGAGAGAGACCAGAGAGAGAGACCAGAGAGAGAGACCAGAGAGAGAGACCAGAGAGAGAGAGACCAGAGAGAGAGAGACCAGAGAGAGAGAGACCAGAGAGAGAGACCAGAGAGAGAGACCAGAGAGAGATCAGAGAGAGAGAGACTAGAGAGAGAGAGACCAGAGAGAGAGACAAGAAAGAGACCAGAGAGAGAGAGAGAGAGACCAGAGAGAGAGACAAGAGAGAGACCAGAGTGAGAGAGAGACCAGAGTGAGAGAGAGACCAGAGAGAGAGAGACCAGAGAGAGAGAGACCAGAGAGAGAGACCAGAGAGAGAGACCAGAGAGAGAGACCAGAGAGAGAGTGACCATAGAGAGACCACTGAAAGAGACCAGAGAGAGACCAGAGAGAGACCAGAGAGAGACCAGAGAGAGACCAGAGAGAGACCAGAGAGAGACCAGAGAGAGACCAGAGAGAGACCAGGGAGGACCGCGTCACTTCCACCCACCTCTCATGGTCTCGTCGTACAGATGTTCATGGTACCCTCTTAGAGCCAGCTCCTCCAGGGCCTCGCTACCGCCGCTGCCCGAGGATGTCACACTGCTCTGGGGGGAGAGCGGTACGTGGCTGGGGGGGGACATGGGTGTGTGGTCCTGGGCCCGGCTTTGGGGGGACAGGGGGGGTCTGCGGAGGTCCTCCTGGGACAGCCACACCTGCCCTGGTCCCGAGCTGATGGGAGGGGTGAGGGAGACTGAGCGCTTCAGGGGGGAGTGAGGGGGGGCGGGGGACACTGCGGGAGACAAGAGGGGGAGGGAAGTAAGTATGGATCTCACCCTGACTTACACCAAGAGAGACCAGAGAGAGAGAGAGACCAGCATGAGAGAGCAGAGAGAGACCAGAGAGAGAGAGAGACCAGCATGAGAGACCAGAGAGAGAGAGACCAGAGAGAGAGAGAGACCAGAGAGAGAAACTAGGGAGAAAGACCAGAGAGAGAGAGAGAGAGAGACCAGAGAGACAGAGATCAGAGAGAGACCAAAGAGAGAAACCAGCTTGAGAGACCAGAGAGAGAAACTAGGGAGAGAGAGCAGAGATGGATCAAAGAGAAAAAAACAGAGAGAGAGAAGCAAGAGACCAGCAAGAGAGAGACCAAAGAGAGAGACAAAAGAGAGAAAGAGAGAGAGAGAAACCCAGTTAGAGAGACGAGAGATAGAGAGACCAGCAAGAGATACTATAGAGAGAAACTATGGAGAGAGACTAGAGAGAGAGACCAAAGAGAGAAACCAGAGAGACTCAAGAGAGACCAGAGAGAGAAACTAAAGAGTGAGACTAGAGAGTCCCGAGAGAGACGAGAGAGAGACCATAGAGAGGGAAAGACAAGAAAGAGACCAGAGAGAAAGACTAAACGGTGATCTTGTGTTTCTTTCTTTGATGATCTCAGACTGCCCTGTGTGAGAGGCAGGAGCCACCTAACGGGACACAGAGGGCCGCATTTGGCCTGCGGGCCCTGTTTGGGCCGTGGACAGTGGGTCATCATGATGAGGTTTTCCTTCCGGACTCCTCATCCTCCTAAAGCCGAGATATAACAGACTCCAGAATCTTCCGCGCTCAGAATAATCCGGCTTTGTGCAGGAGTCTTGTCGGCGCGGCTAAACTTGGCTGCGGTGAGCGGGAAATAGGCCGCGCTAGAATAGGCTCAGCTAACGTTACCGCTCAATGTTAGCGGTTTCCCTGAAATATCGGCCCAGCCACACACAGCCACACACGGCCATACAAGGCAGCAAAACCCGGACCAGGTTTAGACTGGGTTTGGAGCAGATTTGGAGCAGATTTGGAGCAGATTTGGAGCAGGTGTGGACCAGGTGTGGACCAGGTGTGGACCAGGTGTGGACCAGGTGTGGACCAGGTGTGGACCAGGTGTGGACCAGGTGTGGACCAGGTTGTGGACCAGGTGTGGACCAGGTGTGGACCAGGTGTGGACCAGGTGTGGACCAGGTTTGGACCAGGTTTGGACCAGGTTTGGACCAGGTTTGGACCAGGTTTGGACCAGGTTTGGACCAGGTTTGGACCAGGTTTGGACCAGGTTTGGACCAGGTTTGGACCAGGTTTGGACCAGGTTTGGACCAGGTTTGGACCAGGTTTGGACCAGGTTTGGACCAGGTTTGGACCAGGTTTGGACCAGGTTTGGACCAGGTTTGGACCAGGTTTGGACCAGGTTTGGACCAGGTTTGGACCAGGTTTGGACCAGGTTTGGACCAGGTTTGGACCAGGTTTGGACCAGGTTTGGACCAGGTTTGGACCAGGTTTGGACCAGGTTTGGACCAGGTTTGGACCAGGTTTGGACCAGGTTTGGACCAGGTTTGGACCAGGTTTGGACCAGGTTTGGACCAGGTTTGGACCAGGTTTGGACCAGGTTTGGACCAGGTTTGGACCAGGTTTAGACCAGGTTTAGACCAGGTTTAGACCAGGTTTAGACCAGGCCAAAACTTCACTTATGATTATCTTTAGTCTGTGAGAGAACTCTTCTGAATGAGCTCAGTGCAGTAGCATCTGTAGGGGGCGCCGTTCTGAGACCACAGTATTTATAACACTCAGCTGTTTGTCTACTGGACCCAACACACACACACACACACAAAGAGGTAGAGACAGACACACACACACACACACACACACACACACACACACAGAGAGACAGACACACACAGACAGAGACACAAACAGAGAGACACAGAGACAAACACACAGAACACACACACACACAGAGAGAGAGACAGACACAGACAGACAGACACACAAACAGAGAGACACAGAGACAAACACACAGAACACACACACACACAGAGAGAGAGACACACACACAAACACACACACACGTGATGTTTCCTACTTTTGCTTGACGTTCCCAAAACTAGTACAAAACCTGAGACACGAGCAGAGTCATATGATCATCATGAGGGCGTGGCCTATCTGCCCCAAACACACGAAGAACATGTCTCTCCCTTCCATGCATGTGCGCTCTGAATCTCAGTAGGACTGGGGTTCAGTCGTTACGTGCAGTGTAAGCTCAGGCTGGGACTCACGTGCACTGGCGGCGCTGCTGCTCAGGGCACTGGCCGCGCCGGTGCCCAGGGCGTTGATTGCCGCAGGCACAGAGGACGATGGAAACAGGTGGCCGTTCTCAGAGCCCCAGCCCTGATGCTGCTGCCAACCGTTCAGTCGGTCTTCAGAGCCGTACCGCGGGTAAAGCTGACTCTTCTGTCCCCCTCCGGAGCTCTGGGAGTGCGCTGTCAAACAAACAAGACTTGAAATGTGTTTATGACAAGAAATGACATGGTAATATCTGTGTACGCCGCCTGCGTACACGCGTGTCATACAGACGCCGCTGGCGTACACGTGTGTCGTACACTGCTTGCGCAGACATTGCGTACACGCATATATACTGAGACCCACAGTGTTCCTACACGTGTGCGTACACATGTGCGTACACACACATGTGCGTACACGCATACTGTATACACTAAGACCCACAGTGTGCGTACACGTGTGCGTACACATATACTGGGACCCACCGTGTGCGTACACGTGTGCGTACACGTGTGCGTACATATATATTGAGACCCACCGTGTGCGTACGGCTTGTGGCTCCTCTGCGCTGCTTCGCGGGTGATGCGCTCCTCCCTGCTGTGCGCCTTGTCTCTGTTAGCATGTTCTTCAGCGTTAGCATGCTCTTCCCCATCCTCCATCTGGGCCTCCTCCAGGTGTGTGTCCTCCCTCTGCGCCTCCTGCCGGCTGGCGTGCTCCTCCAGATGCGTCAGCCACAGGGCCAGAGCGCCGCGGTCCTCCATAGACGTGGCCGGGTGGATCAGTGCGTACGACAGCAGCTGACGCGACTCTTCCACGTAGCGCCCGGACTCGATGGCATGCGCCAGGATCCAGGGCAGCAGCCGCATGTACGCGCACTTGGCGTCTGCACTTCCTGGTTTGAGAAGTGGCAAATGCGACAGCAGCAAAGAGATCACACGCTCTTTCGATTCGCGCTGCCACCGACTGATGACCACTGTAGAAGAAAAAAAGGGGTTGGATGAAGCGGACATCATGGGGCTCCAACTCACACAGACACAGCCCCAAACACTCTCCGACCACACACCCCTCTCAGTGTGGAGGGAATCAATCATTATTCTATTTTTTTTATAATTTAGGTACAAACATTTTTGCAGAGAGAGTCTGGGTCCTGGTCTTACCCGGGTCGTTGGCCTCCGTCTCCATGGCGATCAGCTCGGTGCAGTCGCTCAGAGAATGTTCTAGACACGTCTGAAGGAACCGGGCCTGAGTCCGGCTCACTCTCTTCAGCAGCGACAACAGCGCCACCGTCTGTTCACACTCGTTCCAACACCGGAACCAACCGGCCAAGACCGAAACCTGGTCCCGAAACATCATCCCTGTGGAGACCCAAGACCTGTCAGTGTGCCCCGGGGCGGCTGTGGCTACATCACCTTCTGTGATGAGGATTTGTTTTTTATTTTAAGGTGAAAGTTTGATGTGAAGACTATCAATACAAGGATACAGACCAGGACCAGGGCCGGACCCAAGACTGGACCCAGGATCAGGACTGAGGAACAGACCAAGGACCTGACCCAGGATCAGACCCAGGATCAGACCCAAGACCAGGCAAGAGAGCCCGACCCAGGACTGGACCCAGTATTAGACCCAGACCCAGGACTGGACCCATATCCAGGATCGGATCCAGGGCCGGACACAGGACAGGACCAGGACTGGACCCAGGGCCAAACCCAGGACCGTTCTCTGTACTAGAAAGATCCCTGTGAGTCAGTAATGGACTCTTTGGGCTGAGATCTGATTGGCCGAGAGAGGGGGGTCCTCTCTGTGTCTAAAGACGTGACAGAGACAGAAACACATGAAGCCAAAACTAGAGACTTAAGTTTATGAGTTCTGTTGTTGTGGTCTGAAAGTTACGTCCCTGAGCTTTAATCTCAGAGGGTCACTCACCTTTGCTGACGGAGACCAAAGCTGGTTCAAAAATCCCAAATATAAAATTCCAAAATCAGAAAATGTAGGATACAAAATATTTACTGAAAAATACAATCAAAAAACTGCAGCAAAAATCCACAAAAGTAGAAAAAAAATTAATCCAGGTTCAGAAAAAATCACTTCATCATAAAAAATATAGAAAAATATTGTACAAAAAAGTCTAAAATTACAACATTATTAAAGTGCAAAAGGAGAGAGACGTTTTTCAGCCGAGCTCAAGTCATAAATCCTGCTTCAGTCCTGCTTTAGACCTGGTCCAGTCCTGCTTCAGTCCTGCTTGAGACCTGGTCTGGTTCTGCTTTAGTCCTACTTTAGTCCTGCTTTAGTCCTGCTTTAGTCCTGGTTTAGAAACCACAGATGCAACGATTGTGGGAACATGGCGCCGTCAGATTTTTCCTCCTGAAATAAAAACAGATTTGAATGAGAAGAGACCAGAGAGAGACCAGAGAGAGACCAGAGAGAGAGACCAGAGAGAGACCAGAGAGACCAGAGAGAGACTAGAGAGAGACCAGAGAGAGACTAGAGAGAGACCAGAGAGAGAGACCAGAGAGAGACCAGAGAGAGAGACCAGAGAGAGACCAGAGAGAGAGACACGAGAGAGACCAGAGAGAGACCAGAGAGAGACTGGGAGAGAGATCAAGAGAGAGACCAGAGAGAGACCAGAGAGAGACCAGAGAGACAGACCAGAGAGAGACCAGAGAGAGAGACCAGAGAGAGACCAGAGAGAGACCAGAGAGAGAGACGGAGAGAGAGCAGCTGGCAAGAGAACAGTTTTATTGGCTCTAAGCTACACCTGTATTTGGGAACACGCCTCGGCACAAAAAGTTCAGGGGAAGAGCTCTCTGAACTGAACAGAGACACTGGTGTGTGGTGGTAGGAGTCCAGTCCAGTCCTGGCCGAGTCCGCTCTGGGCTGAGTCCGGTGATGGCTCAGTTCTGGTCCAGTCCTGGTTCAGTCCCAGCTCAGTTCCGGCTCAGTCCTGGTCCAGTCCCGACTCAGTCCAGGTCCTATCCAGATCCAGTCCAGGTCCAGTCCAGATCCAGTCTTAGCTTGGTCCTGGTTTAGTAGTCATGGTCCAGTCCTGGTTTGGCCTTAGTTCAGTCTTAGCTTAGTCTTGGTTTAGTCCAGGCTAGTCCTAGCTCGGTCTTGATCCAGTCCTGACCCAGTCCAGTCTAGTCCTGGTCCAGTCCTTGTGGGTGTCACTGTGGCGAGTTCATGTCTGAGACCAAAATAAAGTTCCACAAGTCTAAAAATACTGCAGTAAAAATACTACCGACTCCACCAAGCCTCAGTACACACAATAATACAAGTACTACTACTGCTACTGTAACTACTGCAGTACTACTGCAGTACTACTATCACATTATTACAAGTCAAATCACAGACTTTTACCTGGGTTAGACCTGGTTCAGACCTGGGTTGGACCTGGGTTAGATCTGATTTGGAGCAGTCTTAGACCCGCTTTAACCCTACATTAGACCTCTTCAGACCTGGTTCAGTCCTGGTTCAGTCCCAGTTCAGAACTGGTTCAGAACTGGTTCAGACCTAGGTTAGACCTGGGTTAGACCTTCTTTAACCCTGCATTAGACCCTCCTCAGTCCTGATCCAGTCCCAGTCTGTTTCCAGTGGGACCCTCCCTGTCTGAGTCGCTCCTTCACGGAATGTCAAACTTTTTCCCTGCATAAAGGCGCCTCTCTTCGGCGTAACTCTGTGGGATTCTTGGGCCTCGCAGTAAAACTTTCTCCGCTCCTAAAACACTTCTCTTTCCCCGTGTTCCAGCTCACTTTTCTCGGGTGAGCTCTAGAGTTTGTTCCCGAGCCTGAGTCAGTTTGCGTCGGGCTGAAAACCTCCGTACGTACCCGGGGCTGTGCCGTGGAGCCTCTTTGCTCTCTGCGGGGGAAGGGCGCATGTCTCCCGGCCACAGAGCTCCGCAGCTGTCGGGCTGAACTCCTCCGTGTGTGAGAGACTTTCCCCGGGACGGTCCCCTCTGGCTGCCCACTCAGACCCCTCCCTGTGTGAACACATCCGGACTGGACCTTCAGACTAAAGTCCTGGTCCAGGGCCGGTCCTCGTCTTCAGAGGGCTTTAAAGAGTTTGAGGGGCCCCCATTTCGTCCCATAACAATCTGACCAATGGTCTCATCAATAACACAGGTTTAAAGCTGGTGTTGTGAGATCTGCCCATCTCACAAGTGCAGTGGCTTTGTGGGTAATGTGTGTGTGTGTGTGTGAGCGCGCAGAGGTGACGGGAGCGCGCAGAGGTGACGGGAGCGCGCCGGTAGACAGAGGCTGTGTCCAAAACCACATCACGTCTCGCCTCCTACCTCGCCTGTGGCTACGCGGCCTTCCCTCGATGCCTACATATCCACGCTACGCGGCCCGATGCCTACCGTTTTGGACACAGCCAGAGACAGGAGAGAGGGGAGGAAGGAGAGAGAGGGGAGGGGAGAGAGAGGGGAGGGGAGGGGAGGGGAGGGGAGGGGAGGGGGAGAGTGAGGGCTAGGACAGAGCGGTGTGTATGAAAAGTTTTGTGTGAGAGCGAGAGTGCGACCGGAGCAAGACAGGGAACTTGTGTTTGGCATGCTGGGTTTGGGAGTGACAATAAAGCCCACTCCTGAGCAACAGTCCGTGTCCCTATATCCGCTCCACACTTTAACAGCGAGGGTCAAACAAGAAGGGAATTACGCCCCGGAGGAACGCACCCCTTCGGCCCTGGAGCAGCAGATCTCCCCTGCGCCCCTCGACCTCAGTCTTGGGGCTTATTTCAGGAAAGGCGTAACACTGGGATAACTAACTTTAGTCTCGTAATTAACATGTAGATTGTCCAACAGAAAGCAGCTTGTAAGAATAAACTTTTGTGAAAAAATCAGACACATTTTCATGTTTTCTGAACTGTTCTGATCCCTGTGAGTCACTATTTGACTCTTTGAGCTGAGCGCTGATTCGCTGAGAGAGGGCGGTCCTCTATGTTTAACTTTTCTGTCTGAAAAAAACTGATCTATAGATGTGAGAGAGCCAAAAACAACATGCATGTGAAAACTAGACCAGGACCAAGACCAGGACCAGCACCAACACCAGACCAGCACCAACACCAGACCAGGACCAGTGTACACTATTTTCATTTAGAGCCATGGAACTAGTGACATATGTTTAATTACAAGGCTCTATTGTTTTGGTCTGAAAATACAAACCCCAGCTTTAAAGTACGTACCAAGCTTTAATGTTACGTACCCCAGCTTTAACTCCAAGTTCTGTATGAAGCAGAAGTGGTTGGTGTCCCCACAGTGTCCACACGGGGGCGCTGTTGTAGCACAAATCCAACAGACCCTCGTGGCGTGAAAGCATGGATGTATTATATTAACTGGATAGGGTATTACTAGCTTGTAGCTGAATAACTCATGTGCTCAGGGGATTCTCGCGGTACTGCAGACTGAACCAGACTAAATTCACGTGGGCTACCCAGAAATTTTCCCCATAGAACTCAATGCATATTAAAACAGCTCGACCTCAGCTGACAGAGAACCTACAGCTTTAATAAAGATAGGATTTTGTGGGGATTTTAGTGTCCCTTGTCATCCTGGACTTTTTTTCTTCTTAAATCCTTCGGTTTTGTTTAAATCCACACTTTAGTGCCACAAACTCTGCTCGTCTGGCTCTCGCTCTAACTCCCGCTCTGATGAACTGCTCTGATTGGTCAGAGCGCGGCCGAGCCCCTCTGTGCACGTGCGTGAGACCCGGTGTGAGACCCAGACACGCGTGTTTGGCGCAACGCATTATGGGAGATCATCCACTGCGCAGAACCGGGAGGACCAGACGATGCCCAAATACAGGCGAGTTTCCCATAGATCTTTGCGAGTTTCAGGCAACTTCCTGTAATAGGCCAAGCCTGGCCCTTTAAGAGCGGTGCATTGTGGGATGTCTTGGGTCTGTGTAGTCTGTTGTTTTGGCGCTCAACGCTCTGTTCTGCAGTGGCCTCTCTTCATTAAGGCTCCTCTGTCATGCTCCTGTTCTATTTTTGGAATAAAAAATACGTCTAACGAGTACTACGCCTGTACTACGGTTAAGAGATCACTGGGCAGGGGAAGAAAAGTAACACTGGGGGCTCGAGTCCGGGATCCGTCTTTGCAAGTCCGGAGAAAATACAGGGACCACGACGAGAAAATGGCGGCGCCTGTTTACCGTGAAAATGGCAATGCGGATTTTAAAACACGTTCGAAGGTAACAGAGCATAACAAGAGCACCAACCCGTTTTGGCCAGAGTTGGCAGAGACTGAAAGAGCTATGCTAAATATGATGGTTCGTAATAGAAACGAGATCAGCCCGGTTGTCAATAGCATGGAGCTATTAGCTGCGCAGAACGAGCACCGTGGGCCGACGCAGCAACAAGGGGCGTTATGGCCGCCCACACCGCCACCATCGGCACACACAAACCCCTTCCTGACCCCCGCGGACACGGTCGGTTGTCAATCTAGGACCGTCCATTATTCTGACGACTACAAATTAACCCCATTTGTGACAAAGAACGATGTGAATGAAAACACAGTTTTCCAGACTCTTCCTAAGCCCATTAACTGTGACTGTGCAGCCGGTTTGCCTACTCAACCCCACAGCGGGCCATTTTTTCTGCCAGATGCCGCCATCAGGTTTAGCGCTCCGGTTCTAAGTTCCAGCCCATACCCGTGCCTTCCTGGGAGGCCAAGTGTGAGTACCCATGAATGTGACCCAGGTCGTCCCAGTTATAAGCGGGCAAAGTCAGCGCCCCGCCGCCGGGTTGTGGAGGCATGCGCGGATAGCAGTGATGAAGAATGTTACAGGATTAAAGAGAGAATCCCTACTCTGCGACCCGGTAACTTTGATGGGACAGGTTCGTGGAAAGGCTTTATTTACTAGTTTGAAACATGTGCCAGAGCCAATCACTGGTCAGAAGAGACTAAAGCTATTCAACTCAGATTCAGTTTAAGTGGTGCTGCTGGCGCTATTGTCCACAAGAACCCCAACTCTGCTAACTGGAGCTATGAGCACATTGTGAAGGAAGTGGACGCTGCTTATGGGCCGCAGTCAGAGCACGCTGCAGCTGTTGGCATCGAGCTGAGGCAGAGAGTCAGGAAACAAGGTGAAACCATGCACACACTCCGAGACGACATCTATGAAAAGGTCGCTATTGTGTATGGTGACCGTACTGAACGGGAACAGGACTGTGTAGCTGTGGAGATTTTCACTAATGCGATGACCGACGCTGACATTATCCAAAAGCTCCTTGAAGAGAAGCCTCGTACACTCGCTTGTGCCTATGACATTGCCCACCGGTACGAGACCACAAAGAGAGCAGCCAGGGCCGTAACACAGATGATGCGTCTAGGGCTGGGTCCCCGCGGCTCGGCAGCAAGAGCGGCTGTGGTATTGGAGGATGCTCCAGCCTCTGAATGCGATCAACCAAGGTGCGCTCCTGTTACGTCCGCCCAGCACACACACAGGGCGCTAAAAGCTCGTCAACAACATCCAAATAAGACTATGACCAGCAAAATGACCTCACAGGAGGTCGTTTGTCACAACTGCTCCGGCGTGGGGCATATCCAGAAGCAATGTCCCTCTCCACGCCGCCCCCAGCAAAGACAAGTTAGTTTAATTCCTAACCCATCGTCTGACACTGGTGCAGTAATTGTATGCAGTAAAAGCCAAGAAGAAGATATGTGTGTTCAGATTATGATACACGGACTAAGACTTAGCGCTCTGTTGGATTCTGGAGCGAGACGAAACGTGCTGCCCCTACACCATTTCAACTCTCTGCCAACCCAGTCCAGGCCGCCTGTACAGCCATCCATCGCCAAGGTTCTGCAGGGAATAGGGCCTGAAGGTTTATCTATCCTGGGTGAAGTTGTCTTGCCTGTCTTCGTGGGGAGCAGAACAACGGATGTAAATTTCATTATGGCCGACACCGCCCGAAGCACCGAGGTCATCCTGGGACATCCCTTCCTGCGTCAGTCCAATGCATGCCTGGACTACGGCCGCCGAGAGATATCCCTCTTCAACGTAAAAGTTCCACGCTACGACCCCAATTACCAGCCTGCTGCTGCCGCCCATGTCGTCCGGATTGCCCGCACCACTGTCCTGGAACCTGGTCGTGAGTATGTGGTACCTGGGTCCGCCAGCCTCCGCTCTCAAACCGGTGGCGACCTGATGCTCAGTCCAACCAAGGCCTTTATCGAGAAACACTGTGTCCTGGTGGCCCATGCGGTCGTCCAACCACTAAAGTCCGCCGGCATTCCCATCCGAGTCTTCAACCCTGGGTCTACGCCTGTCACCCTGAAGAGAGGAACCGTGGCCGGTGTCCTCCAGCCTGCCGAGGTGGTGGCCACCCTTGAGTCGGCGCCAACCTTGCCCCCGTCTAAGCCGGGGCCCATTAACTCTGTTTCTGTCCCTTCCCACTTGCAGGTCATGTATGGTGAGAGCTGCTCCATCTTGTCAGAGGGTGACTGCAACAAACTCGCCCATCTGCTACATTCCTACGCCGATATCTTCTCTACTGGCCCTACTGACCTCGGCCGCACCAACATCGTGCAACATGACATCCAGACCCTGCCAGGGCCTCCAGTCAAGCAGCCTCCACGCAGAATGGCCGCCGACAAGCAGCTCGCAGCCGACCAGCAGCTTCAACAGAGTCTCGACGCGGGTGTTGCTCAACCGAGTAACAGTAGCTGGGCAGCGCCAATCGTAGTGGTGTGAAGAAAAAGGACAAGTCTCCCAGGCTGTGTGTGGACTACAGACCGAGGGAGAGATAGGGGGGATAAGAGAGGAGGGAGAGAGGATAGAGGAGGGGGGGGAGAGAGAGAGAATGAAGAGAGGGGGGAGAGAGAGAGGGAAGAGAGGTAGGGATAGAGAGATGGGGAAGAGAGATATTAGTAGAGAGGATAGAGAAGATGAAGAACAGGGAGGGAGATCGGGGGGGGAGAGAAGTGGAGAGAGAAGAGAGAGGAGGGAGAGAGGAAGAGAAAGAGGGAGAGAGGAGAGAGTGAGAAGAGGGAGGAGAGAGGGGGGAGAGAGGGAGGGTTGAGATAGAATAGAGAGAGATGGAATAGAGGGAGGATTAGAGGAGAGAGGGAGAGAGAGGAGGGAGGGGGGGGAGAGGGAGAGAGTGAGAGGATGGGGAGAGAAGGAGAGAGAGGGATGAGTGAGGGGGAGAGAGAGAGGGAGAGAGAGTGGAGGGAGATGGGAGAGAGAGAGAGAGAGGTAGAGATGGCTAGAAGGGACGGGTGAAGGGCTAGATGCGATTTAGGGGATTAGGAGTTTGGGTTGGTGGGGTTGGGGGGTGGGTGGTTATAGGGTTGGGGATAGGGGTAGGAAAAGAAATGAAGTAGGTGGAGGGTAAGGAGGTTAATTATAGGGGTAAGGGGAAGAAAAAGGAGTAAATTGTATGGTGAAGATTATTATGTGATGAGAGGGGGTGGGGATGGGGGGGGGGGGGAGAGAGGTGTGGGGGGGGGTGGGAGAGTTGGTGTTTAGGGGGGGTTGAAGTTTGGTGGTTATGGATGGTGGGGGGGTTGGGGGGTAGGTGGATGAGGAAGAATGAGGGAGTGGAGGGGTATAGGGGGGGGGTGATTTATAATGGAGTGTTACGTAAATAATGAATAAGGTAGGGGGGGATGGAGGATATGGGTGATTGGGAGGGTTTTGGGGTGTAGGATGTTGGGGAAAGGAGGGTAGAGGGGGTGTGGGGGAGGGGGAGAAGGTTGGGGGGATTTTGGAAGTAGGGGTGAGTTATGGGAAAAGTGTTAGGTGTGGGTAAGTAGGTGATAGGAGAGAAGAATGAATTGTTGATTTATATGGAATATGGATAGGGTGTTTTATGAAGAGAGTTGGGTGGGGGGAGGGGGGTGGGTATTTAAGATGGGGTTAGTTTGGTGTATGGTTTTGTTAATTTGTTAATTGGTTAATGTGTGGTAATGTTGTGTTAATGTTTGGGGGAATGGTTGTAGGGTATGTGGTATTGGGGTGTGTGGTGTGGGTATTTGGGGTGTGGGGATTGTGGGTGGGGGGTAATGTTTGAGGTAATTGTGTTGTAATTTTGGGGTAAGGTGTGTGGTAATGGGGGGGGGGTTTTTTAATTTATTGGGTATGAGAAAAATGGTATAGGTTGGTTATGTATATGGAGTATGGTGAATGGTTGTTTTTTGGTGGGGGGTTGAGGGGATGTGTGGGTGTGGGGTTTAGATGGGTTTAGGTTTTGTTTTAAATAGGGAGTTTTTTATATTTGGGGAGGATGGTGGTAGGAGGAGGGGGTGGGAGGGAAGGATTGATGTTGAGAGGGTGATGGGTGATAGGTAGAGGATGGAGAAGGGGTTTGGAATGGGGAAAAATGGAGGAGGAAAGAGGATGTTGTGAGAGGGTTGGGGTTTGATGTATGAGGAGGGGAGTTATTAGGTAGGAGGGGATTTTTGGGGGTGAGGAGTTATTTATATGGTTAGGGGTTAGGGGGGGAGGTAGTGGGGTGGGAGATGTATTGGGGAATGTAGATAGAGGGGGTATTTGGGGGGGGTGTGGGGGGATGAGGGGATGTTTTAGGTTGTTTTAGTATAATAGATTTATGGTTATTTAAGGGGTGGGTTGTTGTTGTTTTTTTGGTAAATTTAAGGGGGGATAGGGGGTAATAGGTTTGAATTTTGATTAATTATTATATAGGGTATAGATAGGGGTTTTTTGTGGTGGAGATGGGATAGGTAGTGTGTGAGGGAAGAGGAATAGTATGGAAGTGGAGTGTGTATATTTTAAGGTAAGAGGTTATGGGTGGTTAAATTTGATAGGGTAGTTGGGTTTTATATAGGTTATATATAATGGTAATATTGGTGGGGTGTAAATAGTGTTTGATGGGAGATGTTATGTATATGGATGTAAAGGGAAAAGTAAGAAAAAGGGGATGGGTTTGGGGGGTGTGGGGGGATGTAATTTGGAGGTGGATTTAGAAGGGGGGAGGTAATAGTGGGAGGAGATGTATGTTTTGGTAATATTGATTAGAGGTAGAGGGGTAGATAATAATTATATATGAGGAGAGGTGGGGAGGAAGAAAGGGGGAGGAGAGGAGTAGAAGAAGATAAAAAGAATGAAGAATAGGAAGGTAAGGTAAATTAGGAAGGGTTGAAGGTAGGGAAATAGGAGGTGAAGTGTAAAGTAGGAATAGTAAGGATGAAAAGGAAGAGGATGGATCACGCGCATGCACGGTTCAGGGATCTTTTTCATTGTGTGAGGTTGTGCGTAGGATTTCATTGTAATCTGTCTAAAACTTGGCCCTCACTCTCTTAGCTGGACAATATGGAGAGCTCTCTGGGGGTTTCCTCCTAGGATCATATCGCGGGGCGCATATCTGGTAATATAGGATAGAGAGCGTGCGGGCCGATCTACTGAGCATATCTAGGTCTATTCACGTCAGCTCTGGGATCAGCAGAGAGATGGGAGCTCATAGGGGAGAGGTGTTTAAGATGATTTGTTTGTTACCAAAAAAATTCAGTTTATTATGTGGATGCATAATGATCATTGGGGTGGTGTACTTATAGTTGGTTTGTATTGGTCTGGTTAGTATTTCTTACGTTTGGGCTGGATGGGGACAGTTCTTTTTTTATAGTAATGTGTGGAATGAGGTAAGAAAACGGGATAATGGTAAGCTAGTCATAATCACTGTTGTCTAATCATATACGAGGGGGTGGGAGCTGGGCAGCGGAGCAGGTGTGGTGTGTCGATTGGGGAAGATGATAAACAACGGATGATGGAAGCATGGGGGAAGGAAGGTGTTGGGTTGAAGGGGGAGTGACACGACAGGGAAAGAAGAAGAAGAGGTATATTGCCTATTATTGTATGATTTATTCGGTTTGTGTTACGGGGGTTAGTTTATGTAATGGGAGAGTTAGGGGTAGGAGAGGAGAGAGAGGGGGAGGGAAAGGATGAACAGAGAGAGAGGTAGAAGGAGGGGGGTGAAGAGGGAGTGATGGTAAGAATGTATAGAGGAGAGGACAGAAGAGAGGAGAGAGAGAAATGATAGATAGAGGGAGAGAATTAGGAAGAAGAGAGGAGAGAGTGGATATTTATATTTAGCGAGAGGGGGGAATGAAGGGATATGATGGAGGGGAGAGAGGAGGGGGATATAGAAGAAGTGTGGGGGAAGGGATATGAATTTTAAGGAGGGATGGGAGGTGCTTATTAATTTTATAAGAAGTAGATTTGGGTGATTTATAGGGTTGCTGTGAGGTGTGATGGTAGTAGTTTAGGGGGGGGGGGGGTAGGGAAGATGGTTTTGGATGTGGGAAGTTGTTTTAGGGAAGGATTTGTGTTGGGGGGGGATAGAGGAGAGGAAGAGAAATGTAATTTGTATTAGATTTGATGTAGGTGATGAGGGGGGATTGTGATGGTATTTGGGGAAAGAGTAGATGTAGAGTTTTGAGAGTTGAAATAGGGAGGTATATTAATTAGGGTTTTGAAGGAGAGAATTAGATTTATGGGGGGTGTGGTGTTTGTAATGTATGGTGGTAATTTTGTTGATGTTTTGTGTGTTGGGGTGTAGTTTGGGGGGTTGATTGTTTTTTGGTGTTTAATGGGTGTTGTGTTGGTGTAATTGGGTGTAATTTTGTGAATGTGTGATTAATGGGGGAGTAAGTGTGGTGTTGTGTTGTATTTGTGGTGTGTAATTTTGTTGTGATATGTTAATTTGGTGTTAATTGGTGTGGGGGTAATTTTTGGGGAAGAAGAATGAAAATGATGTGGGTGGGGGTGAGGTGGGGAGGAATTGGGTGAAGGGGGGGTGTTGGGGGGGGTATTTGTTAGTGAGATGGGGAAGGGGTAATTGGGGTGTTGGGGGGGTGTGGTGTTGTGTGTGTGGTGGATTAGTGTTGTAGGTGTTGGTAATTTGTTGGTTGTTTTTTGTTTGTGTTGTTTTATGGTATGGGGGGGATGGGGAGGATGGGTAAGGAGAGGGTTTAGGAGTTGGTTATGAAGGGTGGGTTGGTAAGGGACTTTTAAGGGGGGTGGGAATTGAAATTGAAGGGGGGAGGGGTGGGGTTAGTTGGTTTGAGGGGGGATAATTTATATTTTTGGTTGTTGGGGGAAGGATGTTGGGGGGGAAGGGGGGTGAAGAGGGGGTAAATTTTTTGGAGATTTTGTAGGGGGGGGGTAGTGTAAAGGGGGAAAAATAAGGGGAGGTGGGTGTGATGAATGAGAGGGGGTGAGGGGTGTGTGGAGGGGAATTTTGGGATGGGGGGGTGGGGGGGGGGGGGGGGGGGGGGTGTTTTGGGGTTTTTTTTGGGGTTTTGGGGTGGTGTTGGTGTTGGTGTGTGTTTGGGTTGTGGGGGTGTGGGGGGGTGTAGTGTTTGGGTGGTGGTTTGGTTGGGGGGGGGGGGGGGGGTGGGGGTTTATTGTTGGGGGAGTGTGGGGGGGGGGGGGGGGGGGGGGTGGTGGGGTGGGGGGGTGGTGTGGGGGGGGTGGGGGGTGGTGTTGGAGGGGGGGGGTTGGGGGTGGGGGGGGGGGTGGGTGGGGGGGGGTGTGGGGGGGGGGGGGGGGGGGTGGGTGGGGGGGTTGTGGGGGGGGGTGTGTGGGGTTGTTGGTGGTGTTGTTGGGGGGGTGGGTGGGGTTGGTGTGGGGGTTGGTGGGGTGGTTGGGTTGGGGGTGTGGTTTGGGGTTGTGTGGGGTGTTGGGGGGGTGTGTGGGGGGGGGGGGTGTGTGTGGAGGGGGGTTGTGGGTTTGGTTTGTGGGTTGTTGGGTGGTTGGTTGGGGAGGGGTTGGTGGGTGGGGGGGGGGGTGAATCGGGTGGGAATAAATGAAATGAAATTGAAATGGAATGATGATGAAATGAAGATGAATGAAAATTGAAATAAAGAGGAAATAAAAGAGGAAATGAGTTGGGATGGGTATGGGGGTAGGTGGAGTAGGAAGAGAGGGGGGAGAGTGAGGATTAGATGTTTGGGGGGGTAAATATATGGTGGAAATGGGGGGGGGAAATAGGGAGGAAGGGGGAGTTTAGGAGAAGGTAAAGGGAAAAGGGGGGTGGATAAGGTGAAAGGAGTGGAAAGGAATAATATATGATGAGGGGGTTAGGGGGGGGGGGTGGAAATTGGAGGGGGAGTGGGGGTTATTTGAGTGGGATTGGTTGGGGGTAAGTTGTGGGGGGGATATGGGGATGTTGGGGGGGGGGGGGGGTTAAATTTTTATGTGGGGGTTTGGTTTTTAGGGGATGATAGATTGGGGGGGGGTGTTGAAGGGGTTTTTAGAGATGGGATGATGGTGGGTAGGTTTGGATAGAGGATGGGAGATTGAGAGATATGAGGGGGGTATGGATGTATGAAAAGGGAATTTGGGGGGAAGAGAAGGTGGGTATAGGGTGGGGGTATGTGGATTATGGTGGGGTTGTAGAATGTGGTGGAGGGGTATATTGGGTGAGGTGGGGGTGGTTGTGGGGGTGGGGGGGAGGGGGGGGGGGGGTGGGGTGGGGGGTGGTAGTGGATTAGTAGGGGGTATTAGGAAGGGGGGGTTAATGGTTGGAGTTGTGTTGGAGTTTGAGTTTGGGGGTGGATGTAAGTTTTGGGGGAAGGGAGAAGAGGGGGAGGGGGTGAAGTTGATTTTAGTAATTTAGGGGGGGGGGAGAAGGGGGGGGTGATTATAGGAAGGGGGGGGGGGGATGGTTAGGGGGTGTTTATGTGTGTTATGGGGTATGAGGAGGAGAAGTGTGGATTATTGAGATATTGGGTGTGTAAGTTAAAGGGGGTTGGGGTTTTATTGGGGGGGGTTGGGAGAGTTGGGGGATGGATGGGAGGGGAGAGGAAGAGGGGGGATAGGGGGTTGATTTTTAATAAGATTATGAGTATGGGATGGAATGTGGGTAATGGGATTTTTAGGGGGGGTTTTGTGGGGGTTATGAGGAGTGTTGAGGGTGGGTTTTGGAAGGTTTGTAAGAGGGGAAGAAGGGGGGAAAAGGAAAATATGGGGGTGAGTGTGTTGTTAAAGGGGAATATAGGGTAGGGGGTAGGGATAGGAGGGGTGTTAATGGGTGATTTTTGTTAATAGGTATTTATGTAGTGGTGGGGTGATGGGGTTAATTGGTGATCTTGGATAGTATGTGAGTTGGGGAGTGGGGTGTAGGTGGAGTTATGGGGGGAATAGGGGTTAGTGGGATTTGGGGGGGGGGGTTGTGAGGGGATGTATGATTTGGGGTTAGTTATGGGTGAGGAATGTTAAGGGGATATATAAGAAAAGTGGGGGGGGGGAAATGGGAGATGAATGGGGGGGGGGGGTGGAAGTGATATGTGTTGATGTGTATAGTGGGTTGATGTGGTAAGGAGGGATGTGTTGAAGATGGGGGAGGAGAGGGGAGGGGTTGAAATTTTTTGTGGAGATAGGGAGGGGGTGGGGGAGGTGGATTGTAGTGGGGGGATTAAGGGGTAGTTGGGGGGGGTGTAGTTGGAAGGGGGGGTTAGTAGGGGGTTGATAATTTTGTGGGGGGGGAGAGGGGAGGAGGGAAGTATTTGGAGGGGGGGGGGGGGATTTTGTTGTTGTAGGGAGGTGATTTGGAATGGGAGGTTGAAAGGAGGGGGTTGTGGGGGGATTTTGGGATGAGTTTGTTTAAAGTTGGTGATTTGGGGGAGGTGATGGATGGGATAGGGGTTTGGGGGGTGAGAGGTGAGGGGGGTTGTGGTTAGGGGGGGGGGGGGGGGTGATGATTTTTTTTGATGGAGATTGGTGGGGGGGAGTGGATGTTGTTTTATGTTTTTTTTTTTGTTGGGTGGGAGGGGGGTTGGTAATGATGTGATTATGTGGTAGGGGGTATGGGTAGAATTGGGTTAATTAGAGTAGAGGTTGATATGTAGGGGATGTAGTGGTAAGGTGGGTGATATGGGGGGAGGTGGAGAGTTAGAGGGTGTGATTATTATGGGTAGTATGTGTAGGTGATATGGGGTTGGGGGGGAAGAAGAGGGTAGAAAGTTGATTTTAGGGGGAAGGGTGGGGTAGAGGTAGATGGTTGGGAGAAGGAGGGTAGGAGGGGGTTGGTGATATGGGGTAGGGGAGTTATTGAATGTGGAGGGGGGGGGTGTGATTTAGGGGAGGAAAGTGGTTTTGGGAGGGGGGGTGATGTTGTGTTTAATTGGGTGTGGGGGGGGTAGGAAAATGAGAGATAGATTATTGATATGGGGAGTTATGTTTGGTGGGGTGTGTAGGGAAAGTTAGAGGAGGATTGTTTTGGGGGGTGGGGTGGGGGTAGGGGGGGGGAGGGTTTTGATTGTTTTTGTTTGGGGTGGGGTTTGGTTAGGGGTAGAGGTGTTATTTTTTGGGGGGGGGTGATGTAGTGGGAGTGGTGGTTATATTTTATAGGTGGGGGGGAGGGTTGTTGGGGAGGGGGGGGGGTGTGGTGGTGGGGGAAAGGGGGGTTAAGGATAATATAGGGGTTGTGTGTAATTTTGGGGGTAATGTTTTAATGGGGGTGTTAATGTGGGGTTAATGGGTTTAGTTGGTGTGTAATTGGTTGTAATGTTGTGTGGGTGTATGTGGTGTAATTTGGTAATTGTTGAATTTGGGGGAATTTTGTTAATTGGGGGGTTGGGTTAATTTTTGGGTTAATTGGGGTGGGTATTTGGTGGTGTAATTTTGTGGTAATGTGTGTGGGGTAATGTTTTTAAAGTTTTTAATGTGGGTTTGGGTTATTTGGGGGGGTTGGGGAATGGTTGGGTAATTGGTTTTAATTTTGGTTAATTGTTGTGTAATATGTTGTGTAATTGTGTTTAAGTGGGTTGTAATGTTGGGGGTAATTGTTTAATTTGTGGTGGGTAATTTGTTGTAAGTGGGTTTAATGTGGGTTTAATTTTGGTGTAATGTGTTGTTAATTTGTTGGGGGGTAATTTTTTTAATTGTTTTATGTTGGTGTTATGTGTGTGGAGTTGGAGTAAGTGGGGGGGTTAATTGTGGTGGGTAAGTTTGTGTAATGTTGTAAGGTGGTTGGTTTTTTGGGAAAGGTTTGTAATTGTGTGGTGGGTATTGGTAATTTTGGGTAATGTGTAGGTTTTAAGTGTGTTGAATGGTTGTGTTTAATTGGTGGGGTGAATTGGGTTGTGGTATTGTGTTGTGTAATGTTGTGTGTAATTGGGTTAATTTGTTAATGTTGTGTGTAATTGTGTGGTGGTAATTGTTTTAATTGGTGTGTTAATGTGTTGTAAAGTGGGTTTAATTTGGTGTAATGTGGTTTTAATTGTTTGATGTTAGGTTATTTTGTGTTATTTGGGTTGTTATGGTTTTAATTGTTGGAATTTTGTATGTGTGTGGTTATGGGGTGTGTTGTTGGGTAATGTTATTAATTTGGGTTTTTTAATGGGGGGTAGGGGGGAGAGGGGTGGAGGGGAGGGAGTTGGGTGGATAATGATGGGGTATAGATGTGAGGGGTTTTGGGTAAGTTAGTTGAGGGGGGGTTGGAATGGTGTAATTTTGTGGTGTAATTTGTTAATGTGGTTGTATTTTGGTTTAATGGTGTGTAATTTTTATTGTTGGTGGGTAATTTTGTGGAAGGTGGTGTGGGGTAATTAGGTTAATTTTATTTAATTTTGTGTTATTTTGGTTTAATGGTGTAAGTTGTTGGTTGTGTGTAATTTGTGTGTAATGGGTTGGTAATGTGTGTGGTTTGTTAATGTTGTTTAATTTGGGTGGTATGTGTGGGGGTTTGTGGTATTTTGGTGGTGTAAGTTTGGTTAATGTTATGTTATATGGGGTTAAGTATTGTGGGTTGTTGTAAATGTGGTGTTAAATGGGGTTTGTGAAATTTGTGAATTTTGTGGGTGTGGGGAGGGTTTGTTTGGTAAGTGGGGGTTGTTGGGTGGAAGGGGGGGGTTAAGGGATATAGGGGAAGTTTGTAGAGTTTAAAGGTGATATGGGTTGTGGGGGAGGGGTGGGGGGGTGTGGTGTTTTTGAGTGGTTGGGGGGGGAGGTTTTTGTAATTGGGTGTTTAGTGGTAGGTTTGATGTGGATGGTGGATGGGTTTGGTGAGGGTGGGTGATTTTGTTTGGGTATTGGGGGGGTGGGGGTTGGGGGAGGAGGGGATGGGGTTTGGGTGGGTGGTGGATGGAGTGGGAGTGGGGGGGTGGGTTTTTGGGGGTGGTTTGTGAATGATGATTTTATTATTATAAGGGGTGTGGGGGGTGGTTGGTTGGGGGTTGTATATGGGGGGTTAGAGAAGGGTAGTGAAGGGTTGGTTTATTGATGGGGGGTTGGGAGGGTATGAGAGTTTGGTTTATGTTTGTTGAGATAGGGTGGGGGGGATAAGATAGTTGGTAATAGGGGGTGTTAGTGTTGTTGGGGGGGGTGGGTGTGGGTTGTGAAGGTTGGGGTTGGGTGGTTTAGAGTTGTGGGGAAAAGGGAGGATGATGGTTATTTTTGTTAGGGTATAGGGAAATGGGGGGATGGGTGTGGAGGTGTAAGGTTGGGATTAATGATAGTTTAGTAATGGTAAAGATGAGGATGGATGATGTATGGGAAGAGGGGTAGTGAGAGGGGGAGAGAGATTAGGGAGAGAGAGAAAGGGAGAAGAGTGATTTAAGAGGGTGGGGAGAAGGGTAGGGGGAAAGGGAAGAGAGGGGGAAGAAGGGGAGAGAGAGTTAAAGAAGGGAAGAGAGAGGGGGAGGAGAGGGGGAAGAGAGATTGAATGAGAAGGGAGAGAGAGGGGAGAGAGGGGGGGAGAGAGATTTGAAATAGAAGGGTGAGAGAGGGGAGTGTGGGGGGGGGGAGAGAGATGGGGGGGGAGAGGGGGAGAGATGGGGGGGGGGGGGGGGGGAGGGAGGGGGGGAGATGAGAGGGGATGAGATGGGGGAGAGAGAGGGAGAGGGGAATGAGGGGGATGGAGGGGGGGGGGGGAGAGTAAGGGGGGGAGATAGATGGGGGGGAGAGAGAGGGGGGGGGGTAGATAAGAGGGGAGAGATTGGAGGGATTGGTTGGGGGTGGTGAATGTATGTGTTATAGGGGTTGTATGGGGTGGGTTGTTGTTTGTTTAGGTGATTGGGGGGGATAAATAGAGGGGGGGGGGGATGAGGGGAAGAAAGGTGCATAGAAATGGGAGGAGAGGTGAAGAGGGGTGAGAAGGGTGGAAGAGGGGGTGAGAGGTGAGTGAGTGGGGAAGAGGGGGGGGGTGTGTGAGAGAGGGGGAGAGATGAGAGAGTGAGAAGGGAGAGAGAGGTAGAGTGGGGAGTAAAATATGTGAGAGTGAGGAGAGAGAGAGGGGGGTGAGAAGGAGAGAGATAGGGGAGAGAGAGGAGTAGAGAGAGGGAGAGAGAGAGGAGAGAGAGTAGGAGAGAGAGAGGGGGGGATTGAGAGATGAGGACAGAAGAGAGGGGAGAGAGAGATGGGGAAGATGGGAGAGAGAGGGGGAGAGAGGAGGGAGAGAAGAGGTAGGAGAAGAAGAGTGAGAGGGAGAGAGAGGAATGAGATAGGAGAGAGAAAGGAGAGAGAGAGAGAGAGAAGGAGAAGGGTGGTAGGAAAGAGGAGAGGAGAGGGAGAGATAGTAGGGGATAAGAGAGTGGAGAGATGAGTGGGAGAAGTGAGGTGAAGAAGGTAGAGAGAGGAAAGAGAGAGAGGAAGATGAGTAATGAGAGAGGAGATGGGGGAGAAGATGAGAGAGAGGAGAGAGAGAGGATAGAGATGAGGATAGTAGAGTGGGGAAGAAGAGCATTATACTGGTTTACATGTAAAAAAACCCTATTAAGTTGCATTATACTGGTTTACATGGAAAAATCCCTATTAAGTTGCATTGTACTGGTTTACATGGAAAAAACCCTATTAAGTTGCATTATACTGGTTTACATGTAAAAAACCCTATTAAGTTGCATTATACTGGTTTACATGGAAAAAACCCTATTAAGTTGCATTATACTGGTTTACATGTAAAAACCCCTATTAAGTTGCATTATACTGGTTTACATGGAAAAATCCCCATTAAGTTGCATTATACTGGTTTACATGAAAAAAAACCCTATTAAGTTGCATTATACTGGTTTACATGAAAAAACCCTATTAAGTTGCATTATACTGGTTTACATGGAAAAATCCCTATTAAGTTGCATAATACTGGTTTACATGGAAAAATCCCCATTAAGTTGCATTATACTGGTTTACATGTAAAAAACCCTATTAAGTTGCATTATACTGGTTTACATGGAAAAATCCCTATTAAGTTGCATTGTACTGGTTTACATGGAAAAAACCCTATTAAGTTGCATTATACTGGTTTACATGGAAAAAACCCTATTAAGTTGCATTATACTGGTTTACATGGAAAAAACCCTATTAAGTTGCATTATACTGGTTTACATGTAAAAACCCCTATTAAGTTGCATTATACTGGTTTACATGGAAAAATCCCCATTAAGTTGCATTATACTGGTTTACATGAAAAAAAACCCTATTAAGTTGCATTATACTGGTTTACATGAAAAAACCCTATTAAGTTGCATTATACTGGTTTACATGGAAAAATCCCTATTAAGTTGCATTATACTGGTTTACATGGAAAAATCCCTATTAGGTTGCATGATTACACTGAAGTCCTTGAAACTGCTGAAGTCCTTGAAACTGCTGAAGTCCTTGAAACTGCTGAAGTCCTTGAAACTGTTGAAGTCCTTGAAACTCTTGAAATCTTGAAACTGCTGAAATCCTTGAAACTGTTGAATCCTTGAAACTGTTGAATCATTGAAACTGTAGAAATGTCTGAAAGAGCTGAAGTCCTATTAAAATGCATGGGCCTATTAAAATGCATTGCAGAATTCTCAATGCAGATTTTTGTCCGATTGCGGAAAAACCGGAAATCGCTGAAGTCCCAAAAGTAATAGCAATAATCTCCCAAACATGTGGAACGTTTTGATGTATAACTTGTGGAAATTGTTGAAAATGTGAAAGCTGTGAAACGTGTCAAAAAAAATGACGGAATAAAGAAATACAAAACCAATGGTTGACTGCGGAAGGTTCCGCAGTCAATCAATGAGCAAACTCCCTGTTTGGATATTACACTGTTTACAGGTTCACATCTGTGCAAAATCTACGTTTACTTCATGAATCTTAACAAAACATATTCGTAATAACACATTCCATAAATATCACTGAATACATTGTCCCATATAATTACAGATGCTGGTTTTCTGATGGAATCTTTTATGATAAGCTTTCTTATGCATTTGTTATTTAGCATTGAGCTAGCAGGTTAGCATTGAGCTAGCGGGTTAGCATCATTTCCATAGTCTGTGGTATGAGCCTAATCCTGTGGTGTCACTTTCACACAGAGCTTCCCAATTAAGAGCCACAGATTAGAGCCGTGACAATAGCTGCTAATTAGCAACAAGTATCCAGTGAAGTGTGGTTAGCACCGGGGTGAGGGGGCAGGGGGGAGACAGGGGGGAGGCAGGAGGGGGGAGGCAGGGGGGAGACGGGGGAAAGAGTTCTTTCACATCCACCTCCTTTGTAAAGACACAAGTGGCTGCGAAATGAGAGAAAATGAGTCAACTGAGTTTCAGGCCTTAATGAAGACGAAGAGGAGGAAGAGAGAGGAGGAGAGAGAGGAGGAGGAGGAAGAGAGAGGAGGAGAGAGAGGAGGAGGAGAGAGGAGGAGGAGGAAGAGAGAGGAGGAGAGAGAGGAGGAGGAGAGAGAGAGAGGAGGAGAGAGAGAGAGAGAGAGAGAAGGAGGAAGAGAGGAGGAGGAGAGAGAGAGAGGAGGAGAGAGAGAGAGAGAGAGAGAAGGAGGAGAGAGAGGAGGAGGAGAGAGAGAGAGGAGGAGAGAGAGAGAGAGAGAGAGAAGGAGGAGAGAGAGGAGGAGGAGAGAGAGAGAGGAGGAGAGAGAGAGAGAGAGAAGGAGGAGAGAGAGGAGGAGGAGAGAGAGAGAGGAGGAGAGAGAGAGAGAGAGAGAGAAGGAGGAGAGAGAGGAGGAGAGAGAGAGAGAGAGAAGGAGGAGAGAGAGGAGGAGAGAGAGAGAGAGAGAGGAGGAGAGAGAGAGAGAGAGAGGAGGAGAGAGAGAGAGAGAGCGAGAGAGAAGGAGGAGAGAGAGAGAGAGAGAAGGAGAGAGGAGGAGAGAGGAGGAAGAGGAGAGAGAGAGAGGAGGAGAGAGAGAGAGAGAAGGAGGCGAGAGAGAGGAGGAGAGAGGAGGAGGAGAGAGAAGGAGAGAGAGCAAGAGAGAAGGAGGAGAGAGAGGAGGAGGAGAGAGAGGAGGAGGAGAGAGAGAGAGAGGAGGAGAGAGAGAGAGAGAGCGAGAGAGAAGGAGGAGAGAGGAGGAGAGAGGAGGAAGAGGAGGAGAGAGAGAGGAGGATGAGAGAGAGAGAAGTAGAGAGAGGTGGAGAGAAGAGAGAGAAAGAGAAGAGAGAGGAGGAAAGAAGAGAGACAACAGATAGAGGGGAGGAGGAAGAGGAGGAGAGAGGAGGAGGAGAGAGGAAGAATGAAGAGAGAATATAGAGGAGGAGGAAGAGGAGAAAGAGGAGAGGAAAAAAAGAGAGACGAGGAGGAAGAGGAAGACGAGGAGGAAGAGATGAAGCCGAAGAGGAGGAGTCTGAATGATCCTCTCCGTGGGGGGCGTCTGAGTATTGAGTTCTTTGTGCAACAGAATCTGAAGTGTCGAATCTGAAGACAAACTCCATCTGAGGGAGAGACGGGGAGGGTGGGGGAGAGAGAGGGAGAGAGAGGAGGAAGAGAGGAGGGAGAGAGGAGGGGAGAGAGGGGGAGGGAGGAGGGAGAGAGGGGGAGGGAGGAGGGGAGAGAGGGGGAGGGAGGGGGAGGGAGGAGGAAGAGAGGAGGGAGAGAGGAGGGAGAGAGGGGGAGGGAGGAGGAAGAGAGGAGGAAGAGAGGAGGGAGAGAGGGGGAGGGAGGGGGAGGGAGGAGGAAGAGAGGAGGGAGAGAGGGGGAGGGAGGGGGAGGGAGGAGAGTGGTGGGAGGGATGCTTTGAACACGTTGAACCAGAGCAGATATTGACTTTTCCTCTTAACATTGTGGTTATGATTTAGCAAGAATTTTGGCTACGTAGCATTAGCTTCATAAATAGCACATAATTAAAGCTCGGGTCTGTAACTTTAGACTCATAAACAACACATGAAAGAGTAAAAGACGTGATGAAGGCCAATATTCTGAAAGCTTTAATGTTGGGGGGTCCCGGATGTTGCCCCCAGATCCGGGTCAGACCTGACTCCCATGATGCTTTGCTCTTCCGCCTGTCCGCTCACACACATCAGCGCGGATTGCGTTAGTGCGTTAGCGCGTTAGCTTTGATGTGCTAACACTTTAGTTCAGGTTAGACTTAACACGAGACCAGGATGTGAGGTCAGAGGGAGGCACGAGGTCCTGTGGAGAGCAGCCTCAGGGACAGACTGATCCACCCTCACTGTGTGAAGGAGCAGGTCTCTCCTCTCTGCTGCTGTCAGACTGTACAAGGAGAACTGCTGAGCCTGTAGTTCTTCTGTGAATAATAAATACTGTTATAATGTGCAATGCTGGACTGTCAGTGTATCATATGTTACAGGTGCCCAGCGTCTGTAACTGCGCCCCCTACGGCCCAATGACTGTACTACAGGCCTTCACTAAAACCACATCTACAGTGGCTGTGTGTGTGTGTGTGTGGTGTGTGTGTGTGTGTGTGTGTGTGTGTGTGTGTGTGTGTGTGTCCACTGATGTCTGCTATCGTTATGTCCTTGGGCAAGACACTTTACCCACTTTGCTTAGAATGTTCGCTGCATGCCTTGATGTGTTTATGTTTGTTCATCAAACTGAGATTTCCCCACAGAGGGACAGGAAAAGGAGCCTCCTCTCTGGGCTGGGGAGCAGCACAAAGGCCCTCTCTGGAGCCTCTTCTCTGGGCTGGAGAGTGGCACTAAGACCCCACTTGGAGCCCCCTCCCTGGAGCCCTCTCTGGAGTCTTTTCTCGGGGCTGGAGAGCGGCACAAAGGCCTCAGAGTGTGGAATGTGGACGACACACTTCACTCTTGCTCAGGTCAACGATGGTCCTACACAGAGAGAATCTGTGGAGGAAAAACACCAAGACTTCATTTGACTTTAGCCGGAAAACTGTGAGAGCACGTTGGAAATAGACTCCAACAGAACATGTTGTTTTGTAAAGAGGAATGGGCAACACTGTCTTTAGATGCAGAGTTTGGAGAGTCAGACCCACAGGTTCCTCTGAGTAAACAGGATTCAGGACCAGATTAAAACTAAACTAATCCAAGATCATTAAAAAAATAAAAAACGTATAAAAAGTATTATTTATGCATAATTTATTGTTCTATAAACCCAGAGCAGAGAGAAGCCCTGTGTTCTGGGTTTACACAAAACATATGAAATACCAGCACAGTGTCACACTCTGAGCACCGGGACTGTCAAACATCACACATTTTCAGGAAAGGTGGTCTCCATGGGTCAGTTCCACTGCAATAGAACCATTGGAAAAGCAGATTTTTATGACTGGACTTCTGGGGTCCAGGCCCCACAACGTTAAACCGGTCTCTACTGGTAATCTCAGAATGTGGACCCCACCAGGATATACAAACAAGGACGCAGGCGCTGGTTTTGAATCCCGGTCGGAGCAGCCTTTCTGGGTGGAGTTTGCATGTTCTTCCTGTGTCTGCGTAGGTTTTCCACCACTTTCTACCATTAAAAACATGTACAATAGGTCTGAATGGAGTGAGTGAGTGGTGTTTGGTCGGAGGCTTTGATGGACTGGTGTGTTCAGGTCTTGCTTCATCACCGTGTGGAGAGAATGGAACAATATCTGGACTCCTTGGTCTGTAAAAATGTGCTCTATAAAAAACATTACTTACACACGCACACACACACACACACACACACTCTCTCTCTCACACACACACACACACACACACACACACACACACACACACACACACTCTCTCTCACACACACACACACACACACACACACACTCTCTCTCTCACACACACACACACACACACACGCCCGGAGCCCTGTGCGTGTAATGCGATCTGCCCCGGTGCTCACGTCAGCTCGCCTCTCGTCACACGGATGATGCGAATGGACGCAGCTAATGCTAAAGCCGCTAAACCCCGGGTGCTAGCAGCGCATTAGCATGACACAGGACGGAGGGCGCTCGGGCGTGGGGGGCTCATGATTTATTTAAACCCAACACAAAACGGTCCGGTGGCAGGCGGGGCCGCAGACACACTCAAAGCTGTTTAGTGTTCGGTAATTGTTACGTGAAGATCTGGACATGGATCTGTCTCCTGCGGGTTTTTAACGCAGACGTATTCTTCCCTCCAACCGATCTGCGGCCGTGTTTAGCTCCATCCATCTGTTAAAGCTGGGCTGCCTAACCTTTTAGTCACAGCAATGTTTAAAGCTGGGGTTATGTCACTATAGTCTCGTAAATACATTTAAATATAGGGTTTAGGTTTGGGTACGGCACTTTAGTTTGCACTTTGTCCATGTGTGTAAGAGTCCTGGGTCTACAGCCTCAGTCCTGGATCTACAGCCTCAGTCCTGGGTCTACAGCCTCAGTCCTGGGTCTACAGCCTCAGTCCTGGATCTACAGCCTCAGTCCTGGGACTACAGCCTCAGTCCTGGGTCTACAGCCTCAGTCCTGGATCTACAGCCTCAGTCCTGGATCTACAGCCTCAGTCCTGGGACTACAGCCTCAGTCCTGGGTCTACAGCCTCAGTCCTGGGTCTACAGCCTCAGTCCTGGATCTACAGCCTCAGTCCTGGGACTACAGCCTCAGTCCTGGGTCTACAGCCTCAGTCCTGGATCTACAGCCTCAGTCCTGGATCTACAGTTTCAGTCATGGGTCTCTGGGGCTACAGCCTCAGTTCTGGGTCTAAAGATTTTATAGTTGTTCCTTGTTGGAGGGTCTGTCGGACCCTTTAAGGTCTAACTGAAAGCCACTGGTGTTTTCCCAGAGGTCTCCCATCACAGTACTAACCAGGCCCTGCCCTGCACAGCTTCAGAGATCTGACTGGATCTGGCTTTCACCTGCAGGAGGATTGGCCCCGAATTCTGTGGCCCAAAGTCTGTGGCCCATGAGTCTGTGGCCCTAAAGTCTGTGGCCCTAGAGTCTGTGGCCCCAGAGTCTGTGGCCCCAGAGTCTGTGGCCCCTGAGTCTGTGGCCCCTGAGTCTGTGGCCCCCGAGTCTGTGGCCCTAAAGTCTGTGGCCCTAGACTCTGTGGCCCTAGAGTCTGTGGCCCTAGAGTCTGTGTCCCTAAAGTCTGTGGCCCCGGAGTCTGTGTCCCTAAAGTCTGTGGCCCCGGAGTCTGTGGCCCTAAAGTCTGTGGCCCTAAAGTCTGTGGCCCTAAAGTCTGTGGCCCTAAAGTCTGTGGCCCCGGAGTCTGTGGCCCTAAAGTCTGTGGCTCTGGAGTCTGTGGCAGGTGCTGGGGCCTGAGCGTGTGGGGGCCGCGGGGGCCACAGCGAGCCCCTAAACCTCAGATTAAACCATACTTTGGCCATTGCTTCGCACTGAGCCGCTGTGACGAATCCAGAGACCGTTGGCAACAATAACTCACACAATCTCTCTGCTCTGTGGAGGAGCTGCGGATTAGAGACGGAGAAAAGAGAGAAACCCTCAAAGTCTGCAACGTGTGCCCGAAAACAGGCCTCGGATTTCACACAGTCAGGAAGAAGATTGTTTATGTTCATGAGGTTTGAAGAGAGACCAGAGAGAGGCCAGAGAGAGACCAGAGAGAGACCAGAGAGAGACCAGAGAGAGGCCAGAGAGAGAGACCAGAGAGAGACCAGAGAGAGACCAGAGAGAGACCAGAGAGAGACCAGAGAGAGACCAGAGAGAGGCCAGAGAGAGAGACCAGAGAGGGACCAAGAGAGACCAGAGAGACCAGAGAGAGACCAGAGAGAGACCAGAGAGAGACCAGAGACCAGAGAGAGACCAGAGAGAGACCAGAGAGAGACCAGAGAGAGACCAGAGAGAGGCCAGAGAGAGAGACCAGAGAGAGACCAGAGAGAGGCCAGAGAGAGACCAGAGAGAGACCAGAGAGAGACCAGAGAGAGGCCAGAGAGAGAGACCAGAGAGAGACCAGAGACCAGAGAGAGGCCAGAGAGAGACCAGAGAGACCAGAGAGAGACCAGAGAGAGACCAGAGAGAGACCAGAGAAAGACCAAAGAGAGACCAGAGAGAGACCAGAGAAAGACCAAAGAGAGACCAGAGAAAGACCAGAGAGAGACCAGAGAAAGACCAAAGAGAGACCAGAGAGAGACCAGAGAAAGACCAAAGAGAGACCAGAGAGAGACCAGAGAAAGACCAAAGAGAGGCCATGCAGAGAGAGGCTAGCCCGGCCTTATCCATCCGTACACTCCGCTCAATCATCATTTCCTGCATGTAACGTCTGGGTCTGGTCCCTGTGTTCGCGATTACAATCGGTTGAATTCCATTCGACCAATCAGAGAGCGCGGGAGGCGGGTGTTGTAGTTAGATGTGGGTGACGTCAAGAGTTTGCGCCGGGCAGGTTGTAGTTTGGTGAAGAATGTGATAGTAAAGTCTTCTGGTCTGATTCTATCAAGAACACTACATACGTCACAGTAAACTCAGATCCAATGGTTTCAATCCGCAAAAGGAGTTAGCCCCTCCCACCTGTTAACGGAGTCTATGGAAAACATGAAATGAGTACAATGGTGTGGTAAGACCAGGCTAGAGATAAAACAGAGAGAGACCAGAGAGTCGTGTTTAAGCTGAAGCTGCAGGTGCTGGGGCCCGGGCTCTGGGGGTGAAGGTGGGGGGTGAGGGTGAGGGGAGGGGGGGGGGGGGGTAATCGAGGGTTAATAAGGATTTAATGCTTGTCACGCTCTTAAAGCCCAGAGTGTGGCGCAGAGTGTGCGGTGGGGGTGAGGCTCAGGACAAAACTCAGCGCGACGCTTTAACTCGACCTGAACTCACAGAGAGAGAATTAAGTCACTCTGACCATCACCTCCTCCCGCGCCTCCTCCTGCCTCCTCCTGGTCTCTCTCTGGTCTCTCTCTGGTCTCTCTCTGGTCTCTCTCTGGTCTCTCTCTTGTCATAAACTCCAGTATTTTTGAGTCAGAGTTTGTGACACATCTGATTAGGGTTGATATAATAAAAAACACCAGGAGGAAAATATAATAATAATAATAATAATAATAATTATTATTATTATTATTATTATTGCTGTTGTGAGAATGTATTAAATCGTATCCTGTTTTCATATCAGGCCAGTTAAGGCCTCAGGCCTCAGGCTTCAGGCCTTAGGCCTCTTTGAGCCTCTTTGAAATGCTCTATTTCAATCTGTAAAGACTGAGACAAATATTGCATCAGACAATTAGACTCTGGTTCTGTTTAAGGATGAGCTCAAACCTCCCGGACCTGGACCGAGAGGAGTCATTGAAGAAGTCTATCTGAAAGTCTGAATACGCTTAAACTTCATAATTCTTCTCTCCTCCTCCTCCTCTCCCTCTCCTCCTCTCCTCTCCTTCTCCTCCTCCTCCTCCTCCTCCATTCCTCCTCCTCCTCCTCCTCCATTCCTCCTCTCTTCAGTCTCTGCTAAATGCATGTCTCTATAATTCGTGTCTTAATCTTCATTGGTTACATTCTTCCTCTCAGTGAGATTACGCGCTCCCGCCTCCGTGACTTGGCCTCTGGCCCTGTGCCCGCCTTGTGCGCGTGCGTGTGCCTCGTTAGCAGATGGTGCACGCGCAGAGGCCGCGGGAGCGAGACCAAAGAGACCAAATCAACATCTAAACACCTGCTAATGTGCACGTAATGTGCACTAATGTGCACGTAATGTGCGCGCGGGGACGGTCCTCGTTTAAACAGTGATACATGTATCAGTGACATCACAAGAGCCTGAAGCAGCTGCACATTTATTGGTATAGCACAGTTCAAAGAGTTCAGAACAAAAGACAAACAAATAATAAATATTCACAGTGCATTAAAAAGAGAGAAGATACAATATACTGCTGCAGGAGGAGCAGGGGGAGGAGGAGGAGGAGCAGGAGCAGCAGGAGGAGCAGACCTGAAAGAGGAGAGGCCTCCCGCCCCGGGGCCTCCTAACCCTCCATATTTGACACTGACACGGAGCTAAATGTTGTTATTTTAAAACAGGCCAAAAGACTATATATGTGTGTGTATACATTATACAACATTATATTATTATCATGTTGTTGTTGTTGTTGTTGTTGTTATAATTCCTTCTCAGTTCCAGCTATAACGCGCGTGAGAACATAATGAGATCGGGACAGACCTTAGACCTCAGACCTCTGGAACCGGACACAGACCAGGACTCTCTCCGTGTCCACTTTTTCTCACTTTCTTTCATGCGCCTCTCACACCCGCACACGCACGCGCACAAATGGGCGTGTCCGCTCTCTGGGAGGGCGTGGCTCGTGTGTAGGGGCGGGGCTGAGTGTATATAAGTGGCGCGCGGACCTTCACTCTCACTTCTGTGTGGATTTGTCAGTGACGTCACAGTGGGACCATGATGATCCCCAGCGTGCTCGCTCCCGCAGCTCTGTATCCAGGACTGTACCGCTCCTGCGCGCTCCCACTGCCGCACGCTCTCCCGCCTCAGCGCAGCTTTCTGGTGGAAGACCTACTACGCATGCGCACTGCACCATCTGCGTGCACGAACCACGCATCCCCGCAACCGCAGTGAGTTCAAACTTGTTATTATTTATGAACTTCATATTTTTTGGACATTTCTCCATTGTTAGATCAATAAAGTTTATCTTATCTTCATATGTATCACTCACTGGTCTCTCTCTGGTCTCGCTCTGGTCTCTCTCAGGTCTCGCTCTGGTCTCTCTCTGGTCTCTCTCTGGTCTCGCTCTGGTCTCCCTCTGGTCTCGCTCAGGTCTCGCTCAGGTCTCTCTCTGGTCTCTCTCAGGTCTCTCTCTGGTCTCTCTCTCTTGTCTCTTTCTCTGGTCTATCTGGTCTCTCTCTGGTCTCTCTCTGGTCTCTCTCTGGTCTCTCTCTGGTCTCTCTCTCGCGGGTCTGTCTCAAGTCTCTCTCTCTGTTCTGGTCTCTCTCTGGTCTCTCCCTGGTCTCTCTCTGGTACGGACCAAGGCCACGGGCAGCACGGTGGCTGAGTGGTTAGCTCTCTCGCTTCGAATCCCGGTCAGAACAGGGCCTTTTTGAGTGGAGTTTGCATGTTCTCCCCATGTTTATGTAGGTTTCCTCCAGGTGCTCCGGTTTCCCCTACCACTAAAAACATGTGCAATAGATCTGAATAAGGAGTGAATGGTGTTCTTTATATTTATCTGGTTTGTGACTGTGGAGACTTCACGTGTCTCAAAGGACTTTACAAAGTTGTCGATTCACCTTCAACAGATCAGAAAATCAAACAGTCCGAACATAGGCAACACAATAATAACAAATGCATTAGAGCCCTTGGTTCATATAGGGAGCAGGACTGAGGCTGTAGAGGCAGGACTGACTCTCCTCTCTCCTCTCTCTCCCCTCTATCTCCTCTCCCCTCTCTCCCCTCTCCTCTCACCCTTTTTTAAATCTTGTTTTTTGTTTTTTCTTAGAGTTGAACCTAAAACCTCCAAAGATCCAACGTTCCTGAAGTTTGGAGTCAGAGCGATTCTGGCGCCGTCTCCTAAAACAGGTGTGTGTTATACAAGTATACAGCAGTAGTAGTAGTAGTAGCAGCAGCAGTAGTAGTAGTAGCAGCAGCAGTAGTAGTAGTAGCAGCAGCAGTAGTAGTAGTAGCAGCAGCAGTAGTAGCAGTAGCAGTAGCAGTAGGAGTAGCAGCATCAGCAGCATCAGTCCTTGTACTAACCCTCCCTCTCTCCTCAGCCTCTCCTCCTCCTCCCATGGTCCACAAGTCTTTCCACTTTCCCTGTTTTGAGGCCGCTCTGCACCCGGTCTTCAGGGCGCCGTACCTACCAGGTGAGAGCTTTGACTGCAGACGCTGCTCCCTCTTGCCAGTAAATGTTTGAAACAGCAACTGCATCCATCATGACGGACATAAATGCATTTTTTTCTGGTCAAGAATGTGATCTATCTCTCTCCGGTCTCTCTCTGGTCTCTCTTCAGTCTCTCTCCGGTCTCTCTCCGGTCTCTCTCCGGTCTCTCTCTGGTCTCTCTCTGGTCTCTCTCTGGTCTCTCTCTGGTCTCTTTCCGGTCTCTCTCTGGTCTCTCTCTGGTCTCTCTCTGGTCTCTCTCCGGTCTCTCTCTGGTCTCTCTCTGGTCTCTCTCTGGTCTCTCTCTGGTCTCTCTCTGGTCTCTCTCTGGTCTCTCTCTGGTCTCTCTCCGGTCTCTCTCCGGTCTCTCTCCGGTCTCTCTCTGGTCTCTCTCTGGTCTCTCTCCGGTCTCTCTCTGGTCTCTCTCCGGTCTCTCTCTGGTCTCTCTCCGGTCTCTCTCCGGTCTCTCTCCGGTCTCTCTCTGGTCTCTCTCTGGTCTCTCTCTGGTCTCTCTCCGGTCTCTCTCTGGTCTCTCTCTGGTCTCTCTCTGGTCTCTCTCTGGTCTCTCTCTGGTCTCTCTCTGGTCTCTTTCTGGTCTCTTTCTGGTCTCTCTCAGATGTTGTGGCCGATGAAGTCACCACTCAGAGAAAGTCCATTATAGCGTTTCTCTTTCACTGCTTCTTAAAGACCCCCTCCTCCCTCACTCCCTCCTCCCTCCCTCCCCTCCTCCCTCCTCTCTCCTTCCTCTGGTATGTGTGAGGGGGGGAGACCAGGGGACCTAAATCTGGTCTTTGTACCACATAAAGGGGAGACTCCGTTACAGACGCGGTGGAACCAGAGGTGGTCACTTCTGGGAAAACATCTCTGTTGTCATGACAACGTCTGCAAAATACATTTATTATATTATTATATGTTTAAAAAAACAAAAGGACTTTAAAAAAAAGTGTAACTCTAGCTCTGGTCTCTCTCTCCCTGGTCTCTGGTCTCTCTCTTTGGTCTCTCTCTGGTCTCTCTCTCTGGTTTCTCTCTTTGGTCTCTCTCTGGTCTCTCTCTCTGGTCTCTCTCTGGTCTCTCTCTCTGGTCTCTCTGGTCTCTCTCTCTGGTCTCTCTCTGGTCTCTCTTTGGTCTCTCTTTGGTCTCTCTCTTTGGTCTCTCTCTGGTCTCTCTCTCTGGTCTCTCTGGTCTCTCTCTCTGGTCTCTCTCTGGTCTCTCTTTGGTCTCTCTCTTTGGTCTCTCTCTGGTCTCTCTCTCTGGTCTCTCTCTCTGGTCTCTCTCTCTGGTCTCTCTCTGGTCTCTCTCTGGTCTCTCTCTTTGGTCTCTCTCTTTGGTCTCTCTCTTTGGTCTCTCTCTGGTCTCTCTCTCTCTCTCTGGTCTCTCTCTGGTCACTCTGGTCTCTCTCAGCTGTGTTCTCTCTCCCTGACCATGTCTCTGTCTGCTGTGTACTCTATCCGCTGTGTACTCTCTGCCTGACCCTGACCATGTCTCTCTCCTCAGCCTCCCCGGTGGTGCCGATGCCGGGGACCTTCTCATGGCCGCTGGTGTCTCGGGGGAAGCCGCGGCGAGGGATGCTGCGTCGCGCCGTCTTCTCCGACGTTCAGAGAAAAGCTCTGGAGAAAATGTTCCAGAAGCAGAAGTACATCAGTAAACCAGAGCGCAAGAAACTGGCCGGAAAACTGGGGCTCAAGGACTCACAGGTAGGGGGCGCTACTGCTACTACTGCTACTGCTACTACTGCTACTGCTACTGCTACTACTGCTGCTACTGCTACTACTGCTACTACTACTGCTACTCTCTGCTCTTTGGTCTCTCTGTTTCTTTCTCTCTGGTCTCTCTCTCTGGTCCCTCTCTCTCCCTGGTTTCTCCCTCTAGACTCTCCCGCTCTCTGGTTTCGCTTCCTCCCTCTGGTCTCCCTCTGGTCCAAACCCCTCTGGATGTCCCTCTGGTCTCTCCCTCTGGTCTCTCCCTCTGGTCTCTTCCTCTGGTCCTAACCCCTCCCTCTAGTCTCCCTCTTGTCCAAATCCCTCCCTCTGGTCTCCCTCTGGTCCTTACCCCTCTGGTCTCCCTCTGGTCCAGGTGAAGATCTGGTTCCAGAACCGCAGGATGAAATGGAGGAACTCAAAGGAGCGGGAGCTGCTGTCGTCGGGCGGATCTCGGGAACAGACTCTTCCCACGAAGTCCAACCCTCACCCGGACCTCAGCGACTGCTCCCAGGACCCGCTGCCTGATGACCACTTCCTGGACAGTCACATGACCCTGGCAGGCTCCTCCCCCTCCTCCAGACACTCAGACTCAGACTCAGACGACGACATCACCGTGAACTAATTTATCTCACCAGCAGCAGGTGGCGCTGTGCTGCTGTTCGGACTGTCAAAGACTCATAGAGCGTTTATAGGAGTGGACTGACCAAGTGTGACATCACCGTCGAGTTTGGCAAATGCGGAAGAAGACGCGGATTTGAACCTAAGCTAGCTGGAGCCTATTTCCTTAGCTCGGAATTAGCCCCAATGGTGTTAGCTTCCTGCCGTGACGGGGGCAGACGTGTTGCTAAGGCGATCGCTAAGGCTAAAGCTGGAGTCGATAGGAGCCAGAGCGAGTTGGAGCCAAGCTTCACCAAGAGCACTTCCCTATTGGGCTTTGTTGAGCTAGCGGGTTAGCATTGTTGTACCAGGTATTATGGGCACTGAGAGCTCGGCGCACTTGGCTGTTCTCGTAGACACAAAATGGCGGCCTGTGGACCTGGCTGCGTCGCCGTGGTAACCGCGAGGCTGTTTTTGCACAGCGCCGTATGGAGGTTTTATGCCAGCGTTACTTTGATCATAGAGAGCAGTTTATGGAGATAATTCCTTTAATAATTTATATTTGTTGTAAATATGTGGATTTCAGCTTTTTGTACAAATGAATAAAACTGTCACATCTGAACCATGTGGTTTTTTACGCCCCGTACCCACACACACACACACACACAGACACACACACAGACACACACAGACACACACACAGACACAGAGACAGAAACACACACAGAGACAGAAACACACACATGTGGTTATTACACACACACAGATACACACACACACAGACACACAGACACACACAGACACACACACAGACACACAGAGACAGAAACACACACATGTGATTATTACACACACACACAGATACACACAGACACACACACAGACACATACACACACAGACACAGAGACAGAAACACACACAGAGACAGAAACACACACATGTGGTTATTACACACACAGGGCAGCTGTGGCTACAGTTTGTCACCACTGTGTATAGGTAATAATGTGTGAAATTCACAGTCTGCTCTTTACCAACTCGTTTTAAAAACTGGATCTATTTCAGCGCCAACAAACATAGACTGACTCCTTAAACTTAACTCCCAACAACATTTCAAAAAAATCATATTTAGCACATTCCTGCACATGTCTGCAGTTTTCACAGGTGAATGACACGGTCAGCAGTTTTTGTTGTACAGTCTGACAGTAACAGGACAGACCCTCTCACACAGAAATGACTCATACTGGAACTTGTACTGTGATTAATTTACTACAGTTTTTCTATCACGTTTTTATGATTCCATTTCCTGTTTGAACTGTTTGATTCTCTAATCTGTGTTGGAGAATTCAACAGTTTTGTAAAGTCCTCCGAGAGAACTCCTGTTGTGATTGAAGGAGATACAAAAATACATATATTGTAATGTAATGTAGTTGTTGTTACACCAGGGGGCGCCCTGCTGCCGGCGGCGGAAGTGCTTGGACCTGGCGTCATCTTGTGGCGTGCTGCAGAACTGCATCTGTTTAAACGCTGCTGATGTTAAAACAGTTTAGTTCTGAAGAGTTTTCTCTCTCAGGGAAGTTTGTTTCCATGTCTTTGTTTTTAAATGATTATTTATTTTTTTATATGTTTTAGCGCTGTCTTAGCTAACCCTCACCGAACTACAAATGTAGTAAGTTTCTGTTGCATGGTAATCAAAGTTCTTGGTCCTGGACAAATTCTGTACTCGTTCTGGACTAGTTCTGGACTGGTCCTGGACCGGTTCTGGACTGGTCCTGGCCTGGTCCTGGACTGGTTCTGGCCAGGTCCTGGCCTGGCTCTGGACTGGCTCTGGGCTGAGCTTGGTTTTCCGCCAGTGCTAGTTACCATAGCAACACCGTTAACTTGTAGCAGTTAGCATTTGGTCTTTGGCGTTAGCCTTTCTGTTTCAGTTGTAAAACCCAGTGTTCGCACTTGTTAAAAGGAAGAACAGGTTAAAAACAGGTTAAAAATAGAAAAATTCTTAAATATTTACTTTTAATAAAAGTGGTGGAAAACGAAACTTTTTGGGGGATTTCTCACTGGTTTGAATAGAAGCAGTCTCTGTGACGTCACAGATACACTCTCACAGGTTCCACACAGAGGCCACGCCCCCAGACCAGGGGGAGGTCCAGGTCCAGGTCCAATCCAGGTCTGGTCTCTAAAGGAGTCCCGCAGAGCGACACAACCAGCGGCTGAGGTAAGACTGTCTTTATGATTCATGATTCTGTGGAGAGATCATTAGAAAACCCTGTGCTCATCGGCAATTTAACTCATTCACTTATGTTTGAAGTGTTATAATTTAAAGCTCGGGTCTGTAACTTTATCCTCAGAAAAAAAACATGTGTAGTTTTGCCATTAGAAACACACAACAGTTTTCTTTTTACAGAAGATAAAAACATTTGTAAAGAACAATCCCTGTGAGTTACTAGTGGACTCACAGGACTTGGGCTGAGAGCTGATTGGCCGAGAGAGAGGGGGGTTTCTCTCTTTTCAATTTTCTGCCTAAAAAAATCAGATCTAAAGATGAGACAGAGACAGAAAAACATGACATTATTAAAAGAAGCAAATGTTTTATAAACAGGAAGAAGAGACGTGTCGATTGTTGTGGTCTGAATGTTACGACCCCGAGCTTTAAAGTCCAAAGTGTTCAGGGAGAGACCAGAGAGGGACCAGAGAGGGACCAGAGAGGGACCAGAGAGGGACCAGAGAGGGACCAGAGGGAGACCAGAGAGGGACCAGAGAGGGACCAGAGAGGGACCAGAGAGAGACCAGAGAGGGACCAGAGAGGGACCAGAGAGGGACCAGAGAGAGACCAGAGAGAGACCAGAGAGTGACCAGAGAGGACCAGAGAGGGACCAGAGAGGGACCAGAGAGAGACCAGAGAGAGACCAGAGAGAGACCAGAGAGGGACCAGAGGGAGACCAGAGAGAGACCAGAGAGAGAGACCAGAGAGAAACCAAATACCTAAAATGTATTTCATTACTTTGGAAGAAGTAGTACCTGTATTCCACATTCTTAAAATACATTCTTTACACTTATAAAAATTAAGATTTATATTATTTATATTTATTGTAAATAAATGTTCACCAATAAATAATTAAACAAATAAAAAACAAGTCAAAGTTCTTCAACATTTGCAAAAAAAGAAAACACGCAATATTTTCTAGTTCTTCTTTAAGTAGTAACTGTAATGGATTACAGTTACTCAGAAAGAGTATTCTGTATATGTGATGGGCAGAGAGAGAGACCAGAGAGAGACCAGAGAGAGAGACCAGAGAGAGAGACCAGAGAGAGACCAGAGAGAGAGACCAGAGAGAGACCAGAGAGAGAGACCAGCGAGAGAGACCAGAGAGAGACCAGAGAGAGACCAGAGAGAGAGACCAGAGGGAGAGACCAGAGGGAGAGACCAGAGGGAGAGACCAGAGGGAGAGACCAGAGGGAGAGACCAGAGAGAGACCAGAGAGAGAGACCAGAGAGAGACAAGAGAGAGAGACCAGAGAGAGAGACCAGAGAGAGACCAGAGAGAGACCAGAGAGAGACAAGAGAGAGACCAGAGAGAGACAAGAGAGAGGCCAGAGAGAGACCAGAGAGAGAGACCAGAGGGAGAGACCAGAGGGAGAGACCAGAGGGAGAGACCAGAGGGAGAGACCAGAGGGAGAGACCAGAGAGAGACCAGAGAGAGAGACCAGAGAGAGACCAGAGGGAGAGATCAGAGAGAGACCAGAGAGAGATCAGAGAGAGGGACCAGAGGGAGAGACCAGAGAGAGAGACCAGAGAGAGACCAGAGATAGACCAGAGGGAGAGACCAGAGAGAGACCAGAGAGAGACCAGAGAGAGACCAGAGAGAGACCAGAGAGAGACCAAAGAGAGACCAGAGAGAGACCAGAGGAGAGACCAGTGAGAGACCAGAGGGAGAGACCAGAGGGAGAGACCAGAGAGAGACCAGAGAGAGAGACCAGAGAGAGACCAGAGAGAGACCAGAGAGTGACCAGAGAGAGACCAGAGAGAGACCAGAGAGAGACCAGAGAGAGACCAGAGGGAGAGACCAGAGAGAGACCAGAGAGAGATCAGAGGAAGAGACCTGAGAGAGAGACCAGAGAGAGACCAGAGGGAGAGACCAGAGAGAGACCAGAGGGAGAGACCAGAGAGAGACCAGAGAGAGACCAGAGAGAGAGACCAGAGAGAGACCAGAGAGAGAGACCAGAGAGAGACCAGAGAGAGACCAGAGAGAGACCAGAGAGAGAGACCAGAGAGAGACCAGAGAGAGACCAGAGAGAGACCAGAGAGAGACCAAAGAGAAACCAGAGAGAGACCAGAGAGAGACCAGAGAGAGACCAAAGAGAGACCAGAGAGAGACCAGAGGAGAGACCAGTGAGAGACCAGAGGGAGAGACCAAAGAGAGACCAGAGAGAGACCAGAGGAGAGACCAGTGAGAGACCAGAGGGAGAGACCAGAGATAGAGACCAGAGGGAGAGACCAGAAGGAGAGACCAGAGGGAGAGACCAGAGAGAGACCAGAGAGAGACCAGAGAGAGACCAGAGGGAGAGATCAGAGAGAGACCAGAGAGAGATCAGAGAGAGGGACCAGAGGGAGAGACCAGAGAGAGAGACCAGAGAGAGACCAGAGGGAGAGACCAGAGAGAGACCAGAGAGAGACCAGAGAGAGACCAGAGGGAGAGATCAGAGAGAGACCAGAGAGAGATCAGAGAGAGGGACCAGAGGGAGAGACCAGAGAGAGAGACCAGAGAGAGACCAGAGATAGACCAGAGGGAGAGACCAGAGAGAGACCAGAGAGAGACCAGAGAGAGACCAGAGAGAGACCAAAGAAAGACCAGAGAGAGACCAGAGGAGAGACCAGTGAGAGACCAGAGGGAGAGACCAGAGGGAGAGACCAGAGAGAGACCAGAGAGAGACCAGAGAGAGACCACAGAGAGACCAGAGAGAGAGACCAGAGGGAGAGACCAGAGAGAGACCAGAGAGAGACCAGAGGGAGAGATCAGAGAGAGACCAGAGAGAGATCAGAGGAAGAGACCTGAGAGAGAGACCAGAGAGAGACCAGAGGGAGAGACCAGAGAGAGACCAGAGGGAGAGACCAGAGAGAGATCAGAGAGAGACCAGAGAGAGAGACCAGAGAGAGACCAGAGAGAGAGACCAGAGAGAAACCAGAGAGAGAGACCAGAGAGAGACCAGAGAGAGACCAAAGAGAAACCAGAAAGAGACCAGAGAGAGACCAGAGAGAGACCAAAGAGAGACCAGATAGAGACCAGAGGAGAGACCAGTGAGAGACCAGAGGGAGAGACCAGAGAGAGACCAGAGATAGAGACCAGAGGGAGAGACCAGAGATAGAGACCAGAGGGAGAGACCAGAGGGAGAGACCAGAGGGAGAGACCAGAGGGAGAGACCAGAGGGAGAGACCAGAGATAGAGACCAGAGATAGAGACCAGAGGGAGAGACCAGAGAGAGACCAGAGAGAGAGACCAGAGAGAGAGACCAGAGAGAGAGACCAGAGGGAGAGACCAGAGAGAGACCAGAGAGAGACCAGAGATACCAAAGAGAGACCAGAGAGAAAGATTAGGGAGAGACCAGAGAGACCAGCGACAACACTGCCATCCCGTGGTTAGACTGCTGCCTGTGATGTCACATGTTCTCAGTGTAACTTGTTGGAGAGCAGTGCGTTTGGGCAGAAGGGGCGGGGCTTTCCGTGAGCTCATGTCACACAGACCCCTGCTTTCTGCACGGAGCATTTTCAGAATACGGCTTGTTATTCTGGGGCCACAGGGCGTTGAATGGACCAGTGTGAGCCATGACGTCACCCTCAGTCTCAACAAGAGCTCTTTGAGTCCAGGTCCAGACCAGGTCCAGACCACAGCCCTCCAGCTCATTAGGATAACGGCTTTTGGGGGAGAAAAGTACAGCTGTGTTTGAAAGTGTACACACCCAGAAAGAGACCAGAAGGAGACCAAAGAGAGACCAGAGAGAGACCAGAGAGAGACCAGAGAGACCAGAGAGAGACCAGAGAGGAACCAGAGAGAGACCAGAGAGAGACCAGGTGAGAGACCAGAGAGAGACCAGAGAGAGACCAGGTGAGAGACCAGAGAGAGACCAGAGAGGAACCAGAGAGAGACCAGAGAGAGACCAGGTGAGAGACCAGAGAGAGACCAGAGAGAGACCAGAGAGAGACCAGGTGAGAGACCAGAGAGAGACCAGAGAGAGACCAGAGAGAGACCAGAGAGAGACCAGAGAGGAACCAGAGAGAGACCAGAGAGAGACCAGGTGAGAGACCAGAGAGAGACCAGAGAGAGACCAGGTGAGAGACCAGAGAGAGACCAGAGAGGAACCAGAGAGAGACCAGGTGAGAGACCAGAGAGAGACCAGAGAGAGACCAGAGTGAGACCAGGTGAGAGACCACAGAGAGAAAACTAGTCATAGAAGCAAACTGGTGGTAGATTATTTTGAAAAGATTATTTTGGAGAAGTGCTGTTATGATGCATGTCCCCCTCACCTCTAAACTAATTTAAATTACCAGATCAAAGACCAGAACCAGAACCAGGACCAGGAACAGGACCCAGAAACAGATCTCTGTTCATTTGACAATCATTTGACCAGCCTGGACTGGTCTGAACAACTGTGTGTTTGTGTACTATTTAAAACATTATTTAGAATCTGGTTCAGTCATTATTCAGTCCTGGTTCAGTCCTGATTCAGTCCTGGTTCAGTCCAGTCCTGGTTCAGTCCAGTCCTGGTTCAGTCCTGATTCAGTCCTGATTCAGTCCTTGCTCAGTCCTGTTTCAGACATGGCTCAGTCCTCGTCCAGTCCTGGTTCAGTTCAGTCCTGGATCAGTCCTGGATCAGTCCTTATTCTGTCCTGGTTCAGACCTGGCTCAGACCTCTTTGTTCCACAGATGGAGCTCCGGAGTCTAGTCCAAGTCTTAGTTCTGTTCCTGGTCCCGGTTCTGGCCTCGGCCTCCTCAGATTACGTGTACGACGAGGGGGACACGGGTGAGTCAAAATGTCGGAGAGCACTTCTCCTTTGCCAAGTTCATCCACCCTTGGCTCTGGCCTCTGTCACAAGAGAGGACCCCCCCTTTCAGCCAATCAGAGCTCAGCCAATCAGCTCTCAAACAATCAGCTCTCAGCCAATCAGAGCTCAGCCAATCAGATCTCAGCCAATCAGAGCTCAGCCAATCAGATCTCAGCCAATCAGAGCTCAGCCAATCAGAGCTCAGCCAATCAGATCTCAGCCAATCAGAGCTCAGCCAATCAGATCTCAGCCAATCAGAGCTCAGCCAATCAGAGCTCAGCCAATCAGATCTCAGCCAATCAGAGCTCAGCCAATCAGAGCTCAGCCAATCAGAAAGAAAACAATCGAATCAGATGAAAACAAAACTCTTTCTGGTGGATGATCTACATGTTTCCTCCTCCTGCTCCTCCTCATGTCCTCCTCCTCATGTCCTCCTCCTCCTCCTCATGTCCTCCTCATGTCCTCCTCCTCCTCCTCATGTCCTCCTCCTCCTCATGTCCTCCTCATGTCCTCCTCCTCCTCCTCATGTCCTCCTCATGTCCTCCTCATGTCCTCCTCATGTCCTCCTCCTCCTCATGTCCTCCTCCTCATCATGTCCTCCTCCTCTTCCTCATATCCTCCTCATGTCCTCCTCCTCCTCATGTCCTCCTCCTCCTCCTCATGTCTTCCTCCTCCTCCTCATGTCCTCCTCCTCCTCCTCGTGTCCTCCTCATGTCCTCCTCCTCCTCCTCATGTCCTCCTCCTCCTCCTCCTCATATCCTCCTCATGTCCTCCTCCTCCTCATGTCCTCCTCATGTCCTCCTCATATCCTCCTCATGTCCTCCTCCTCCTCATGTCCTCCTCCTCCTCCTCATGTCCTCGTCCTCCTCCTCATGTCCTCCTCATATCCTCCTCAAGTCCTCCTCAAGTCCTCCTCATGTCCTCCTCATATCCTCCTCATGTCCTCCTCATGTCCTCCTCCTCCTCCTCATATCCTCCTCATGTCCTCCTCATGTCCTCCTCCTCCTCCTCATGTCCTCCTCATATCCTCCTCATGTCCTCCTCATGTCCTCCTCATGTCCTCCTCCTCCTCATGTCCTCCTCCTCCTCCTCATGTCCTCCTCATGTCCTCCTCCTCCTCATGTCCCCCTCCTCCTCCTCATGTCCTCCTCATATCCTCCTCATGTCCTCCTCATGTCCTCCTCCTCCTCATGTCCTCCTCCTCCTCCTCCTCATGTCCTCCTCATGTCCTCCTCCTCCTCATGTCCCCCTCCTCCTCCTCTCATGTCGTCCTCATGTCCCCCTCATGTCCTCCTCATATCCTCCTCATGTCCTCTTCATGTCCTCCTCATGTCCTCCTCATGTCCTCCTCATATCCTCCTCATGTCCTCCTCCTCCTCATGTTCTCCTCATGTCCTCCTCATATCCTCCTCATGTCCTCCTCATATCCTCCTCATGTCCTCCTCATGTCCTCCTCCTCATGTCCTCCTCCTCATGTCCTCCTCCTGTCCTCCTCATGTCCTCCTCATGTCCTCCTCATGTCCTCCTCATGTCCTCCTCCTCCTCATGTCCTTCCCATGTCCTCCTCCTCATGTCCTCCTCCTCATATCCTCCTCCTCCTCCTCATGTCCTCCTTCTCCTCATATCCTCCTCCTCCATTCCCATGTCCTCCTCCTTGTGTCTCAGAGCCAGCCGAAACCTTCTCTGTCTCCTCGACAATGCAGGACACACAGCGCCTCCTGCTGGGATCCTCTGTGCTACTGCACTGCTCCTTCCAGGTGAAACACTTACATAGTTACCATAGAGACCAGAGAGAGACCAGAGAGAGACCAGAGGGAGACCAGAGAGAGAGACCAGAGAGGGACCAGAGAGAGAGACCAGAGAAAGAGACCAGAGAGAGACCAGAGAGAGACCAGAGAGAGAGACCAGAGGGAGACCAGAGAGAGAGACCAGAGAGGGACCAGAGAGAGAGACCAGAGAAAGAGACCAGAGAGAGACCAGAGAGAGACCAGAGAGAGAGACCAGAGAGAGAGACCAGAGAGAGAGACCAGAGAGAGACCAGAGAGAGACCAGAGAGAGACCAGAGAGAGACCAGAGAGAGAGACCAGAGAGAGAGACCAGAGAGAGAGACCAGAGAGAGAGACCAGAGACAGCACCATTTAACTGACTGTATTGTTTGTGACCAGGATGACCTGGGGCAGGACCCTGGGGCCCCGCCCCCGGAGCCTCCGAGGGTCAAATGGAGCGTGAAGAGCGAGGACGGGTCCCGTAGGGTCCTGGTGTCTCTGAACGGGACGGTGCGCGTGGAGGAGGACTATGTGGACCGGGCGCACCTGCCGCACTGGCCTAGCCACGCCCCCACCAAGACAGGCCCCGCCCCCACCGAGACAGGTCCCACCCCCACCGAGACAGACCCCGCCCACGACGTGTCCCTGCTCCTGTCCCAGCTGCGGCGCTCGGACTCGGGTGTTTACCGATGCGAGGTGCAGAGAGGCATCGAGGACCATCACCAGGACATCAGGGTCAATGTCATCGGTGAGTCCTGTTCATCAGAGCCAAAATATCCTGTTCAACAGAGCCAAAATGTCCTGTTCATCAGAGCCAAAATATCCTGTTCAACAGAGCCAAAATGTCCTGTTCATCAGAGCCAAAATATCCTGTTCAACAGAGCCAAAATGTTCTGTTCATCTGAGCCCAAATGTCCTGTTCATCTGAGCCAAAATGTCCTGTTCATCAGAGCCAAAATGTCCTGTTCAACAGAGCCAAAATGTTCTGTTCATCTGAGCCCAAATGTCCTGTTCATCTGAGCCAAAATGTCCTGTACATCTGAGCCAAAATGTCCTGTTCATCAGAGCCAAAATGTTCTGTTCATCTGAGCCCAAATGTCCTGTTCATCTGAGCCAAAATGTCCTGTACATCTGAGCCAAAATGTCCTGTTCAACAGAGCCAAAATGTTCTGTTCATCTGAGCCCAAATGTCCTGTTCATCATAGCCAAAACGTCCTCAGCTTCGGCCAATGTTCTGTAGTTTTCTTTTCAGTTCATTCACAGTTTTCAAGCGATTCATGTTAAAGTTCTGACCAATCAGAGACACACGTGAGCGTTCTGACCAATCAGAGACACACGTGAGCGTTCTGACCAATCAGAGACACACGTGAGCCTTCTGACCAATCAGAGGCACACGTGAGCGTTCAGAGTGAAGTATGGGCGGAAGTATGGGACGGTGGCTGAGTGATAGCACTCTCGCTTCTCAGCAAGAAGGTCCTGGGTTCGAATCCCGGTCGGAAGAGGGCTTTTCTGAGTAGAGTTTGCATGTTCTCCCCGTGTCTGTGTTGGTTTCCTCCGGGTGCTCCGGTTTCCCCTACCACTAAAAACATGTACAATAGGTCTGAATGTAAATGAGAGAGTGAATGGATGGTGTTGGAGCTGATGGTCCAGTGTGTTCTGGACTCGCTTCTGTCATCACCGTGTGTGGAAGGATTGGAACAATATCTGACTCTGAACATTGTAAAGTGCTTTGGGTGACCTTGGTCTGTAAAATGCGCTATGTAAATAAACATTACTTACTTACTATGGATTTATAGTAAAACAAAATTGATGAGACCAAAGACATTAATCCATGGATTATGAACTTTGAGAAAGCAGTAGGTTCTGAGTTCAGTGTGAGACGTGTCTTTGTGGTGCGTGTAGGGTGCAGTACCACCGCCCACCAGTAGGAGCAGCATCTCTCTCAGATATCTTACATCCATGGTCTGGTCTCAGGGGCGGTGTTCCATTATCGCGCCGCAGGAGGCCGATATAACCTAACGTTCGCAGAGGCTCAGGCCGCCTGCTCAGAGAACAGCGCCACCGTGGCCTCACCACATGAACTGCAAGCGGAGTTTGAGGACGGGCTTCACCAATGCGACGCAGGCTGGCTCTCCGACCGCACCGTCAGGTACCGGACACGAAACAGGAAGGAAACAGCACGTTAGGAGCTGTATGTGACATTATAGCTGGGGTATGTGTAACTTTAAAGCTGGGGTATGTGACTTTAATACTGGGGTTCATAACATTTAAGCTAAGTTAAGTTGCTTCTATCACTAGTTTTCACATTGTGTATTTGTGATGTCAGATCTTTTGATCAGTTTTTTTAGACAGAAAAGTGAGACAGAGAGGACCCCGCTCCCTCGGCCAATCAGATCTCAGCCAATTTTACTTTCTGTTCTTTCTTACATTTGTGATGAGACTAAAGTTATGTACCCAGCTTTAAAGTTACGTAACCCAGCTATAAAGTTACATACCCCAGCTTTAAAGTTACAGACCCCAGCTTTAAGGGCAACTCTGTTCAGGTACCCGATCCACGAACCCCGGGAGGAGTGTTTCGGGGACAAGCTGACTCTTCCCGGAGTCCGGACGTACGGACGACGAGACGAAAACGAGACGTACGATGTTTACTGCTTCACATCCAACATGAGTGGTGAGTACGAGACCAGAGAGAGACCAGAGAGAGACCAGAGAGAGACCAGAGAGAGACCAGAGAGAGACCAGATAGAGACCAGAGAGAGAGACCAGAGAGCGACCAGAAAGCGACCAGAGAGCGACCAGAGAGAGACCAGAGAGAGACCAGAGAGAGAGATCAGAGAGAGAGACCAGAGAGCGACCAGAAAGAGAGACCAGAGAGCGACCAGAGAGAGACCAGAGAGAGACCAGAGAGAGAGATCAGAGAGAGACCAGAGAGAGACCAGAGAGAGAGATCAGAGAGAGACCAGAGAGAGACCAGAAAGAGAGACCAGAGAGCGACCAGAGAGCGACCAGAGAGAGACCAGAGAGCGACCAGAGAGAGACCAGAGAGAGACCAGAGAGAGAGACCAGAGAGAGAGATCAGAGAGAGAGACCAGAGAGAGACCAGAGAGAGGCCAGAGGGAGGCCAGAGGGAGGCCAGAGAGAGGCCAGAGAGAGGCCAGAGAGAGACCAGAGAGAGACCAGAGAGAGACCAGAGAGAGACCAGAGGGAATCTCATTCTAATCCTTCCTCAGGTGGAGTCTCCCCCCTGTCCTCCCCCCTCCTCTTCTCTCTCCCTGAAGCGCACTCGGCCTGTGATTATGGGGGAGGACGGCTGGCAACGGTGGGGGAGCTGGTCCTGGCCTGGTCCCGGGGTCTGGACTCCTGTAGTCCCGGCTGGCTCATGGACGGCAGTGTGAGGTGGGTGTTTGGACATGATCTCTGCTCCGTGGGATGTCATGTGACTTCAGGGTCTCTCTCAGGTTCCCCGTGACCACCCGGCGCCCTCAGTGTGGGGGCGGGCTCCTCGGGGTCCGGACCGTCCACCTGAACCCAGACCAGACCGGGTTTCCCCTGCCCCAGAGCCGCTACCAGGCCTTCTGCTACTCAGGTCAGACCACAGACTGTATATGGACTATGCTAATGTTAGCTCAAGGCTAACTCGCTCAATGAAGCCCATTGGCTCCTATTGATTTACGTGGAAAATTAAACAACAGCGAAAGTTAAATCTCGGTAAGATTTATTACAAAAAATAACATAAATTATGTTTATTTTTTAATGTCAAGTTTTTGGAGCTTGAAAGTAGTTTGTCATAAGATTATTTTATTAGTTTTAAGATAATTCATAATCTTAGAGAAAAAAGTCTGAGCAGTGAGTTTTTACGCGTCGTCACGGTAACATGCGTGTGTTTCAGAGCGTCGTCACGGTAACATGCGTGTGTTTCAGAATGTTGTCACGGTAACATGCCTGTGTTTCAGAGCGTCGTCACGGTTACATGCTTGTGTTTCAGAGCATCGTCACGGTAACATGCGTGTGTTTCAGAGCGTTGTCACGGTAACATGCGTGTGTTTCAGAGTATTGTCACGGTAACATGCGTGTGTTTCAGAGCGTCGTCACGGTAACGTGTGTGTTTCAGAGCATCGTCACGGTAACATGCGTGTGTTTCAGAGCATTGTCACGTAACATTTGTGTGTTTCAGAGCGTTGTCACAGTAACATGCGTGTGTTTCAGAGTGTCGTCACGGTAACATGCGTGTGTTTCAGAGCGTTGTCACGGTAACATGCGCCTGTTTCGGAGCGTTGTCACGGTAACATGCGTGTGTTTCAGAGTGTCGTCACGGTAACATGTGTGTGTTTCAGAGCGTTGTCACGGTAACATGCTTGTGTTTCAGAGCGTCGTCACGGTAACATGCGTGTGTTTCAGAGCGTTGTTGCGGTAACATGCGTGTGTTTCAGAGCGTTGTCACAGTAACATGCGTGCGTTTCAGATTATTGTCACGGTAACGTACGTGTGTAAATGAGCGTTGTCACAGTAACATACGTGTGTAAATGAGCGTCGTCGCGGTAACATGCGTGTGTTGCTGAGTGTTGTTACGGTAACGTGTGTGTGTTTCAGAGCTCGCCACGGAGGAGGAGGGCAGTGGCGGCGTCGTCATGGTGACGCAGCGGCCTCTGTTCTTCCCCGTGACGACGGCGAGCAGTGAATCTCAGGGAGAGACCGAGACGCTGCAGCCAATCAGCAGCGAAAACAGACCAGTGACTCCGCCCCCCTTCTCTACACGGCCACTCCGCTTACCTTTTGATGCAGAGCCAAAGGTCACACTGCCCCCTACAGGTAAACACGCCCCCTACTGCTGAGACATGCTCCCGGTTCAGACCTGGTTTAGACCTGGTTCAGTTCTGGTGTCTCTGGTTCAGTTCTTATTAAGTCTTGATTCAGACCTGGTTCAGACCTGGTTTCTCTGGTCCAGTCCTGGTTTCTCTGGATCAGTCCTGGTTCAGTCCTGGTTTCTCCTGTCCAGTCCTGGTTCAGTCCTGGTTTCTCTCCACAGGTGTGGTCTTCCACTACAGACCCGGTCGCAGGTACTCCCTGACCTTCTCGGAGGCTCAGGAGGCCTGCCTCAGAGCAGGGGCTCGGGTCTCCACAGGACCAGAACTCGAGGATGCTTTCAGGACTGGACTGCACCAGTGTGACGCCGGCTGGGTCCAGGACCAGACCGTCAGGTGAGGATCGCACCCAAACATCTCACAGGACTCGGCCAATCAAAAGCCAGACATTTTGGCTCTGATGTACAGGTATCCAGTGGTCCGGCCCAGGGCAGAGTGTGGAGGGGGCGGTAGTCCCGGAGTCCGGACTTACGGCTGGAGACCTGAAGACGAGACTTGGGACGTGTACTGCTACAGCGCCACCAGCAGAGGTCAGTGTGTCCCGAAACACCTGCATATGAGGTGTGAGAGACTCTCTCTGGTCTCTCTCTGGGCTCTCTCTCTGTTACCTCCTCCATTAAGGTCGCAAGCCGGGTTAAAGGCCCAGTCCCTCTCACAGTCCCTGTCCTGTAGGTGAGGTGTTCCCAGTGGCGGCCCCTGGTGGATGGTCGTTCTCTGAGGCTTCACGCGCCTGCTCTGCGGAGGGGGCGGAGCTTGCCACGGTGGCTGACCTGCACGTGGCCTGGAGGATGGGCTTTGATTGGTGCAGAGCAGGGTGGCTCTCTGACGGATCTGTGCGATATCCAATCAGCTGGCCCCGACCGCAGTGTGGGGGCGGAGCTACAGGAGTTCACACAATTTACATCAACGACGACCAGAGCGAGAACCCCCCCGAGAGGACCCGCTTCGACGCGTTCTGTACACGAGGTATTTATACTACTACTACTGTTACTACTGCTACTGCTACTACTACTACTACTACTGCTACTACTGTTACTGCTACTGCTACTACTGCTACTACTGCTACTGCTACTACTACTGCTACTGCTACTACTACTACTACTACTACTACTACTACTGCTACTACTACTACTGCTACTGCTACTACTACTACTACTACTACTGCTACTACTACTACTGCTATTGCTCCTGCAACTACTGCTGCTACTGCTACTACTACTACTACTGCTACTACTACTGCTTCTTCTACTACTTCTACTACTGCTACTACTACTACTGCTACTACTGCTACTGCTACTGCTACTACTGCTACTGCTACTACTACTACTACTGCTGCTGCTACTGCTACTACTACTACTACTGCTACTACTACTGCTACTGCTACTGCTACTGCTACTACTACTGCTACTACTACTACTGCTACTACTACTACTGCTACTGCTACTACTACTACTGCTACTGCTCTTGCAACTACTACTGCTGCTACTACTACTACTACTGCTGCTACTACTACTACTACTGCTACTGCTACTGCTACTACTACTGCTACTGCTACTGCTACTGCTACTACTGCTACTGCTACTACTACTGCTAATGCTACTGCTACTACTGCTACTGCTACTACTACTACTGCTACTACTACTACTAAACTTGACTCAGTTGCCTAAGTCACCTCAATATGAAAAACATGAAATTGCAGCATTAGGGCCCCCTACAGACTCAGTCAAGTTTTACATGGGCAGAATAAGGTTTAGTTTTTTCAAAATGTTTTGGCATCAAGTCAATAAGACTCAGGCCTTATTTTTGATGGTTCAAAACATGAACCATCAACAGTTCATCACAGAATTTTAAATAGTCAAACAGTGTGTGCGCGGCAGACTCGCATATTGGGGTTCTTTCTACAGAGACTCACGAAAGTTCGCTCCCATCAGGGCTGTAGGAAGATGGCGCGTCAGAGGGCCAATCGGCTTTAATTATAAATTCTTGTTTCAGTGTCCAATGGAACAGTTGTCTACAGCACGGCTCCTCCTGCTGCTTCTACTGCTGCTACTTCTACTGCTGCTACTTCTACTGCTGCTACTTCTACTGCTGATACTTCTACTGCTGCTACCTCTACTGCTGCTACTTCTACTGCTGCTACTTCTACTGCTGCTACTTCTACTGCTGCTACCTCTACTGCTGCTACTTCTACTGCTGCTACCTCTACTGCTGCTACTTCTACTGCTGCTACTTCTACTGCTGTTGCTGCCGACACGACTTTGTCCTGGAGAAATGTGACCGAGGAGGTTTTGAACAAGACGAGCTCGACACTCCACACCAAACCAGGTGAGACCGAGCTTCTTTCAGTCTGGTGTGAAAAGCAAATGAAAGAAGAGGAGCTTAAAGGGCCCATATTATGCTTTTTGACTTTTCTCTGGTTTAAACATGATTACAGTGCTATTTGGTCTCATACACATGCCCAGAGTAGTTTTTTCATTGATTCCTTCAAGCTTTAGTTAGAGAGCAATCTTTCTCTTTCATTCTCGAGAGGCACAGAATCGAGCTGGTTCAAATCGTGACGTGGCACAATCCGTGACGTCAAAAGCGTCACTGATTGACAGGTGGAGAAACTGAACCAGCGAATCAGCGCCGTCTATAGTCAGCTGCAGCCTCTCTCCGAGTCCAGCGTGTGGTCCAACGACAGTGAATAAGCCTCTGTGCTTCATGTCAACTTGGAGAAAATGTGTTGGTGGTGTAAATACGTGACAAGAGTATGTTAGTATTAGATAGCAATATGGCCTACGTGCAGGACTGTACAAGGACTCTGATTATTTTGACTATGATGTGACTGTCTCTGTGTGACACGTATGTCTTTCCATGTGTGACGTGACAATGACTATATAAACTGTGTACTGCCTTTATTCTGTCTGAGAGAAAGAAACAAAGGAAACCACTGGAACTTGAGAGAAACCTAAATAAACTTCCAGAGTTTGGCACACCACGATCCGTCTCTGTCTGCTTCATCCCTGACAAGTATTTGGCCCAAAGACGGAGAATGGGGATTGACTTCGTTCACGGATCTGCCTCGTATCCGTGCGAGTCTGAAATCCGCGACAAAACTGGCAGATTTTATTTTTTTGCGAGTGATGGTGACACTAAGGACAGTTCCAGAACCGGTTACCTTGAAACGGGACCTACTCAAAAGCTGAGCTGGAAACTTGGTTTTATTCCAACATAAAAGACGCTAACAGGAGCCTCTGTCTGTGGGTACAGTGATGCTAACTCGCTGTGTTAGCATGTACATGTTACAGTTAGAAGTAGATATAATTAGGATGCATCGAAGGCAAACATCGACCGATACCGATGTTCAGCCGATACATCGTGCATCCCTAGATTTAATGCCTCTTATGAACCATAGAGGTAGAAACAATAATTTTCTTTAAGGTACGATTTCAAAACGTGACTTTAGCGGTACAACGTGTTGAAGTCTTAGTGCAGGTTATCAATGAGTGACTTGTTGTACAGTCTGACGGCAGTGTGGCTGAAAGAGAGAGGGCCATGTAGGGTTTATGTACATGTTGTGTGTCTTACTACTGTCCCCACTGTGGGAGTAAAGGTTCTTATGTTTCAGTTACATAAGTGACTTTTTCTGCAGCTCCCATCCCTTCTCCGGATCCCGTGGACTCCTCTGGGTCTGGTCTTTCCTCTGGGTCTGGTCTGGCCTCTGGTTCTGGTCTTGCCTCTGGATCTGGTCTGTCTGGATCCGGTTCTGGTCTGGCCTATGGTTCCGGTCTCTCTGGCTCTGGCTCGGGCTCTGGGATAGACCTGGTTTTCTCGGGCTCAGGTCTGGTCCAATCTGGGTCCGGTTTGACTTCTGCACAAGAGGCTGGAGGGGAGGGCAGTTCCGCGCTCATCGTACCCAGCATAGAGGACCACCTCTCTGGGGAGAGCAGCGGCAGTGGCAGCCCATCTGGATCTGGACAGTTCAGCGCAGGTCAGAACTTTGAAGTGGAAAGATTTTTAACAAAAAGGCAGGAGTCGTAATGTGGTGTCCCGCATTATTAAATTGTTGAGAAGTACAGTTTTTTGGCATTTTCAGCCAATAGATGGAAACTATGAATTATACTCTTCTACTCTCTTCTCTTCCAGGGTCCAGTGGTTTCTCCTCTGGTTCAGGAGAAAGTGGATTCTTCTCTGGTCTGGGCTCGGGTCTGGACTCGGGTCTGGACTCGGATCTGAGCTCTGGTCTGGGCTCTGGTCCGGGCTCGGGTCTGGGCTCTTTGGGCAGTGGATCTATGAACTTTGTGAATGGAGACCTGATGGACTTCACGGTTCATTCCGGCTCTAGGCAGGAACTAGGCTCCAACACCCTGTTGTTTTCTGGATCTGGTCTTGGCTCAGGTCTGGGGTCGGGTCATGGTTCTGGACTGGGGTCTGGTCTTGGTGAATCTGGCTCAGGCTCCTCTGGCAGTGGGTCTGTGAACTTTGTGGATGGAGACCTGGTGGACTTCACTCTTTTCTCCGGAGATAAACAAGAACTAGGCTCAGGGTCTCTGCTGTTCTCTGGATCTGGTCTTGGGTCTGGGCTTGGATCGGGACTTGGTTCTGGACAGGGGTCTGGTGTGGCCTCGGGTCTTGGGTCTGGTCTGGGTGAATCTGGCTTAGGCTCCTCTGGCAGTGGATCTGTGAACTTTGTGGACGGAGACCTGGTGGACTTCACTCTTTACTCCGGAGAAAAACAAGAACTAGGCTCAGGGTCTCTGCTGTTCTCTGGATCTGGTCTCCGCTCGAGTCTCGGCTCTGGATTGGGACTCCCCTCTGGGTCTGGGTTCGATAAGGTCGCATTTGGGGAGTCTGGCTCGAGTTCTGGCTCAGGGTCTGGATTCTCTGGTCTCCCGGATATCACAATGGGTGAGTGGAAAAAACTATGAAACAAGTGAAAAAAAACTCAATTTGTATTTTTTAATCTGAACGCTTTAGCAAAGATTTAAACAAAAGATTAAAGTCTCCCATTTCACATCTGTTTTCCTTAGACCGGTTTTCGGGCTTCAATGAGAAGTACGGTTTCGGTTCCGGGTCTGGACGAGGTCCTGAGGAGGCCTCTGGATTGACTTTCTCCGGGTCTGGGTCGGGGTCTGGGTCTGAAGGAGATCCTCAGGAGGCCTCTGGACTGATATTCTCTGGGTCTGGGTCTGGTCTTGGCTCAGGTCTTGGTTCTGATTGGGTCCGGAGTCCTGTTACACCACCGTCTGTCACTGACAATGCTGGCCCCGCCTCCATGTTTGCCCCGCCCCCTCAGGAGAACTCCACCAATCAGCTGCCTCCAGGTCAGAACATGACATAATGGTCTATGTGGGGATTTTACAGTAGTCCTAATCCCGGTCTTTCTCAGGTCTCTGTGGGGGTTTTACAGTAGTCCTAATCCCGCGCTTTCTCAGGTCTCTGTGGGGTTTTACAGTAGTCCTAATCCCGGTCTTTCTCAGGTCTCTGTGGGGGTTTTACAGTAGTCCTAATCCCGGTCTTTCTCAGGTCTCTGTGGGGTTTACAGTAGTCCTAATCCCGGTCTTTCTCAGGTCTCTGTGGGGGTTTTACAGTAGTCCTAATCCCGGTCTTTCTCAGGTCTCTGTGGGGGTTTTACAGTAGTCCTAATCCCGGTCTTTCTCAGGTCTCTGTGGGGGTTTTACAGCAGTCCTAATCCCGGTCTTTCTCAGGTCTCTGTGGGGTTTACAGTAGTCCTAATCCCGGTCTTTCTCAGGTCTCTGTGGGGGTTTTACAGTAGTCCTAATCCCAGTCTTTCTCAGGTCTCTGTGGGGGTTTTACAGTAGTCCTAATCCCGGTCTTTCTCAGGTCTCTGTGGGGTTTTACAGTAGTCCTAATCCCGGTCTTTCTCAGGTCTCTGTGGGGTTTACAGCAGTCCTAATCCCGGTCTTTCTCAGGTCTCTGTGGGGTTTACAGTAGTCCTAATCCCGGTCTTTCTCAGGTCTCTGTGGGGTTTACAGTAGTCCTAATCCCGGTCTTTCTCAGGTCTCTGTGGGGCGGACTGGACGGTCTTTGAGTCCCGCTGTTACCTGATGATGTCTCAGCGTCTCACTTGGTTGGAGGCGGAGCTTCAGTGCAGAGAGATGAACGGTCATCTGACCAGCATCAACTCCGAGCACGAGCTGGACTTTGTGACCGGTGAGAGCCCTTTCATCCGAGCCAAAATGTCCTCTTTAACTTTGCTCTAACAGTTTTGTCTCTTATCCTCTGGTCCTGGTCCTGCATCCTCTGGTCCTGGTCCTGCATCCTCTGGTCCTGGTCCTGCTTCCTCTGGTCCTGGTCCTGCTTCCTCTGGTCCTGGTCCTGCATCCTCTGGTCCTGGTCCTCCATCCTCTGGTCCTGGTCCTGCTTCCTCTGGTCCTGGTCCTGCTTCCTCTGGTCCTGGTCCTGCTTCCTCTGGTCCTGGTCCTGCATCCTCTGGTCCTGGTCCTGCATCCTCTGGTCCTGGTCCTCCATCCTCTGGTCCTGGTCCTCCATCCTCTGGTCCTGGTCCTGCTTCCTCTGGTCCTGGTCCTGCTTCCTCTGGTCCTGGTCCTGCTTTCTCCGGTCTTGGTCATGCTTCTTCTGGTCCTGCTGCTTCTGGTCCTGGTCCTGCTCCTCTGGTCCTGGTCCGGCTTTCTCTGGTCTTGGTCATGCTTCCTCTGGTATTGCTCCTGCTGCTTCTGGTCCTGGTCCTGCTTCCTCTGGTCCTGCTTTCTATGGTCCTACTTCTTCTGGTATTGCTCCTACTTTCTCTGGTCCTGGTTCAGGTTTGGGTCCAGTTTATCAGTGGATCGGACTCAACGATCGAGAAGTCGAAGGAACTTTCACCTGGACGGACCAGTCAGATCTGGTACGCTACATGCTACACACTACAGGCTACACACTATACGCTAGTGGGTTAGCATTGAGCTATTGAGTTAGCATTGAGCTAGTGGGTTAGCATTGAGCTAGTGGGTTAACATTGAGCTAGTGGGTTAACATTGTCCATCTATAAAGAGTGAGTTCAAGTGGTTAGAAAAAAATTGTTGAATGTGTGGAATACTCTCTCTGGTCTCTCTCTCTCTCTGGCCTCTCTCTTTGGTCTCTCTCTCTGGCCTCTCTCTTTGGTCTCTCTCTCTGGCCTCTCTCTGGTCTCTCTCTCTGATCTCTCTCTGGTCTCTCTCTCTGATCTCTCTCTGGTCTCTGGTCTCTGGTCTCCGTGGCAAGAGCTCTGGTGTGTGTCGTCTTCTCTGTCTGGTGCACACCGGGGTAGTCTTGCACAGTTTTTCCAATGTGGTTTTACTGCAAATGGCAAATAAATGAATCTGAATCTGAATCTGAATCTGAATCTCTCTGGTCTCTCTCTGGTCTCTCTCTCTGATCTCTCTTTGGTCTCTCTCTCTGGTTTCCCTGGTCTCTCTCTCTGGTTTCCCTGGTCTCTCTCTCTGGTCTCTCTTGTGTTTAGCTCCTCCCATGCTCATATACAGTGTGTTCCTAGGCCTTTGCTCAGTGGCGCCCCCATCAGCCCGACTCGTACTCGGGGCCAGAGGAGGACTGTGTGGCTCTGATCCCGGAGAATGGAGGAGAGTGGAACGACCTGCCATGTACCTACCACCTGCCATTCACCTGTGAGAGAGACCCCCCCAGGTAACCAGAGAGAGAGACCAGAGAGAGAGAGGTCTGAGAGAGAGACCAGAGAGAGAAGCCAGAGAGAGAGACCAGAGAGACAGAGGCCAGAGAGAGAGAGACCAGAGAGAGACCAGGGAGAGACCACAGCGAGACCAGAGAGAGATACCAGAGAGAGCAGAGAGAGAGACTAGAGAGCGATCAGAGAGAGACCAGAGAGAGCGATCAGAGAGAGACCAGAGAGAGCGATCAGAGAGCGATCAGAGAGAGATCAGAGAGAGAGACCATAGAGAGAGACCAGAGAGAGAGACCAGAGAGAGAGACTAGAGAGAGAGACTAGAGAGAGAGACCAGAGAGAGAGACCAGAGAGAGAGACCAGAGAGAGAGACAAGAGAGAGAGACAAGAGAGAGAGACCAGAGAGAGAGACCAGAGAGAGAGACCAGAGAGAGAGACCAGAGAGAGAGACAAGAGAGAGAGACCAAAGAGAGAGACCAGAGAGAGACCACACACAGACACTAACTCTCTCTTGTTGCAGTGACCAGTGGTGGTGAGCGCCTCCTTCAGGTCGTGGACTGAACTGCAGCACATTCAACACTGGAACTTTATTTAAATTATTGACGACGCGAGGCTCAGACGAGTCTCCACAACAACAGAGTTTATTTACAGAAAGAGTTTATTGTCCCCCCGCCCCTTCTGTCTGAACCCTGCCCTGTCCAATATGTCCCCCCTCCCCTTCTGTCCGAACCCTGCCTTGTCCATTATGTCCCCCCTCCCCTTCTGTCCGGACACTGCCCTGTCCAATATGTCCCCCCTCCCCTTCTGTCCGGACCCTGCCCTGTCCAATATGTCCCCCCACCCCTTCTGTCCAAACCCTGCCCTGTCCAATATGTCCCCCCTCCCCTTCTGTCCGGACCCTGCCCTGTCCAATATGTCCCCCCTCCCCTTCTGTCCGAACCCTGCCCTGTCCAATATGTCCCCCCACCCCTTCTGTCCGAACCCTGCCCTGTCCAATATGTCCCCCCTCCCCTTCTGTCCGAACCCTGCCCTGTCCAATATGTCCCCCCTCCCCTTCTGTCCGAACCCTGCCCTGTCCAATATGTCCCCCCTCCCCTTCTGTCCGAACCCTGCCCTGTCCAATATGTCCCCCCACCCCTTCTGTCCGAACCCTGCCCTGTCCAATATGTCCCCCCTCCCCTTCTGTCCGGACCCTGCCCTGTCCAATATGTCCCCCCTCCCCTTCTGTCCAGACCCTGGGCTTTCCAATAGTTCCCCCACCCCTTCTGTCCAGACCCTGCCCTGTCCAATATGTCCCCCCTCCCCTTCTGTCCGGACCCTGCCCTGTCCAATATGTCCCCCCACCCCTTCTGTCCGAACCCTGCCCTGTCCAATATGTCCCCCCTCCCCTTCTGTCCGGACCCTGCCCTGTCCAATATGTCCCCCCTCCCCTTCTGTCCGAACCCTGCCCTGTCCAATATGTCCCCCCACCCCTTCTGTCCGAACCCTGCCCTGTCCAATATGTCCCCCCTCCCCTTCTGTCCGAACCCTGCCCTGTCCAATATGTCCCCCCTCCCCTTCTGTCCGAACCCTGCCCTGTCCAATATGTCCCCCCTCCCCTTCTGTCCGAACCCTGCCCTGTCCAATATGTCCCCCCACCCCTTCTGTCCGAACCCTGCCCTGTCCAATATGTCCCCCCTCCCCTTCTGTCCGGACCCTGCCCTGTCCAATATGTCCCCCCTCCCCTTCTGTCCAGACCCTGGGCTTTCCAATAGTTCCCCCACCCCTTCTGTCCAGACCCTGGGCTTTCCAATAGTTCCCCCACCCCTTCTGTCCAGACCCTGGGCTTTCTGTCGACCAATCCTGTGCAGGCGCAGTGTCTGTGGGCGGTGCCATGATCCAAATGTATCTGTCATAAAAATGTCTTTGTGTTTTGTTTGGATTGTGTAAATGTTGAGCTAGAAACCCCAGAGCAGAGGGGGGCGCTGTTTCTAAAGTTTAAATATTCCAGACACATGTCTTTTTGACACTGTTTAAACAACAGTTGGACCAAAACGCACCCAGCCAGGTACTCCCAGGTACTCCCAGGTACTCCCAGGTACTCCCAGCCAGGTCACAACAGGTCTGTTGCGGTGCAGCGGCGGTGGTTACGGCGACTCGATGCAGCGAAAGCAGGACATTCACTGAACATTCTCGCTCCGCCCACATCCAGCAACCAATCAGAGAGCAGCGAAGTGGTCACGAGGACAAAAGTAGATCCATACAAGAAGAGGAAGACACCAAAACAACCAAAACATGAGCTAAACCAGGATTAAGCCAGGACTAAACAGGACTGAACCATTGTTAAACCAGGACTATGCCAGGACTAAGCCAGGACTGAACCAGGACTAAACCAGGATTACCCCGGGACTAAACCAGGGCTAAACCAGGACTTGCTTGTGAACAGACGTCTTTACCCTGAGTTTCTGTAAACGAGTGATGCTAGCATGTTGTCGATACAGAATATTAAACTCGTTAGCATCAAAGCTCCGCCCACTACTTCCTCTCTGTGTTTTCCTCTTCCTCATCAGTCACAGACCCGCACTCATGTTTAGCTCCATCCACACTAACCCTGACGCCCCCCGCCCCTTCTGTCACTGCAAAGAATCCTCAGACTGAAGTGAATTTTGTGAATGTCTCTTGTCGAAAGCTGTTCTGTGCAGTTGTGTTTGAAGAAACTAGATGAACTGATTAAGTTTGGCTCAGATGAAAGCTTCAGGAGCAGTGCTCACCTCTGCTCTAAAAGTGCAAATACAATGTTTGAAATAAACAGTTGGTTTTAAAAACTAGTGATGAAGTTTCAGCAAAGAACATTTGTCCAATTTGAATGTGAACGTGTGTCTTCATCCAGAGAGGAGAGAGAGGGGAGGAAGGAGAGAGGGGAGGAAGGAGAGGAAGGAGAGAGGAGAGGAAGGAGAGAGGGGAGGAAGGAGAGAGGAGAGGAAGGAGAGAGGGGAGGAAGGAGAGAGGAGAGGAAGGGGAGGAAGGAGAGAGGGGAGGAAGGAGAGAGGAGAGGAAGGAGCAGGGGAGGAAGGAGCAGGGGAGGAAGGACAGAGGAGAGGAAGGAGAGAGGGGAGGAAGGAGAGAGGAGAGGAAGGAGCAGGGGAGGAAGGACAGAGGAGAGGAAGGAGAGAGGAGAGGAAGGAGAGGGGAGGAAGGAGAGAGGAGAGGAGAGGAAGGAGCAGGGGAGGAAGGACAGAGGAGAGGAAGGAGAGGAAGGAGAGACGGGAGGAAGGAGAGAGGGGAGGAAGGAGAGAGGAGAGGAAGGAGAGAGAAGAGCAAGGAGAGGAGAGGAAGGAGAGAGGGGAGGAAGGAGAGAGGAGAGGAGAGGAAGGAGGAAGGAGGAGAGGAGAGGAAGGAGAGAGGGGAGGAAGGACAGAGGAGAAGAAGGAGGGAGGAGAGGAGAGGAAGGAGAGAGAAGAGCAAGGAGAGAGGAGAGGAGAGGAAGGAGAGAGGAGAGGAAGGAGAGAGAAGAGCAAGGAGAGAGGAGAGGAGAGGAAGGAGAGAGGAGAGGAAGGAGAGAGGGGAGGAAGGAGAGGGGAGAGAGGAGAGGAAGGAGAGAGGAGAGGAAGGAGAGAGGAGAGGAAGGAGAGAGGAGAGGAAGGAGAGAGGGGAGGAAGGAGAGAGGGGAGAGAGGAGAGGAGAGGAAGGAGAGAGAAGAGCAAGGAGAGAGAAGAGGAAGGAGAGAGGGGAGGAAGGAGAGAGGGGAGGAGAGGAAGGAGAGAGGAGAGGAAGGAGAGAGGGGAGGAAGGAGAGGGGAGAGAGGAGAGGAAGGAGAGAGGGGAGGAAGGAGAGGAAGGAGAGAGGGGAGGAAGGAGACAGGAGAGGAAGGAGAGAGGGGAGGAAGGAGAGGGAAGGAAGGAGAGAGGAGAGGAAGGAGAGAGGAGAGGAAGGAGAGAGGAGAGGAAGGAGAGAGGAGAGGAAGGAGAGAGGGGAGGAAGGAGAGGAGAGGAAGGAAGGAGAGAGGAGAGGAAGGAGAGAGGGGAGGAAGGAGAGAGGGGATGAAGGAGAGAGGAGAGGAAGGAGAGAGGGGAGGAAGGAGAGAGGAGAGGAAGGAGAGAGGGGATGAAGGAGAGAGGAGAGGAAGGAGAGAGGAGAGGAAGGAGAAAGGAGAGGAAGGAGAGAGGAGAGGAAGGAGAGAGGAGAGGAAGGAGAGAGGGGAAATAGAGACATCCAGAAAGAGGAGAGAGAGGGGAGGATGGAGAGAGGGGGAATAGAGGAGACATCCAGAAAGAGGAGAGGAAGAGAGAGGGGGAATAGAGACATCCAGAAAGAGGGGAGGAAGAGAGAGGGGGAATAGAGAGACATCCAGAAAGAGGAGAGAGAGGGGAGGATGGAGAGAGGGGGAATAGAGAGACATCCAGAAAGAGGAGAGAGAGGGGAGGAAGGAGAGAGGGGATGAAGGAGAGAGGGAAGGAAGGAGAGAGGGGGAATAGAGAGACATCCAGAAAGAGGAGAGAGAGGGGAGGATGGAGAGAGGGGGAATAGAGGAGACATCCAGAAAGAGGAGAGGAAGAGAGAGGGGAAATAGAGAGACATCCAGAAAGAGGAGAGGAAGAGAGAGGGGGAATAGAGAGACATCCAGAAAGAGGAGAGGAAGAGAGAGGGGGAATAGAGAGACATCCAGAAAGAGGAGGGGAAGAGAGGAGAGACTAAACCACAGAAACAACATGCTCCACACAGTAAGCCACGCCCTTTTTTAATTTTTTGGATTTTATTATAAAAATGTTACAGACCTTTCAGAAAACGGTCAAACAGACAATAACCGCAGCAGGATCATATAAAGACATAAAACCATGTGTGGGTGCATTTAAATAAAGAATGTTTATTTATTTCATAATGCCTTTGGGTGATAAGTTCATTACTTTTATAGATTCATTTCGTTTTGGAACATGTTCATAAAAAGGGTTTTCTATTTTTAAAAATTGTTTTGTGAATGTGGAATTTTCCCAGAATGCATAACAGATGAACTAACTCATATTTACTGTTTTATTTGTTGAAAAAACCCAAAAATACCTTGATAACGAAAAGTAGCCACGCCCTTTTACTGACGGCATCAACGCAGTGACGTAAGCAGTGTTTCAGGCTTTCACGCAAGCCCCGGCGATCCAAGATGGCGCCCTATTCAAATGAATGGTTGTGCTCAGTGGCGCTTTGTGACGGCATGGGGGCTGAAAGATTAGCGGAATGTTACTTTTCTTAAGATTAGGGGGGGAGAGTGTTGGGGGAGGGTGTTATGGTGGGGTGGGGAATAGTTGGGGTTGGTGTGTGTGTGATTGTGTGGTTGTTTGGTAGGTGAGTGTGGGTTGGGTGGTGGTGGTTGAATGTATTGTGGGTTGGTGTTATTGGGGTTTGGTGTTGTGTGTGGGGGGGTGGTTGGATGGATGGGGGGGGTTTTGGTGTAATGTTTATGATGGTGATTGGAGGGGGAATTTTTGGGTTTTTGTGGTGTGTGGGTTGGTGAGGGGAGGGTTGAGGGGGGAGGTGGATTGATAAATGGGAGTAGGGTGTGGTGTGGTTTGTGTTGGGTGGTGTTGGGGGTGGGTTTGGTGTGGGTTATTAGAAGTGTGGTGTATGGGAGGGTGGTTTTTGGGGGGGTGTATATAGGATTGGTTTGTGGGGGGTTTGGGTGTGTTGGTGGTGTTTTTATTTTTTGATGTTTTTTGGTTGGATTGTTTGTGTAAAGTGGGTGGTGATGGATAGGAGGGGTTTGGGGTTGGGATTTGTGGGTGTTGTGTTTTTTGGGGTGGGGTAGTGGGGTATGTTTTGGATGGGGGGAATTGGGAAATGATGGTTGGAGGGGGTTGTTGGAGGTTGAGGGGGGTTGTTTTGTTTGTGGTTGGGGGGTGGTTATGTGAGGAGGTTTTTGTGTTGGGGTGTTGGGTGGTGTGGTGTGAGGGGGGGTGTGGGGGGTTGTGGTGGTAAGAGTGTGTGGAGAAGTGGTTGAGTTGAGGTGTTAGTTGGGGTTTTGGAGGTTGTTGGTTTTGTTGTTGTGTGTAGTTTTTTGTGGTGTGGGGGTTTTTGGGGTGGGTGGGGGGGTTGTGGTGTTTTTTGGTTTTGGGGGGTTAGGGTGTGTGGGTTGGGTGTTGTTATGGGGGGTATTGTGGTTGGGGTGGTGGGGGTTGTGGTTGTGTTGTTGTTTTTGTTTAGTGTGTGTTGGGGTGTGTTTGTGTAGTGGTGTTTGATGGTGTTGTGTTGGTGTTGGGGGTGGTGGTGTGGGTGTGTGGGTTTGGTTTGGGTGTTATTTGTTGGGGATTGTGTTTGTTTGGTTGTTGGTGGGGGTGGGTGGGTGTGGTGGTTGGGTGGTGTGTGGGGGTGGTTTTGTTGGTTGTGGGGGGGGTGGTGTGGGGGTGGTGGGGGGTTTTTTTGTATGTTTGGTTGGGTTTATTTTGTGTTTGTGTTGTGTGGTTTTGTGTGTGTTGGGGGGTGTGTTGGGGTGGGTTTGTTGGGTTTTGTGTGGGTTGTATGGTTGTGGGGGGGTTGGTGGGGTTGGTGGGTGGGATTTGGGGGGGGTTGGGGTTTTGTGTTGGTTTGGTGGTGGGTTGTTGGGTGGTTGGTGTGATTTTGTGGGGTTGTGGGTGTTGGGTTTTTGGGTGTGGGGGTTGTGGGGGTGTGTTGGTTGGGGGTGTAGGGGGTGGTGGGGGTTGGGGTGAGGTTTGGGTTGTGTGTTTTTGTTAATGTAGGAGGGGTATAAATAAGAATTTTATATTGATGTGATTAGAAAGTAAATGTAATTTGGGGGAGGATGAATTTGGAGTGTTAAATTAATTAGGTTTATATGTAGTAGTGGAGTATGAGATTGTGGGTTTTTTGTTGTATGGATGGAATTAGAAGAAATGTTTGAATGAATTTATTTGGTATGGTAGTAATTTAGATGAGAATTTGATAATGTGGGGGTGGATAATGTATTGTTTGTATTGGATTGTTTAAGTATAATTGTATTTGGGAAGGTTGTGGAGGTGTGGTGTTTTGTGGTGTGGGGGGGAAAAGTTGTAATTGGGTGGGGTGGGGGAAGGGGGGTTTTTATGTTGTTGAATATTTATAAGTTTTTAGGATTATTTTTGGATAATGGTAAAGTGATTAAATGGTGATGTAAAAAGGAGGTGGGTAATGGGGGGTATAATGATTAAGAGGGGATAGGTATTTGGGTGGGGTGTTGGTGGGGGGTGGAGATAGAATGTGTGGTTTGTTATGATGATGTGGGTTTGGGGTTGGTTTTGTTTAGGGTATGTTTTTGGTTTAAGTAAGTATTGTGTTGTTGTTTTATGTTGTGGGTTGTGTATTGGTTTGGGTTGGTGTTGGGGTGTTGGGTGGGTGGTGTGGTTGTGGTTTGGGTGTGGGGTGGTGTGGTGGTGGTTGTTGGGGGGGGGGTGTGGGGGGTGGGGGGGTTGTTTGGGTTTTTGTGGTGGGTGGTGTGTGTTTTGTGATATTGGTTTTTTTGGGTTTTTGGTTGGGTGGTGGGGTGGGGGTTGGGTGGGTGTGGGGGGGAGGGTGGGTGTTGTGGGGTGAGTGGGGTTGTTTTGTGGTTTTGTGTGTTATTTGTTGTGTTTTGTGGGTTGGTTGTGAGGTTTGGGTATTTTATTGGTTGGTTGAGTGGGGGGGTATTGGAGTTGGATGTGAGTGGTGTGGGTGGGGTGTGTGGGGTTTTTTGTTGTGTTTGGTGTGTGTGTTTGTTGTGTTGTTTGGTTGTGGGTGGGTGTGTGAAGGGTTGTGTTTGTGAGTTGTGAGGTTTTGTGGATGTGTGGGGGGGGTGTAATGGAGAGATGTGGGTTGGGTGGTTTTGATGGTTGGGTGGATTTTGATGTTGGATGAGAGTTTGGTTTTGTGGGTTTGGGTGGTTTTTATATTTTGGGGGTTGGTTGTAGTGGTTGATGTTTGTAGTGTGGTGTTATGGTGGGGGGTGGTGGGTGGGGGGTTGGGGTAGTTGGGTTTTGTGGGTGTTTGTGTTGGGGTTTTTTTTGTTTTTGGGTTTGTGTGTATGGGGGGTTTTTGGTTTTTTTATGGTTGTGTGTGTAGGTGTTGTTATGGTTGTTGGGTGTTGTTTGTTTGTTTGTTGTTTGTGGTTTTTTGTTGATGTGTTGTTTGTTGGTTTTTGGGGGTTGTTTGTTTTTGTGGGTTTGGGTTTTGGGTGGTAGGTTGGGTTGTGTGGTGGGGGTTGTTTTGTTGTGGGTGGTTGTGTGTGTGGGGTGGTGGGGGTGTTGGGGGTTAGTGGTTTTGGGGGGTTTGGGTGTTTGTGTGTATGTGTTTGGGGGTTGGGGGGTTGGGTGTGTGTTGTGGGTGAGTTGGTTGGGATGTGTGTGGTGTTTTTGGTTGATGGGTAGTGGGTGTGTTTGTTGGGTTGTTTGGGTTGGGTTGTGTGGGTTTTTTTTGGTGTGGGGTGTTGTTTTGGGGGTGTTGGTTTGTTTGGGTTGTGGTTTTTGTGTTGGTGGGGGGGGGGTTTGGGTGTGGGTTTTGTGTGGGTGGTGGTGGGGGGTTTTGGATGTGGGTGGGTTGTTGTGGGTTTGGGGGTTGGTTTGTGGTTTGTGTGTTGTTTGTTGGTTTGTGTTGTGTTTTGGTGTGTGTGTTTGGTTGGGGGTTTGGGTTGGTGGTTGTTTGTGGTGGTTTTGGTGTTGGTGTTTTTTTTGTGGGGTTGTTGTTGTTGGGGTTGGTGTGGGTGTTGGTGGTGGGGTTGGTGGTGGGTTTGTGGAGGGGGTTGGTGTGGGGATTGGGTGGGTGGGGTTGTTGGGTGGTTTGGTGGGTGGGGTTTTTGTGGGGGATTTGTGGTGGGGTTTGTTGGTGTGTTGGTGGTGGGGTTGGTGGTTTTTGTGGTGGTTTTTGGGTGGGGGTGGTGGGTGGGGGGGGGGGGGGGGTGGTGGGGGGTGGTGGGTTGGGGGGTGGGGGTGGGGTGTTTTGGTGTTGTTTGGTGGGGGGTGGGGGGGTTGGGGGGGGTGTGGGGGTTGGGGTGTTGTGTGGGTGGTGTGGGGTGGTGGTTGGGGGGGTTGGGGGTTGGGTGTTTGTGTGGTGTTTGTGTTGGTGGTGTTGGTTTGTTTTTTGGGGGTTTTGTGGGTGGGTTGGGTGGTTGGGGGTGGGGTGTGTTGTGGGTTTGGGGGGGGGTGGTTTTGGTTGTTGATTTGGGGTGGGTGGGGTGGTTGTGGGGGGGTTGGGTGGGGGGTGTTGGGGGGGTTGTTGTGTGTGTGTGTGGGGGGTGTGGGGTGGGGTTGTTTTTGGGGGGGTGTTTGGGGTGGGG